ACGAATCTGCAGGGAGAAAGTCTCAGCAGCCCAGCCTCTCCCTTTGCCAAATGGGTGGGGGGCAGGCTGAGGCCAAGGCAGAGCCAGCAGCTCCCTGCAGAGGCCTTTGCGGGCCGGTGGGTTTCCCCAAAAGAGAAATGGGGCCCCCCTTTGGGGGAGGGAAGGAGGGGCCCAGGGGGAATTTGGCCATCCCTTTAAGCAAGGCTGTTAAGGAATTGGAGGTTGCCCCCTCTTCGTGTGTGTGTGTGTGTGTGTGTGTGTGTGTGTGTGTGTGTGTGTGTGTGTTTGTAGCCTTTTGGGTGAAGGGAAGGGGCAAATGGAAAACACGGGCAGATTCAGCAAGATTCAGATTCAGCAGATTCAGCAGATTCAGATTCAGTTACATTTGTGTGTGTGAACTCAGCTTGAAGACCACTGACTCAGCCCCAGACATGAACAACAACAAAACAGGAAAGTCCAAAGAATCAAGAGCTTCTCCTCTGCGGGCAGCAAAGGGAAGGGCCCCCCTCATCACCCCCCATTCCTGGAAACAAGTTAGGCAGGTGTGCAAGATGCCTGTTAACTTGTGGAACTCCCTGCCCATGGAAACAAGGTGGCCCCTTGCTGCCCTCCCACTGATTTTCATCACCTGGACTTTTGAACAGATGTTGATTCCTAAATCACTGTCCATACTTCATGATTTATCAATTCAAGAGAGCTTAAGGGGAATAATCCAATAATTCAAGATGCCAAAGAGTTAAAAATTGTGAAAAAGTAACAATGAAAAAGGGAATGCCGGGGTTAAGGCTGTTCATGGCTTGTAAAACTGCTGGCAAATTCTGCTGATAATCATATGAAGCAATTTAGCCTAATCCTGCCAAGGGCTGGATTTCTGTACCAGGCTGGGGGTGCAAGTAGGATCTGCTTGTGATCACATGAAGGATCATGCGTGCAACCATGGAGGGGAAGAAGAAACTTGCACAAAAAAGAAACACAGATTGTGCAGAGAACAGCAGGACAGTTCTGTCAATCAGCCAGCTGAGAGAGAGAGAAAGAGAGAGAGACAGACAGACAGACAGACAGACAGAGAGAGAGAGAGACAGAGACAGAACAAGAGAGACGGAGAGAGATTCAAATTTGGTACATAGCTGATCCCAAAGTCCCTCTGAACTGGGACCCTTCAGACACTACAACTCCCATCTCTAAATCCTCACATGCCTGAAGGAGTGGCGGATAGAAGGCTGCGCCTAGATGGCACCAAAACCAGTCAAAGGATGCCAGAGGACGTGACCTTGGCCAGGCATCCTGGCAGGCTGGCAGTCAATGGGAAAGAAACCACATTGGCCCCAATCCAAGGTTTGCAACAGGGGTGTCCAACCTTGGCCACATTAAGACCCGTGGGCTTCATCTCCCAGAATTCCCCAGCCACCACGGGTCTTAACGTGGCCAAGGCTGGACAGCCCTGGCTTGCTGCCTTCTTGGCTCCCCGGGCTCTCGTAGGAGGCCCCGCCCGGCTACGGCGGCCCCTGAATCTCACCGGGGCAGCGGGAGCAGGCTGAGGAGCAGGCGGTGCTTCATCAGGTCCCTGTGGAGCTCCTGGAAGTGCCGGAAGAGCTTCTTCATGCTCCAGGTGAACTGGCCGTGGCTGAGCTGCAAGGCGTAGACCGTGCTGGGCCGCACCTGCGGGGAGGAGAGCTGGACAGGGACCGCCAAGCCTTCTCGCGCCAACCGCCCCCCCCCCTCGGCCCTGGAGCGCCACCAGCAGTGCTGCCCTGTGCACAACTGGGTGGGGGCTGTTGGGCCCCTTTGTTCTGGAGGGGGGGGAGAGGGACCCGGGGTTGAGCTGAAGAGAAGGGCCCTCTGGCTTTGGGGAAGACGGAGGGAAGGGGCTGAAACGGAGCCCTCCCTTCCTTCCCCCTGGCTCTCCGGCGGAATCCCTTTCGCCCTGAGCTGGCAGCTGTGGCCCAGAGTCTCCCTCCCAGAGGTTTAGTAAAGCACTAATTATATCCTGCAACTGGAAAATAAACACCTGGCTTCTTGGCACTGCCTCGACTTGCAGTTGACGGAAACTTCCTCTGTTACCTCTTTGATTCAAAGCATCCTCCATTCGGCTGCCCTCCCTCCTCCCCCCCCCGGACTGAGAGCCCCTCCCAGAATTCCTGGCCCTTTGCCCATGCTGGCTGGGAATCCTGGGAAATTTGCAGACCTGCCTTGGCAGGAGCCCCCTTAGGGCATCCTTAGGGGCAAAATGATTTGGGACTCCAATTTACCAAGCATGGAAAGAACTATTTCTCAGTCTGGCATGCACTATGCAGGCCGTCCTTGTCTTACAACAGTTCATTTAGTGACCGTTCAAAGTTACGACGGCACTGAAAAAAGGGACTTATGACCCTTTTTCACCCTTACGACCGTTGCAGCATCCCTCCCCATGGTCACGTGATCAAAATTCAGGCGTTTGGCAACTGATTCCTATTTATGACGGTCGCAGCGTCCTGGGGTCACGTGATCCTCTTTGGCGACCTTCTGACAAGCAAAGTCAATGGGGGGGAGCTGGATTCGCTTAACAACTGTGTGGCTAATGTGACAACTGCAGTGATTCACTTAACAACTGTAGCAAGGAAGGTCACAAATGGGGCAAAATTCACTTAACAAATGTTTCACTTAGCAACAGAAATTTTGGGCTCAATTGTGGTCGTAAGCCGAGGACCGCCTGTAAAGATGAATTTCCTTGCACAAAACGTAGCTGTTTCTCACTTCGTGTGTTGGCAAAGTGAAACACTTTGTGTTTCCAACTGGGCGATTTGCTCAAAAACCCTTTCTTTCTCCCAGACCCCTTAACCCTTCAGTCTTCTGCCAACAAGGACAAGTTCCTAGTCCTCCTGGGGATCAGGCTCAGCTGCCCCCAGGACACTCCGAGTCCCCCGGTCAGCTCCTTCCCGCACTGCTGCTGGGCGCAAGAGGGCCAGTCTCCCGGGCAGAAGGGAGTGGCTGGTCAAACAGGGGCCTCTGGGGAAGGCCGGTCCTGTAGGGGGGTCGAGGCTGACAGGCAGGTGCCTGTAAAGGGTCCGAGGGCCCCCACTCACCTTGGAGCCCCAGGTGTACCTCTCTGTGCTGTCCACCCATGCCACGATGGGCACCCCGTTCAGGAAAAGGGGGGCCTGGGAGTGCAGCGGCCTGGGCTCGTAGACCGCCGTGGGGAAGGAGCATGGCTGACCTGGGAAGGAAGGAGGAGCTCAGCCTGAGACCCCCGGAGGGCCAGCGGCACCCCCCAAAATCCCCACCCACCCACCCGCCTGCCCGGCCCAGCCTGACCTGCAGCCACTGGGCCTCTGAGGGCGTCATTCTCATCAGACTCTCCCGACTGCATTGGGCTTTCCGAGGTCTCCCCAGCAGGGCCAGATGTGGCCTGCCAGCCCTGGAAAGGAGGAAGGTGGTCCTGGGCCCAGGCAAGCCTCCCCATTGTCATCCTCTCCCTGGAAGCCCCTCCCCAGGCACCAGGTGCCCCCCCTGCCTTACAAAGCAGCCTTGCTCGTTTGGAGGAGAAAAGGCAGCTGCTGGTTCTGAGCGGGAGGGGAGGGAGGTCCCCCCTTGCAGGCAGACAGGTTGGGCAGAAGGGCTGGTCAAGCCAGGGACACACACATGCTGACCTCTGACCCCAGAGCAGCCTTGGCTGGATGGAGCTCTACTCAACTCTTGTAGCCGCTGCATTCACCTGGACCCCCACCCGCCCCATGTGGGGAGCTCCTCCCTGACTGGGGAATGTTGTACAGCTCCCTGGGCTGATTGAGGTTGGGCCTTGGGAACTCCCTCCCTCCCTCCCCACCCCAGGATCTTGGCAACTTCACTAGACCTTTTCAGTGCAAACTCTGGAACAATCTAGGAACCCACGGGGCGGCCTGCAAGTCAAACAAAGGCCAGCCCACCTTCCCAGGGCGGTTCTGCTGTGCTTCGTGCAGAGACACCCCTGGGGTTCCTGGCACGCTCTTGCTGCAGGCCAGGAAGCGCTACCCGGGAGTAATTAAGCTGAGATTTCCGCGAGTTTCTGGGAGGGCAGGAAACCTTGAATCATCACCCTCCCTGCGCAGGCTGAGACAAAGGCAGCCGCCTCGCTTCTCTTTGGCTAACTGGGGAGCAGCCTGGTCCGTTCTGCCCCCTGGGCCGGCTCAGCTACCGGGGAGCGCGGACCGACGCCGCCGGCGCCGCCGCCGCTGCTTCTTCCACGGCGGCGTTCAGACGTGGCTCGGGGATTCCTCCGGATCAGTTCCCGGAGGCGCAGCGCCAGCGAACGCGCAGGGATGGCCCCGGGCAGTCCAGCCCGCTGCCCGCGGCTCAGCGCCCCGCTCTCCCTCTGCCTGGCCGGGATTCTGCCCGTCCCTCGCTCCCGCCCGCCCGCCCTGCCCGTCCTGGGTGCTGCTCCCCGCAGGGCGCCCCCCGGCAGCGGAGTCCTGCGGGCGGCTTGGAGGGGCTGAGTCAGCCGCCGCCGCCAGGAGGGAGCTGGGATTCTGGTCGCAGCGAGCGGACCGGGAGTCGGACCCGGGACCCGCCGCCCGAGGCGCGGAGGCGGAGACCGCGGGGAGGGGGCGCTCGGGACTACCTGCCGACGGCGGGAACGGCGGGTCCGCGAAGCAGCGGCGGGAGGAGCGGAGCAGGGAGCTGCCCCGCCGGGAGAATCAAAAGGGAAGGAAGGGCCGGAGAGGAAAGGGCTGGGCTCCCGTCCCGGGAAGGAGGGCCGTTCTCGCTTTGGGAGAGAGCGGGGCGCCGCCCCGCTGACGCAGGAGCCCCGGGGCATGTGCAGAGCGCCGCCCCTCTCTCGGCTGGCTAGGCGGCTCGCGATTCTCGGTCAGGGCCGCTTCGGCGACAGAGAAAGTCACGAGAAGCCGGCTGACCGGAGAGAGTGCGCGACTAGTCCCGGCTGGGGTCCGCCGGGGGCCGGGCTGGCAGGAGCGCCCTGCGCCGCAGCCTGGGCCTCCGGGCGGCCGTTCCTGAAGGGGAGCCCGCTTTCCCACCCGCCCCCGAGAGGCATGGCCCAACTAGCCCCCCCCCTTGCCCCAGCCCGCGGGTGGAGAGCGGCAGCCCTCAAGTTTCCGAGCGCCAGACTTTCCCGCCCCTTTCATGGGGGAGCCGCTGCGCCCGGGGCTCTTCGGCCGGATCTCCTGGCCGGGTCGGTAGGTCCTTCCGCCCGCCGTGGACGCAGCCTTGCTTAGCCCGGCGCCACCCGCGTGGGTGGGATCCCTGGCGGGGGAGGATGGGCGCTGTGGTTCGCTCCCCCCTCGGCTCCCTTCAGAACCGCCGGGATGGAGCGGGCGACGGGGGAGGCGGCGGCGTCCGCTCCGTTCACCGAAGGGGGCGGCTGGGAAGTCTTCGGCCAGGTCGGGCCGGCTCCCCCCGAGCCAGGAGCAGCCCCCGAGGTCGCGCGGATTGTGCCACGCGTGCGGGCAACCAGACATAAACACCCTTCGGCCGCAGGTGGCGGGGAGCGCTCGGACGGGCGGGGGAGGCCCGTCTTCTCCGGGGGCCGAGCCCCTCCCTGGCGCCGCGGCCGCTCTGGGACAGCCCCCCCCCTCCGCCCGCCCTCTCCCTGTAATTGCCAGGCTTCGGTTCCTCCGCTCCTCGCCCCAAACGCGAAGGGATAGGAAGGAGGCCGCTTGGAACGGCGGCGCCCCCGGACCTCTCCTGCCCCGCTGGCGCCTCCCTCTCCGCCCGGACCCCCCAGGATGGGCTCCAGGCTCCCCAGCTGCTTTCCACGCGCCCGACGCGGACGGTCGCGGCGGGCCGGCAAGACGGGCCAGGGAGAGACCCCGGAAGGTAAGGTGGCGGGTCTCGCCCTTCCTCGAGCCGGCCAGGCAGAGGAGGGGGCCAAGCCCTGACTTCTCTCTCCCGCCCCCCCAGCTGCCTCTGCCGACGGCCCGGACGCCGCGGCAGGCCGAGCCAGGTCCACCCCGTCCACCAGCAGTGAGGGCGACCCGCAGAGCGGCCGGGCGTACTTCAGCTGCAAAGCCCGTGTCTCCTTCCGCCACCAGCTCGACTCCGAGAGGGACTCCACCAGCTGATCCGCCGGAGAGGCCGGCAGGCAGGGCCGCAGGGCAGAGGCCGCCCAGGAATAAAAGGTCCCACCCAGATGCCTCTTTCCTTCTGTACTGCGCCCCAGGGGAGAATTGCTTCTGCAGGCCTCCTCCAGCCCTCCCGACAGCAACACCAGCCAGGCCCCCAAACTGAGCTCAAGAGGCTGCCTGGCTGAAGGAAGGCAGTGGGGGGGGGGGGAGAACAGGGAACAGCTCCTATTCGGAGCTGCCAAGGAAAAAGCTACCTGGAGCAGAGCCAGCCCCCCCTCCCCACCCCTCCCCTCCTGCTGCAGGAGCAGCAGAAAACACAGCCCCTCCCGGGAAAGGCTCCTGCCATTGGGCCTCACCTCCTGGTCTCTGCCAGAATAGGGTGGAGCTGCATGAACCCCAAAGGGTGTGTGCCCCCCCCCCATCCCAATGTAATCACAGCTGGGTGGCAATCAGGGCAATGCAAGGAGGAGTAGGCAGAGCCCGCCTGGAGAGGGGGGGATGGGCAGAAAGGGGCTCCACCCTCTGCTGGCTGTGCAGGGAGGCAAGCGGCATTCACTTGAGCCTCCCCCCCCCCATTAAACCCATTTTCTGATTTTGCAAAATATCCCAAACAGGAAGGGCAGAGCCTGGGTTAAGGGGCCTGGCTGCTGGTGACTTAATGCGTTGTGTGAAAACTGCCATTTCCTGCCATGGAGAATGAAGACTAACCTCACTAGGAAGCAACAGCAGAAGAACTGCTATTCCTACCATGCAAGTCGCAGGTGGCCACCCCTCTCTGTCCACGTCCCCCACCACCACCACCACAAGGACCGAGAGAAAGCAACAACCACACTCGATGGGAGACTTTTTGCCTTTAATACCCACCAAAAATGCATAAAGACGAAAGACATTCCCGTCCCCGAGAGATGGAAGCAGGTCCAGGTGTCACGGGGGCAACACCGCCTCCCACCCACCCACACACCCATTTCAGACGGAGGAAAACCGGGGTAGTTCATTGCCAAGAATGACCTTGCGCTCCACACCATCCTTGGTGATGGCAGCCAGACGGATCACCCCGCCACTTGAGCCATCGCGATCCATGGCCAGGGCAAGTGCTGCAAGGAGAGAAGGCAGGCAGAAGCAGTCACCCCCTTCCCCAGAAATCAGGGGCTCCCCTTTGGTGCTGGGGCTGGGGGCTCCTTACCATTGGCTGTGAAAGTCAGGCACTCCTCCTTACTCATTCCGGGCTTGTAAGAAACATCCACAAAGCCGTAGATGTAGGAACTGCCGGAGCCCCCAATGGAAAAGGGCTGGCGAACCATCATGCCCCCCATGGGGACAGAATACACCTGGAAGGGGGAGGAAGATGGGTGGTGAGACCTTCTGCAGGCAGCAGGAGGTAGGAGGGCTGCTGGTTTTCCAGTATACCACCCCGGGCCAATCCAGGGCAGCAGCAGGGTGCAGATGAACGCCCATCCACCCAGACAGGACATCCTCTGGGTAGCAGAGGGGGAGCATCCAACCTGCAGAAGCAAGGACCGGGCTCCCACAAGGCCCAGCCCCCTCTGAGCCCGGGAAGCACATCGCTGCCCCTCACCTGTCCACCCTTGCGCCGGTCCCAGCCGGCCACCAGAATCCCGGCCGTCAGGTCCTCACGGTACCGATAACACATCTCCTTGAAAAGGTTGGCCGCCGTGTGCACCAGGGGCTGCTGGTCCAGCTCGATGCTGCAGGGAGGGAGAGGCGAGGGAGAATCACAGGCAGCCCCACTGACAGCCCCCCCCCAGCGCCCCTTCCAATTCCCGGTATATTCTTTCACACCCCCGCCCCCCACACCCAGGCAGGGCCCGGGGGCTTAACGGGCAGACCGGGGGCTTCCCCCAGGTGGTCCTGCCGCTTCCGCCCCCCCTGCCCCGTCGCGGAGCCCGCAGCGCCCCCCCCCCCCCGCCCCACCTGTGGAAGCCCAGTTGGTAGGCGACGGCGTCGGCGATGGCCTGGGTGTCGGCGGCGGAGCCGGAGCGGCAGCAGAAAATACGGTCGTGGATCTGGGTCAGCTTGTCCGTCACGCGGTTGGCGATGTAGGATCTGCGGGCGGCACAGCCGTCAATCCCCGCCCGGGAACCCCCCCGCCCGTCCGGCGCCTCCCGCCGGTCCGGCCACTCACCCGGTGGTGGTGCGGGAGTCCGCCCCGATGACCACGCCGCCCTCGAACTCCACGGCCATGATGGTGGTCTAGGGAGAGGGGGAGAGGGAGCGTCAGCCCGCCGGCTCGGAGGGTGACCCGGCTGGGGGCCGGCTCGGACCGGAGTCCCCGGGCAGGACGCCCCCCCCCGCCCCCCCGCCCTCACCCCGGTGCTCTCCGCCTGGTGGGTCCAGTCCGGGCAGCCGCCCGCCAGCCCGAGGCTCGGACCCGCCGCCGTCCCAGTCATTGCCATCGCCGCCGCCATCTTCGATCGAACGCGACACTGGCGCAAAAACGCCGACGCGCACGGCACGGCGCTTTACGGCACGGCGCCCGGAGAGAGGCCGAGCGGAGGGAGGCCGCGCAGTCCCCGGCAGGTCCTCTTGGCGGCGCTCGTGCGTTTGGTTTGGGCCGCCGGGGCCGCCTCCCCCTCTGGACTCTGCCGTTTCTATCCCTTTGACCAATAGAGTCTCTGGAGATATCCTAGAACGGCACATTTTTGCCCGGGTCCTAAGATTTCCGGAGGCTCCTTGAACGAAAGTAGCGGAAGCGCGTCATCCCCCAGCGCCCACGCCTTGCCGGCGGTTCTGACCGTGGCGTGCGCGGTATCCCTGTGAGTGGGGACGGTCCGGAGTTCGGCGTCGCGCAAAGTTGTCCGTGGATGGTGTATGTGCCATTCAGGATTAAAAGCCCTCTAAAAGGCAACCCCGCCGCGAGAGGAAGAGGCTGATTTGGGGAGAACTGGCGGCTGTCTGCATCCCCAGCGCAACCAGGGAGTCCTTGGGTGCAAGGGACCCTCGAGGTCACCTAGTCCACCCCCACCCGCCCAGGTTAGGGAGCCTCGGACGGCTGCCCAGACTTTGCCTGAAGGCTTTGAGCAATGCTTCCGTTGATGCAGCCGCTGCAGCCAGAGAGAGCCGCGCGCGCACATACACACACACACACACACACACCTCCTCTCTTTCCCCTTTGTTTTTCCTGCCTTTGATTTGCGGAATCTGGCATTTCCCGCCATTGAGTGACGTTTTACTGGATTGGGTCATCTGGTAATCGCCCTATCCATTGGGTTTAGACCCGCTTCTGCGTGGTTTCCTTTTCTGGGATTTTCCCAGGCATTGGGAGTCGGGTTGTTTGGCCTGAAGTTCTCCCCCCCCCGCCTTCCCCCTTTTTTCTTGCACATTAGAGCCCTGTCGCCTGTGCTCCAGTCTTCTGGCACTTTCCCTGAGCCCCAGGGCTTCTGAAAGGTTTCAGTCCGTGGCTCTGAGGTGACATCTGCCCTCTGGCCCCTTAGTTGATCTCCCCCGGGGGCCCAGCTGAAGCCCGAATATGGTGTGTGAACCTTGCCTCCAACCTTAACCCCGACCATCCACCCCGTCCCTCTATGCCGGGGGCCTCTCGGCACCTAAGTTGCATGTTGAAAGTAGCGATTGCAAGAGCCAGTCGGTCCAGCAACCAGAGAGACACCCCAAGAAAAACCCAGCTGGCAGCAGCCCTGCCCAACTTTGAAAGGCAGAAGGGCTGCCTCTGCCTGGGTTCCCTGCACACACAGCCCAGCCCCTGCATCCTGCCGTTTCCCAACCCATCCTTGGGGTGCACAGGAAGCAGGGTGGTGCTACTTGCTGCACAGATGTCAAAGGCCTGGGCTGGGCCAGCAGAGGGCAGTCACAAGGCATACTTAGCACTCCGTTCCTGGGCAGGTAAATTCTCCCAAGTTCGTTTATTAACATCTCCGCAGAACGATACCCCTGCCTTCTTCCATTGGGTACCTCCAGGCACGAAAGGGGGCTGCTGTCTGGGTGGTCCATGGGGAAGGAACAGCCCCCTCCAATTCACTTTCTGCCTGGGAGAATATATCTCCAGACCCGCATCGGCCCTGTGCCCTGGGGCGTCCTTAGGGCAGCTCCAGCATCCCATGGGCAGAGTAGACCTCCTGGGTGACGTTGTAGACCCGGCCCAGGCTCTCCACTGTGGTCAGGACAACAGCGCCAGTGGCCGGCTTCTCCCACGCGATGATGTGGTAGAGCTCCTGGCGGGAGGGCATAGCCAGGAAGGCCAGGGCGACGGCCTGCTGCACCCACCAGCTGTGATATGGGGCGAGGGCCACCTGGTAGGCCTCCGCACACATCCGGGAAGATTTCTCGTCCTTCTGGCTGGTCCCCAGTTTGTGCAGGAAAAGCTCCAGCCACTTCAGGGCACGATGGAGGCGCAGGAGCGTCCGGCAGCCCGAGGGAGGCTGATGGGCCGACAGGGACTGGAAGCCCACCAAGCCCGAGGCCAGCTCAAAGTCCACCATGGACTGCACGGTGCGGTAGTGGAGGCCGTGTGGCCCTTCCTGATGCTGCTGCAGGATGCTGATCTTGGACTCGACCTCCCGGGAGATCAGCCCAAAGGCTCTGCCCAGCATGTCCAGGAACCTGCAAAGGACAGCAGTGGCTGCAGCTAGGGACCCCCCTCCCCCCCGGCCGGCTGACACCCACAGGCTTCCCCTCCCAGTGCTGCCAGCCCTACAAAGAAGGGCCAGCGGCTCTTAACCCAGATGGCAGGGGGGGGGCCTCTGGGAGAAGAGGCTCCTGGCTGGAGTGGGCCAAGGGCACTGTTGAGGCACACAACCGGAGGGAGCCATGCCAGGGGGAGGCCCCCAGACAGCCCCCTTCTCTTTCAGGAAGGAGATGACAAGAAGGAAGGCCAGAGATAAAGTGTGTGTGTGTGTGTCTCCAGCTTTCTTGCCTTGGCCAAGGAGCCCCCCCCCCCGCAGCTTCTGCGGGCACCCTCGGAGGGAGAAGCCACTCTTGAGGTGGGCAGTTGGCAGAAAGGGTGCCGCTGGCCTTGGGCGCTCCTGAGCTCTCCCCGCATCCTGTCTTTTGGGCCCAGACCTCCCATTGTTGTGCAAGAGGCAAATGCCGCTCCCCCCCCTCTATTTGCCGTCCTCACTTGAGCAGCTGTCTCCAGCCCTGGAGGTATTCTTGGAGGAGGACTTCGCCCCGGGGGGAGAGGCTGGCCGAGAAAGCACTTTGCAGGTGCCTGATGTCAAACTCTTCGCCCTGGAGAGGGAGGGGGGGCGTCGGGGTCCAGGCGGGGGCAGGTGCAGGCGCAGGGCCAGGCTGCAAGAAGACAAACAAGGAAGTGCTGGGGGTGGGTGGGGCGGTGCGGGAGTGAAAGGATTAAGTTCCCCCCTCAGAGTTCCTTGCCACTTAAGCCCCCTTCCTTTGGTTTTAAGTTCCATTCCCCCCCCCCTCCCCGTTACCAGTTGGGAAACCACAGTCCCAAAATACCGTCGTCTGGGCCATTTCGTGTTCCAGCTGACCCTCCTTATCGAGGGCACTTCGGATTTCCCTCCATCTGTCCATCAACTTTAATCCAACCTTGGTGGGATTTCAAAGGCGGGGGGGGGGGGAAATTCCAGGGGGAATTGACCCTCCCACCCCCCAATTATTGGGCCTGATGGTCCCTCAACTGCAGCAAGACTCCAGAGGGACTTTAGCCACCCTCCCAGCCAAGGGGGACGAAGATACAGCCCCCCTACCCCCCCCCCGTGAACTGATAAGGCCAGCACAGCTGCTCTTCCTCTCACCTCCTCCTCCTCCTCCTCCTCCTCCTTGGGCAGCGTCTCCCCGAGCCACGGGCACCGATGCCCCCCCTGGACGCAGGCAGCCAGAGAGCCCTTTGCTGCAGGATGAGACACACAGGGCGGGTGAGCTGCACTCCCTGGGCACTCCCTGCCCCCCCAGTTCCCGACTTACGGAGGTGCCAGCCGGAGAGGTAGAGCAGGAGGAGAAAGACGCCCAGGGGGAGCAGCAGCTGGCAGGGGCGCAGGGGAACCCCAGCAAGAGCCCCCATTTCCAGCCTTTTGCCTCCTCCAGGCAGGACCAGCCGGGCCTTTGCACCCTGCCCTCTGCCCTCCCTTCCGGACGAGATAAGGAGGGGGACAGAGGGAGGGGGAGGGAGGGCCCAGCAGCGCGCGCCCCCGCACACACACACACACACACACCTGCAGAGCTCTCAGGCTCCCTTGGGGTGGCTTGGAACTGGCGAAGGCCGGCAGCCTTCAGGGCAAGGGGCTGGGGGAGGGCCAGGGGGTCAGGGCTGACCCTCAGCAGGGAGGTGTAGGGCAGGGAACCCAAATGGGGTGGCCCAATTCCCCCTGGAACCAATTGCCCTGAAAAGGGGGCTGCCCAGAACTTGGGGGAAACGGGGCTGTGGTCAAGGACCGGGCCCTGGACAGGAGGGGGCTTTGCTGGACAAGTGCCAGTCTCTCCGGGCCACCCCCCTACCCCCCCAGGGGCCTTTTTTTGACCCCCTTTGTGGGAGCAGGGCACCAAGCGAGGCCCACTGAGTCCCATTTGAGGCTTCTGGATCTTCCATCCTCCATCTTCCCCCTACCCCAGCTGATCGGACTGGCCGGGCCGGGGGGGGGGGGGCAGGAGATGATGCCCAGCAGGCCTCAGAAATGGCCCTTTGATGGCCACTTCCCCCCCCCACCTGTCCCTGGACTGGAGCGGGCTGCTTCCCTCCCTGGGTCCCGCCTCCAGTCCGGGTGTTGGAATTGCCCTCGGAGTCTCTGGAGTTCGGGGAGGGGGTCCATCATTTTATTTCGGGGGGGGGGGTGCTGGCTGAGCAGTGTCTCTGATTTTTAGCTGCCCAGAGTGCTTGGGAGGGGTGGCACAGAAGTCAAACACTCCCCGTGGCCTGGCACGTCTCCCGGGAGACCCAGGCGGAGGGATGGGGGCCGCCAGCCCCACAGGCCCAGGGGCTGTTCTCTGCCTGGGGAGCAGAGGTGGAGCTGAGGGGAGGAAAGGCCGGGCCGGCTCCTGGAGGGCCGAGGGAGCCACGGCCACACTTGCAAAGGGTGTGAAATCAGCCCCAGGACCGGCCCAGTCGGGAAAGGGGCAGCTAGGCTCAGCCAGGTGGGCTGGGGGCAGATGGGGCCCGGAGGGCCACACTGGATCTGAGGCTGCCCTGGGCAGGGCTGGGGGGGGGCTGGAGAAGGGAAGGGTCCCAGAAGGCGACGGGGGGGGGGGCTGGCAGTGGGGAATCCGGAACTGGAAGCGAAAGGCACCACGATGTCGCCTGCGTGGAAGTTGTGCTGCCGAACCTCCTGGGAGCTGCTGCTGCCCTCGGAAAGAGCCGGAAACGGGATCGGGCTCCAAGGCCACCTTTGGGCCAGGAAGGAAAGGGAAGGGCGAAGGCCCAGAGGTGCCCCCTTCTGGCACCAGGGGGCTTCCTGAAGGCGAGCAGCGGGAGGGAATCCTCTGAGGACCCCCACTGCGGCTCCTTTCCCACCAGTGACTCCAGCGGGCCAGGAAGCAGTCCGGACCGCTGGCCCAGCCCCCGCCACCTGCGGCCTACAAGCGGGGAAGCAGCTCAGGAGGGCCAAGGGGGTCCCTGCCGCTCCCTGTGCTCAGAACGGCTGGGCAGCTGGAGGGGCCCGGGGTGGGGTGGGGGGGCTCTGCTCTATCCAAGCTCCTGGCTGGGAGAAGCAGCTGGAAGCCCCCCTGAGGGTCTCTCAGGGTCTCTGAACTGGCTGAGTTCCACACCTCCATTTGCTCCCTTGGTTCTGAGCTGACGTTCCTGTCGGCCCCCCAGAGCCCCCAGCCCCTTGCAGGGCCTTTGGCCGCCCCTCTGGGACCTGCCCCTCCCGGCTGGCAGGGTGGCTTGGCCAGGAAAGGTGGGGGCTTCCCAGGCCCCAGAGGGAGTGCCTGGTCCGGCCTTTGTCTCCTTCCTGGCAAAGGGTTCAAGACACGGGCTTGGGTTTCTGCACCTGTTTCGTTCTGCCTAATCCTAACCGGTTGAACCTGTCCCCTTCAGCAGCACAGGTGGGGTCTCGGAGGTCATTTGATCCTGACCACCCACCCACCCACCCCTTTTGGGCAAGAGGCTATAAAACCAGAGCGAGGGCACCCTCCCCTGGGCACCATGGCTGCTCTCAGGCTGTGGCTCTTGTTGGCAACTCTGGCGGGGACTGGCGCTGCCCCGGAAAGCTGGTCTGCCATTGGGGTGTCCAACGGGGGTCCCTGGGGTCCCTGGGCCTGGCAGGAAATGTGCCCCCGAGGGACCTACGCCACGGGATTCAGCCTCAAGGTAACCCCCCTCTTCTGCCCCTTCTCTGGCCCTGGATTGGGGGCCAGTCCCAGGTCCTGCTTGAAGAGGTGGATATTGGGGGGAGGGTGAGCCCAGGGGAAGAAGCACGGAGGGGGGGAGGGGGTCATTCCAGGGAATGTAGACCGACCAGGCCAGGTGAGGCAGAGCTGATAACCCTCAGGTTATCAGCCCCTTCCCCATTTCCCTGACTTGGCAAGCGGCTTGTGTCCAACTTGCTCTTTAACCCCAACTCGCCTGGCCCCTGGCCTCCCCTCCCGAAGTGGCCATTCCCTGGAAGCCCCTCGTGGCTGGAGCGTCCCTCCTCCATCTTTCTTGCTGTCCAGGTGGAGCCTTATCAAGGGAAGGCGAAAGACGACACGGCCCTGAACGGTGTCCGGCTGCACTGCACGGGTGGCAGCCACGGTGGGAAGCCTGAGGCCAAAACGGTGGAGTCCCAGAGCAACGTGTGAGTCAGTCCCCGGCTTGCCCGCCCCTGGCAGCCCCCTTTCCCTTGCCATCCACTGCCCTTCTCTTCGCCCCTTGGCCCCAGGGCAGGCAGAGTGGACTGTTGCCTCCTGGCCCCAGCTTTATATCAGAGTGTGTGTCTGTGTGTGTGCGCCCAGGAGAATTCCCTGTGCTCAGAAAAGGCGCATGCAGTCAGAGCCCCAGGATGCCCAGGCAAGGCCCCTCCTGGGACCCGGGGGGGGGCGAGTGGGGCTCCAGCCAAAAGCTTCCCTTCCATGGGGAGCCTGGCAGTGCGAGAGAGGAGGTGGCGCAAGGTGGCAGGAGGGTTGCCAGCACTGAATCCTTCTTGCCTCTTCCTCCCCTCAGCTGGGGCCACTGGACTGACCCCCTCCGGTGCCTCCCGGGCAGCTATTTGACCGGCTTCTCCCTGCGGGTGGAGCGTGTCCGGCGTGGCGTCAGTGACTACATGGGGGCCACCAACCTCCGCTTCGTCTGCTCAGACGGAAGGGTCCTGGAGGGGCAAGGCCTGCCCTGGGGGGAGTACGGAGCCTGGAGCCCCTCCTGCCGCAAGGGCCTGTGCGGGATCCAGACCAAGCAGGAGGCCATGCGGGGCGTCCTGATGGATGACTCTGCCCTCAACGACGTCCGGTTCTTCTGCTGCGCCGAGTGAGCGGACGGAGGCCTCGGCCGTATCCCCAGCAGGCAGTGAGTGGTCAGCGTGGTCTGGCTCAAACAGGCACCCCCCCCCCCCGGGGCCCCTCCTGATCCGTGGAGAGAGCCCAAGAGCTGGCCCCACTTTGCTCCAGCCCCTTCTCTCCGGGGACAGGAAGCAGGACAGGAGCCCACAGACACCCTGGGGGGCTCCTCTCCCTCCTCCCCCTTTCCAGCCCTCCACACAGCCACCAGATGACTGCAGCAGCCCTCCTCTGCCCCCCCTTCCCTTCACCAGGGAGAGAGGAAGAGTTTGGACCCCCCCAGAGCGCCCCTTTCTCTGCCGCACCCGGAGCACCCAGCGGGTCCTTTCCACCCTCCCCAGACCAGATGCCCTCGGCTCAGCTGCAGGCCGGCGGCTTCTGGCCTCAGGAGCCCCTGGGGGTCCCTCAGCCCTGCAAGGGGCTCTTGCTGCCCCCCCAGCCCCTCCTCTGCTCACCGCCGGCCTTTTCTCCACAGGTCCCACCGCCCAGCACCCCCGAGGCCCCCTCCTCTGCCCAAGAACCTTCGGAGCAGCTACAGCAGAGAGGCTTTTATTTGGGGGTCTTCCAATAAAGCTTCAAGATTGCACCCCTGCTGGCCGAGAGACTTGGGGAGGGGGCGAGTGGGTGGAGGAGTGGATGTTGGTGCAAGAGTTCCTGTCGGTGGGTCAGTCGGTGGGTCTCACAGGCCTTCCCCCTGCCAGGGGAGCCAAAAAACAGCGCCAGTTACAGGGGCGGCAAAGAAAGGTGGAAAGTCTCATGCAGGGACAGCCTCCCGCCCCCCCGGCACTTGCAAGCCCCCCCCCTGCAAGGTCAGCAAGTGAGGTGGGGTCTGCCTTGGGCTTTGTCTGCCTCACTCCCCCCACCTCCTGGGGCCATTTGCTCCCTGACCCACCCCCCCAGCCCCTCCTTCGCTGCCCACTTACGGCTCGGTCATCATCTTTGCGGCAGTCGCCACAGACGGTGCCCAGGAGGCCGTTGACCACCTGGATACCGCACAGCACCGTCTCCAGCAGGCTCAGCCCGAGCAGGATGGAGAAGAGCACGATGTGCCAGAGGACGATGGAGGGGGGGTTCACGCACACGTCCCACATTGTCTTGTTTTGAAGATAGCTGTCACTGTGGGGAGGAGAGCTCAGATTGGGATGGGCGCCCCACTGGGCACAGATGGCCCACGGCTCAGCCTTGGCAGAAACCTTGCCAGCCAAGGGTGGGGTGGGCCGGGGGGGGGCTTCCCATCCCCCAGCCAGCCTGCTCACTTGAGATCCTTGAAGGGGGATTCCCATTTCTGGAGTGCCGTCTCGCACAGGGGCCCATCAGCCAGGGCGGTGGAGGAGACCACCAGGCAGTAGAAGGCGCCCAGCCCCCCGAAGATGGAGCAGAAGACGGAGCGCAGCATCTGCCGTGGGACAGGGGGGAGAGGGGGTGGGGGAGGGCTCGCCCCTCTGGCTTTCCCCTCTCACACCGCACCCTCACGCCCTCCCTAGCAGCGCTGGGCCCTGAGCCAAGAAGGGCAGAGTGAAACGCAGAGGCCGGGGGCGCCCAGCTGCCAGCTTTGCCAGGCAGAGCGGATGGGAAACCTGACCAGGTGAGCCAGTTCTGCTCTGTGGAAAGGCTCCATTAGCAGAACGTCTGAAAGTGCAAACTTTCCTCTGCTTTACCAGACGCTTGGGGGGGGGGTCCCTTCTGAGCCCCTTCCTCGGCCCATTGGGCAGCTGTGGGGCTTTGCCTCTCCTAGCTGGGCAGACCCGAGGGAGCAGCTCTTCACCCCCTCTGGAAGGTGCTTCCCATGCGCCTTTGCTCAGCCTGCCACTCCCCTCCGTCTCGTGTGACCAGCAGCTGGCTTTGCCTGGCAGGTTTTGAAGGCCACCGCACACAGAAGACGGGGGCCCCCTCTGGGCAGGATTCTCATAAGCTGTGACATCCCTGCCAGCCAGCACCCCATTTTCCACATGAACCGAGGAGGCTTGGTTGAGCCCACAGGTGCACCAGGAACAGTCAGCTCCTACCTGTGTTGGCCCACCTGGCTTCAGCATGAATTCCCAGGACCCCACCAACGGCAAATCCACCTCGAGCCGAGCCTGGCCAAAGCCCAGCCCACTTTGGGGTTCAGCGTCATGCGGACCCAGGGAATTCTACCTACCCGGCAGCGATTCCCGCAGCATCCGTAGCCACAGCATCCCTTCCCGCCGGCCCGCACGGAGGAGCAGCCGGTGCAGAGGACCTGTGGAGAGGGAAGGTGGCTGGCTTGGAGGTGCCCCTTTGCCCCAGACCCCCTCCCCGGGGAAGGCTGAAGCCAGGCAGCCACGGCACGCAGCACTTCCCGCTTCCCCGTGAGTGTCACCAGCTGGCACCGAGGGCAGAGCCCAGCGCCCGGCTCAAAGTCCAGAAGGAGCAGAGCTGAGCTTTGGGGAGAACCAGCAGGCCCAGCACAGCCCTTTTGGCTGAGGGAGGGAGCGGGGCAGAGTCACGCCCTTGTGGGCTTTCTGCTTGCGAAGGGTGTAAAGACAGATGGGGTAGGGGTCTCCCTCCCCCCAAGGCTCCCCCCTGCCCGGCAATCCAGGAAGTGTTCTGCCTCCAGACATGCGGGGGTCTTGCCCCACCCCGTAGCATCAGCCTAGTGCGCTCCATGCCCTTCTGAACTCTTCCCAGCTCAAGTAAGCGAGCCATCCTTCACCCCTCACCCTGCACCAAGGGGCCCCAGGAGAAAGCTGCTCTCCGGCAAGGGCAGCTCCTGAGAGTCCCGGAAGACCCCGGATGAAGCACCCGCCCCATCGGGGCCACTCACCATCAACCCCCCACCGATGACGCCCCCCATGAGCCAGGCCTGCATAGTGATGTGGTCCGGTGTCCAATCGCTCTGAGCATTGGGGAAGAGCAGCAGCAGGTTGGCTGCGATGCAGGCCAGGGCCGCGGCCACCAGGGTGAGGCCCACCAGGCGGGAGCACTTCCCAGTGCACATGGTGTAGCTGCCGGGACAGAGAGCGAGAGAGAGCGCGAGAGAGCGAGCTTGTTTGCTCAGATCGCTTGGCCAAAGGGCTCCTCTGCGTGCGGCACTCCACCCACCGGCGTCCAGCCGCTTCTTCCTCTTCCAGGCCAGGTGGCCCTGAGTGCTGGGAGGGGCCTGAGGGCCAAACAGCGGCCCTTCCAGACGCAGGGCAGAGGGCACAGTCCAGGGTCTGTGCCAGCCCAATGCCAGGAGTGCCAAGGTGAGCCGTGGCTCTGCAGCTTTCAGGAACCTGGAGCTCTGCTCGGTGGCTCGGTGGAGGAGGGGGGTCTGGCTGGGACTTCCTTTGGTCAGTGAGACCAGGACATCCTTGGTCCTTCTGGGGAAGAGGGTCTCCGGTCAGCGTCTTTGGGCCATCTGCTCACCACAGCCCCCTCCACAGCCCCTCTGATGCCACTGGGACCCTCTCTGCTTCCCCAGGTCTCCCACCCCTCCTGTGGTCAACTCTCCCGGCCCATTTTCAAGAGCCGGTGTGTGTGTGTGTGTGTGTGTGTGTGTGTGTGTGTGTGTGTGTGTGTCCGGGCATGTTTGCCCATTGGTTGTTCACCCTCCGCTGGGCAACTGCCAAGACCTCCCTCAAGGGCCATGGCTTTGGGGCGGGGGGTCCAAGGAGGGGGAGGTGATAAGAGTCCAGGCCTCCCTTCTTGAGCTGGGGAGGTGGACCATGTGGCCCTTTGCCTGTTCTGGAGTCTGGGTCAGTAGGCGCCCATTTCACACAGGGGAGGCATGTTCCCTTCTGACGGGGATTTTGGTGCATTCTGCCTGTTCCTTCCCTGGGGAGACACCGGCCAAGGGGGGCCTGCTGGGTCTGTCTCTGGGCCACGGAAGACCTGCCTGGGGCCACAAATTCCACACGTCTTTCCATCAAGCAGGCGCTCAGGAGCCCCATGGGAAGAGCCATGCCACCCTCATCCCCCATTGTTCTCCTTGGTCTCCAGGCCATCCGGGGACGATCCCTGACGAGGAACCCGATGTTGGGGAGCAGGGAGAGACCCCCTCTTAGGTCCAAAGAGAAGGGCTGAGCGCCAGGCGATTCCGGTGCAAGGGCCGTTGGCCTGCCTCACCAGTCTAGACCTGCCTCTGCCCCCAGTCCCTGGGGACACTGGGGTGCCCGGGAGAAGCGGACCTGAGTGGTGGGAGGGGACTAGCAGAGGCGGAGGGAGGGCCCCAAGGAGGGGTGAGCAGCATTGGCAAAGGGAGGGTGGACGTCAGTCACAAAGGCTGCTGCTTGCTCTGGCCTGGGGGGGGGGCAGGCTCCCTCGGTGCCCAAGGCATCTGCTGCTTTGGATCACGAGGGACACTGCCCTCCAGGGTCCTCAGCTGTCCTGGGCTGCGCTCTGCTCCTGCCTCGTCCTGGGGGCATTTCCAGAGGCCAAAGAAACTGGTATCTGTGGGGCTGCCAGCTAACCTAGAGAGCACCGAGTTCAGGGCTGGAAGGGACCTCAGGGGCCTCCTAGCCCAGGGCTAGGCAACCTTGGCTCTTTTATGATTCGTGGACTTCAACTCCCAGAATTCCTGAGCCAGCCTGGCTCAGCTTGGAAACCTCTCCCTTTCCCCCTCAGCGTGGCTGGCTCAGGAATTCTGGGAGCTAAAGTCCACGAGTCATAAAAGAGTCAAGGTGGCCTACCCCTGGATTAGTTCAACTCTCTGCTCAAGGTGTGAACAAGCACAGAGTCTTGGTGTGTCCATCATTGCTTTATTTCCTCTGCTCCCCCTGTCACTTGCGCCGGCGTCCTGCTGCTCGGATCTGCCGCTTGTCCTTGCGCCGGCTGCGGGCCGGCTCAGGCGGCTCCAGGTTTCCGCTGGCCAGGAGCGGCTGCGGAGGGGGCACCGAGCTCTGCCGGTGGTTGCTAGCCGAGGCCTTGTAGATCAGGTGAAAAATGAAGGCGTTGCAGTACCTGCCGGGGAAGAGGGGGCACGTGAGGGGGGGAGGGTGGCAGACACGGGGTGAGGAGGGCACTGCCACAAATGCCCCGAGGTTGGCCTCTCTGCCCCAAGGGCCTGAGTGCCGGGAGGGAGGGAGGGAAATTAAACAACTGCCAGTCGCGGAGGAGGGCGCCAAGGCCTGCCTTGTACCCACCAGGGCATGGCATTGTCAATGCCTGCTTGTCGGAAGGGCGAACGGAAGGGATTGACCTGGGCGGGGCTTGCACTGCCCCCCGTGGCCATGGAGACCGCGGCCTCATCCACGGCGCAACTGTAGGCGCTGCATTCGGTGAAGTAGGCCGGCACCCGGAGGGACTGTGGGGCAGAGAAGCATCGTCATTGCCAGGGTCAGGTGGGGGGGGGAGGTCCAGGCTGGACCAAGCTGGTCATCGCTGCCAAGGCAAGGGGCTGAGAAGCCACCGCTGGGCGCCACTTCCCTCTGGCAGGGGCTGCTGAGACGGCCTCCTTGCCCTGTGTGCCTGGGACGGGCGGGCGGCACCTCACCTGCAGTCGCGGCAAAGCACTCAGCCAGGTCTCCTTCAGGGCAAAGCCGGCGTTGAACCCTGGGCGAAAGCAAGGGCACAGTGGGGCCTGTGTTAGATGCAGAGCCAGGACCCCTCCCTACCCCCAGCCTCCCCCTTCCTCGTTGTCTCTCACCAATCACCAGGTCCGGCTTGGCAGCCTGCAGGAGGTGGTAGGGGTGGGCACTGAAGCCCAGCTGCAGCTCCCGGCGGCCCCCTCTGGCCCTGGGGCCCAAGCCGGGCTGGACGGAAACCCCCTGCTCTTCCTGGAAAGAGGCGGGGGGGGGGAGGTGATCACCCAGTTGGGAGGAAAGTCAAAGGCAGCCAGAGAGTAGGATGTCCACCATCCCTGGCCAAGTCAGCCAGAAGATTCCTCAAGTTCCCTCAAGATCCATGTGCCAGCATTGCCCCCTCTCTCTGGTGGTGAAAAGGGACGGCAGAAGGAAAGTCTCCCCCCCCCAAGTATAAACGGAGGGGAGGCAGACTCACATCTCTCTGCAAAAGGAACTGCTGGCCGTCCAACTCGGGGGGCAACGTGTCCCCCACAAAGAGCAGCTCCAGGGAAACGTGAGGGAGCAACACTGACAGCTCCTGCAATGGGAAGGGAGGGAGGGGGGGAGGGAGGGAGGGAGGGAGGGAGGGAGGAAGGAAGGAAGGAAGGAAGGAAGGAAGGAAGGAAGGAAGGAAGGAAGGAAGGAAGGAAGGAAGGAAGGAAGGAAGGAAGGAAGGGACTGCAAATCGGGGCAGGCAACGGCTCTGGCCCCCATCTCTCCCAGGCTCTCTCCAGCAGACCTGCTCCAGTTCAGTCTGGCACCGTGGCCCCCTTGCCCTCTCCCCCCCGCCCTCCCTGTCCCCAGAGACCCCTCCCTACCCAGAACACCATCAGCACACCAAACTCCTTGCCGGCCTCCACCACGTGGATCTTGAGGGACTGTTTGTTCAAAATGTTTAGCTCTGGAACTGAAGGGGGGGGGGAATTAGGGACCCCCACTCAGAAGTCTCAAAGCCTGGGAGGCAGGACGGCTGCCCTGAACGGGGAGCATCTTGCGGTGGCCCTTCTGCGTGGACACCCCCACCCTCGGGGGAGGCACCGCCCTCAGCCCCTCCCCCGCCTCCCCAGGGCAGCAGACGTGGCAGTCCGCTCCCTTTAGCCGAGCACTGGGCCACAGCGGGTGATCCCGGCCTTGCACCCGTGGCCACCTGAGGCTCCTCCAGGTACACCCAGGTTCTGTGCCCTGGCCACTGGTTTCAAGCCGATTTGCGCCAAAGGCCCCTCTCCCCTCCTCTGCTGCCGAGGGACCCCCACTCACAGTGCTGGGGGGCCAGCTGGGTGATGATGTAGTAGGCAGTGAGGGGGTAGGTCAGCAGCACGGCCAGGGGGGCCCCAAGAGGCAGCCCCCGCCACTGGTAGTACTCTTTCCAGGATGCTGGAGGAAAGGGGTGGGGGCGGGGGGAGAGGAACAGTGATCAGATGAGGAGGGTCTGTGGAAGTGCAGCGGAGGGGAAAGGGGCCGTGCTCCCCCCCCTCACCAAAGAATGTCCGGGGCGTTGAGGGCTCTGGGGGGGCTGGAGGGAGTGCCGTCCCTCCTTCTGGCCTGAGTGCCTCAAAGGGGTTTCCTGCAGAGAGAGAAAGGCCCCCCCCCCCGATTGTGCAAGATGAGGAGGCCAGGAAGACCCCCCCTCCCCCGAGAGTCCTGAGAGAGTGTTCCTGGGGGAGGGCAAAAAGAGACCCCCCCAAATCTGACAAAGGTGGGGAGATAGTTTTGCCACTCTTACTCCCTATTCACTGGAAGGGGGGCCTGCACGGCCTCCCCCACCCAATTTATTCACTCCTTCACGTAGGCCTGGTAAATTAAGGGCTCTCCAAGCTTGGCAACTTTAAAACTCATGGCCTTCAATTCCCAGAATTCCTCAGCCAGCAAAAGTTACTGAGGAAGTCTGGGAGTTGAAGTCCACAAACCTTAAAGCTGTCAAGTTTGGAGACCCCCGGGGCTAATTGGCCATCGGCTCTGTCCTCAAGACGGGAGAGGGACCCGCCTCGGAGGGCAGCTCCACCTGATGGGGGAGGCGGCGTGAAGGGTGCCAACTCTGGCCCGCTGGATCGGATGGGCAGCGGCCGTGGGTGGCCCTTCAAGGTAACCAGCTCCTCTCCTGGGAAGAACCTCGGAGGGGACAACCAGCACCCTGAATTGTAGCCTAAAATGTACACGGTGCCGTTTGTGACGGAATGGGGTTGGCTGGGCCTGATGCCGGGCAGAGACCCTCCCAGTCGGGAGGAGGGGGTCAAGCAGGCTATTGGAAGTGTGGAAGTGCCACGTGGGCATGACAGGGCAGGGGTCCGACTCCCCTGGAATGCCACTGAGGCTTATCGAGACTTTCTCACGGGAAAACCGCCAGTCCGAGGAGATTCCTGGCATCAGCAATAAAGTAGCTACTTTGAACTCTTTCGTGTGTGGGCCAGGCTATTTGCGCCTGGCACACACCCGCCACGCCCACAGCTGCCCACATGCCTGCTGCATCTCCCAAGCCCCACTCACCACTCTGGAGGAAGGGCACAGGGGTCTTGGCGGAGCCCTTCTGCAGCCCCAGGCCGTAGTCGGGGGCCCTCACCAGCATGCTCTCCGCAACCCAGTATCCCCGGGTCAGCCCTCGCGCCAGCAGGAAGCCCTCCTTGTTGAAGGTGTCGCTGGTCACCTCTGGGGAGGGAAGGCAAGGTGGGGCCCACAGCTTAGCGCCGGTCTCCCCCTCCCGGGCATAGGGGTGTAGTGGGGGTCCTACCGGCAGTAAAGGTGAAGGGGAGGTTGGCGAGCTCTCTGGCATGGCTCATGTAGCCAGCCATGCGTTGGCACCAAAACTGGTGCCCAATGTCCTCGGGGCTGCGGCTCCAGTCCAGCTTCCGGCACTTCTCCGAGCAATAGAAGACGGCGCGGCAGTGCTGGCTGGGGAGAAAGCGAGGTGGGCACAGGGGCACAAGACAGGCCAAAGGGCAGGGGAGGGGCAGCGCAAGCTTCCCGGAATGACAGAATGAGAGAGTTGGAAGGGACCTTAGAGGTCCTCTAGTCCAACCCGGTGCTCAAGCAGGAAACCATCTGAGGCAAAAGGCTGTCCGGTCTCTTCTCAAAGCCCCCAGAGCCCCCGAGTCTCCATCAAAGGCTCCAGGAGGGTCTCCGAGCCCTTGGGGCAGACCGGCGGATGGGCAGCTGCCCCCAAATCTTGGTGATCTGGAAAGGGGAGCCCCCCCACCCAGCTCAGGCAGAGGGGGGGGTACGATTACATCCGCTCTGCACTCACCAGGCTGAGATTTGGCCCTCAAAACTGTGTCGCTTGCACACGTGGCAGGCCCGCACCCGTGTGGTGGGGAAGGAGAAGGTGGGCTTGGGGCCCCAGCCCCGCATCGGCCCTTTGCTCATTTTGATGCCCAGGCGAGCAAGCAGGGGCTCCAGGGACCTGCCAGGGCCGGAGCGGGAGAGAGTCAGGGGTGGGGGGAGATAAGGGTTGCCCCCCCTCCAGGCACCCTCCGCCCACTCACTCACTTGTGCAAAGCGGGGTCTCCCACAGTCAGCAGCTTCGGCCGGCGGGGCTCCCCAGCGCCCAGGGGGCAGAACATGCTGTAGCAGAGCAAGGCGAGGGCCCGGGGCTCCAGGGGCTCCTGCCCAGATGCCCCCAGGGAGGCCCCCAGCAGGAAGTCAAAGCCCAGAATGGTGCCATATTCGTCGGTCATCAGTAGGAGGTGCTCAACGCGCCACAGGGGCTGCCCTGCAGAGCAAAAAGAGGGAGGGAGGGGGAGATGGGGGCTCACTGCAGAACTCAGAATATCCCCCCCCCGCACAGTCGCCAAGAGCCGCTTCCAAACAAAATAAATCTAATAAATAAACAAAGGTCCCCTGGAGAACCTGGTGTTTCCCTGGTACAACCGGAAGGGAGAAGCGGGAGACGGAGGGGCAGCCCGTGGGGCGGGGTGTGAAGTGTCTGGGGGTCTCTCTCCAACCTCCTTGGGAGGGAGCCCACCGTGTCTGGAGCACAGCAGGGCCAGGACCGGGCAAAGCCACTAGGTGGGGGCGGGGAGGGAGACAAGGTTTCAGCAGCAGCGGCAGCAAGAGAAGGCGGCTTGATGGTGGTTACATGATGGCTAAGGCTTTGGTGTGAGCTCAAGGAACAAAGGAGAGCAGACTAGCTGAACCATCAATAGGATAGGATAGGATAAGGCAGGGTGGGGCAGGCTTAGTAACAAGTGGTAAGGTAGAAAATAAGTAAAAGCGGGGTTTGAGTTATTATTTTTTTTTAACAAGAGTCTTCTTGAGGAAACAGGAGGTGAGGAATTGGGGCTGGAGGAATTGGGGGCCCCTCTCCCAGCTTGCGAGACCCCAACCGCCTCCCTCCCCCGCCTGGCCTGGGCCAAGGCTAAGTGAAGGTCAAAGGTTGCGGGCTCTGCCCAGCTCAGTGGCTTCTGCCGCAGCCCCAAGTCCTCCTCGGGGGCCCGTGGCTTCAGCCACAAACCTGGCTCCGTGGCGGTGGCCTCTTCCTCCTCCTCCTCTTCCTCCTCTTCCTCCCCCCCTGCCCCCATGAAGGTGATGAAGCGCTCCAGGTCCGGCAGGGCCAGCGCCTCCTCGCTGTAGAAGCGGCCGCCCAGCTGCTGCCCGGGGTCGGCCACCGCGAAGGCCAGGTGGCGGTTGGGCAGCAGGTGCAGGATCCACAGGGCCGGGTCGGGCGGCAGGCGGCGGATGGCGCTCTCCTGCCTCTTGCGCCGCTCGCTGCCCCGGCGGCAGGCCGTGTCCAGCAGGAAGCGCTGGTACCAGCCAAAGAGCAGCTCGGCAAAGTCCAGGATCTCGGCCCGGTAGCCGGTCACAAACTCCATGTCTGCAGAGGGAGGCCGCCCCGTGAGTGGCAAAGCGGAGGCCCCCCTCTGCCCCCCCTGCAGGGCCCCAAAACTGCCCGGGGGAGAGGGGGGCAGAGGGGCCCAGATCAGCCAGGGCTGGGTCTGGGGCAGCGCTTTCCCTGAGCGCCCCAGGGTGAGAGTTGTGGGGGTCCTTGACGGCCACCGGGTGCGGGACCTAGCTTTGGCCCATTCCCCCCGAGAGGTCCAGGACGGTTCCCCCCACTTCTGCCCCGGCCTTGGGGGCAGGCCGCCCCCCCACCCTCCTGGCCCAGCCTGCCTGCCATCTACCTGAAGCGAGTACGGCCACCTCTTCAAAGGTAAATAGCCAGGGGTTTCCCGGGTTGCGCTGCCAGCTCAGAGGTTCCGGAACCCGCCTGCCGCCTCCCCTCCCCCTCCTGCCCCTCCCTGGCAGAGGCCTCTCAGACAGGGCCCTGTGCTCGCTGCTGGCCAGTCCAGGCGGGCTGCTCTGGGGTCTCCAGGGCCCCCCACAAGCGAAGAGCTTTCCAGGCAGACAGACGGCAAACTCAGCCAGATGAGCCAATTCCACTTTATTGAAAGGCATTAGCAGAATTGTGCATATCTAAAAGTACAAATCCCTTTTACAGCCTAAACACTTGGGGGGGGGGGCGTCCCCTCTGAGCATCTTTCTCTGCCCATTAGCCCCCTGTGAGCTGCCCCTCTTCTTTCTGGTGCTGCTCCCCACGCCCAACTCCGTTCCCACATAGGATTCCAGGCCTTCACCTGCCCTCTCTTGTGTTACAGCATCATCAAGTGGGAAGGGTCCCTGGAGGCCATCCAGTCCCCCCCAGCTGCCAGGCCAGCCCACTTTCTGACCGCGGGGCCCCACCTGGCACCTGCCCTGGAGCTTCCGCAGTGGGCTTCCTGGTGTCCTGGGATTTGAGGGTGCTCAGCTTCGGGGTCCCTCCAGCTCAAGGGATGGGGAGGGCACCACCCAGTCGCTTCCCCCATTCCTCTGCCTGCCTCCATTGCCTCAGCTAATTGGGGGAGATTAAGGCATCCATTTTTTAGGACGACTCCCTGGGGCAGCCAGCCCATCCAAAGGCTGGCTCTCCACCACAAGACCCTTTGTCCTGGCACATAGCTGGGCACACGTGTGCCAGAGCCCTACGTGGGTCTCACCTGCCACCTCCGCCTGGCTCCCTCTGGGCTTGGTCTGAGGACCCTCGCCTGGCCCAGCAGAGACCGCCCGCCCAGCTTCTTCCTGCTGCTCTGGACCTGGGGGTGCCAGGAATGGGTTGCCCCCCCCTCCCCAAGCTGGGCTAAGCCCAAGCCGGGCCACTTCTTTCCTCACAGCTGGACTGGGGGGGCAGGTACTTGCCAGCTCTCGGGACCCACTTTGACCACTTCTGGTGTTGTGAGGAAAAAGACCAAAATCAAGGCCCCACCACAACCCCCCCACCCCATGGTCGAGATGCTCTATGTCACCCTGGCAGAACCAAGAGGCCCCTGAGCCTGGGAGAACCTCGCCACGTGCTCAGCTGGGGCTGGGGGGGGGGGGAGTGCGTGCGTGGGGGAGGGGGTCATCCAGGACAGAAGGTTCCCTATTTCTTACCTTGACTTCAGCTTACTGCCTTTGCCCAGCCACCTGGGGAGAGCCTGCCCCTCCCCTTCCTCTGGGCCACTGGCGAAAGTGTTCCCCCCCCCATAGGTCCACTGGCTTTGGGGGCTTCTGCCTTACCCCACACGAGCAGAGAGCCAGGCTTATCCAAGAATATTTATTGAAGCACCAAGCCAAGCTGCGGGAACGCCCCAAGTCGCTTGGGATCCTTGGGTGTCTCCAGGCCGGCCACCGTGGCCCCGCCTCTCTCGCTGCCCCTCAGCCCAGGGCCCAGAGTAGCACCGCCAGGGTGGGAGAGCAGAGTACGAGTGGGAGGGCCACGGGGACCCCGCTGCTGTCCACGTCAGCCCAGAGGTTGTTCTGCTTCTCGTGCTGCGGGGAGGGGGTGACGGGGATCTGGGGCACGTGGAAGGGGCGCCCGTCGTGCGCCGAGGTCTGCTCCAGCCAGGAGTGGTAGTTGGAGACTCGTGTGTAGACGCCTGGGCTGCGGGGGGCTGCGCAGCTGCGACCCCAACTCACAATGCCCACTTGGTACCAGCGCCGGGGGCTGCCGTGGCCACTGTGGCTGGGCGGGAGACACATCAGGGGTCCCCCGCTGTCCCCCTGCAGAGGCGAAAGAAGCAGGGAATCGGGGAGGGGCTGGGACACGGGTGGGGAGGAGGGAGGGCAGGGAGTCCACCGGGGCAGGATTGCCCCCTTCCCCGTGTACTGAGCAGGGCTCCCTTGACTCTTCTTTCCACTGAGGCCAGCAGTCCTGGGAGGGGGATAGATGAGGCTGTTGAGGGGAAGGCAAGCAGGAGCCTCTGGGGCCGAGGAGGGCCTGGGCTGGTGCGTGGGGCTGCCCTATGCATCAACTGGTCTAGGCGCTGGTCAACCATCCCGTGAATCAGCCTCGGTTCCTTGGCAAGGAGTCTGAACCCGGCCCGGGCAATAGGTGGCTGGCCTTTGGATCCCGACCCTGCCGCGCTCTGGCCCCAAAGACCCCAGGGTCCCTCTCAGTTGCTGCTCCTCGGAGGCCGGGACTCGGTCCGGCCTTGGCCGGGCACGTGGGGGGGGGTGGGGGGGGGAGCCAAGGGGGTTCCTACCTGGCAGGCATCCCGGCCGCCCTCTTCATACCCGGCACACACCATGTTCCTGGTGATGGAGTGCAGCCAGCGCAGGCACAGGATCCAGTCCACCAGGCCCACCTGAATGTCCAGCAACTCAAGGGAGCCGAAATCTGAGCCTAGAAGGGATCAAGCAGAGGGAAGAGAGGATGGCAAGTGGTTTCAGCCTCAGAGGGTGGGGCAAGGCCCCCTGGCTCACTTCTGGGGGGGTGCAAAGAGGCGGGGCCCCTGCTGGGTTCCTGCTGGGGGGCATCTGGCTCACCGGCTTTGGTGAGGCCCCAGCCGGCCACAAAGCAGCTGTCCCACATGTTGTCGTCCGGGACGATGGTGTGGTCCGGCAGGCAGAGGGCGGTGTGGAACCAGCTGTGGGGGATGGGCTTGTGCAGCAGCAGCAGCGCCAGGTCGTTGTCATAGGTCTTGGGATTGTAGAGCGGGTGGAGGTGGATCTTGCGCACCCAGCGCGTGACGTTGTTCCTGCCCAGGTAGTTGCTCCCTGCCGCCACCCTGATGCCTTCCCTGTATGGGGAGGGCAGGGCAGGCGGGTGGTCAGTTGGGGGGCAGAGCGGCAAAGCATCTGTGTGAGCAGATGGCGGGGGAGTGCCAGCCGGACCCCGACCCTTCCTGGCAGTGAGGGGCCCCAAAAGCTCCTCTCCTGCCAGGGCTAGCTCTTGCCCCGTGGGCAGGGCAGACCGGCAAGGAGGGCACAAAGCATCTGCAGCCAAGGGGGTGCAGTGCAGGGCAGCCTCCGGTCACCGAGGGGCCCTTGCTGCCTCCGCGTAGAGGGCTTCCTAGGAACAAGGGAGACTCTGCTGAGAAGGGCTGCAGAAGGAGGCAGGGCTGGTCCCTGCCCCGTTTCACGTCCTACTCCCCCCCACAGATGTCCCCCGGCCAGTTACCTTCTCTCTGTGAAGCAGTGAGCGGCAGACAGCACCCACCAGGGGTGCACGATGCTCCCCCCGCAGAAGTGGTAGGAGCTGGTCTGAATGCTGACCAGCCAAGGCCATTTCCCAGCACGAGCCTTCGTGCCCCCCACGATGCGGGCATTGCCCAAAAGGGCGGCATGGGGCGCATCAAAGTCTGGTCGGTAGCCACAGCCTAGGAGAGAAAAGGAGCCGGCCCGTTAGGTGGCCCCTGCGGTGCCCCCCCCACAGGAGACCCCGCTCTTCTGGGGAATCGGAGCCCCACGCAGCTCCTCTGGACCTCTGAAGGCCCTTTGGACTGGGCATCCCAGCCAAGGGGCTCAGGGCCCGCCTGGGGCCTCCCGTGGAACAGCTAGGCATCCTGACCCTGCCGGGCTGGGTCTGCATCTCCTTGGGGGGGCACTATTCTGAAGGCCTGGGGACCACGTGCAGCCTCCGGTGGGCCAGCCTTCCGCCTTTGCTGCCCCTGACATCACAAGTCTGCTGGGACCCCAGGAGGGCCGCCCTCCCTCTGGCTGCCCTGCCTAGGCCGGGGCGCTTCTGCCTGCAGGGCCCCTCTCCTCCCCCCTGCCAAGGCCCCCTCGGCACCTTGGGCCCGAGCCCCGGTCCCTTGCAGCAGCAGCTGGAGGAGGAGGCACACCAGCAGCACCAGGGAGTCCATGCGGCACCCCAAAGCCGGTGGGCGTGCCCTTTGCGTGTGGGCGGGGCTCTGGCCACACCCCGTAGCATCACAGAGCTCCAGGTGTTGACCTCACCGGTGCGGAACCGCCGCCCTCCTTCCGGACCTTCCGCCGGTGGGGACGCGGCTTCTAAGCCGGGAAGCTGGGCCTGCCCGAGGGGGCTCCCGTGAGGCCCTCCCTGCCAGCGGCGGGCAAACCCAACCGAGGCAGCCAAGGAGAGGCCCTTCCGCGGCGCCCACGATAAACCCCGACGGGGCGGCTGGGGGTGTCGGCTCCCCGTGCTGAGCCAGAGCGCCGGAGCCGATTCGGCTCACCCTAATTAAGCAGGCAACGCCGGGTCGGCCCTGCCTCCGCGCCCGCAATGGGAAGGCCGGAGCCAGGCGCCGCCGCCGCCCCTCTCCGCCCCGTCCCGGGCCCTGGAGCAGACCCGCTTCTGCCTCCCAGGGAGCGGGCGGGAGCGGCGCTGGGCCAGGCAGGGAGGCGGGGTGGGCAACGCCCAGAAACTTTGGGCAGCCCCCGCTCGCCTCCGCACTTGCTGGTACGTCAAGAGGCCGGGCACCCGCCGCCTCCCCTGGCGCCTGCGGCAGTTCCGGAGGCGTTGGAAAGCCCCGCGCGGCTCCCCCGGCCGCCCGGCCGCCTTTCGCTTTCGGTCTCGGGGAGAGAAGGACCAGGAGGGATGGCGGCGGCGGCGGCGGCGGCGGGCGAGCGTCGCGGGGGCTCCGGCTCCCGCCTCACTTTGGCCCCGAGGCGCAGCCCGCTGGTGCTGCTGCTGCTGTTGCTGTTGCTGCCCGCCCGGCCAGGTGAGGCGCGCCGGCCGCGCTCTCGGGAGCCCCGGGTGGGGGGAGGCGTCCGCGTCCCCTCCTGACCGCCGCTCTCTCTGTCGCAGCCCTGGGCAACGAAGGGGGAACCGCCGGGAGCTGCCGGTGTGAGAGGTACCGCGACGAGCCGCCGCTGGTCAAGAGGTTCGCCGACCGCCTGATGGCCTGGGAGCCCTGCAGGGGCCTGATCAGGTGAGCCCCATCCCATAATAGCCCTCCTTTGCTCGCCGGGAGCCGACCCCGGCTGCCAGCTGCCCCCCTTTGCCCTCTCTTTGGCAGATTCACCTTCCCCCAGAAGCAGGTCTGTGGCTTGGACGACGCGCCCTGGGTGCTCCGGCTCATCTCTCTGCAGGCGGAGAAGAGTGAGTCTTCCCCATAGGGAGGGGAGGGGGGGACGGAGAGCCCCCCTCCGCCTTGCAGAGGCATCTGAGAGGGGCCTCCATCCCCTGCCCGGAGTCTGTCATGGAGGGGCTCTGGGCGGTCTACAAAGAAAATGTTTAAAGACATAAAAACTGAATGTAAACTTTAAAAGTTTGAAAAAAGTGTACTTAGAATTTGACACTGCAAGTTAAAGAAAGGGCGGGCGGGGGAAGGGCCTTCAGGGGCTGCCAGCCCCACAGCCTGGGTGAGTCCCAGGCAAGAGGGCAGAGCCAGTTCTTGAGATGTTTCCAAAAGGACAGGAGACGTGGGGGGTGGGGGTTGCCCCTTCTCTGGGGAGAGAATGTTCCCCAACGCAGGGAAGGCTCTCTTCCCCGCCCCCCTTGGGACTCATCCTGACAGGGCCAGCGGCATGCCTGACCACCGTATCTGCTTCCCTTCTCAAAAGGGAAGGGGGCTGACAGGCTCAGCTCCACCAGCCCTGCCCCGCTTCAGCCCCTGAGCTCCCTGCGGTCAACCCGAGCGGTGCCGAGGGAGACTCCACCATCGCAGGAGCTGCCAAGGGAGACTCCACCATCGCAGCAGATGCCGAAGGAGACTCCACCATCGCAGCAGCTCCCAGCTTTGACCACCATAATGGCCGCCCTAGCCCTAGAGAGTGTCCGGAGCGTTGTGCTGCCCAGGAATGGTAAGCCCGGGGGCGAAGGGGGCTCGGGGAGGGGCTTATGGGAAGGGCACTCACTCCTGGTCTGATGGCAGGTGCCGCTGCTGAGGTCAGCCCCACTCAACTTGCACAAGAGGAGGGGGTGCCAGGGTGGCCCTATCAGACCACTGTCCTCTCTGCACTGGGCATCGTGCTGCTCCTCGTGATCGCTGGCCTGCTGTGCTGGTGGAGGCCCCCCAGGAGACGCCGCCGGGCAGCCCTGTCCTCCGAGCAACAGGTGGGCTCTCCCTCCCGCCCACGTTCAGCATCTTCTCTGCTGCTTTGGCTCTTCTTGGCATTTGGGATGCCCGGGAAGGGAGAAGGATGGTGCTCCTTTCCAGACTTTCTGGGGCAAGATGGAGAGGCCTTTGCGGCCACTCTCTGGAAAACGAGGGAGGCTCCCCCCAGCACCTTTTGTCACACACGGCGTGCCAAACTCTCCGGACGGGAAATAGATTGTGGCAAAGCAGATGAACCGAGGTTGTGTCATTGCAGTTAGGCACACCTGGCAAGGAGGCAGCAGAGAAGCACAGACGCTGCTCTCTCCACTGTTTCTGGGATCCTCCTCAGCCACCCCTGCCCCGCAGACTCAGGCCCCTCATCTCCCACTGGAGCTGGCCTGGGGCGGTCTCCCACCAGAGAAGCTGCCCTCCCTCGGAGGAGGCACACGGCCTGGCCAGCCCCTGGGTGGCGGAAGCGCTCCGAAGGGCACTCAGGCCCAGGGGGCTGGTCAGAGTTTGAAGGAGGGCGGACAGGGAATTTCAAGAATTCCAGGTGTGCCTTCCTCCCCTGCCCCCCAGCCCCTCCCCCTACACAATCGTCCCTAACGCTTCAGTCCATTGGAGCTAATTCTGATTCTCCCTTTCAGGTGTGTATGCTGCAGAGACCCGGAGAGGGGGCCACCTGCAGCCTCGGAGCACATGCGGCCGCTGCCTCAGGGTGGGGGGGCTGAGAGGAGGGAGGGGCGCAGAAGGAAACTGCGTCTTACGGATTCAGGAATGTCCTCCCAGCAACTATGGCTCAGTTTTCCTGGCTCAGGCTCTGTTCTTATGGACCTTTTGGGTTTTTTTTCTAACAAATAAAAGTATATTTTTGTAGAAAAAGCAGCTTCTGCTGGTGAGCTTTCTGCCAGAGCAGAAGCAGTTCCTTGAATGCTGAAACAGGGACGAGTGGTCAACCAATGCCCCCCCTTCCCCCCCAAGAGAATAGAAGTGAAACTCCACTTTTATTTCCCCGGAGACAAACAGCTTTTTCTGCATGACTCACGTCTGGCTGAGACTTCCTTCCTCATTTTGCTAGCATGTCTGACCTTCAAGGGGTTTTCTCACTGACTTTGGAACAAGCTGAACTGGGGGGGGGGGTTGACATCATTTCTCCCCCGAACAGGGCCAGGAGCTGTACAGTGAGAGCAACCTCTTTGTAGGGAGCCTGCACAAAGCTCTTATTTTGGTTACTGGCTGGACGAGCGAGGGGATGTAAAGAGGATTTTTATTTATTAAACTTATTTATTACATTGATACGCTGCCCATCTCAAAGCGACCCATAGTGACAAGTAGGCACAGAAAGCGCCCTCTGCAGGCTGCTGAGTGCAAAGCAGCCTGCGCTGAACTGGTTTGAGAAGGGAGGGGAGGCGTGGGTGAAAAGGAAACGAAGCCTGGGAAATTCTACAGCAAATATTTACAAACATAGGATAGCTGAGCTTTAGAGATTGGCTAAGTGGTGGGGATGGGGGGGGGAAGGCAGGGCGGGGGGGAGAAATAGCAAACTTGTGTTGCAAATGCCTTAACACCTTTACTGCTCAGAACTTTGGGCGTTTACAAATGTGATACCCACATTTTTAATGTTTGGCCTTGAGGGGACCCTGGTTGAAAGTGGGAGCCATCCTGCACCCACCAGGAGCAGCATTCGGGGGCCACAAGGTCCCTCCCCTGCCCGGGTGTACCAATGTCTGTCCACACGCCAGAAATTCTTCTCCTCCGCCATGATACCCGTTGCTCTGCTGCTGGGCTTGGAGCCATGGTGGGACTGGAGAGGCCCTGGCTCCCCCCTCCCCCAACAGACTGGACTTTTGGGCCTGACAGCCACAGGCACCCAGGAGACCTTCAGCCTTCCAGGACAAGGGCCCCACTTGGCCCCTTCTTGTTTCCCCACAAGAGAAAGGGGTGTGTGTGTGTGTGTGAGCCATCACATCTTTGTGTAAGTGGGGTCCTGCGCTAAGGTGGCACAGAGCCTGGGACACTCCCCCACCGGCCTCATTTCCTTCCCTGCCACTCAGGGCTGCCCGGCCTTTGTCTGGAATTTCCCAGGGGATCCCGAGCACGTCCTGTTCAGGAGCAACCCTGGCAGGGTCCCAGATGGAGACAGAAGGCCGGGAGAGCCGCCCCCCCCCCCGAAGGATCCCGCCCAAGATGGGAGGGAGGGATGGAGGACTGGAGAAAAGAAGGGCGGTGAGCAGCCTGTCAAAGAGGGAGGCTGCTTTCAAAGGTGCACCTCCCCACCTGTTGTGCTGAGCACCACCTTCCAACTAGGAAGGAAGAAGGAAAAAGAATAAGGGAAGGTGGAGACCAATCCCTCTAGTTCTCTACCCCCTTCCCCTCCCCACTTTCTGGGAACCCTTCCATTCCTTTGCTCAGCCAGGTGAGGGGAGCTCCCCCCTTGGTCAAAACCCCCTCTGCTAGCTGGGCTAACAGAGCTGCCCCCTCCCCACAGCCCGAGATAGGGGTCTGATGGTCCCAAGGTGGACTAAACGGGGGGGGCGCTGTCTGGCCCGGGCCCTTGTGCCAGAAGCCGCTTGTCTGTCCCCCACCTAAGAATCTCCAGGCTGCCCAAAAGCATCTGGGAGAGAGGAAGTAGAGGCAGTTTCGGGGTGGGGGAGGAGGACTGTCTGGCATTTCAAGGCTTGGTAGGAAATGGGTGAGGAAAACCTGTGGATCAGTTTTAGACAGTCTCCAGGATTCAGTGCTCTCTCAGGGTTGAAAGCAGCCTTGACCAGGTGCAGCTCACACTGGGGGGATTGTTAACCCCCACCCAATCTCAGCTCATTCACCGGACTTTGTTTCCAAATTAACCCACTTTATTTGGGGGGCTTCAAACCACACAGTGGCTTTCCCACCACGAGGAGTCCGAGAAACAAGGCCAGGTTGTTGATGGGGCGTCTGAAGGCTTCCGACACGCGTCCAGAAACCAGCCGGGGCCTGCGAAAGGAGGGCCGACTTCTGCGCCTTCCGCCCGAACTTCCGGGGAGCTCCAGCCTCTCGCGGCGCCGTCCGCGGGAAGCAGCCGCTCTAGGCCGGGCCCCGCGCGGGGTCCCGGACGCGGGCCGTCGGTCGGTGCCCGCGCCGGGGAGGGTCCCTGGGGCGGCCCGGACCCGGCGCTACTGCTCCAGCATCTGCTCGCAGGCGCGGCCCAGCTCGGCCAGCTTGAGGCGGGCGAAGTCGACGCGCTTCAGGGCCATCTGGCAGTCCTTGCGCGCCGCGTAGCTCGAGCCCTCGTGCGGCTGCCGGGTGGCCACCTGCGGGGGGGAAGGAAGCGGGGAGGGGAAGGGGGGGGTCAGTCGGGCCGCGGAGGGCCGCGCCCCGCCCCGCCCCGCTCCGCAGCCTGCTCACCTGCGTCAGGTAGCGGATCTGTCCCGAGAGCTCCGCCTCCACCTTCTGCACCGAGGCCCCGAATTGCGCCGCCTGCCGATCCAGCAGCCGCTCGCTCGGCTTCTCCTTGGACAGCTCCAGGATCACCGTCCCTGGGGGGGAGGGGAGGGGGTCAGCTGGAGGGACGGGCAGCCCTCCCCCCCTCCCGGCCGGGCCCCACCTGCGCTCTGCAGCGCCGCGCCGATCTCGCGCTCCAGCTCCTCCAGCAGCCGCAGGCGCTCGTTGGCCAGGCCCAAGCTGTACGCGCCCGCCGCCGCCGCCGCCGCCATCCTCTCTGCGCCTGCGCTCTTCGCGGGTTAGAAAAGCGCGGACTGCAAGTCCCGGCGGGCCGTGCGGCGGGCAGGCATGCGGCGCGGGGGCTGGCGGGAGCACGTGCGGGCGGAGCTGCAGGCGCGGGAGGGGCGCTGGCGCGGGCTGCGGCGGCTGCTGGAGCGACGTGAGCGGCGCGCCTCCCTCGCGGGGGCGGGGCTGCGGAGAGGGGCGGGGCGGGTCGGGTCTGCGGAACGCGCCGCCACCGGAGCGGAACCTGATTTTCTTCTTCGCTCAGCAGACGAGCAGCTCCGAGAGCGGCTGGAAGCGCAAAGGTCGGGCGAAGGCGCCGCGGGGTGAGCGGGGCCGCGGGCCTGGGAGGGCGCGGGGAGGGCTCCCGGCCGAGGCCGCGGCTGATACACCCCCTCGGCGCTGTCTCGCAGGCCCCCCGTGGAAGCGGCCGCCCTCCGGGTGCAGCTGCGGCGCGAGGAAGGCGAGGTGAGGGCCGGGCAGGGAGGGGAGGTCTCCGCGAGGGCCGAGAGGCGACCCCGTCCCACCGACGCGCTCCCGTCTTCTCCGCTGCAGTTACGGCAGGAGGTCGCCCTCCTGGCGGATCTTCTGCAGAGCGCCGAAGCCGAGAGCCGCGAACAGCGCGCCAGGTAGCCCTTCTTCTCGGGAGGGGGGGGACCCCGACCCTGCTGCGGGGGGGGGACTGCTTGCGGGCTCGCGCGGGACTAATTGCCAGCGGTCCGACACAGCCTCGCCTGAGTCTCGGCAGGGGGGGCGTGCAATGAAGATTGACCCTTTGCCCCCCCTCAAGAGCCCCTCCGGCTGTTGCAAAAATCAGGCCACGGCTTAGGGGCTCCTGACCCTCCCGCAGGACGCCCAATGCGCAAACTCGTCCCCGCGCCCTGGGACTGCAAAGTCCCCTCGGGTCCAGGGTCCGTCCCCGCGGGGCGGGGGGCGTTGGCAAAGGGGGGCCGCCCTCGGCGTGGCTCCCGAAACGCGGAGCGGGGCGCTGAGCTTGCCTGTCCCGCCAGGATGAGCTGCCTGTCCCGGGACTTGGCGGCGCTCACCCGCCAGCACCAGGAGGCCGAATGCCGCGCCTGGAGGTTCGCCCGGGAGAACGAAGCGCTGCGCACGGAGCTGGGCCAGGCGCGGGCCCTTCTGCAGGAGGTCCAGGCGGGAAGGCTGACTCTGGAGGCCCGCTGGCTGAGGGAGAAGGCGCTGGAGGCCACGCGGGTCAACCGGGCCAACGAGCAGGAGGAGAAGTGAGTAGGGAAGAGTGGGCAGCGCTCCCCCGCGCAGAGGTGGAGCCCCCCCAATCTACCTCCCCCCCCCTTCAGGTACCGGAGGAAGGTGACCCGGCTGCAGGAGAAGCTGGCCAAGGCCAGGGACCAGGCTGGGCGGTGAGTTTCCTTTTGTGGCAGCCCTCCCCACTCCCAGGCACCCTGGGGGCCACCCGGTGTGCAAAGCGCCCCTCCCTCCCCGCAGTTGCCCCTCCAAATCCTGCTGGGGGGGAGGAGACACTTGTGCAGGCCTTCCCCCCCCAAGTGTCCTCATCTGCCCTCAAGGTAAGGAGGCTGTGGGGAAGAGAAATCCTGCAGGAAGCCTCCTTACCTTGCATAGGCTTGGGGGGGGGGCAGCTTTTGAACCACCTGTCCTTCCCCCTCCCCCTTTTGCCCCCAGGCCTGCTGTGGATCTGGATGGAAGGGGGAGCCGCAGCTTCAGCACCTCCTCTGAGGAAGCCCACCTCCTCTGAGGAAGCCCAGTCGGTAGGCAGGTGGAGCCCAGCTGGGCTTGTGGAGGGCTCCCTGCTCTTACTTTGGGTGGTGGGGTGTGTGTTGATGTCTCTGGAGCTCACCTGCGGGGGGGGGGGGGAGGTGTACGTAGGACACTGGCTGGCTGTTCTCCGCTAGGTGGCTGGAGCTGGGGGCCAGCCGGCAGGGCTCCCCAATCCTGATCCTGTTCCCTGGGAAGGCAGGTAGGCGGCTGCTGGCTTTTGTGTGTGTGTGTGTGTGTGTTGGGTGTCTCAGGGACCCACACGCCACTTTTCTGCCCTTTGCTGAAGGGCTCACCTTGAAGAAGGGTAGCTGTTGGGAGCTGCCTGAGTGACTGAAGAGGCCCCCAGAAAGATCCCAAGAGCTGCTCCTGCTGGTTTGGGATCCAAGCGCTGGGGGGGGGGCCCTGAAGACCTGGCCTGGTGAGCCCCCCCCAGGGGATTTTGTGCAGCCGCTATAGCCAAGATGGTTTTTTTTCGTGACTTGCCCTTTGGAGGCTGCTGACCGAATGCCCGTCTCCTCTGCAGAAACGGGCAGTGGAGCCAACTGGGGGGTTGCCAAGCAGAACCACCCTCCCCCTCCCACATGGTGTTTCCCCTCTGTCTCCCCCCCCTTTTATGCCCTGAGAAATGAATAAAAAGCTGTTTCAGTTCACTGTTTTATTCACTTGCTCTTTGCGAGCGGCAGGTCCGTGCGCCTCTTTGGGGGCAGGATCACGTCTGGGGCAGGGGGCTTGGCCAAGGGTTGCCCCCCCAAAAAACTGAGCCCGTCCTGAGCCCCAGAGCAGAACGCATCCAAAGCCTCTGTCCCTTTCCAAGTGGGCCCAATTCTACTATTGGTATCTTCTGAAGCATTTAAAATAGTAGATACAAAAGAGAGAAGTGGGGGAGGGGGAGACAACAGCAAAGTGGTACTTGAGGACGGGACCACCTGACATTAATGCCCAATGAATGACTCCAGTGCGCGAGACGGAGGGGGTGGCAGGTGCGGGGAGCTCGTTATATACATCAAAATCCTCTCGGAAAGTAGAAGCAGGGGGACGGGAGAAAAGCCGGGAGGACCCCTCCCCAATTTTAGTCACATGAAAACCCCACCCCCCCACTACAGCCACAGGACAAGGTGGGGAAGGTGGTCCTCGGACAGGATGCTTGCAGGGGGGGCCAAGGGCCTCCTAGCAGAAGTAATCGGCCTCCTCGTCGTCTTTCGTGCCCTTCAGGCGCAGCCGGGCAAAGTCCTCAAACACGATGTCATCATCCTGCCCGTAACTGAGGGGGGGAGAAAGGGGGGCAGATTCAGTGGTGAGGGCAGGCACTGTTTCCCCCCCCCCCCAGCACATGCTTGTGCAGAGGCCCAGCTGCCAATTGGTGCTGGGGTATCTTCCGCCCAGCATCCGAGCACCAGGCCCTCGGGAGGTGGGGCAGAAGAGATGTACTTCTGCGAGGGGGTTTAGCCCCCCCCATGGGAAGCTTCAGAGCCCCCCACATCCTGCAAGCAGAACCAAGTGAAATACATTATCGGTCTGCATTGGGGCGTCTGCTGCAGGGCTGTTTATACGCAGCAGCTTCCGGATTCAGGGTAACTCGGGGAGGGGCAAAACCACAGATCCCTTTCAGGACTTCCTTTGGTTGGGGTGCCCCTGTCCAAAGCCCCCCTGCAGGTTTAGCCTCCCGGAGCCTGGGGGTTGAGGAAGCTGCTCTGGTATTTCCTGTCTGTGGGAAGACCGGAAGCGTGCCACAGGCGCCCTGCACGAGGAGGCAGAGGGTAACTTTTCCCGGTCTGGAAATGTTTTTTTGCAGAAGGGGGGGGGAAAGGGCTGAAGCAGGAACAGGCCAGCTCCTGGCCGGGTAGGGGGCGTGCTCTGCCGAAGGGCCCATCAGAGAGAACGTGGTGAGGGAATTGGGGAGGACCAGCATCGGCCCCGATCAAAGTTGTGGTGTGGCTGCCTTCCGGTCTCTGGAAGACGCAAACGAAGGCCGCCTCTGCACACGCAGGGAGAGGCCAAAACAAGGCTCTGATCCAGAGATCTGCAGCTGCCCCTTTTTCTCTGCCCCCCATCTACCATGAGAGCCCCCCCCATGCCTCTTACTTGGGCTCAAACTCAATCAGGTTGGCATCGATCGGCAGGTCCGATTCTGGCACATCTGGGGAGGGAGGAACGAGAGGGGAGTGTGAAGCAGTTGGGGGAACTGGAACCGGGGAGGAAAGGGGGGAAGGGGGTAGAGCCTCACCTGCTGGGGGCTGCATCGGGGAGAGCTGCTCGGGCGGCTTCGGGTGCATCAGGACAAAGGGCAGCTCCACCGCCACGTCCCTAGCAGGGAGAGAAGCAGCCTTGGTCACGCGGCACAAGGCAGGGGGGCAAGATTGGAGGGCTCCCGCCTAGGACTTACCCTCCCCGGGAGACCACCAGCTTCACTTTGACCCTGTAGGAGACCAGGATGCCCAGGACTTCCTTGTTGATGCCCTCCGTCACGCTGCAGAGCAAGAGAGAGGAGAGCTGGAGGGGGCGGGACACAAACCATCCCCCACATGGAAGGACAGCTCCCCCGGCTCTTGAGCAGCGTCCCCACAAGCCCAGAGCCTGCAGGGCCCGGCCTGCCTGGAGCCACTCTGCACGGCAAAACACCCCCCCTCCCAGAGCGGTGGGGCAGGCTGGCTCACATGGTGGAGGAGGCCAGGTTGGTGTCCTCGTGCTTCAGCTTCCCATCCAGGGCCAGGCCTCGCTTTTCCCGGTTGTTGCTCAGCTGCGGGGTGAGCGTGTAAACCTTGCAGAAAGTGGAGCTGGGGGCCACCTGGTCTCTGGCAGGGGGACAAGCAAGACTGGTCAGACATGCTGCTCCCCAACACCCCCTCCATTTTCTGAGTAGAGCTCACCCCGAGGCTTCCAAGAGATGCTTTTAAGGACAAGACAGCCCCACAAAGGGAACCTCTGTTACTGCGGGGGAGGGGGGATACTCACTCCTGCTCAATCTGGGCCACGGGACACTTGTACTGGGCGGTGCTGAAGAGGCAGATGTCTGCGTACTGCCGCACTGCCAGAAGGGAAGGCAGGTCAGTTGGGGAGCCCCTCCCCTTCTTCGCACAGGGAGGGGCTGAGGAATGCCTCTCCCCCACCCCGCCCATCAGGTGCTCGGGATGGGGGCCCGGGGGCCCGAGAAGGAAGAGAACCGCCAGCACTGTAGCCCCCCCCGCCCAAACTCAGGCTTCCAGACAGCGGGGCCCCTCCTTACCGGCCACTTTCACTTTCTTGACGCTTTTGCTGGAGTTGTTGGTCACGTGAACGTTGACGCTGATTGGCTCACCGTGATAATAAAGCTGGGAAGGGAAACAGGCAGACGCGTGAGCCCCCCATTTCTGCACGCCAGGCGCCCCCAGCCCCTCCCTGGTCCGGACAACCAGCTCTCAGGCGGGAAGGGCTGCTTGGGCGCAAATGAGGAAAAGCTCACAGCCCCATTTCTGGCCAGGCCTGGAGAAGTACAAACCCCTGCGGAAATGCTCCTGGACAAATGGGAGCAAGCCAACAAAATAAATCCAGCCCCCACAGGGTTTATGGTTCCTGAAAACAGAATCAGAATCAAAATAGAGTGGAAGGGACCTTGGAGGTCTTCTAGTCCAGCCCTCCGCTCAAGCAGGAGACCCTGTTGTTGTTGTTGTTAATTGCGAAGTCGTGTCCGACCCATTGCGACCCCATGGACAATGTTCTTCCAGGTCTTCCTGTCCTCTACCATCTTCAGGAGACCCTATGCCATCTCAGACAAGTGACTGTCCAGTCTCTTCTTAAAAACCTCCAGGGATGGAGCGCCCACCATTTCCGGAGAGAAGCCGTCCCACTGGTTCATCGCCCTCACTGTCAGGGAGTTTCTCCTTAGTTCTAGGTTGCTTCTCTCCTTGATTAGTTTCCACCCGTTGTGTCTTGTCCTGCCTTCTGGTGCTTTGGAAAATAATTTGACCCCCCCTTCTCTTTGCAGCACCCCTCAAATGCTGGGGTACCGCTGTCATGTCCCCCCTAGTCTTTTCACCAGACTAGCCAAACAGGCAAAGATTTTTTTAACAAAATAATCTTGTAGACTATGACAGCTCATGGCTGACTAATCCACCAAGCGTGGTTTTCCAGTTTCCTGTCCAAACTCTTCTTGCCTTCTACCTCAACTCGTAGTTTTTTTTTAAAAATGGTGTTTTCCAGCACGTTCATTTCTAGAAGCAGAGACGTCCTTCTTCGCGGTTCCCAAACCTGAGAAGTTGCAGAAGCTGGCCGAAGCCACGTCGCTTCCTCTTGAGTTCTCTGAAGGGTAAATTAACTTTCCAGCCAGGCGCGAAGCACTTTTCCCGCTGGGCAGGGTGGTCTCCCCCCCCCCCCCGCTTTGGCAAGGGTCTCCCGCGCAGCAGGCCGAGCACAGCTCAGCACCCCTCTTACCTCCTTGTCGAGGGAAGCTTCCAGGTGTAAGGAGCGGTCGGACATCAGGAAATGGCGGGTGGTCTCGGCCATGGGCTGCGGGCCAGACTTCTCGGGGGCATACTGGACTTTCCGGATAACCAGGCGGACGGAGTTCCTGGGGGGGAGGGCGCAGGAGACAATCAGCAGGGGCAAGGGGGGGGGTTTCTGAAGGCAGCGGTGCTGGGGGCGGCGTTCCAGGTGGGGGTGGGCAGGGAGAGGCCAGGAGACGCGCAGCTGAGAGGCCTCTGCCGGGCAGGGCTTCAGGGAGGGGGTGCCCACTGCTGGGTCTGGTGGGCCGGCTGCTCGCCCACCTTTTGTGAATCTTCTCCTCCAGGTTTTTGGCACAAAATGCCCGAATCTCGAAGTCCACGCCACAAGCCTGCGAGAGAAAGGGCCGTTCTCAGGGCCTATCACTTCACACACCCCCTTCCTCCCGCCAGAATTGCCCCTCCCCCTCCTCCAGACCCACCTTCCCCGTGTCCTCCGGGCCCGGCTGCAATGTCACCGAGCAGGGCAGGTTCTGGGGGATCTGCAGAAGAGACAGAAAGGGGTGTTGGGGGGGGTCTTCACAGGGAGGAGCTCCTGCTCCCCCTGGGACAAAGAGCAGGCCCACTCTGGGGGCAGAAGGGGCTGTGGGGACCGGCCGGCTTACCATGAAGCTGAAGGGGTGGGCGTTGGCCCCCAGTTTGCGCAGCAGCCGCTCCTGCAGGCGGGTGAGCTGCTCAGGGCTGCCCTCGGCGGGGGGGAAGGCCTGCCAGGAGGCCAAGAAGAGATCCTTGCGGAAGGAGAGGCCCAGGACATCCAGGTCCTCACGGCCATAGCGGAAGGCACACGTCAGCGTCACAAAAACTGGGCAGGAGGGAGGCTGCGTCAGAGGCACCTCCTTCCAGCCCCAGAGACTGGGGGGGGGGGGGGGAAGGCAAGGGAGGGCCAGTCCTGCTTCCCGTAGGCCAGGACGGTTGAGAGCCGTTTCCCCGGTATCCCCACCCCCCAAAAGCCAGCCTGAAGCACAGAGCGTGTGGCCGTTCCTGGTTTGTAATCAACATCACTTCTGGCTCAAAGTCCCCTCGCCCCCCCCCCCGTTTTTTTCCAATTTAATTCTGCTCTGTTGCCATCCCAGACGAGGCAGCGTCAGTCTCCTAAGACCGGCCGGCTGCTTCCCACAAAGGCCAAAGCCAGCTGCCACGGCTGAATCTGCATTGAGGCCTTTTGGGGCTCCGTCTCAGATGGAAGGAAAGCAGCAGAGATCGGTGGAAATCAACCAATCAATTTCTCTGGCAGACTCCCCAAATCTCGCTTTCCTCGCCTCTTCCGTGCCAAGCGCAGCTCTCCCTTCTCCCCAAGGAAGATTCTGCCAAGATCCCCTCTTCCGATTGGACGCCGGGCTCACCTTTCCGATCCTTGAGATATTCCGGGTCAACAAGAACCACGCCGTCTGACATGGAGGAAACGGGAGGGGGTGTCAAGAGAGAAGGAGCCCCGACCCAGAGCAAACTCCCAGCTCCAATGTCTCTCGCCACTGGCTCCGATTGTGGGGCAGAGCCCCCCACCCAGGTGACCCACTGTGCCCTGCCCGATGGCAGCAGCCAACCTGGCCTTTGGCAGCCACAGAATCCCATGGCAATTCATTGAGCCAGCCAGAAACAGCAGCCCCCCCACCTGACAGTTTCAGCATAAAGACTTCTGGGCTGCACCCTTAGAAAACGTTCTGCATCTGTCTCCTTCTGGGACCTTGCAGGCAACTTGGCTGATGCACTAACAACAACACCTGGATGTGGCACCCTTCCTCAGGCGAACAAAACACAGCTGGAGCCCCCTCTGTCCCCAGCTGCCCTCCTGTTTTTGCAAAGGAAACCCCCTGGGGGACAGGCCGTTCTTACGTGGCTCGCTTGCTTACCAACGGGGTCAACCCTGTCCAGGTGATCCACAAAGTCACGCTTTCCCAGGTAAACAGTGAGCTGAAGACAAAGGGGAGGGAATGGTGAACCTCTCCTGACGACCTTGAAAGGCAGACCCTTCCCCTCCCCTTGATTTGGGACTACCTTTCCTCTGGCTCGTAAGCCTCAGCACCCGGGCCTGAAGCCCTTTGCAGCATCCACCCCACAACAGCCTCCCACACATCCAGCTGCCTGGTTGCTTCTGGTACAGCTTGCAGCTGGCTGACAACTGGCATCGGATCTGGTCCAGCTCCAGAGGCTCCATCCTGTTCCTCCCTCTAGCTGCCAGGGCAGCCCCCTCCCCGTCAGGCTGAGGCTTGCCTGCACCTGTTGCTCGGCAGCGCCTCCCTCCTCCCCGCAGCCTCGTTCCTCGCCTCCCTGGGGGCAGCAGCCACCAGCCTGGCCCAGAGCATCGCCAGGGAGATGCTGGGCATCAACAAGCCTCCAGCACCGCAGCTGCCACCCCCTCCCCCCCGCCAGGCAGCCTCAGTTTTCCAGTAACCGACCTGCTCCCTGCGGAGGACACCCCACCTGCCTCCCATCCCTACCCTGCCGTCATGGCCAACCTCGGTGGATAAGAGGGCTGCCCCTCCTCAGGTGGACCGGGCTGTCACCTAGCAGCACAGCCCTGTGGCTAAAGGCACCAGTCCCGGCCCTCCCCCACCGCTCCGTCCTGCCACTGCCTGCTCCCCTGGCAGAGATGGGCCACCGCCCTGAAGATGGGGCTGAAGCTGCTTGCACAGCTTTCTTCCTGTCCCGTGTAAGTCCCAGGCAGGGGGGGGGAGGCCCCGGCAGCAGGCAGCTCTCAGGCAGGAAGCTGCCCAGGCGGGGGGAGGAAGGAGGGCAGGAAGCCCCGGTGGGGGAGCCTCGCTTGTGGCCCTCTGACAGGCAGCTCCGGCTCAGGGACCAGTGGAGGAGTCAGGGGGGCCAAGGACGTGGGGACTGCCAAAGCCCCCTGCCCCCTCCCTCTGCCTGCGCCCCAAGGGGAGGGCGTCGGAAAGAAGTTTGCCCTTCTGTCCCCTTCTTCCTCCGTAGCGCAGGAAGGGAAAACAAGAACCGCAGCCAAAGACTTACTTTGCAGTTGGGGCTGGACTTTTTGAAAACTCTGCGGCAGAAAAAGGAAGGAAAAAGAGGATGTAGCCGGGCGGAACTCCCGTCCCTCAGCCCCCCACCCGCCCCAACAGCCAGAGCCCCCGTCGCTTCGGGGACCGGGAGGCCCTCGGGGAAGGGGCCAGGTGCGTTGCCGGGAACGGCCGGCAGCAGGTGCGACGCCCGCCGCCGAGGAGAGCCGCTGGGCCGTCGAGGGCAACGGGGCGGGGGGGGAGACACGGGAGGGCGCCGCCCGGCTGCCGGGGGGCCGCGAGAGGAGAGGGCGATGCTCCTCGGAACCCCCAGACACGCGCCCCCTCCCCGTTTACCACCCGCGGCCGCCCCCCCGTCCCGAGCCGCCCGTCCCCGGGCCGGCGCCGTTCCCGGGTGCGCGCGGGTAGAAGGGCCGCCCCCGCCTCGCAGACCACCGCGGCTCCCCCCCCGAGGCCCACCTGGTGCCCGCTTTCTCCCCCATGCCGGCGGGGCTCGGCTGCGCTGCCGCGGCTGCTACTGTCGGGGCGGCTCTGAAGGCGCGGCGCGGCGGGAGGGCGGCGCGGACCGCAGGGAAGCCATGCCCGGTCCGGGCACCGTCACGTGGCCGCCGAGGCGGCCAATCGCGGCCTCAGCGCCGCCCTCGTCTTTCCCCCGGCCCCCCCGGCCACTCAACCTGCCGCCACCCAGGCCGCCCGGGGCTCGGCGGGGCTCGGCCTGGGGCGGGGGGCGTCCCCGCGGGGGGGGCTCCGGGCGTGGCGTGGAGCGGCGCGGCGTTCCCTCGTTCCGGGCCGGGCGGCGTTCGGGCCCTTCTTCCCGGCATGCCCCGCGCTGGAGAGGGCGGCCCCGCCCCCAGACCGTGCGCAGGCGCAGTCGGCCCTGGAGGCTCGCGGAGCACGCGATGGCGGCGGCGGCGGCGGCGGCGGCGGGGCGGCGCGGCTCCTCGTCGTCCTCGTCTCCCGGCGACGGCGGCTCTTCCTCGTCCCCCGGCGCCGCCTCTCCCTCGCCGCCTTTCGCGCCGTCCTCGGGGCTGGCGCTGGCGGCGCTGGCGGGGCTGCTGATGCCTCGCCGGGGACCCTCCGGGGGCACCGATGGCCTCTCGCCGCCGCCTCCGCCGGGGCTTGCCGGGCTGGTGCGCTGCGCGCGGGACTGCGGGGGCCAGGCGCAGGTGAGCGGCGGGACGGGCGGGCAGCCCCTGCGCGCTGTAGAGCGCCCCCTTCCCTTCCCTGGGGACGCGGCCTGAACTCTCTCCCGCCCCAGGCGTCGCCGTCGCTGAGCAGCCTGCTCGTCCTCAGCAGCGCCCGGATGGGCTCCGTGAAGACGCGGTGAGTCTCCCCCACCCCTTTCCCCGCTCCCTCCCCCCCTCGGCCGGGCCGGCTGCCCCAGGAGGCGGCGGGGCTGCCGGTCCTCCCGAGGACGGGCGGGCGGCTGACGCTGCTCTCTGGGCAGGTTCGAGGGCCTCTGCCTGCTGTCGCTGCTGGTGACGGAGAGCGGCTCGGAGACCTTCGCGCAGAACTGCCTGGCCTGGCTGCGGAGCCTCCAGCACTTGCTCCAGGTGAGTCCCGGGGTGGGGGTGGGGGAAGCGGGGTGGGGGTTGTCTGGCTAGCCCTTTCCTCCCCCTCGTGTTTCAGCCCTGCCCCACCCGCTGCCTTTCTCCCCACCCAGTCCCAGGACCCCCCTGCCACCATGGAGCTGGCCGTCCTGGTTCTCCGTGACCTCTTGCAGTACTCTGCCCAGCTGCCCGAACTGGCCCGAGACATCGGCACCAACCACATTCCTGGACTCCTCACCTCTTTGCTGGCCCTCAAACCGGAGGTGAGACCCCCCTCCCCCAACCGGGCGCACCTCCTAGAAGGCCCATCTCGGCTGACTCCTTCCTTTCCTCCCCTTTGCTCAGTGCCAGCTCCCCATCCTGGAAGGATGCCAGGCGTGCATGACATTTTACCCCCGAGCCTGTGGCTCCTTGCGAGTAAGTACCTGAGGCATAGTAGATGCTAGTAGAACGTGGGTAGCTGCTATTCCGACCTCCCTGCTGACTGCCTGCCTGCCACCTTTTTCACCCCAGGGCAAATTGGCCACCTATTTCCTGTCTTGCATGGATGCAGAAACGCCTCACCTGCAGCAGGTAAAACTCTCTGTGTCCGTGGGGCCTGTTCGGTATTTACTGCGGGTTCTTTGTGGCAGATGCGGCCGCTATATTTGTGCTGCTGCTTGTGTCAGGAGTGAAAATAAAGCATTTCTGTTTGCTCAAATTCCCATTCCTGCATCCTCCCAGTCGTGTGACTGGCGTGTGGGGCGAGCAGTATGGCTGGCATGGGCGTTGAGGGGAGGACCCAAGCCAGCAAGAGTCACTTTGCCAAAAATGCTTGCTGCCAAAACCTGCTGCGCAATAGTGTCAAGCCCATCGTGGGGGCTTGTAGGGTCCTCTCTTCACCTGAGCATGCTCAGTCTTCTCTCTGTTTCTTGTTTCTTGTGCGATCAGTACAAAGTACCAGAAAATGATGGTTTCCTTTGAACCTAGTGTAATTTTCTGGAATTGTGCTTGCTTTTGGGTTTTTTTTTTTTTGCATTTGTATTCAGTTGCTGGCCAGCTGCACTGTTGCTCAGTAGGGGGCATGTGCTGATGTTCTCACCTGATTGTGGGATGCCCTGGGAGGAGGCCCTGGCGCCCTCCTGTCCGGCCTCTCCTCCAGTGAAGGGGAGTGGCCCGGTGTCTCTCCGGCTTCTCCATTCCTTGTCCAGCTGTCCTCGTTTTGAAAAGTTGGGGTGATGCTTCCCCTCAGCTGCTCACATCACCCCCTGCTGCCTTCCTTTCCACCAGCTGGCCTGCGAGTGTTACGCGCTCCTGCCTTCTCTGGGCGCAGGTTTCGCACAGGGGCTCAAGTACCGCGAGTCCTGGGAGCAGCAAGCGCATTGTCTGGTGGCCACGCTACACCGCCTCCTGGGCATGCTGTACGAGGGAGCCGAGGCAGGTGAGTGGGTGCCAGTGACCTCTGCCTTCTGAGGCAGAGACGGCCCTCCGGCCATTTCCTCCCCAGCAGTAGCTGGTCAGCCTCCACTTGAGCAAGAGGTGCGCCGGAGGGGAGCCCCTGTATCTCCGGGCGCCCGATGGAGGCCAAGGTGCTTCCTTTGAGCCCAGGTGCGTTCCCATCTGGGGCCAGCCAGGGCAGCTGATGGCCCAAAGTCGAAAAAAGGAGGATAAAGCGCTGAAGCTTTATGCCCTGCTCTTCTCTTCAGAACCGCTGCACTATGACGGCCCCGGAGAGGAGCTGCTGCTGCTGCTGCCGCGGGAGGAAGAAGCCACCTCCCTCCTCCTCCTGGCAAAACGCCGGTTTGCGGGTTTGGCCAAATGCCTCTGCCGGATGTTAAGGTCCGGCCTTGACTCGGCACCCCTTTCTCTCTGGTTGCCCCTGCCACGCTGCGGGCCCCGTCTCAACCCATCTGCCTCCCTGGCTCTTTCAGGAACGATTTTGGGGCTCCCGTCGCAGTTCCCGGCCAGGCTATCCTCGACCTTGTTTGCCGAGCCCTCGACGTCTCTGTGAAGAACATGGTGAGTGCGCCCGGGTGCCGCTTGCTCGTGCCGTAGCTTCACTGGCTTTCAGAACAAGGAGCAGCTGGGGAAAGGAAGAGTGGGTGAAGAAAAGTCTGCATCGTAGGTGCGGGCCTTAATGCAGGCAGGTAGGACCCACCCTCTTGCGAGGGCTGCTGGGTGGTCTTAGGGGGGAGTGGGCAGCGCTGGGGTTACCCGGAGAGGGATTCCTTCACATTTTGGAGAGGGGGATTTAAACAGCTTTTGTACGGCCTGGCCGTTAGAGCTAGGTGCGCCTGTTCTGTGCAAATCAGACCCCCTGGAAGCCCTGAGGGAGGGGCAGCTCCCCCCAGGTGTTGGCTGACCCTCCCCCTGCTTTCAGAGCTGGTTTGGAGATGGGCCCCTCCGGATGCTGCTGCTCCCCTCGATCCACTTGGAGGCCCTGGACCTCTTGGCTGCCCTCATCTTGGCGTAAGGAAGGGGGGGTAGAAGGGGGTCAGGGGCCTGTAGGCTTGTGCCAGATCCCCAAAGCAGGTGGTCTCTCCCCTCTGCAGTTGCGGTCCTCGCTTGGTGCGGTTTGGGGGAGCCCTCTGCCGCCTCTTCCCCCAGGTGCTGAACATGTGGCAGGCTGGCCAGGATCTACCCTCCCCAGGGCTGCAGCGGCCTTACAGGTTGGTGATGGAGGTCCTCTGGGACTGGCTGTGGATACATCCCTCCCCCCCATGGCCCACCTCACGGGTTATTACCCGTGGCCCTTTTATGGCAGCGACCTCTGTGAGAGCCTTGGGCCCTGAGCTCCCACGGTCCCAGCTGGTCTGCTCTGGCCACAGGGCATGGCTGGAGAAGGCACCCTTGCTTGACCTTTTGTTCTGTCCCTGGGTAGGGCAGCAGGGAATCTGTCCCGTCCCCCCCCCCCCCGGGCCTGATCCTTCCACTGCGACTGCTGCCAGGGACATGTCCACCCTGGGGAGGGAGCACGATGAGGAACTCCCCCGCCCCCCGTGTCTCCCCAGTGCAGTTCGGGCTCGGCTGTACCAAGTCCTGGATCTGTGGGTGCAAGTGGCCGGAGCAGCCTCCGGGGTCCTGCTGGGGCACAGCAGCCAAAGTGAGGCCCTGCTGGGACACTTGATCAATGACATCAGCCCCCCAAGCGACACCCTGAAGGTGAGACCCCCCCCGCCTTCTCCACTGGGGGTGACCTGGGAGGCGAGGGCTGCGCTCCTTCACCCGCTTTGCCCCCCCAGATCCAGCCGAGCGCTGACTTGGAGGGGAAGCCCAGCGCTGCGAAGAAGCCCAGGCTGTCCACGGTGGGCGGCCTCGGGTGCCCGTTCCGTAAGCACGACCCTCAGGCCAACAGCGATGTGTGCCTGGCAGCCTTGCAAGGTGACTTTTCCATCAGGCGGTTCTTGGTGGGGCTGGGCCACTTTGGGGGCTGGAAATGCAGAGTCCCTAATAGGCTGAGCCAGGAGGTTGACAGTGGGGGGGGGCAGGCAGGGCTCCCCCCTCTTCCCAGTCATTTCTTTGCCTTCCTGAAATTGTTACCTACCTGAAACCTTCCTGGCGGTTACCCCCCCTCTGGGCTAGGGCAGCCCAAGCAAAACCTCTCTCTTTTCCAGGCCTGAGCAGGGCCGTCCTCCTCTCCGGCAGCCTCATGAAGGAGCAGCTCCACACGGTGAGCCAGCCGATTCCCGTGGCTGCGGGGGTCACAGCCTCAGCCGTGCCGAGATGGGGGGTTTGGGAGGGCAGCACGGAAAAGGCAGGCCTGGGAAGACCTGTGCCAAGGGAGGAAAGAGCTCTGATTGAGCGGGAGGCCCTCTGCACGTGCTCAGAGACCCCTGCCGCTCTAGGGAGGCCCTCTTGGGTCGTTGAAGCACACGGAGCAGCTCAGCATGGCTGGATGGCTGAGGGACCGTCTCCCTCTTCCTTCCTCCCCAGAGGTTGCAGGAACTGGTGATCCCGCTGCTGATCCGGCTGGGCCAGGCGGAGCTTCCCCCGGGATCCCCCTACGCCAGGGCCAACTGCCGTCTTGAACTCTACCGGCTCCTGCTGGCCTTGAGCCTGGCTCCTGCCCCTGCCTGCCCCCCGCCCCTGCATTGCACCCTCCGGCTGCTGAGCCAGGGGCGCACGGATCCCAACCTTCTGGTGAGGTGCTTCCTCTCCCCGGGGGAAACCGAGGGGTCCCCCACGTCCTCTGCCTGGGGGCTCAGCCCGTGTTTGCGTCCCTGGGGGTTTAGGGGAGGTGTCCTTTGCTTTGCCCTGGGGGAGCCCCGGAATTGGTGGCTCTTTTCTGGGGCTGTCGAGTGGGACGTTCCAACGTCCCCCCAGATTCTCCCCCTGCCCAGCGCTCTGCATCTTCCTCCTCCAGGTCTCCTCCTTCTGCATGGAGGCTGCCATCATCTGCAACGCCCTCCTTCACCCTCGGGTGCCATCCCTGCAGCTCCCGCTGCTTGCCCCCGCCGCCCACCTGCCCGGCTCCTCGGAGGTCTCCCCTGCTGCGGCGGTTGGGGCTGCCACCCTGTCTCCCTTCTGCCCGGCTGCCTCGGTGCCCTTCCCGGCCCCCCGGCCCCTCCCTCCGGCCCCTGGGCCTCTCCCTGCCAACTCGCTGGGCCTGCCCCTGCCTGGGCTCTCAGCCGTTCAGCTGCCCCCTCGCCTTATCCCTGAGGAGCCCGTTCCCCCTCCCTCTCCGGGCACCGCAGAGGCGGCTGCTCTGGCCACCGGGGCCAAGTTGCGGCGCTCTGTGTTCATCCATTACGACAAGGAGGAAGAGGAGGACGTTGAGATCTCTCTGGAGAGCGATTCGGACGACAGCGTGGTCATTGTGCCCAAGGGGCAGCCGGGGAAGGCGACCGGCACTCTTAACTGTGCCCCAGTCCCTGCGGCCACTCCAGCCCCCCCGCCCCTGCCCGCCCCCCCCGCTGCCCTTCCGCTCCCCGCGTCCCCTTTGGTGGCCTGCGAGGAGGCTCCCTTGGAGAGCCCAACGCCCCTCGCCCTGGGGGTCCCACCACCTGCCCTGGCAGCGCCAGTGCTGCCGTCTTCCCCGGTCGCAGCAGCTGCCGAAGCCCCCCTGCCGGCTCTGCTGGAGGAGGACCCCCCCACGGTCATCAACATCAACAGCAGTGAGGAGGAGGAGGAGGAGGAGGAGGAGGAGGAGGAGGAGGACTTTCCCGAGGACGAGGAGTACCTGGACGAGGAAGAGGAGGAGGTGGGGATGGGGCAGGGGTGGCAGGGGTGGCCCCGGCCTCAAAGCCCCTGCTGCAGTGGGGGGGGGGATTCGAGCGTCCCTCGGGGAAGGGCGGTGATGGGGGAGGCCCCGGCCCGAGCAAGTGAGCGTGGCTGGCCTCCGTTCCTCGGCAGGCCCTTGGCCGCCGCCCAGAGCAGCTGCTGGGGGGAGTTCAGGAGCTTCTCTCCCTCGGCTGGCCAGGAGGAAGAGTTTGACGAAGAGGAGGGGGAGTTTGAGGAGGAGATGGACGACGAGGACGACTTTGATGAAGATGAGGAGGGCCTGACAGAGGAGGAGGAGGAGGAGGAAGGCCTGACGGAGGAGGACGAGGAGGACGGGGGGCTGCCTCCTCTGACCCGAAGGAACGAAGAGGAACCTCCAGCGCTTCTGCCTGCTGTGAAGGACGGGCCGCTCAAGCTGGCGGAGGAAGAGGAGGACGGGGGAGCTGGGCTGCTGATGGAGGTCGAGGAGGAAGCCTTCCAGCCCCCTCAGGAGGAGGAAGAGGAGGGCGAGCGGATGGGGCCCCTGCTGCTGCTGAAGGAGGAGGAGGAGGAGAACGTGGCCTTGCCTCTGCTCCCGGGGGCCCAGCCCCTCCCCCTGCCTGCCCTGCAGGAGGGGCCCAGCTCGCTGGAGGCCCCCACGGACCCGGAGGGCCACTCTGGGCCAAAGGAGGGCGCCTCGGAGGCAGCCTCGGCAGCGTCTCTACCGCCGGAGGAGGCCGTCCACGCAGGCTCCAGTGGGGACCGGGTGGAGGCTGGTCCAGACTCCGGGGCTGGGCAGGGGGAGCCGGAGAAGCTGCTGCAGCCGGACGAAGAGGTGCTGGAAGTGAAGGAGGAAGAGGTGAGAGCCGGAAGCCCTGCCCGGGCAGGACCCAAGGAGGGGACGGGAGCCCCTGAAGGAGGGGGCACGGGGGCCAGGGAGCACCTCCCCGTCAGGTGGACCTCCTGGAACAGAGGCTCAGGCCCAGAAGCCCCAGGGCCAGGCCCGGAACTTGCTCTGCTGGTGTGTTTGGAGTTGTGTTCCATCGCAGAGGGGTGCCCCCCCCGTTGCTCGGAACACCCCCCAAATTAGGTGATCTGCCTGGCTGTGCTAAAGGCCAGGGCTGCATTCCGGACCCAAAGAATGCACAGGCCGGAACTGCTGGGGTAAGTCCGGGAGGACCTCTGGGTGAACGTCTTGGCAACGCTGAGTGAACTGCCCTCTCTTTCTGTGGAGCTTCTGGGCTGAGCGAGGATTTGCTCCGGGGCCCTTGTGGGGGGGTGCGTGGCCACGTCCTGGCAGTTTCTGCTCAGCCTTGACCGCTCCTCCCTGTACCCCCCCCCCCGGCCGGCCGCTTCTGCTGCACGCCCGGAAGAGGCTTCGACCCAGCAGGGCCCGCTGACGGCGGTTCTTCCCCCCCCTCCTCAGGGCGGCAGACCCGCGCTGGACGAGACGGAGGCCATGCTGGCGGACTTCGTGGACTGCCCGCCGGACGAGGAGAGAGACCCCGGCCAGCCCTGCTCCTGACTGGGCGGGGGGGGGAGAGGCTGCCCCGAGCAGACTTTTGGTTTTCCTGTTCGCTCCCATGTTTCAATAAAGGTCTTCCCTGCTGCACGTGAACCGCGTCGGGGTTGCTGTGGCCGGCTGGGCATGGGCGGGAAGGGATCCGCAGCTCCGGGCAGGCTCCCGTTCCTCGGGCCGGCGTTTCCTGGCCTAATTTAGGTGAGGGAGGGAGCTGCATTCTCGGGCGGAGGGGGAGCGGAGACGCGTCGGGGCTTTCCGCCTATTTCGAACCGGCGGCTTTTGCGAAGAGGACCGTTCCATGTGATACCAGCAGGGGGATCTACTTCTGCCTCGTCCCAGCCCGAGCTGCAGGCTCGAAAGGCGCCCTCTTCTGGTCGGCCCGCGCGCTCCGTGGGACGCTCCGCGGCGCAACCGCCAATACGCGTCTCCGCTGCGCTCGTGCCCCGCCCCGTAGGGCTCGTCCATCGCTTCCCGGCGCAGGGGAGGCCAGCGAAGCTGCGGCGTCCCCCGCTCCCTCGTGCGAGTGGTGGCGCTCCGCTGGTGACCTGCCAAGGGCGGGCGGCGGCGGCGGCGGAGTCTGCGGGGGGCGCTCGGTCGGTCGGTCGCGGGCTTCGTGGTTCCGCCAGGCCATGGTTTCGCTGCTGTGCTGCGGGCCGAAGATGGCCGCCTGCGGGATCGTGCTGAGCGTCTGGGGAGTCATCATGCTGGTAAGATGCGCGCCGGCCGTCCTGCCTGCTACCCTGACTGCCGGACGGGGTTGGGAGAGCGGCCCCGGCCCGCCCGATGCTGGGCCCCTTCGGGAGCGCGGAGCTCCTGCCCGCTGCCCCGGAAGCCGCCCTCTTGGTCCTCCCCGCGGTGCCCGTCGGGGCGCAAGCTCGGCTCCCGGCCCGTCAAGGCGCCCGAGGGGGTCGCACCCCTTCCAGCCCGGCCCAGCTGCCGCGATGCGGGCCCGGCAGGATGACAATCGGGTGGGCTTGCCACCCTCCTGCTAGGGGCTCCTGCCATTCCCCGCCGACCTGCTCCCCTTTGCAGGTGCTCCTGGGCCTCTTTTTCAACGTCCACTCCGCTGTCCTGATTGAAGACATTCCAGCCAACGAGGAAGATTTCACGTGAGTTTCTCCCCCTCAGCGAAGCAAGGCGGCAGCCCCCGCCCGCCCCCTCCAGAGAAGCTCCCTGTCCTGGCTCGCTCTTCCCCTGGGAACCTGGGCTTTCCCGGGTCAACGGCGGGCGGGGGGGGGTCGGGCGTAGGGGTCGGTGGAGAGGGGCTGAGAATCCCGGGGAAGGCCTGTGTGTGTGCATGTGCGGGGGAGAGGGGCAGAAAGCCGCTGTCCGCAATGAGCCATCCTTCGTCTCCCCCTCTTTGCCGCAGGTCCGGGGTAAAAAGGATCCACGCGCTCTATGACCAAGTCAGCTACAACTGCTTCATTGCCGCCGGCCTCTACTTCGTCCTGGGGGGCTTCTGCTTTTGCCAAGTGCGCCTCAACAAACGGAAGGAGTACCTGGTCCGCTAATGACCCCCCTACTCTGCTGGAGCCCCTCCCCCCGTTTCTGTCGATTCCCTCTTGCGCAGGAAAGTGTCCCTGTCTGGCACCAGGAAAGAGAAGGGGGGGTTCCTGGCACTGTGTGTGGAGCCCCGTTTCTCACTCGGCCAGCAGCATGGGGACCTCTGTCCCCCTCTGCTCTGCCCTTGGTTCCCTTTCTTTAAACCCGAGGAAGAGGTCAGTGGGCACCACCCTTCCTCTTTTGTCCTTGGCTGACCAAAACAAAACTTCCGTGTTGTGTAAATAGCAGAGGTGTGCCCCGCCTCACCCACCACCCCCCCTTGGCACTTTCCTGGCTCCAGGCTTGGGCCTCGATTTGCCTGGCTTGCCAACAGCCAGCCCGCACCAGTGTCCGCACCAGTGTCGGCCGTGTTCCTGCGTTTTGTCTTGATCGTAATGCTGCTTTACCCAGGTCCCTCCCAGGGGCTGGAAGGAGCCGCCTCTTCCCTGACCCGGGCGCCCCACTTCATGCTCCCGCCCGGGGGAAGGGAAGGGTCAGAGTGGCCCTGCCCCAGTAACATCCCCCCTCCCACTGCCGGGGCCCGAAAGAGTCGTTTGTGCAATAAACAACGTTAGATCTGGCTTCTTTGCTGCTCTTCTTTCCAAAGGGGGGGGAGGGGGAGACTGCCGGAGCCAAGATTTTCAGGGAGGGAGGGGGCGGCCTGGGGAGGGGTCCCCCTAGCAGAATTGTCCTCTGCTGCAGGGGGGAGGGAGGGGAGAGACGCGGGCCGGGATCGCCCTCGGCGGAATTCAGCGGATCGGTGGGCCCGGTTGCCACTCGCTCTCGCGACCGGCCGCCTGTCCCGTCAGGCTCCCCGCGCGACGCCTCGCACCATAGAGCTTCCGGAAGGAGCGGCCCAGGGGAAGGGCGCATGCGCGCGGGCGCACCATAGAGGGAACCGCCGCCATGACCTCCGCCTCCACCAAGGTACCCGCCGACCGGGGCGAGGGCGCCTCTGAGGGCGTGCAGAGTGCCCGCGCCCCCGCCTGAACGCCTTTCCCGACCGCAGGTGGGCGAGATCTTCTCCGCGGCCGGCGCCGCCTTCACCAAGCTGGGCGAACTGACGATGCAGCTGCACCCGGTGGCCGACTCCTCCCCGGCCGGGTGAGCGTTGGGGGGGTCCTGGGGGGGCTGCGGGGAGCGCGCAGAGGGCGGCCGGGGCGCTGACTGTCCGCGTCCCGCAGGGCCAAGTGGACGGACACCGAGATCGCCCTCCTGCGGGCCTCCGTGCAGCGCTTCGGCGACGACCTGCACCGCATCAGCACCCTCATCAAGGACCGGACCGTGTAAGCCTCCCCCGCGCGCACCGGCCGCCCCTCCGCCCACCCGCCCGCCCGCTGACCGCCTTCTCCCCGCAGGGCGCAGCTCAAGGCGGCCGCCAAGCGCAAGGCCTACGAGGACTCCGGGCTGCCGCCGCCGCCCCCCGCCGACTCCCCGAAGAAGCCCGCCGGCCGGAAGCTGCCCCCAGGCCCGGCGCCCGCCGGCCCCGCGCCGCCGCCGCCCGAGCCCAAGAAGCCCAAGGCGGACGTGACCCTGAGCGCCCTGAACGACGCGGAGGCGCCCCGGGAGCTGGTGGGCGAAGCGCCCCCGCCGGCCAAGAAGCTCAGCTTCGACCAGGGTAAGGGCGGGCGAGAGGCGGGGGGGGGGTGTTGGCAAGTGGGGGTCCCGCTGGCCCTGCGCTCTCCCCCCTTCTCTCTCTCTCTCTCTCTCTTTCTCTCTCGCAGACAGCCTGAACCTGGAGCCCGGATTCCTCCTGACGCCCGGTGGCGCTGACCTGCCACTGCTCTCCCGCTGAGTCTCTGCCCTCCGGAGCCCCCCCCCCCGCAGCCCTCCCAGCTTCAGCTCCCCCCCCCGGCTTCTGCCCCCCCCTTCCCGGGCAGGGCCTGGGGCCGGTGGGTGGTGGCACCCCTCCCCCATGTCTCCAGAGGCGCCTGTGCCTCTTCTTGTCCTGGAGCCCAATAAAGGTTGCTGCGTCTCTGGCTTGGCTCTCCTTAGTGCGTTTGTTGCAGCCCAGGAGGGTAGGGGTGCCATCCCTGACCTCGCCGCAGGGCCCCCCTCACTGCAGCAGCAGAAGAAACACTGGCCGCGAGTAGCAGCAATGCCAGTATTGAGGTGCTGCTAGAGCTGGGATGGCAGAGCAGGTGGGGGGGGTGGCCCCAAGGGGAGTCCTCCCCCGCTGCCGTGTTCCTGGGAGGGGCGTGGGAGCCTGTGCCTGGCTGCGGCTCGAAGGCATCCTGGCCGCTCGCGTTAGCACCACAAAATGGGTTGTGGATTCCTAATTCCCAACAAACCATGTTGTGCTGCTGCTGCGTACGCCAGCATCAGTGGCATGGAGAGGTTTTTGCGGCGGGGGGGGCAGCTTGACCCTTGCAGCAAGAAGCAGCCTCCCACCTGCCCTTCTGAGCCCCTTCCTTGCATTTGTTTTCCCAAAGGAGAGATTTCCCAGCAGTCCTCAGCAGGGAGAAGAGGGGCTGCCTCTTATGCAATTTTTCCCGGAGTGTCACCCAAGGTGGGGAGACCCTTGCTTCCCTTCCACTGGCCCTGAGCTCGAGCAATATGGGACAGAAGGGGGTCCCCAGGGGGGGTGGGGGTGGACATCAGGACCAGTTGGTTCTCCAACAGTGGGTGTGGCCAGGCGGGCCAGAAGCATCCCCCCTTCCCCAGAGGAGTGAGGCAGCCCACTTTCTGATGAACAGAAAATGGAGAGGAGTGACAACGCCCAAACTGGCTGGACTGACACCCTCCCCCCCCCCACACAGCACAGCACAGCATTGGGTACTCCTTCCCTGGCAAGCCTGCAGTTGCGCAGTCCAGGGAGCAGACTGCGGCCTGGTGCCCCCTCGCCCAGGGCTTTGCCCCCAAACACAGAGGGTGAGGAAGCGTCCCATATTTTGCAGAAGAGTCAGCACCCAAGACCTGTCCCCCCCCCACCCATCACATGTCTGGTCCAGGAGAGGACAGCTCGGCTGCTCCTGATGGGTGGGGCTCGCCTGCCTGCACAATTGCCACGTACGTGGCTGAAGGGGACCACTTTGCCTCCCTCCCTCCCTCCCTCCCCACTCGCCAGAGGCATGCTCGGTTCTGCCAGTGCAAGCCCCACTTGGATGTAAACAGAAGCGGCTGGTTCTCTGCTGTGGGGCCTGCCCCAGGGGAGGAAGAGCAGCAGGAGCTTTTCTGGTCTGGGACCACTTGGGGGGCAGCTAGGCCACAATCTGCTGTCCCATTATTTGGGAGGAAGCTTTTGGACACACCTGGAGTTTTTGGTTAAATGAGGGCAGGTATCATTCAGCCCCCAAAACAGGAGGGGCCGATTGGACTCTAGGCCATGGCCAAAATCTGGGCCTCCTGCCATCTTGCATTTTACCCTCCAAAGTCACCCACCAGCCCCCCCCCATGTCCCTGGCTTCTTGGATGGGGGTGCAGGAAACGCAGGGGAACACTTCTGCCATTGGGTGGAGGACCCTGCTGCCCCCCGCCTTGAACTGGGGGCGATCGCATCAGTTGCCGCAAGGTTTGGGGGGACCTTGGAGGGGCTGACAGGCTTAGAAGGGAGATCTGGAAACGGGGTGGGGTGAGGCGGAGGGGGCACTGATTTTCTGGGCTGTAGAACAAAGGGCACCCCCAAATCAAGAGATTAGTTCTGAGGAGGGAGACCAACTTAGGCCAAATCTTTGGGACAAACCCTATAAACAAACTGGGTGGGCTCAGGAGGGGCCCTAACGGTCAGTATTTTTATTTTTGAGCACCGCACTCAATAGCAGGGGGAGAAAGGCTGAAGTCTCCACTGTTCTGGGGCCTGACCCCCCCCCCGATCCTCTTGCAGCCCCCATTTCAAACCTGGGGGCTCCTTGGCAGGGTGGGAGCTCCCTCGACCCCCTCATTCGGCAGCCCCCATGCCTCCCTGCCCCACCCACCCCCTGGAAATGTGTACCTCTCTTGCACGGAGGGGCTTCTTGGAGCTGGGCCAGGTGGCTGGGGGACATGCCTTCCATGGGGTTGTGGGGTGGCACGGGGAACTCGGGGGGGGGGCACCAGCTTTCCTCCCCAAAATCCAGCCTGGCTTTCTTTTGGCCCCCCTTTTCGCTCTGGGTGAGATTAGGCTGTTTTTGTAAGGCTGCTTCCACCCACGTCTTTTCCACCCTGGTTGACTCCCTCTGGTACGTGGGGGGAATATTATGGATATTTGGGGGCTCTTGCAAGGGGCCGTGCCCCCCATTTTCTACCTAGGGCCTGCTAGCCCTTCCTGTACATTCAGAGTGCCATTTTGGGCACCGAGCGGAGAGCCCTGCCTGCCTCTGGCCTAGCACCCACTTCGGAGCCGAAGCCATGCTACCCCCAACCCTCTACACCTCCCCCCCCAGCTTACCTGCTCTGCAGACTCTTGCCCCCTCCAGATGATCAGGGATGGTGTTTTCCAGAAGTCTTAAGTTTAGCTCTTTAAAAAGCATTTTGCAGCCACGGCAAGCCAAGACTGGGCTGAGCCCTTTTGCCACCCGATCTTGGCGTTCGGCTCTCTCTGAATCCACGGGCGGCCGGTCCCCCACCCCAAAAAAGGGAGCATTTGTCCCTCTTCCTGCTCCAACTAGGGAAGTTGGGAAGCTCCTTCCAGTTCGCCCCAAATATTTGCCACCGTTTTCCTGGGATTCCAGAATTGTAAAAAAATAAGGAAAAACAGAGGGTGCCCCCGCTTTCCCCCCCCCCAGAGCCGCCAGCCCCTTCCGTGCTACGATTTGGGAAGGCAACGAGAAAGGGAGAAAGAAAAAAAATAGGGCATCTGAGAAAAGCCTGGTCCTTTTTCCCCCTACGCAACTTTCTACACTTGAATAAACCCCTTTGGGGTGATGGAAAAAATCTGCAAAAAAATCGGAGGGGAGGCCAGGCACCCCCCTGGGCGTGTGTGAAATTTGGAGCGGATCCAGAGAGCCATTACCCTGCAAAAAAAATAGCTTTCGAACGGCTCTCTCTCCCGCCAGCTTTAACGTCCCCAGCTGACTTTGTCGCGGTGCCAACTTGTGCGACTGGCTTGGCAGCCCCCCAGCGTTTCAAACGGTCACTTTGTCTTTGTGAGCAGCAACGCCCAGAAGCCCCGGCCGGTGCAGGGCTGACCCGTGGCCCTGGACCCCCACGGCCCCCACCCGGTTCCCGTCTGGGGAGGGCGCTGGATGGCTTTTTTCTTAACACACAAGGCCGCGCGGTGGTGTTGAAACATGTGGGGTGTGAGTGTGTTTGTGTGCCTGAGCGCGCTCCCGTGTGCTAGCTCCCCTCACGAATCTGCTGATGTGAAATCAGAGCCTGGTTTACCAGCTGCCCTGGAGCAGCAGCAGCAGCAGCTCCTGGCGCCTGACCTGTCCGGCCACGCAAACTGTTGGGACAGGCCTCCCCGTGGAAGGGAGCCTCCCCACCCAAGGAGCCCCATTCCTGACTCCCCCCATTTCTCACCCTGACCTGGCCTGCTCCCAGCAGCAGGCAGGAGTCAGAGGCAGCAACCCTGGCTTGACCCCAGGGCCCCGTGTGAGGCCCAGTTTGCAATGGCAGCCACCTAGGGACCTTCCCCATGGGGGCAGGCAGAGGCCCATGGGAAAGAGTGTCCGAGCACCTTTCCTCTTCCCTCAGACTCATAGATTCAGGGGCTCTGCGGAAAGGATGCGGGGGGGGGGGGGGGAGAGAAGAGCAGCAAAGCCCAATATTGTGGCGGGGACAAAAGGGGGAGCTGAGCCAGAGTTGCTGGGTGGCCCCCTATCTGCACAACTCACAGGAAACCCCCCCCTCCCTCACCCCCAAGGCAGAGTTCTGGAAGTGCCTGTCCATGGTCTCCCCTGCCGCTCCTCCTCCCCTGCAGCCCAGCCCCTGGACCCCCTCCCCTCACTATGGGTGTACAGAGAAGGGAGCGGGTGCTTTTCTTTCACATAGGTTTAATACAGAGATGCCAAAGGGGGGGGGGGATTTTGGCTTTCCCAAGAGACATGTACAAAACACATATCAAAGAAAAATAATCCTACAAATTGCCTCCCCTCCAACTGCAACTCTCTTAAAGGGCTCCCGAGAGACCCCCTTTTCCTCTGGACCCCCCAAGAAAGAAGAGGAAGGGGTGGGGGGGGCTTCACCAGGACAGGGATTTTCCAGTGACTTCCTCCTTCCCCGCAGGAGGCCCTCCTCGTGACCTGCCTCTGGCACAGACTGGCAGAGGGGGCGGTGCTTCCCCCCCAGGCCAGATCTGGCCCCCGGCCCCCATTTGGGCGGCAGTAGTGGGTGAGGACTGGCGAACCGAGTTTTTGAAGCAGGAAGCCCATTCATTGCCCTCCGGCCAAGGACGGGGGGGCGCTCGGGGACGCCCGCTACAAGGAGCATCCTGGGAGTCCCGGACTCCCGTCCCCGTAAGGAGCAGCCAGCGAGGCCAGAGCGAGCGAGGCACCCCGCCCCCCCCGGCAGGAAGCTTGGCTCGTGTTTTGGCAGAACCCCGGACCCCCCCCTGTCGCTCAACTCTTCCGGCTCCACGCTGGCGCCCGTTCTTCCTCCCGGGTCTCTCCCCTGCCTCTTTTTGCGGGAGGCTGCGGATGTTTATGGACGGGGAGCACGCTAAGCCCCCCCCGGCCCCCAACCTTGGTCGGTCCAGCTTTGCAGACGCCAAGACTTCGGGCTCCCCAGAGAACGGGGCAGAGAGCGAGAGAAGGGCTACGCCTGCCCCACTCATCCTCCCCACGGAGGGTTCCGGGCGGGGCTCCTGCCTTGAGGCCGGCTGAGGGCGCAGGACAAGCGGAAGCTCCAGCATCCCCGGGAGCGCAAGAGGGCTTCGGCGCAGCCAGACCGTCCCAGGGGGCAGAGGGCCCTGCAGCCGCTCCGGGGGAGACGGAAGGGGAGTTGCTCCCCCTTTCGGCTCCGGAAAAGAACAGACGCCGTCGGAGCCCCGAGGAGTTTGCGCTTCATCTGCGGCCGCTTCGTGCGCCCCCTCCCCCCAGCCCGGGCTTACAGCAGAATTCCTAGCAAGCCGGGGGGGGGGGAAGATCCGGTCACCCGCCTCCCCAGCCCTTCACCGCTTGCGCAATGAACTGCACGTGGAGAAGGATGCGCCGGCCCCTTCCTCCCCCCCCCCCGAGAAAGGAGCACGCCGCCCCAGGCCGGGTAGCGGCCCCTCGCGGAACCTAAGAGGCCTCTGTAGAACCCCGGGCCCCGCAGCCCACGGCGGCCTCCTCGTTCCGCCGCGGGAGGAGGCGGAGCGCCCCCTATCGCTCTCCGCCCGTGGCCCCGAGCCTCGGCGGGAGGGTCTCCTCTGCGCTCCGGCCGCCCAGCCCCTCCCGTCCCCTCCGCCCAGCCAGGCAGAGACCAGCGCTGGGGATCCAGAACTTTATTGGGGTCAAACACAGGGGAGACAGAGCTCCGCGCTCGGCGGTCAGGCATGCGGGAGGCCCGGAGTCCGGGAGAGGGAGGCCTGCGGTTAGCCCCGGGCGGGAAGGCGTCTGGGATCGGCGGGTGGGGGGTCGACTGGAAGAAAGCAGAAGGGAGGAGGTCGCCTGTGGCAGCATCTGCTGCAGCTCTGATTCTATATACAGTTCAAATATAGATATAATTATATCTATATATATATATATATATAAGCTATATATTTACCGCATTTCCTCTTTAAATAAATATTGTATACAAATCCCTGCTGAGTGGGCAGGCTCAGGGCACAGGATGGGGAGGGCTTGGGGGCCGGTGGGAGGGGCGATCGGACTGGGGGTGGCTTTCCCCAAGGAGCAGTAGATCAGCTTGATGCTGAGGGGTGGGTGGGATTGGCGCTGGACTCCTCCGGGAGCTTCTGGACCAAGAGGCAAACCGGCTTCTTGTCGGCGAGGTTGGGGGAGCACTGGGGGGGGGGCATGCCAGCTCCTCCCATCACAGCTCCGAGCAGCGGTCCTGCTTGTTGTAGTGGTCGAACTGGCTCTTCCAGTGCATCATGTAGGCGCTCCAGAGATGGAACTCCAGTTTCCACTGCCTCTCGGCCTCCTCGATGTTGTCTGGGGGGGGGGCAGAGAGAGAAAAGGGGGGGGGGACAAAAACATCCAGAGACATGGGGGGGCAGGGAGAGAGGGGTTAAGGGAAGGCCATCCAGTGAGGAGGGGTCTCTGCACGGGGCAGGCTGAAGGGCCAGCTGGCACCCAATTTCTCTGGGGCAGGGCTGGTTCTTGGCAATGGGGCGACCTGGGAGGGGGGCTCCTGGCTTGGCTGGCCTTGTGATTCTGGAAAGGAGCCCTGAAAGGGCACTGGGGGGGGGCTCCCTGCTCCGAGTGCCCAGGACAGGTGGCAGGAGGGACTTCTCCAGCAGGAATGGCCTGTCCTCCTTGCAAAGGAGGCACTGCCAGGGAAGGCTCTGGAGAGAGGCACCGGGGAGAGGAGGAGCATTTCACTTTGGCGAGAGGAGATGGGGAGGGGGGCAGGTTGGGCCTGGGAGCTAAGAGACTCCACCCTTGATTTGCAAAGCAACTTGAGGAGCAGTGGAGCCCCCGAGAATTGGGGGGGAAGGGCTCAGGAAGGGGCAGAGAGGACTAGGAGAATTTTGGATGCAAAGAGCCTCCTGAATCCCCCTCCTCTTTTTGCTCTCTGCCAGCAGCCCCCTTCCATAACCGTGAAGCTCGGGGTTGGGAGGGCAGGAAGGCTGAAGGCCACCCGGCTCGCTTGCCAGAGGGTCCGGGAGATGCCCTCAAAAGCGCCCCGGCAACTGAGGCTGCTCCCTGCTGGGACCGATGCAGCTGGCAGGGGGCAGCCTCTCCCTTCCTCTGCTCTGGAGCTGGGAATCCAGCCCCTCCCCCATGGCCCATCCACCAGGCAGGCCTGAGCCATGCTGCGCGGGTATCCCCCCCCCCGGCCCCCTGGGGAGGGAGGGGATCCAGTACCTGCTGAAACCTTGCCACCCTCAGGAGCCAAAGGAACATAGCCAAGCGTGTGGGTGGGCTTGGGTGCTGATTCTGCACCCCCACTTTGTCCTCTCCATCCCACCTCCCTGGCTGCCCGATGTGCCCCCTCTAGGGCCCAGCCTGGCTCTGAGCCTGAGGTAAAAGAAGCATCCGGAGCAAGGAAGGCAGGCCCTCCCCGCTGCCCGGGAGCTTCCCCCTGCCTCCTGGGCTTGCTTGTCTGTGCCAGTCCTGGCTTGTAGATGCCCATGCCGGCCGCCTCCAGGAGCACTGGCTAAATCCGGAAAGCCAGATCTCCGGGGCATCGGAAGTTGCAGGGAAAGCTCAGTAAAGGCAGACTGGTCTTGCGGGGGGGGGGAGGGGGAGGGCTCTGGGACCCAGGGCCCCCTCCCTGCTCTCTCCACCGCCCCCCCAGGATTCCTGGCCGCAGTCCTCCTGTTCTTGCACAAGTGCCCTGTCCAGCATTCCTCCCACTGGGCTCCCTTTCCCGGCAGCACCGCTTCCTGCTACCACCCCAGGCCTTGGGGGGGCATTCAGAACAAGAGTAGTGGGGTTCCTGGTGGGGACCGTTGCGAAAGCTCACTAGAAGGGAGAAGAGAACGAGGTGCTAAAGCCCGGCCTGCCAGGGAGAGAGTTGGTGAGGCCCGTTGCTGGCCAGAGCAGCCCAAGGGATATCAATTGAGTGGAGCCTGTAATGGCGTCTTCGCCCAAGGCTGCGGAAGGGTGTGGGGGGGGGGAGAGGTAATGGGCTGCAGTTTGAGGAGAGGGTCCGCTGGGCCGAGAGGGGCAGAAGGCCTGCTGGGCTGCAGAAGGGCTGCTCTTGCAGAAAGGCGGAGTGGGAGACTGCAGCCGAGAGGAAGGCTGAAGGTTAGGTCCTCTTTGGACCCTCTCTCCCCACCTTCAACTAGGTCAGATGCCGCCTGTTTCCACCCCCCACCCCCCATTATTGCACCCCCCCTCCACCGCCCCAGGGCTCACCTGTCACGTTCAGCAGTTTGGGGAGGAAGTGGTTCCAAAAAGCGCAGATCTGGGTACGCAGGCTGCGGTGGGTGGCCAGCGGCTGGGTGTTGAGCCGGACGTACTGCTGCTGGGAGGCGGTGTAGGTGGGCCAGGCACCGCCCTCCTCGGCGGGGTCAGTGGGGCTCCTGTGTCGAGACAGAAAGGGGACCTGCTGTTTCAGACAGGCCTCCCGGCTACCCCGGCCTCCTGCAAGCTGTGGGCAGTGGGACCTCCCCGTTCATGCTTTGCCTTTCCTACTTTCCCACCTCCCGGCCTGTCTCTTCTCCCCAGGCAAGTTGCTGTCGAGGGTCTCTCATTTCCAAATGCAGCGCACCCAGAGACACTTCCCCAGCCTGCCCCCATTTCTGTCTCCAATTTAGGACCAGATGTCCGATATAAGATCTCCTGCCTGAGCAGGGGGTTGGACTAGAAGACCTCCAAGGTCCCTTCCAATGCTGTTATTCTGTATTCATGCAGATCTGTGGGGACAAGCCTCCCAGTGAGGTCTCATTTTAAAAGGATATTTTAAAAGTCCCTTTTTCTGGTCTGGCTGCTAAAGTTAGCCTGGCAATGGAGTGAACGGGCACCTGATCTGACGTTACTTAAGTTTGAAGCCTGAAGATCTGCACAGAAGTTTTCTTGCCGCGAACGTTCATTTTTACTGTTACAAACAGCTGTTTCCTGCATTCCTGGTCCTGCTTCCCTCCACGTCCTCGCAGTTTCTGTCTCCTCCCCCTTCCTTGACCAGTGGCACACTCTGCAGTGCCAGGACCCGCTGGCCGCTCCCCCTTGCCCCACCCACCCCAGTTACCCTGTCCGGGCGAAGTTGACCCAGTAGCGCATCATCCTGCGGCTCAGCTCCTTTTCCTGGGCCGTGTAGTTCAGGCTGTCGTTGAGGGGCAGTCCAAAGACAAACTCAATCTCGTAGCCGTGGGGGACCCCCATCCACAGGGGCCAGATGAGGTTGGAGGCCCGATGGTCAAACAGATAGGCGTACACCTTGTTGCCACGCTCTGCATAGCGAGTGGCAAAGTGCACGACTGGGCAGATGATGTTGTGGTCCCCAACGATGTCGTCCATGGCCTCCCGGTTCTTCTCCCGGTTGTCCTCATCCTGCCAGTCGGTGTACTGCAGCACGACGGCCTCGGTGGCGATGTCATTGGCGTGTGGCACGCCCATCCGCACCCCCTCCAGGAAGTCCTCCCGGCTGATGAGGCTGTCGTTGTCCTTGCTGAAGCCAGGCACCCCGTAGATCAGGAAGTAGGAGCCCTCGTCCTTCACCACCCCTAGCAGCACCTGGGTCTCCTTGAAATTGCCCGTGCCAAGCATGGCCTCAGGGGTGTCTGGAAAGAAGTCCCCGTCAATGACCGGCACGAAGGGGAAGCGGAAGGTGCTCTTGTAGGGCAGGACGGACCACTCCTCATCAATCAGCTGCTGGGGAGTTTTAGAGCGCAAGCAACTAACCAGCTCAGAATCGTTGGTGAAGTGGCAACCCACCTGCTTCCCCAGGAGGGTCGCACGGCGCCGACTCTCTGCGGGTGTGACGGTGGCCCATGGCGCATTGGGCGCCCCGCTCTGCAGAATGGCCCGCTGGAAGAGGGCACGGCTCTGGGAGGAAAGCAGGTGCATGCCCACTGAGGCGGCCCCGGCACTCTCCCCAAAAATGGTGACCGCTTTGGGATTGCCCCCAAAGTGCTGGATGTTGTTCTGGATCCACTGCAAGGCCAAGCGCTGGTCCAGCAGCCCCATGTTTCCCGGCGCCTCCTGACTCCCCAAGAGACCCAGGAAGCCGAAGGCCCCCACGCGGTAGCTGAGGGAGACCAGGATGACGTTCTGTGTGTAGGTCAGGAAGCGGCCATCGTAGACGTCCAGGGATGCAGAGCCGCTGTAGAAGCCCCCTCCGTAGATCCAGACCAGGACGGAGACGTTCTTCGGGCGTGGGGAGGGCACCCAGATGTTGAGGTAAAGACAGTCTTCGCTCATTTCCCGGTTGGGGTTCCACATCTCCGTGCCGTGAAATCCCGGGTAGCTGTTGTCCACCATCTGGTAGCAGGCGTGCTGGTAGGAAGTGGCGTCCAGGACGTGCTGCCAGGGCTTGACGGGCTCAGGGCGCAGGAAGCGCAGGCGACCCACGGGAGGCTCCGCAAAGGGGATGCCCAGGAAGGCCGAGACGTAGCCATCGAGAACTGGCGTCCGCAGTCCACGCACCCAGCCCGTCTGGGTGGCCACTTTGAGCTCATCTGTCTGGCCGGGCAAGACCGCTAGGGAGGAAGGGATGCAAAGGAGGAGCAGGAGGAGCTGGAGCCACCACGGCCGTGGTGCAGGCATCTGGCCAGACCGGCAGGAGGGCATCTGTGGGGGAGGGGGCAGAGTGAGAAAAGCACCTCCCCAGCCTGGCCCTCTGTGCCACCCGATAAAGACCGTCGCCTATCAGCTGGGCCAAAGCCGGCAGCTGAGTTCACCCAGGCAGATAGCAGCGGCTGTGGGAGGAGCCAGGAGCAGCCGCCCCCACCTCCTCTAAAGAGGATCTGACTGTTAAGGGGGAGGCCCTGACCCAGGCTGCTGAGAGCATCGCAAGGCTGCTTTCCCAAAACGAAAACTAAATATTGCCCCCCCCCCCGCAGGGTGCTCACTGGTGGGCCTGGTTCATGGGCCCCTGCCCACCCATCCCCAGCCTTTCGTGTGTGTGGGGGGGTGCTTAATGTTTTTTTCTTCTTTTTGTCCTTGAGCAGGAAGGGGTGATAAGCCAGCCCACTTTATTCAGCCTTACCAATCTTGTGCATTGATAAACCATTTATTATTCGTATGTTGAAGTATTGTTGTCCAGCACATAGGAAAAGGGCCTTTTTTTCTATTGGTTGGCAGCTGAATCGCTTGGTTAAGCAGAAAGGGCACCGACTTTAAGGAGGAGCCCCTGCCACCTGCTCAGGGATGCCTGGGCACTGAGGGGTGGGCGGAGCCTGGTGCTTTGGAAGGGGGAAGGTTAGCGATTAGACAGAGGTCTTGGTTCACCGTGTAGCCCTTGGCCGAACGTGTCACTGTCCCTACGGGAGATGTATGGGGGATGCGACTCTCAGTGCCTGGTCTGTAGTGTGCATTCCCGCGATTGGCTCCTGGCAAGGAACACTATTCAAAATTGCATAGAAGGGGCTCTCCTCCACGATGGAGGGGGCCCATTTGGAACTTGCTTCCGAGTAACCCATTCCTTTGCAAGGGAACGTTTTCCTTCCCCCCTCCCCGGTGAGGCTCCTTGGGCCCACGTGCCAGGTGAAAGGACCCGAGCTTTCCGGGGGCAACGGAGGGGAGCGTGCTAAAATAGATCAGGTATTCACTACCTGTATCTAAGCACACCTGTGTCTTTCCATCATCAGAAAGCCTTTCATCTGATCGTCTGCAACCTGATTCATTCTGCTCCTTGGTGGCTCTTGGGGCACAGACCCCCAACCGACTGGATTGGAGGCCCCCATTTGGGTCAAAGGATGCTCCCTCCCCCCTTGTGTCCCATGAGCCTCTGTTTCCCTGGCAGGGCAGGGCAAGGCTCTGCTGCCTCCCTGGCCCCCTTCCCTTTTGCCAGCAGGCCGCACAGGGCGTGGCTTGGACCCTGCCCCCCATGGGGGGGGGCTTTGGGGTGCTGCCAGGCCTTGGTTGTGGCAATGGGGGGGATCACCTTTCATCTGCTCAGCCTTTGGGGTTGGTGGACTGGCTGGGCAGGCCCTGCCCCCTCAGAGGGGCATGGGTGAGCAGTCTGCTTTCATCCAAGGCTGCTTCAGAAGGGCACCCCTGCACACACACACACCCCCAACCCTTCACCCTGGGCTCAGGCCGCCCCCTCCCAGAAGAGGTCTTGGTTTTCCGTGGATTTTGGGAGGCAGGGAGGGAAGGAAGGAAGGAAGGAGGAAGAGAGGGAGGGAAGGAAGAAAAAGAAGGAAGTTATTTCTTGGATCCCACGAGAATAAAGTAGCATTTCTGCAGTCCTTCTGGAGTCAAGCCTACCGTGAATGGCTGAGAGTCTGTCCGTAGTTTGGAGCCGGGCGGCTGGTGCTGCAGGGGGTCCCCTCTGCGTGTTCCTCCACAGGCCTCTCCCTGGAGGTCCTCTGTAGCCAGACTGCTGGAAAATGGGCATTTAAACCGACTGGCGTCTCACCGAGGAGGGCATCCCAAAGGGCGCTTCCAAACACTCCTCCACACCGGTTGAGATTCCGCCTGTTCGTGGCACGCTTGGGCAGGCCTGGGAGGAGAGGGCTGCCCCATGGAGCCCAGGAATCAGGGGAGTGCCCAGCCGCGTCACTGTGCCTTCAGGTGAGCCAGAACAGTGGGGTGGGGGTGGGGCTTTTATGACTGCTGCTTGACAGGGGTGGGGGGCCCTCACAAGGATCAGCCAAAATGGCGGGCAAAGGAGGTGCCTCTGAGCGACAGGCCAGAATCTGTGATTCTAGACAGAACCATTGGGGTGAGGGCGGGGGGAGGGGGCTTCAGGGGGCACAATTCTTGCATGCAGTTGGATACAAGGAAGGCCGGCTCCAGCCAGAGCTTGGGGGCAAACCATCTTCAAGGCCACTTGGATAAAGGTACCCAGGTACAGCTTTGTGCTTCGTGGGTTCAAGGGAGCTGTGCTGGGGACGATGGGGATTGGATTCCTGCCACGGAGCAGGGCTGAACTAGATGACTTCGAGGGTCTGTGCAAGTCGAGGCCTCTGCCGTACACTCTGTTGCTTCCAGATCCTCCCCCAGGCTTCTCGCTTGCTCGTTTGGGGCAGAACGTAGCTGCAGGAGGGCCGGGAAAGGACAGGAGACCTCCAAGCAGCCGGATTTGACACACACCCCCCGTTTCCATTCCAGGCCAGTTGCCCAGCAGCTGTTCGGCTATTTAAAGAACCTGGGTCTGAAATAAGCCAGTGGGGCTTTCTATGCTTGTGCGAGAGTGCAGCGAGCAAAGCAATACGATATGTGTGTTTTTGTGCGTCTCTTGTGTGTCTCTGTGTGTGCTGGAGCTTTTGCAGTGGGCTCCTAGCATGTGCAAGAGAAGCGCCCCCTCTTGGCCTGGCACAGTCTTTAAAGGGAGAATGCCAGGGTGCCCACTTGAGGCCCCGGCATCTCTGCCCAGGTTGGGGGTCAAAGTAGCTATTTCTCGGGCAGGGCTGGGGCGGGGGAGCAGCTGCTGCCTCTTCCCCAGCGAGGCTAGGCAGGAAGATGGCTCCCTCAGCACGGCTGTCATCACCGACCTGTCAGGGGAGCCTTCATCCGGAACTCGCCCCCCCCCCCGCCATGGATTAGCAGCTGAAAACTGACCCAGCCTTGGCAGCCAGGACAGCCGAGTGTGTTTGTCTGGTGGGTTGGCAACACCACCGAGTCCCTCCGGAAGGGAGCAGCGGGGCCACCTTGCTGGCTTGACCCTTGGGAGCCCGGCGTTCTTGCCCCAAAGGGAGAGCCTGCATTTCCCACCTCACAGGCCGCGGGTCTACTGGCCGGCCCTGCCTGGAAAGGACCCTTTTGCAGCCTTGCTCGTGGCTCAGCCCCTTCCCTCCTGCCCACCCTGATCTTGGGCTGCAAAGTGGCACGCCTGCCCCCGGCCCGAGCCGTCCCTAGCTCCCCCGTACTTGTGACCTGATCAAACCCACGTTCTTTATGTCGATCAGGCTGGTGACCACCATGGAGGAGTCCAGGGGCCTCCGATAGCCTCCCGCGGGGAGCTCAAAAGGACGACCACGGCAGATGCCTACGAACTGCAGGGGACTTGCCCAAGGGCCGTGCGGAGGCAGCCCGCCCCTGCCAGCCTTGTGGGCACCCCTCCTCATTCGGGCCGTTCGCAGAAAGGGGGCAAGCAAGCCGCTCAGAGAAGGACAGAGCTTGGTCCCTCCGTTGGCCGAAACCTTTGAGGCGAAGCTCTCAAGTGTGGGAGCAGACCAAGGACCAGTCAGCCGTGGCCCTTTGGTGGACACTTGGCAGCTGCAGGCTGAGCCACATCAGCAAATGGGGCCCCGCCCAGCTGGGCAGGGCCGGCCTGGAAGGTCTCCTTCTTCCCTCTCTTTGGTGGCTGCTAAGAGCAGCTTCCCTGCCCTCCCTCCCCCCCACTCAGAGAAGCTCACAAGCCACAGATATGACTTGGTCCCCCCCCCCAGGCTTTTGGGCAGAGAGGCCTTGTCTAGTGCACACCCCCATTCCTCCTTTGCAGAAGCTGGAGACGGGGGTCGTCTGTGCTTGGGGCAAGCAGGTGTGGGGCTCCCCCACCCCTCAGAATTCCAATGGAAAGATGACCGAAGCTCCCAAGGAAGAGGGGCCACAATGCCACGTCGTGCAGAGGAGGGGGGGAAACCCATGCTTGGGGGGGCAGTTAAGGAAAGAGGAGGGGGCTTCAGTTCATGCACTGGGACATTCAAGCATTATTTGGATACTGTGAGGGCTGAGTGGCAAGTAATTTCCACTTGCAGTTGACGGAAGGACAACAATAGGGGTGTGTGTGTGTGTGTGTGTGTCTATATGTGTGTGTGTGTGTTGCATCACAAGACCAAGGGCACCTTAGAGCTCCAGAGAAAAGCACCGAACAGTCGAGCAGGGCCTGCCGTCCCCAGACAAGAAGGGAAGGTGGCGGCTTCCAGCAGTGCCTTTTCTCCTGCAGCCCCCAGCTCTCTTTCGGCCAAGGCCCCCTCACCTTGCAGGAGGAGAAGGAGGCACCCCCCCTCCACCCACCCGCAGTGGACCTGCCCTGCAAGCATCAGAGAAGCCACCGATCCGCGGCAGGGAAGGGGGGACTTGGCCGCTCGGGGGCGGGGATGCCTGGGAGAGCCCCTCCAGGCGCCCAGCAGTTGCACGTGTCCAGCGAGAGCATGCGTGGAAGGCCTGGGGGAGGGGGCCAACTGGTCTCGGCGCTTCTGGAAGTCTCTCCCTCCCCTTGCCCGGCCGCAGGCGGTCCAGGTTTTTAATAGACCTGTCAGCCCCAGGTCCCCCCCCCCAGCAGCTTCCTGCAGCTGCTCTGTTGGCCGTGGGAACAGCCTCGCAGCTGTGGGGGCACAGAGCCGAACCGCCCCCCAGGCACGCAAGCCGCGCACGGCTAGATAGCTAGATGGCTGCCGGTCCCAGGAGTCCCGGTCAGGGCTCCCTGTGCCCCTCCCTCCAGCACGGAGACCCCGACTCGGCTCTTCCTCTCCCCCCGTCTGCTTTCAGAGGACGCGACGCCTCCCCCCAGCCCTTGGATTCGACCAGCTCCAGGGAAGGGATGGGTGGGGGTAGAGAAATAATCAGGGGCGCTGTGGCACTCTGCATATTCCCAGAAAAACCAGAGGGAAGCTAGGCCCCTCCTCTCTCGAACTCCGCGGGGAGTCTCCGGGCGGGGGGGGGGAGAGCCCAGGTTTCCTCATTACTTTGGGGGAGAATCAAAGCAGCCACTTTGCTCCCCCTGGTTGCGAGAGGGAGGGGAGGCGGCCCCCGGACGGGGGTCTTGCTGTAGGAGGCGAAGCCCCGGGCAAACGCCCAGGAAAGGGGGGGAGAGGTGGGCCATCATTAAACGCGGCCGCTCTCCGGCAGGTAACCGTTTCCCCCTCCCCACAGGCGCCACCCCGTTACCTTGGAAGAGGAGGAGGAGGAGGGCGCCTCTGCTTCTGCCACTGCCGCGGGCTGGGCTGCGTCTGCGACGCCGGGCGGGCGGTGGCAGCGGCGCCCCCCCAGACCAGCCGGCCCAGCCCTGCCTCCCGCGGCCGCGGCCACGTCTCGCGAGCCTTGCCCCTTCCTCCACCGGGGCGGGAGGGGGAGGAGAAGGCGGCCAGCCGTGGCCCCTTAGCCAGTGGAGGGGCTGCTCTTTGCCCCTTCCTCCCGGGAGACCAGACTGGGGATCCCCGACGGTCTGCAGGGGCCGAGGTGGGTCCAGATGTGCGACTCCTGGAAGAAGACCCGCTTCCTCCACGTTCGCTCCCACTTACCGCAAATTGGGTGGACAAAGCGCATTTCCTTCAGAAAGTCTACAGCGGCTCACCGGCGGGACTTCCAGGGCCGCTGAGACGGCCGAAAGGCGGAGCTGGGCGGCGTGGCGTTGGGCCCCAGTCCGGCGAATTCTGGACAGAGGCGACTCTCCGCTTTCAAACATTCTCAGCCTCACAGGATGTCCGCTCCGCTCCTTTCCCCCCCCGCCCCCCGTTGGGAGCGATCCCGAGGCCATGTGCCACCCTCGGTTCAGCTCCAGGGCGCAGCTCGTTGCCAACTGTGGCTCAGTACCACCGTGTCAGGGGCAGCCCTGGGCAATCGGGCCTCTCTCAATCGCGAAACGAAGCGAATGGTAATGTGCGAATGGCATTTCACGTGTGTAGGTAGCTTCCCTCCACTCCTGGTAAGGTGCCGAGAAGTGGTCAGATCCAGAGAAGGACCACAGGCCGCCCCCTACCCCGCATTTCTAGTCAAAAATCTGAAGTTCTTGGAAACAAAGGAATTGGATCCCTCCCTCATCCCGAGGGGCCCTCGCGGAAGGAATGGCGCGCTGAGCGCGTGCAGAGGGCTTCCAGACGGGCGGGAAGCCCGCGCTCGCCTTGGCTATCGCTCCAGCACCTCCGCGGTGGACAGCTCTGCAGCCAGGCTGAAGCCTTGGCCCAGCTCCGCCTCCCCTGAGGGAGGAGCCCGGCCACCGCAGAGGGAGGGTCGGCGAGGGACCAAAGCAAGCCCGGGGCTGGAGAGTGGCCAATGTGTATTTTGGGAGACGACGCCAGGAATCTCCCTGGTAGATCCGGCTACGAGGGAGGGAGGAAGGAAGGAAGGAAGGAAGGAAGGAAGGAAGGAAGGAAGGAAGGAAGGAAGGAAGGAAGGAAGGGGATCAGGTAGGGGGGAGGGGTGACTGTCGCGGGAAAAGCCCCCGAGCCAGCTAAAGCGCTCCTCCGCGCTCGGGCCGCGCAGCCCCCCTGCCGTCCCTCCAGTCGCCACGGGGAGGCGCCCGCGCCTCCTTTCCAGATTCCACCTCCCCTCCTTCGGAAGGCCGGGGCTGCCCACCTCTTACCCCGGGCGGGGGGGGTAGAAGAGCGTCCCCCCTGGCAGAGACCCGCGTCCGAGCGTGCAGTTCCTGGGCCAGGCGGGCCAGAGCCCAACCCGTGTTCAGCCTGAAAGGGCGCCCCCGCCCTGCCGCTTCTCTCCCCCCATCCCTCTCCGGCCGAGCTCGGAGGCCCTCTCCTCCTGGAGGCGGCTTGAAATCCTTGGGGGCGAGGTGATGGCTCGGAGCCCCTCTTTGGCAAGAAAAGTGGTCATCGACTTACAACAGTTCATTTAGTGATCGTGGAAAGTTAAAATGACACTGAAAAAAGTGACTTATGACCCCTTTTCACACTTACGACCGTTGCAGCATCCCCGTGGTCATGCGATCAAAATTCGGACACTTGGCCACTGACCCGTATTTATGGTGGTTCCGGGGGGGTCACGTGATCCCCTTTTGCAACCTTCTGACAAGCAGAGTCAATGGGGGGAAGCCGGATTCACTTAACAACTGTGTTACTCACATAACGGCTGCAGTGATTCATTTGGCAACTGTGGTAAAAAAGGTCATAAAACGGGACAAAAGTCACTTCACTGGCTCACTTAGCAACGGAAAGTTTGGGCTCAGTTGGGACTGTAGTCAAGGGCTGCCTGTAGCCTGCTTCGATTTTGTGTGCTGCTGGGAACAAGAAGAGGAAAGATGAAGAACGACCCCCGGGGGGGGCTGTTTGCAATCTGGGAGGGGAGGACGTGGGGGCCATTTCATCCTGGTCAAAACAAGAGACCCCAACACCGACAGACGACAACCCCCCCCCGACGCCCCCTTCCCTGGTGACCTCAGCTGATCTTCCTGGGCCGGAAGGGATTAAGGCTGCCAGAGAGGCCCAAAGACTGGGGGTGGGGCTGCTGCCACTCTACGCGTCTCAGTGGAAAATTAAATAGGAACCGCCGTGTGCAGCGGCAGACAAAAAAGGCAACGCAGTCCTAAATTGCATGAGCAGAGGGATTCAACCAAGGTCACGTGAGATACTAAAACCACTCTGGAAAGCCTTAGTAAGACCACACCTCGGATACGGCAACTTGTTTTGGTCTCCAAAGTATAAAAAAGATGTTGAGACTCTAGAAAAAGTGCAGCGAAGAGCAACGAAGAGGAATGGGGGACTGGAGGCTAAAACATACGAGGAACGGTTGCTGGAACTGGGCATGGCTAGTCCAGTGAAGAGAAGGCCAGACAAGGAATAATAATAATAATAATGATAATAAATAAATAAAGTTGGAAGGGACCTTGGAGGTCATCGAGTCCAACCCCCTGCTCAGGCAGGAAACCCTACATTTCGGACAAATGGCTGTCCAGTGTTGGAGCATTCACCACTTCTGGAGGCAGGTTGTTCCACTGGTTAATTGTTCTGACTGTCAGTGAGAACGATCAACCAATGGAATAGTTTGCCTCCAGATGTTGTGGGAACTTCGTCACTGGAAGCTTTCGCGAAGACTGGACAGCCATCTGTCAAAAATGGTATGGGGTCTACTGCTTAAGGAGGGGGTTGGACTAGATGACCTATAAGGTCCTTCTCTATTCCGTTCTGTTCTGTTCTGTTCTGCTCCCTCTCCCTCTCCCTCTTTAGTATCTCACGTTGGACTGGATGACCTATAAGGTCCTTCTCTATTCTGTTCTGTTCTGTTCTGTTCTGCTACCAGAACTCTTCTTGGGCTCCTGGTTAGAACCGAATTACTGGAAAATGTCCTGCCTTAAAGGCCGTGACTTTCCTGAGACAAATAGATGGTAAATGAACGCAAAGAAATGAACATCAGCTGGAGAAGACTGGAAGCGGCGTCCAGGGTGAAAAACATCACAAACTGCAAAATCTCTTATTATGTTGGGTCAGCTGGCCACCAAGCAGGACCGGCCCTTCTCTGGCCTGTCTTCAGCCCAGCTTTTCTGAACGGGGGGGGGGGATGACCCTCCAGAGGGCAGGATCAGCAACAGAGTAGGACCCCATCGCCAGGACACAACCCTGGCCTTGTCTGGCAGAAGGGAAGCGGGCATTTCCAGCTCTTTCACCAGTTCCCTCCCCCTTGAAGCCCCCTCCCTCCAGCCCAACTCCCTGCAAGCAGCGTTCTGCTCAGTCTGGGACCTTCCTGGGCTCCGGCCTGGCACAGCTGCTCCCCTAGCAGGGGGCCTGTGAGGCGGCCTGAGGGGCAGGTGCTCTTCTTCGATCTCGGGGGGGGGGATCTAACAGGACACACTGCATCCCGAAGCCCCCTCCCCTTTTTTAGCTTTGGCACCAGGCCCTGTGGTGTAAGCGGTGAGAGAGGGGCCACCCATTCTTCACACTTTCATTTTCTACCCTTCCGTCTGTGCCAGCTGCAGAAACTGCAATGACGCCAAAAGCAGACTCACCAAGACGCCACCCTTTCTTTCTTGCGTACTTGGGCTTGGCCCTGGAGCCAGGACTTCGGTCACGGACTGTGCCACCGTGACACATACTTTGTCAATGCCCATTCTGCCCCCCCCTGTGCCTGCCCCCCCCCCAAGGATCAAGCACACTTTGCTTCCTCTTTGGACCCAGGAGTGTTTGCCCCGGCCTCTTCCTCTCCGGGCTGGGCCCACGGTCAGCAGTGTGGAATCCAGGCAAACCTGTTTGCAATTTTGTCTTGAGTGGGAGAGCGGAGGCACCGGAGTGCCCGATGGCAGGACTAGGTCCCATCCTTTAGAATAACAGAGCCGGAAGGGGCCTTGGAGGTCTTCTAGTCCAACCCCCTGCTCAAACAGTCAATCCTATACCATTTCAGATAAATGGCTGTCCAGTCGCTTCTTGAAAACCTCCAGCGATGTAGCACACAAAACCTCTGGTGGCAAGATGTTCCACTGGTTAATTGTTCTGTTAGGAAGTCTCTCCTTAGTCCAGGTTGCTTCTCTCCTTGATTAGTTCCCATCTGTTGCTTCTCATCTTGCCTTCTGGTGCTTTGGAAAATAAGTTGACCCTCCCCCTTTTCTTTGCAACAGCCCCACATTTCTCCACCCACCCCCCATTTCTGGGTTGATTTGGGCTCAGCTGGCTTTTGGGCCAAAACTCCCCTTTCTCTGTGGACCAAGAGGGGGTTGGATTCCCCCTCCTGGTCCTGCTGTGGGTGGCTTCTGGGCAGGGGGCCTCAGGCGTCATGAAAGGCACAAATTCTCCCACCCAGCCTGACCGGGGCCCCCAGAGGTCTCCTCCAGGACCTGGGAAAGTGTGCGAAGGTCCCCAGTGAGGCTCAGCATTAATGCATGCAAAATGGGGATGGGCGGGGGGGGGCACGAGGAGTCCCAGATGGGCAAAAATGGCTTTGAGGGGGAATCGGGCAGATGCGGGGAGGCTGAGCTGAACAAGGAAAACACCAGGCTGAAAAGGAACGGCCTGGGCAGCAGTCTCAGGGGAAGCCCATCTGCAGGGAGGCTCAGGGGGGCCACCGATGCCCCCCCCCTTTAAGGGTGGAAGGAGAGACGGTGGTTCAAGCCTTCCTGGGAAAGAAGACCCTCAGTTGGCCCCTCCCCCTCCCTTCCTTTTGTGGCTTCCTTTGCAGATTCCCCCCCCCCTCGGCCCAAAGTGGCCGAGACGAGGGCCGGGGAGGGCAAGGGTCTTTCGCCCCCTCTGGGGCTGCCCTAGTTTGCAGCGCTTGGGGCCCCGCCCTGCCACGAGCCCCTCGCCTGTTAGGTTGGAGCCTCCTGAGGTGGCGAAAGCAGCAGGCATCCCGCCCTGAGGCCAGAGCTCCTTGGGCCAGCAAGGGGGGGGGGCTGAGGCCGCCCAGCCCTTCCCAGGTCCCCAACAGTGAGAACAGTGAAAGGGCTGCCTCCACAACGTGTGGGTGCTCCACCCCTGGAGGCCTTCAAGGAGGGGTCTCCTGCTCAGGCAGGGGGTTGGCCTAGAAGACCCCCAGGGCCCCTCCCAGCCCCAGCACTCTATGTTCCACCCCAGCGCCCTGCAAAGGAGCCTGGCCGGGGCTCCTCCTCAGAGGCCCAGAGGTCGGGGCAGGCACTGGGCTGGCCTTTTCCTTCTCCTTCTCCTGGCTTCAGTTTCTGAGGACCCGCCTGTCCCGGGAGGGGGGGTTGCTCTCCTCTAACCGCATCCCCACCTCTTGGTTCCTTCTCTGCTTCTCCCGGGTTTCTGGGAGTGCCCAGCTGGGCTTATAGGTGTACATGCAAATATTTGCCCAGTGTCCTTTGTAGAGGTTATTTACCCTGGGCGGGCTAGCTCTTGGCACATGCCCATCAGGGGCAACTGACCCTCTGCCTTTGCCCCATGATTCCTTGACCAGACCCGCCTCCCCCAAGCCCAGCCCACCATTTTCCCGGACTCGCCTGCATGGCAAGGCTGGCATAGATGTTGCCCTCTGAGTGTGCCAAGCCTCGCCCCCCCTCAGCATCCTCTGGAAGGCTGGGGTGGCATTGCTGGGTGCCACCACTCCCTCTGGTAATCTTTGTTTGGCATTCTGGGCTTCAAATCCTGCCTGGTGCTGAGCAGCAACAGAGGCTGTGTTTGTTCTTTGTTCCTCAGTCAGGAAGTACCTGTTCCTGCCCTCTGCCCACGGCTCTCGCTCTGGACGGGCCAATGCCGGGAGAATGGGGGCGCATCCGGCAGTCTTCTGCTTCTGGGGGACGCTGCTCCTGATCAGCACTGCAAGTAAGGATTTGGGGACGGGGGGAGGACCGTTTGCTGGCTCTCTGGAGGTACCCAGGCCGCCCTGCTGCTCCCTGCCCTGAAGGAGACTTGCCCGTTCATTAAAGCCCTTCTGAGGTCTGGCTTGTGCCCCCCTCTTATTCACAGGCTACATCAGGGGGGTGAGCTACATGTGCTGGCCATTGAGGAGCAGGACACTTGCCTCCAAGCCAGGCTGCTTGCGAGGAGGATGATGATGATGATGATGATGATAAAGTTGGAAGGGACCATGGAGGTCATCTAGTCCAACTCCCTGCTCAGGCAGGAAACCCTATCCCATTTCAGACAAATGGCTCTCCAGTCTCTTCTTAAAAACCTCCAGTGTTGGAGAAGAGAGGGAGGGAGAGAGGGAGGGAAGGAAGGAAGGAAGGAAGGAAGGAAGGAAGGAAGGAAGGAAGGAAGGAGTAACAAAATAAGAGACTCGGAAGGGGCCTTGGAGGTCATCTAGTCCAACCCCCTGCTCAGGCAGGAAACCCTATCCCATTTCGGACAAATGGCTGTCCAGTCTCTTCTTAAAAACTTCCAGTGTTGGAGCATTCACCGCTTCTGGAGGCAGGTGGTTCCACTGGTTCGTTGTTTTAATGGAAATGAAGAGGGATAAAGAGCAACACTGATTCCAGTCGGGGGTCCTTTTCTCCTTCTCTGCTCACCACACTTGGCCAAGCGTCCCTTCCCCGGGAGGAGGGTCTTTCCCTGGACTTCAGCAGGAAGCCCGGCGGGTATGCTTGGTGGCCCTCTGGACCTCCCTCGGCATGCCAGCCGGGCTTCCCGCTGAAGTCCAGGGAAGGACCCTCCCTAGGGACCGGCTGCCCAGGGAAGGGACGCTCGGCCAAGGGAGCTGACCGCCTGGCATGAGAAAGAGGGAGGCCGACAGCACCTTCTCCGCTAACACCTTCCATCCAAAGGCAGAAGCGGCTCTCTCGGTTGGGTTCCAGAAGCTTTTGCTGTTGAATGAAAGGATTTATCTGGAAGAGCGACTCTCTCGGCTCCTGGCGCTTTGCCCCCAGCGAGCACCATGGGCTCTCGTGCCGCCAGACCGGAAGCTGATTCCCTGCTTCTGCCGGGGACCAGACGGGTCTTTGGGACAGTCAGAAGCAGATTGCGTGCCATGGGCAGACCCTTCCCCACCCTGGCATTCCTGCCAACGGCCTCCCCCCCCCCAGGGAAGCTGCTTTCTCTGCCAGCCCTTCGCCTTTACATTTTGGGAACCAAGAAAACCGATGGGAGAAAAAGACCCAGAGGCCCATCGAGTCTGCCCTTTGGGACTTTTGTATGTTTTTGTTTTCTTTTCATTTATTTACTATTTTTAATAATTGTAGTCATTTATATTAATTTTAATTTTTGTTGGAGGATAGACATGTGTTTATCCCAAGCATGTTTAAATCCAGTTACTGATGATTGGCCCACACTCTCTACTAGAAGTTGGCTCACAAAGGCTCCACTACTCTTTTTGTGAAATGGTCCTTTTTGGCGGGACTTTTGAAGTTCCCTCCTGCCAGTTGCAGCTGACGCCCCCTATTCTGTTCTTGATTTTTGCTTAATATTGAAAATACTGCATTCTGCCAGAAAGCTGGCAGCCCTGTGACTTATGGGGAAGTCAATGACAAGTCTTGTAGCTTGAGAGAACCTGTTTTCCGTTTCCCCCCATCATCAAGACACACACACACACACACACACACACACACACACACACACACACACACACACACACAATGTTCATTCAAGGCTTATGTTTGGCAGAGAAAGCAGTCAGTGGTTTGCCGTCTTTCCCTGCTTCTGCTTATTCCTAAGAGGAAACCCGGCTGGGTCTGCAGAAGAGGCACTGCCAGTGGGGAATTTTCAGGTGAAGCTGACACTGTTCGGTACCCATCCCCGTATTACAGAAAGAAAATTAAAAAATCTGGCCTGCCTCGAGTCGGACAGAGGCAGACTGAAGTGGGGGAGGGATTCCTTTGGGACTGGAGCCTCCCAGGAGAGTGTGCAGAGGCTTCCTCCTGAGGGAAGGGCCCAGCTTCAAGACTGGGGGGCTCCTTGGGACTCCCCCCCCCGGTGTTGATAGGCTGACAGAGGGCGAAGGGCTCCTGGAGACACGGGATCCAGCCCAACACATCCACATCTGGGGCTCCTCGGCCTCCTTGCCAAGCTGTGCTGGCTGTTCAGTAATTCTCCTAACATTGCCCAGGAATTGCCCTCCGGGGGTTTGCTGGACGGTTCAAGACTTTTTTGGGAGGACGTGCTGCCAAGGCAGGAACCCGCCCACCCACCTTATATCTTGGCATTTTATTTCCTCTCCCCATTTTAAAGCAAAAATCTATTTATGTGAAGTGTTTTTAGCCTCTTTCTCCTGCATTAACTACAACACTTGCTAAGTGTTCCCTCCATCCCTGTCGTTCATGAAATGTGGGAAAACATAGAGCCATTGATGGTGTCTTGGGGATCCCTTTCCAGCCCGGCTGTAGTGAGGAAGTAGGGCTGAGGATGGGCTTCACCAGGCAGGAGAAGACATTAGGGCACTTGCAGGGCTCTCTTAAGGAACTTCTGTGGGCGCCATGCCAGCTGCACCTGGACAGAGGCTCCCGCTGGCAGGCTGCCTATCCCAAAAGATACGTCCTGATTGCGCTTGCTCCAATCTGGCCTCAGGAACGCTCCATTGCACAATGTTGCACAACGCCTTTACTTGACAAATCCACCATTTCTGGTATTTCAGAAACGTTTAAGAAAGTGGTTTAAAATAATTAATTACATTTTCATATATTTCAAAATGCTTCTTATTAATCTATTGCTGACAATTAAATATGATTTACATTCATTACAGAGAGTGAAAGCATCCCTGGCACACTGAGTCCTTCTCCACTAACTACTAAGGATGAAAGCACAACTCACGATTCATCCCCTTCCATTTCATCCACAAGTAACAAATCCAAGGAGGGAACATTGCAATCAACGACTCTGAGTCCAAGTGCAGAAACATCAAGTGTCGTGCACAGTAGCTTCTCTTCCAGCACGGCAAATCTTCAGAGCAGTTTGCCCTCCAAACTTTCCACCGCCACAACTCACGGCTCAAGCCACACGGCTGGTCAAACAGGGTCCAGTCCCAGCACACCCAAGGGGAGTTCCACTCAGTCACAAGTCACATCTCCTTCTCCTGCTCCTTCCTCGGAAGGGTCAAACAGCACGCTTGTGCCCTCTCCCTCAACCTTATCTGTGTCTTCCAGTCGGAGCCCAACGCCAAGTCAGGAGACCTCACTTCCTGGGACATCGGGCTCCTCTAGCACTTCTGCACCAGAAACTCCACGGACAACTACAGCGTCCATTACGTCTTCAACAACCACTGGCCCTCTAGTTTATTCCACCAGCCCTGGCTCACTGAGTCCTCCTGTGAATACTGAGCAGCCAAGCACAAAACATGGTTCAACCCCTTCCATTTCATCTACAACGAACGTACCCGAGGAGGGAACATTGCAATCAACAACTCTGAGTCCAAGTGCAGAAACATCAAGTGTCGTTCACAGTAGCTTCTCTTCCAGCACGGCAAATCTTCAGAGCAGTTTGCCCTCCAAATTTTCCACCGCCACAACTCACGGCTCAAGCCACACGGCTGGTCAAACAGGGTCCAGTCCCAGCACACCCAAGGGGAGTTCCACTCAGTCAAAAGTCACATCTCCTTCTCCTGCTCCTTCCTCGGAAGGGTCAAACAGCACGCTTGTGCCATCTCCCTCAACCTTATCTGTGTCTTCCAGTCGGAGCCCAACGCCAAGTCAGGAGACCTCACTTCCTGGGACATCGGGCTCCTCTAGCACTTCTGCACCAGAAACTCCACGGACAACTACAGCGTCCATTACGTCTTCAACAACCACTGGCCCTCTAGTTTCTTCCACCAGCCCTGGCTCACTGAGTCCTCCTGTGAATACTGAGCAGCCAAGCACAAAACATGGTTCAACCCCTTCCATTTCATCTACAACGAACGTACCCGAGGAGGGAACATTGCAATCAACAACTCTGAGTCCAAGTGCAGAAACATCAAGTGTCGTTCACAGTAGCTTCTCTTCCAGCACGGCAAATCTTCAGAGCAGTTTGCCCTCCAATTTTCCACCGCCACAACTCCGGCTCAAGCCACACGGCTGGTCAAACAGGGTCCAGTCCCAGCACACCCAAGGGGAGTTCCACTCAGTCAAAAGTCACATCTCCTTCTCCTGCTCCTTCCTCGGAAGGGTCAAACAGCACGCTTGTGCCCTCTCCCTCAACCTTATCTGTGTCTTCCAGTCGGAGCCCAACGCCAAGTCAGGAGACCTCACTTCCTGGGACATCGGGCTCCTCTAGCACTTCTGCACCAGAAACTCCACGGACAACTACAGCGTCCATTACGTCTTCAACAACCACTGGCCCTCTAGTTTCTTCCACCAGCCCTGGCTCACTGAGTCCTCCTGTGAATACTGAGCAGCCAAGCACAAAACATGGTTCAACCCCGTCCATTTCATCTACAACGAACGTACCCGAGGGGAACATTGCAATCAACAACTCTGAGTCCAAGTGCAGAGAACATCAAGTGTCGTGCACAGTAGCTTCTCTTCCAGCACGGCAAATCTTCAGAGCAGTTTGCCCTCCACCTTTTCCACCGCCACAATCACGGCTCAAGCCACACGGCTGGTCAAACAGGGTCAGTCCCAGCACACCCAAGGGGAATTCCACTCAGTCACAAGTCTCATCTCCTTCTCCTGCTCCTTCCTCGGAAGGGTCACCCAGCACGCTTGTGCCCTCTCCCTCAACCTTATCTGTGTCTTCCAGTCGGAGCCCAACGCCAAGTCAGGAGACCTCACGTCCTGGGACATCGGGCTACTCTAGCACTTCTGCACCAGAAACTCCACAGACAACTACAGCGTCCATTACGTCTTCAACAACCACTGGCCCTCTAGTTTCTTCCACCAGCCCTGGCTCACTGAGTCCTCCTGTGAATACTGAGCAGCCAAGCACAAAACATGGTTCAACCCCTTCCATTTCATCTACAACGAACGTACCCGAGGAGGGAACATTGCAATCAACGACTCTGAGTCCAAGTGCAGAAACATCAAGTGTCGTGCACAGTAGCTTCTCTTCCAGCACGGCAAATCTTCAGAGCAGTTTGCCCTCCACCTTTTCCACCGCCATAACTCACGGCTCAAGCCACACGGCTGGTCAAACAGGGTCCAGTCCCAGCACACCCAAGGGGAGTTCCACTCAGTCACAAATCACATCTCCTTCTCCTGCTCCTCCCTCGGAAGGGTCGCCCAGCACGCTTGTGCCCTCTCCCTCAACCTTAATTGTGTCTTCCAGTTGGAGCCCAACGCCAAGTCAGGAGACGTCACTTCCTGGGACATCGGGCTCCTCTAGCACTTCTGCACAGGAAATTCCACGGATAACTACAGCGTCCATTACGTCTTCAACAACCACTGGCCCTCTAGTTTCTTCCACCAGCCCTGGCTCACTGAGTCCTCCTGTGAATACTGGAGCCAAACACAAAACATGGTTCAACCCCTTCCATTTCATCTACAACGAACGTACCCGAGGAGGGAACATTGCAATCAACGACTCTGAGTCCAAGTGCAGAAACATCAAGTGTCGTGCACAGTAGCTTCTCTTCCAGCACGGCAAATCTTCAGAGCAGTTTGCCCTCCACCTTTTCCACCGCCATAACTCACGGCTCAAGCCACACGGCTGGTCAAACAGGGTCCAGTCCCAGCACACCCAAGGGGAGTTCCACTCAGTCACAAGTCACATCTCCTTCTCCTGCTCCTTCCTCGGAAGGGTCACCCAGCACGCTTGTGCCCTCTCCCTCAACCTTATCTGTGTCTTCCAGTTGGAGCCCAACACCAAGTCAGGAGACGTCACTTCCTGGGACATCGGGCTCCTCTAGCACTTCTGCACCAGAAACTCCACGGACAACTACAGCGTCCATTACGTCTTCAACAACCACTGGCCCTCTAGTTTTTTCCCCCAGCCCTGGCTCACTGAGTCCTCCTGTGAATACTGAGCAGCCAAGCACAAAACATGGTTCAACCCCTTCCATTTCATCTACAACGAACGTACCCGAGGAGGGAACATTGCAATCAACGACTCTGAGTCCAAGTGCAGAAACATCAAGTGTCGTGCACAGTAGCTTCTCTTCCAGCACGGCAAATATTCAGAGCAGTTTGCCCTCCACCTTTTCCACCGCCATAACTCACGGCTCAAGCCACACGGCTGGTCAAACAGGGTCCAGTCCCAGCACACCCAAGGGGAGTTCCACTCAGTCACAAGTCACATCTCCTTCTCCTGCTCCTTCCTCGGAAGGGTCAAACAGCACGCTTCTGCCCTCTCACTCAACCTTATCTGTGTCTTCCAGTCGGAGCCCAACGCCAAGTCAGGAGACCTCACTTCCTGGGACATCGGGCTCCTCTAGCACTTCTGCACCAGAAACTCCACGGACAACTACAGCGTCCATTACGTCTTCAACAACCACTGGCCCTCTAGTTTCTTCCACCAGCCCTGGCTCACTGAGTCCTCCTGTGAATACTGAGCAGCCAAGCACAAAACATGGTTCAACCCCTTCCATTTCATCTACAACGAACGTACCCGAGGAGGGAACATTGCAATCAACAACTCTGAGTCCAAGTGCAGAAACATCAAGTGTCGTGCACAGTAGCTTCTCTTCCAGCACGGCAAATCTTCAGAGCAGTTTGCCCTCCAATTTTCCACCGCCACAACTCCCGGCTCAAGCCACACGGCTGGTCAAACAGGGTCCAGTCCCAGCACACCCAAGGGGAGTTCCACTCAGTCACAAGTCACATCTCCTTCTCCTGCTCCTTCCTTGGAAGGGTCAAACAGCACGCTTGTGCCCTCTCCCTCAACCTTATCTGTGTCTTCCAGTCGGAGCCCAACGCCAAGTCAGGAGACCTCACTTCCTGGGACATCGGGCTCCTCTAGCACTTCTGCACCAGAAACTCCACGGACAACTACGGCGTCCATTACGTCTTCAACAACCACTGGCCCTCTAGTTTCTTCCACCAGCCGTGGCTCACTGAGTCCTGAGGAGCCAAACACAAAACATGGTTCAACCCCTTCCATTTCATCTACAACGAACGTACCCGAGGAGGGAACATTGCAATCAACAACTCTGAGTCCAAGTGCAGAAACATCAAGTGTCGTTCACAGTAGCTTCTCTTCCAGCACGGCAAATCTTCAGAGCAGTGTGCCCTCCAAATTTTCCACCGCCACAACTCACGGCTCAAGCCACACGCTGGTCAAACAGGGCCAGTTCCCCAGCACACCCAAGGGAGTTCCACTCAGTCACAAGTAACCTACTCCTTCTCCTGCTCCGTCTCGGAAGGGTCACCCAGCACGCCTTGTGCCCTCTCCCTCAACTGATCTGTGTCTTCCAGGTTGGAGCCAAACACCAAGTCAGGGACGTACTTCCTGGGGACTCGGGCTCCTCCTAGCACTTCTGCACCAGAAAACTCCACGGACAACTACACGTCCATTACGTTCTTCACAAACACTGGCCCTCTAGTTTTTCCCCCAGCCCTGGCTCACTGAGCCTCCTCGTGAATATGAGCAGCCAAGCACAAACATGGTTCAACCCCTTACATTTCATTACAACGAACGTACCCGAGGAGGGAACATTGCAACAACGACTCTGAGTCCACGTGCGAAACATCAAGTGTCGTTGCACAGTAAGCTTCTCTTCCAGCACGGCAAATATTCAGAGCAGTTTGCCCTCCACCTTTTCCACCGCCAGAACTCACGGCTCAAGCCACACGGCTGGTCAAACAGGGTCCAGTCCCAGCACACCCAAGGGGAGTTCCACTCAGTCACAAGTCACATCTCCTTCTCCTGCTCCTTCCTCGGAAGGGTCGAACAGCACGCTTCTGCCCTCTCACTCAACCTTATCTGTGTCTTCCAGTCGGAGCCCAACGCCATGTCAGGAGACCTCACTTTCTGGGACATCGGGCTCCTCTAGCACTTCTGCACCAGAAACTCCACGGACAACTACAGCGTCCATTACGTCTTCAACAACCACTGGCCCTCTAGTTTCTTCCACCAGCCCTGGCTCACTGAGTCCTCCTGTGAATACTGAGCAGCCAAGCACCAAACATGGTTCAACCCCTTCCATTTCATCTACAACGAACGTACCCGAGGAGGGAACATTGCAATCAACGACTCTGAGTCCAAGTGCAGAAACATCAAGTGTCGTTCACAGTAGCTTCTCTTCCAGCACGGCAAATCTTCAGAGCAGTTTGCCCTCCAAATTTTCCACCGCCACAACTCCCGGCTCAAGCCACACGGCTGGTCAAACAGGGTCCAGTCCCAGCACACCCAAGGGGAGTTCCACTCAGTCACAAGTCACATCTCCTTCTCCTGCTCCTTCCTCGGAAGGGTCAACCAGCACGCTTGTGCCCTCTCCCTCAACCTTATCTGTGTCTTCCAGTCGGAGCCCAACGCCAAGTCAGGAGACCTCACTTCCTGGGACATCGGGCTCCTCTAGCACTTCTGCACCAGAAACTCCACGGACAACTACAGCGTCCATTACGTCTTCAACAACCACTGGCCCTCTAGTTTCTTCCACCAGCCCTGGCTCACTGAGTCCTCCTGTGAATACTGAGCAGCCAAGCACAAAACATGGTTCAACCCCTTCCATTTCATCTACAACGAACGTACCCGAGGAGGGAACATTGCAATCAACAACTCTGAGTCCAAGTGCAGAAACATCAAGTGTCGTGCACAGTAGCTTCTCTTCCAGCACGGCAAATCTTCAGAGCAGTTTGCCCTCCACCTTTTCCACCGCCATAACTCACGGCTCAAGCCACACGGCTGGTCAAACAGGGTCCAGTCCCAGCACACCCAAGGGGAGTTCCACTCAGTCACAAGTCACATCTCCTTCTCCTGCTCCTTCCTCGGAAGGGTCACCCAGCACGCTTGTGCCCTCTCCCTCAACCTTATCTGTGTCTTCCAGTCGGAGCCCAACGCCAAGTCAGGAGACCTCACTTCCTGGGACATCGGGCTCCTCTAGCACTTCTGCACCAGAAACTCCACGGACAACTACAGCGTCCATTACGTCTTCAACAACCACTGGCCCTCTAGTTTCTTCCACCAGCCCTGGCTCACTGAGTCCTCCTGTGAATACTGAGCAGCCAAGCACAAAACATGGTTCAACCCCTTCCATTTCATCTACAACGAACGTACCCGAGGAGGGAACATTGCAATCAACAACTCTGAGTCCAAGTGCAGAAACATCAAGTGTCGTGCACAGTAGCTTCTCTTCCAGCACGGCAAATCTACAGAGCAGTTTGCCCTCCAATTTTTCCACCGCCACAACTCACGGCTCAAGCCACACGGCTGGTCAAACAGGGTCCAGTCCCAGCACACCCAAGGGGAGTTCCACTCAGTCACAAGTCACATCTCCTTCTCCTGCTCCTTCCTCGGAAGGGTCAAACAGCACGCTTGTGCCCTCTCCCTCAACCTTATCTGTGTCTTCCAGTCGGAGCCCAACGCCAAGTCAGGAGACCTCACTTCCTGGGACATCGGGCTCCTCTAGCACTTCTGCACCAGAAACTCCACGGACAACTACAGCGTCCATTACGTCTTCAACAACCACTGGCCCTCTAGTTTCTTCCACCAGCCCTGGCTCACTGAGTCCTCCTGTGAATACTGAGCAGCCAAGCACAAAACATGGTTCAACCCCTTCCATTTCATCTACAACGAACGTACCCGAGGAGGGAACATTGCAATCAACGACTCTGAGTCCAAGTGCAGAAACATCAAGTGTCGTGCACAGTAGCTTCTCTTCCAGCACGGCAAATCTTCAGAGCAGTTTGCCCTCCACCTTTTCCACCGCCATAACTCACGGCTCAAGCCACACGGCTGGTCAAACAGGGTCCAGTCCCAGCACACCCAAGGGGAGTTCCACTCAGTCACAAGTCACATCTCCTTCTCCTGCTCCTTCCTCGGAAGGGTCAAACAGCACGCTTGTGCCCTCTCCCTCAACCTTATCTGTGTCTTCCAGTCGGAGCCCAACGCCAAGTCAGGAGACCTCACTTCCTGGGACATCGGGCTCCTCTAGCACTTCTGCACCAGAAACTCCACGGACAACTACAGCGTCCATTACGTCTTCAACAACCACTGGCCCTCTAGTTTCTTCCACTAGCCCTGGCTCACTGAGTCCTCCTGTGAATACTGAGCAGCCAAGTACAAAACATGGTTCAACCCCTTCCATTTCATCTACAACGAACATACCCGAGGAGGGAACATTGCAATCAACGACTCTGAGTCCAAGTGCAGAAACATCAAGTGTCGTGCACAGTAGCTTCTCTTCCAGCACGGCAAATATTCAGAGCAGTTTGCCCTCCACCTTTTCCACCGCCATAACTCACGGCTCAAGCCACACGGCTGGTCAAACAGGGTCCAGTCCCAGCACACCCAAGGGGAGTTCCACTCAGTCACAAGTCACATCTCCTTCTCCTGCTCCTTCCTCGGAAGGGTCAAACAGCACGCTTGTGCCCTCTCCCTCAACCTTATCTGTGTCTTCCAGTCGGAGCCCAACGCCAAGTCAGGAGACCTCACTTCCTGGGACATCGGGCTCCTCTAGCACTTCTGCACCAGAAACTCCACGGACAACTACAGCGTCCATTACGTCTTCAACAACCACTGGCCCTCTAGTTTCTTCCACCAGCCCTGGCTCACTGAGTCCTCCTGTGAATACTGAGCAGCCAAGCACAAAACATGGTTCAACCCCTTCCATTTCATCTACAACGAACGTACCCGAGGAGGGAACATTGCAATCAACGACTCTGAGTCCAAGTGCAGAAACATCAAGTGTCGTGCACAGTAGCTTCTCTTCCAGCACGGCAAATCTTCAGAGCAGTTTGCCCTCCACCTTTTCCACCGCCATAACTCACGGCTCAAGCCACACGGCTGGTCAAACAGGGTCCAGTCCCAGCACACCCAAGGGGAGTTCCACTCAGTCACAAGTCACATCTCCTTCTCCTGCTCCTTCCTCGGAAGGGTCAAACAGCACGCTTGTGCCCTCTCCCTCAACCTTATCTGTGTCTTCCAGTCGGAGCCCAACGCCAAGTCAGGAGACCTCACTTCCTGGGACATCGGGCTCCTCTAGCACTTCTGCACCAGAAACTCCACGGACAACTACAGCGTCCATTACGTCTTCAACAACCACTGGCCCTCTAGTTTCTTCCACCAGCCCTGGCTCACTGAGTCCTCCTGTGAATACTGAGCAGCCAAGCACAAAACATGGTTCAACCCCTTCCATTTCATCTACAACGAACGTACCCGAGGAGGGAACATTGCAATCAACGACTCTGAGTCCAAGTGCAGAAACATCAAGTGTCGTGCACAGTAGCTTCTCTTCCAGCACGGCAAATCTTCAGAGCAGTTTGCCCTCCACCTTTTCCACCGCCATAACTCACGGCTCAAGCCACACGGCTGGTCAAACAGGGTCCAGTCCCAGCACACCCAAGGGGAGTTCCACTCAGTCACAAGTCACATCTCCTTCTCCTGCTCCTTCCTCGGAAGGGTCAAACAGCACGCTTGTGCCCTCTCCCTCAACCTTATCTGTGTCTTCCAGTCGGAGCCCAACGCCAAGTCAGGAGACCTCACTTCCTGGGACATCGGGCTCCTCTAGCACTTCTGCACCAGAAACTCCACGGACAACTACAGCGTCCATTACGTCTTCAACAACCACTGGCCCTCTAGTTTCTTCCACCAGCCCTGGCTCACTGAGTCCTCCTGTGAATACTGAGCAGCCAAGCACAAAACATGGTTCAACCCCTTCCATTTCATATACAACGAACGTACCCGAGGAGGGAACATTGCAATCAACGACTCTGAGTCCAAGTGCAGAAACATCAAGTGTCGTGCACAGTAGCTTCTCTTCCAGCATGGCAAATCTTCAGAGCAGTTTGCCCTCCATCTTTTCCACCGCCATAACTCACGGCTCAAGCCACACGGCTGGTCAAACAGGGTCCAGTCCCAGCAAACCCAAGGGGAGTTCCACTCAGTCACAAGTCACATCTCCTTCTCCTGCTCCTTCCTCGGAAGGGTCAAACAGCACGCTTGTGCCCTCTCCCTCAACCTTATCTGTGTCTTCCAGTCGGAGCCCAACGCCAAGTCAGGAGACCTCACTTCCTGGGACATCGGGCTCCTCTAGCAGTTCTGCACCAGAAACTCCACGGACAACTACGGCGTCCATTACGTCTTCAACAACCACTGGCCCTCTAGTTTCTTCCACCAGCCCTGGCTCACTGAGTCCTCCTGTGAATACTGAGCAGCCAAGCACAAAACATGGTTCAACCCCTTCCATTTCATCTACAACGAACGTACCCGAGGAGGGAACATTGCAATCAACGACTCTGAGTCCAAGTGCAGAAACATCAAGTGTCGTGCACAGTAGCTTCTCTTCCAGCACGGCAGATCTTCAGAGCAGTTTGCCCTCCACCTTTTCCACCGCCATAACTCACGGCTCAAGCCACATGGCTGGTCAAACAGGGTCCAGTCCCAGCACACCCAAGGGGAGTTCCACTCAGTCACAAGTCACATCTCCTTCTCCTGCTCCTTCCTCGGAAGGGTCGAACAGCACGCTTGTGCCCTCTCCCTCAACCTTATTTGTGTCTTCCATTCGGAGCCCAACGCCAAGTCAGGAGACCTCACTTCCCGGGACATCGGGCTCCTCTAGCACTTCTGCACCAGAAACTCCACGGACAACTACAGCGTCCATTACGTCTTCAACAACCACTGGCCCTCTAGTTTCTTCCACCAGCCGTGGCTCACTGAGTCCTTCTGTGAATACTGATCAGCCAAGCACAGAACACGGTTCAAGTCCTTCTTCTACTTCCCAAACGACCACCTCCCACAAGCGAACATTGCAGTCAACAACTCTGAGTCCAAGTGCAGAAACATCAAGTGTAGTGCACAGTAGCTTCTCTTCCAGCCCGGCAAATCTTCATAGCAGTTTTCCCTCCACCTTTTCCACCGCCAAAACGCACGGCTCTAGCTACACGAGTGGCCAAACAAAGTTCAGTCCCAGCACACCCACAGCGATTTCCACTCAGTCACAGATCACATCTGTTTCTCCTGCTCCTTCTTCAGAAGGGTCGCATAGCACACTTATGCCCTCTTCCTCAACCATATCTGTGTCTTCCAGTCAGAGCCCAAGGCCAAGTCAGGAGACCTCACTTCCTCGGACATTGAGCTCCTCTAGCACTTCTGCACCAGAAACTCCACGGAGAACAACAGTGTCCATTGCTTCTTCAATAACCACTGGCCCTCTAGTTTCTTCCAGCAGCCGTGGCTCACTGAGGCCCCATCTTAGTACTTGGCACTCCAGCACAGAGCCTTCATCCCCTTCCCTTTCTTCCAGAATGACGACATCCCAGGAGAGACCATTGCAATCTACGACCCTGAGTTCAGGTGGAGAGTGTGATATCTGTACATATGCTCTGACTAGTAGTGCAAGTCCTGTTAGTGGAAGCTATGCTATCTTTTCTTTCCCTGCTTCCTCTTCCAACTTGTTTTCCCCTTAGCTGTTCATCTACTTCTACTGAGATTCTGGTGGCATCTAGTTTTCATTTGCTCTCTTCAACTCTTTCCCCATGAATGAGTGTTCATTAAAAATCTTTGCTCCTAATGTGGTCACCTGGGTAAAAGGTAGAGCCAGTTCTGTCCTTCCATGTAGTCTTTCTTCTCCTGGCATACTTTCCTCTCTGTCATAGATAACTACCTAATGTAGTTTTTTATATTTTGGGGTATTAGTAATTCCACATGGGCCACAGTATCAGCAAGCAAGTCAGGTGGTCTCTATGGTTTGAGAAGATTTTGTGATTCTTCCTTTGTCAACCTGTGTATATGAACAATTAGTTATTGTATGCAAGGTGATATAATTTAGACTTGAGAGCAATTTTCTGATGCATCAATCTCTTCTTAGATGTAGTAGTTTTTTTGTCTCCACTCCGTACGAGTGCTGATGATGTTACATAGTTTGCTAATGAAACGTTTGCAAGAATGCAGCCCACTTAGAAGAGCACCAAGCACCCCATTTTTATATCTTTTGTTTAGGAAACTCTTAAATGATTTCTAGACATTTACCTTCTTTGTTTTGACTAATTTTGTTCTTTTTTTGTGAAGCTTCTACAACTGAAATTCTGCCCCCCAAATGTTTTAATGGCGGGGTTCCTGTTGGGGATCGCTGTGACTGTCCGTCACCTTTCACTGAGCCATTTTGCAAGGAGGCAAAGAATGAAGTTGTTGTGGGTAAGTTTATTTTTTGTGTCGCTCCCGATTTCTGTGATCACGATGATGGTGGTGGTGGTGGTGGTGATGATGACGATGGCTGTTGAGTTTTCATGTAGCATTCAGCGCAGTCCCTGCAGGCCCAGCGGGAGCCCCTCCGTATCTGAAGCCTTCCTTCCTCTGGTCTGATGCCACGGACAGCGGCGTTAGCGGCAGGCAGCTGTCTTTGTTGCTGTGAGAGGCCCATGAAATAAGTCGAATAATTATTTAGTTGTGTCTTTACATATTTATATCCTTCTAGAATCCCCAAACCCTAGGGGGTTGACAACTATAAGAACATACAATTAAGATAAAAACAAACATATCGGAATTTATTTTGGTCATATCTAATGATTTTTAAATCCTGTGTGGTCAATTGCTATCTTATTGAGTAGCATAAGGTGCATTTTGAATGACTTGACCTAATTTGCATATCTATCAAATGCTCAAACATCCCTGACACCACCATGATCCCCCCCTCCCTTGGAGGTCTATGCTGTGTCTTCCAGCCTCCTTCAGGGAAAGTCTGTGATTTGAAGGCCCAGGGAGATCCGGCTGTCTTTGCAAGCAAGAGGGTGTAAGTTTCCTTCTCAATGGCCTGGCTGAGTTATAGATCACGGACAACGTTACCTTCAGTTATTTATCCTGGGTCTCCTGCTTTTGTAAACGTTGGAGGCGGGTCTGGTGATATGGAAAAGGTGGTCTCAGCATTCTTCCATGGGATCTGGGAAAGGCCCGTGATAAGAGTTATTGGCAAGGACTGAGTAGGGGTCAGTTGGAAAAAAATATGCTAATCTAGAGGTTCTCTAATACTAATAGTCTTCAGGAGATCAATAGTTTTTATCAAATAAATTCAGCTAAGGATTTATTTATTTATTTAAAGAGTTTCTATAAAAGGCATGATTCTGAGTGGCATACAAAAAAAAAAAAAGATTTCAGTGAAGAAAAATGCAGCTGAAAACACAGATTACTGGATTCCCCAGAGAATTTTGTTTTTTTGAAAGCTGGGTCTTCATACGGGAAGCATGATGTGATTTAGGCCCCCAGGCGCTTGTTCTGCTAGGGCTGTTTTGGCTTTCCTAACTCCAGATCTGTTTAGATGTTGTCAGAAAGGCCAAGAAGACCGAAAGATGCGAATACGATCAGGAGGAAATACCAAAAACCTGAAACATTATTCTATAAAGCAGTATAAGCCAGGGGAGGGGCAGTAAGAAGCATTACTCTTTGGTGTTAGAAAGATCGGCTGGCAGTTTTATGCTCTTGGGTCATCAACAATCCTTTTTTCTTGTGAAATATGTAGAAAAAACAGATCAGATACTCTGCGGCTAAGTTTTAAGGATATGTTTAAAAGGTTGGATTAAGAAAAAAAAAGGAGGGGAAAAAAGAAAAAAAAACCACAACGGCAAACAAAGGAAAAAATGCACAAGGAAGCGACTAAAATAGAAGAGTCTTTATGTGACAGACCTTGGCTGCGCCTTCCTTCTGCCCTTTTCCCCTTTGTTTGAACTTTCTCCTTTTTGACATCTCTTTTTCCTTCCCCTCCCCATTTTGTATATTCAAGCAGCTTAAAAAATAATGCTGTATATTTGTACTCAGAAATAAAAAAAAGTGTATGTAACACATATCGGGAAATCTAGAGTAGAATCGTAATAATTAGTAAAGGCAGATAATTATTAAAATGTTTAATCACCAGTGGTTTTTTAAATACTCTTCTGGATCATTTATTTTTTCTTCCACCACAAATTTGGAGCACCTGTTCACCAAAACCCCTGTCAGAAACATACAGCATCCCTCTGTTGTGGAAGAGAAGACGTACAACTCAGGATTCAACTGAGGGGTGGGGGCGTCCTTGGTGCTCTCTGACCTTGGTGATTTTCTTGCAGACGTTTCACGACCCAACTAGGGAGCAACACTGATGCCAGGTGACATTCATCACTGATTGTTACATACATTGATGATGTTACTTAGTTGAGCCGTGAAACGTCTGCAAGAAAACAGCCAAGCTCAGAGAGAGAATCTGCCGGGCTCAGCTTTAAGGACCAGGGTGGGAGCTGAAGGTGGGCCCAACCAAGATGGCGCCGTTTGTCCATCACAGCTCTCTCTATGGCAGGCCCATAGAGCCTCTTCTGGAGATAGCCCTTCCCGGGAGGGAATTCGTTCAGGGGGTCTCCCTGCTCCTCCACTCCCACCACTGTGGAAGGCCCCTTGCCAGTATTGGCTGGCGCAACACTTAGGCTGCTGTCGGGACAGAGAGGCCTTCGTTTCCTCTCGCCTGGGCTACTTCAGTGCACTGGCCAGTGGCCTGCTTCAGACGCCCGCCTGGTCCAGAAGGGAGGGTCTCAGGGCTATGGGTGCTCAGGACCACGACCCAGTTCTGTAGGTTTTCAGGAGCCATTGAAAGGGCCGGTCGTCCCCTTCAAAATGAGGGAGGGAGCTCACACCCCAAGTCAGCTGAGGAGGGAGGGTGGGGAGGGGAGCGGCTTGCCCTGCCTTCTCAGGGAAGGGACCCCTGCCACCCCTGGCCGTGAACACATTGTTGTTCAAGGGCGTGTGGGCACAAAAGGTACAAGGGTGTTGACGTGAACATTGTTTTTATGGCCTTATTCTCCAGACGGGTGCACGGGCAACCAAGGGCACCAGGGCGTCAGCTGGATTTCTGCTCCTTAATGAGTTAGCAATTATTTGACTCTAAACCAGGCCTTGAGGAAGTTGGAGGGTCTATAAATAATTGGATAAGTGAAGGAGTCCACTTGATTGCCACCTGAAGGGGAGAGGCGAGGAGCCGGGAGAGGCCTGTGGGTCTTGGCCTAGAGGTTTTCACTACCCTGTGCTTTCTGACAGGGATGATTACGGCTACAATCAACGTCTTCGTCAAAGTGATCGAAAAGAAGTTTATAGCAGGGATGGCCAGTCTTGGCTCGCCAGCTTTCCGGATTTTTGAGACCCAATTTAAGGAGCAGGTGATGCGAAGAGCCCCTCTGTCCGTCCACCAGGGCTCCCCTTGTCCTGTCCCAAGAGCTTCGGCCGAGAGCCCGAGGGGTGGGGCTGGCCGGGTGTCCTAGCTCCCCTCTGCCTGGCCGTGGGTGGGTGGGTGGATGGGAGGGCAGGCTGGGAGAGACAGCCGGCTGCCCTCTGAAGCCCTTTGAGCTTTTCTGGCTACTGCCCAGGCTTTGACACAGGCAGACATCCTCCGAATTGGACCCCATAGATCTGGCTTTGCCGCCCAATGAAGGCTGGCAGGTTCTCATTTGGCCTCTACTGCTGATGAGGCTGGTGGGGCTCCGTGATAGGGGTGGAGGCCTGGGCTTCTGCCTGCAATCTCTTAGGGGGAACATTGGAGGGAGCGATGTCTGCTTAAAGCCTCCCCCACCCCCCAGATCTGGGGTGAAATGGTGCAGTTGGGGGCAGCCTCAACGTGCATCCTCAGAGATACTTTGATAACAATGACCCCCCCTCTCCTTTCATCCCTCCCCCCCCTCTAGATGAGAATTTTCTATGCCAACATTTCTGGGTTCCAGGGAGTAAATGTGCTTCGTCTGAGGTGAGCTATGGGGGAACCTAGTTGGGGCCCCGTTGGGGGGAGACAATTGGTGGGTTGCCCACCCCCACCTGTCCTTGGGCAAAAGCCCCACCGGAGGTGACAGGCACCCCATCCCAGGCGCTCTGTGGGTGGCCCAGTGGCCACAGCCACAGCCACGTCGCCCTGGGGCCCTCGGGGTAGGACTTGGGGGCCCAGTGAAGCAGCGTCTTCCTCCCTTTCTCTTCCCACCAGCAACGGCAGCATCAACGTGGAGCACCAGGTGCTCCTGTGGGTGCCTTTCTCCGAATTCAATGCCTCTTATGACAAAGCTGTGGGCAAAATCCGGACTCAGCTGCAGAGCAAGGAGGACGTTTGTACCTCCAAGGAAAAAGGTGAGGGGGCCTGGGGTGGCCTAGTCCCACCACGGCAGCCCTGGGTGCAGAGGGCCTCACTCTGGCCCAGCCAGCGGCCAGTCCCTGGCCAAGAGGCTCTGGCCTGGCTCCTGCAGGGGAAGCGAAGGCATGCCAGCAAGGACAGGGCCTGACCAAGGGGTGGGGGGAGTCTGTCCCCCCCCCGTCCTGAGATTGGAGGAAAGGAGGTTGGTTGGAAAGCCGGGCAAATGGGGGCAGCAGAGGCCGTTGGCTGCTCCTGCTGCTGCCGCCAGGGGATTGAGGGGCAGGAAGGGGGCTCTTCTCCTTCCCCCCAGCTGGCCTTTCTGGCTCTGCTCCCCTTCCTGTCCTTGCTGGCGGACTGCCCTGGGAGGAGAAAGGGGCAGGGCAGGATCCCCCGCGGGGGGGGGGAGGAGGAGGGGAAGAGGTCCCTGGGGACCAGGCGAGATGCAATCTCCCAGGCCTGGGAAAAGCCCCTTCCCGGAGGCAGCTTCCTCCGTTCAGTTCTCCTCCCGCCCTTTGCCTGGACAGGGCCCTGGAGAGAGCCCGTTTCCCAGCAGCAATCAAAGCTTGTAATGGTGTGATAACCGGGTCTCTTTCAGATAAGCTGTGTTTCAACTCGAGTGACTCCGTGGTGACTGAAGTGGCTCTCAGTCCTCAAGGTGAGAGCCTTGCAGTGTGCGTGTGCGAGAGGGGGGGGGAGGGAGAGGGAGGGAGGGAGGGAGGGGGGGAGGGGGTGCGTAGCATTTCCGGGCTAAAAGCAGCGTCAGAGACTGGCTGGACCCGAGGCCCCGGAAGGCTGCAATGGGGGGGGGGATTGCAATCGTGGTGGGTGCCCCAGTCCTCAGCTGACTCGTGGCTCCTCTCCTCCTGCCTGCTAGACTTGTCCAAAGCCTGCAGAAATAACTCGGTGGTCAGGGAAGACCTGCAGCTGTATTACCTGGCCCGAAACATTAGCAACCAGCTGCAGTGCGTCTCCAACTGCAGCTTTTCGCACCCGGATCCCTTCCGCTGTGACAAGGGGAGCTGCTACATCCAGACAGACGGGCCAAACTGCTAGTGAGTAGGGCGGGGGGGGGATGGGTCACAGGCAGGTGGGCCTGGGCCCCTCCTCTCGGTCACTAGCCCGACCTATGGGGCTTCCTTGGGAAACCGCAGGGTGACACAGCCAGAGCCTCGGGCCCTTCCCCCCAAGGGGGCAGTAGACTCCAGCCCTGGCTCTTGGGCCCTGCCAGGGCTTGGGACTGGGATGGCCTGGGAGGTGGGGGGGGAGAGATGGAGCCGCCCTGAACGAGCGGATCAGGAGCAGCTGCCCTGAGGCTCTGGCCCAAAGCAGCCGCAGAGGGCTCCCCTTGCAGAGCTCCACCCAGGCCCTTCCCAGGATGGCGCCTTGGGTGCCCCAGGAGCAAGGCGGGGCCCTGCCCTCAGTTTCGTGGCCCTGCGTGCTGCAGGGCATCCGTGGGCCTCCCTTCCCATGCCCCAGTCGGCCAGAAGACAGAACTAAACCCTCCCAGTTAGAGAAAGGCTGCCCCCCAGCCCTGACACTTTGCCCTTCTCCTCCAGCTGCCAGCAGTCGGACGCCTACTGGTACAGCGGCCGCCACTGTGACCAGAGCATCAGCAAGGTGGGGGTGGCCGTGGGAGTGGCCCTGGGCCTGGCGGTCCTGCTGCTCCTCATCCTGGTCCTGGCTGCCCTCCTCTGCTGGCGCCACTGCCGCCCATGGAAAGACCACAGGTACGTTGGTGGGGCATCCTGGGCTGCCCTGCCTTGCGGGCTCCCTCTAGGCTGCTGCTGAAGTTGGCTTGGGCCCCCTCTCAGGCCTGGGGGGGCATTTCCTGGTCGGAGCTCAGGAAGCCCTTCTCCGGCCTCTCCCAGCTGCCTGGCCAGCCTTCCGCCCTGGGACCTGCTGGCGACAGGGGCCTGGTTTGCAAGTGGCGTGTTTGTTCTGGGCAGGCTCCAGGAGGCAACCGTTTCCATGGGGCGATTTGCCAACAGCTTAAAACCGCAGTCCTAACAGAAACAGCAAACAATTGCAAGGTCAAGCCACAGGCGTGAAACTAGCCCAAAGGTTCCCCTGTAAAACAGGGACCTGTTCAGCAGACAGCCATCTACTCAGCCCTTGTTCTGAGCACTGAGTACATCCCCGTGCAGCCCTTTACGAACAGGTGTGGAGCCGCAGAAAAGCAGGCTCCACACCTCACACACAGATTTAATTCAGATATTTGAAGGTCCTTGATTAAAACTCCAGACATGCATCACAGCTGGTCTGCCGGTTCTTTCTTCCCAATTTCCTCATGAAGCAACCCTGCGGGATGGGTTGGTCTTGGAGAGAGAGGCCAGCCAAAGTCCCAGCCACTTTTCACGCCTAAGGCGGTCCCAGACACCTAGTTTCTAGCCCAGCGCCAAAAGCCTCCCTCTTCCTGCTCTCCCTGGAAACGCCAAGTGACATTTAGCGGCCATTGCTAGCCCAGCGGGGCAAACAGTTTGTCCAGAAGAAAGTTCTGGAGCAGTCCCTGAGGAAGCCACGCGGAGTGAGCCTTGAAGGGGGCTGCCCTACCGAAAGGGCTGGCACTGCAGCGCCCAGCACCGCTTGCCAGGGAACGCTGCTCGCTTCCGTGGGCGGCTCCGGAGGTGGCTGGCCCAGGGCCAGGGTGGGAGCAGCTGCCCGGGCCTCCCTGCACAATGGGGCAGGGGAAGGCAGGGCTCAGGAATAGCTCCCCGTCCTGGCACTGCCAAGCATCCAAGGTGGCCAGGGGAAGCCCTCAACAGGTGGCATCTGTGCCAAGGCAGGCTTTGCTGCATTTGGGGTCCCGAGTTCAAATGATGCAGCCACAGAGGCAGAGCATCGATTCCCACCTCTCATGTTGCCGGTGGATGGGGGGGGGAGCCCACCTTTCTTGGTTGAACATCCGTTGGGGGGAGCAGGCTCAGTCGGTCGGCCAGTCCAGGGCCAAAGCTTAGGTCTCCCTGACCGCTTTTCCTCCCCTCCCCAGGCGGCTGAACGTGAACCCCAACGAGGAGAAATGGTACGAGAATGAGTCGGAGTGGGTGGCCAGGCCTCAGGGCCTCCCCCCACAGAGCCCCCGAGCCCGGCAACAGGGCCCAGGTAGGTCTTGCCAGGAGCCTCCCTGGAAGAGGGCACCAAGGGCTCCAGACCTGGGTGGCACCCGAGGAGGGGCAAGGATGTGCCCCACAGCTGGTTGCCTCTCTGGCGGAAGGACCATTGCCTCACTGGGCCCCCTCTGCTCTCTCCCTGCAGCCGTCTATGCCAGCCCCAGCAGGGAGGACGCCGGCCCCACACCGACCCAGGGCACCTTCTGGCCTCAGCTCGACCAAGTGGACACCTCCCTCCAGGTCCAGCAGGGGGGAGGGGAGCTGGGTGGTGACCCTTCCTGGGAGACACCGCCTAGGGCAGGGAGGGAGGCAAGCAAGAGGAGGAGACACCTTCCCAGGGACCCAGAGCAAAGCGGAGGGGGTGGCAGTGAACACGTTCCTAGAGGGGGGGAGGGAGAGGGCTGACAGCCCCAATCCCAGAGGGGGCTGCAGATCTCAGGACCATCAGGCAGGGCTCCTGCAGGGTTTCCCTGCGCCCGCCTCTGCCCTGGGGGGTGGGGTGGGTGGCTTGCCTCTTATTCCGCCCTCCTGATACTCCGAAGCCAGCCCCCCCCCTTTCTCTTTGGCCCTCCTTCTGCAGACACGCATTGCTCGGCCCCGGATAACCCGGCTCTGAAGAAGCCTCGGAAGCCCAGTTTGGACCAAAGCAGCTTTGCTGGGTTGCTCGTCCCAAGGTCCTGGCCCGATCGGGGTGTCTGCTATGGGGCTCCTGGGCCCGGCCATCCCTGACCTGGGGACTGGGGTGCCTAGGAGCGGCTCCTGATCCGTGGGAGGAGAAGGAGCCTTGGTGGGACTCGTGGACTTCTGCTACGCCTGGATGCTGAAGAGCCCCTGGGCCGGAGTTTGCAAAGATATGGGGCCTGTGGGGGGGGGAAGAGGCTGCTGCCTGCACAGCCCCCTCGCCCGTGACTCGCATGCTGTCTCTGCAGGCAGGGACAGTGACCCCCAGCATATCCCTAACAGCCCCCCAAGGCTGCCCCGCCTTCCCTGTCACTTTAGTCTGGGGGAGCTGCTTGTTCCTAAGATTATTTGTGGGGTGACCCATGCACGGCTCCCCTGGGCCTCCAGCGATTCTTGCCTGGCCTTGCCAGTCCGGTGAATGTGCCCTGGGGGTTGATGATGAGCAGACGGGAGTGGGCTTCGGTGGGCACGGCACTGATGGGCTCACCCCAGGCTTGGAGCCTTCCGAGTGGAGAGGGTGCATCTTGCCGGCAATTGTTTGGCTCAGTGCTGTGCCACCCCCATCCCCCCCCCCCCAGCCTTGCATCAGCTGCGGAAGCAGCACTTTGCCTGCCATTGTAGGTAATAAAAGCAATTAATGCCAACTGGCCTCGGCCTCGTCTGGGTCTCTTGGGGGCAGGAGGGAGGGGAGCAGCTCAGCCAGCTCTTGTCAGGCCCGCAACTGGGGCTGAGCGCTGAGGGCGGGGACCGCGAGGTTCTGCACCAAGATTCCCACTTGGCAAATGGGGCAAGACCCCCCCTCCACCTGCTGAGGCCAGTGTGGGCTGCTCTCCCCAGAGAAGATGGGCTGCCCGGCAGCGGGGGGGGGGGGGCTGGTCTCCCTGGGTGGCTGGAGTTCCTGCCAGAGCCCTGGCTGCTGGTGGGGGTGGGGAGGGGGCAGAATCTGAAGCCTCCAAAGTGGGGTCTCTCACTGCAACGTCTTCTCTCCCCCTCCCCATACCTGTGGGGTGAGGTCTGCCGGAATCCTCCCTGCCTGCCTGGCAAGAGGGAGTGGCTGAGAGGCAGGGCGGCTGGCCCTCCCTGAGCTGGGGATTCAGCCACTGAGCCCCCATCAGGCGGCCCCCAAGCAGATCCCCTCAGGGTGGGGCCTTCTGGCGCTTGGGCTGATCTGGGTGGCAGGGGTCTTCTCAGTTCAGGAGCAACCGAGTGAGAGCTACGTTGGGGCAGAAGTGGGGCCTCTGTCAATCAGCATCCTGAAGAGAGGAGACTCTAAAGCAAGGGTGTCCACCCATGGCTACTTTAAGAACAGAGGACTTCAACTCCCAGAATTCATGCGTGGCTGGGGCATTCTGGGAGTTGAAGTCCTCCGGTCTCACGATTGGACACCCCTGCTCTAAACAAGGATGTATGTATGTGTTGCAAGGGGGACAGTGGAGCGCATGCACACAAATGTGCGCATCTCACCCTCCCCACGCCGCCTGACCCCCGTTTTCCCAGTGTGGGCGGTCAGCCGCTCTCACCCGGCGAGGCGAAAGCAGCGCCCAGTGGAGAAAGCCGCCCTTGTCCGGCAGCTCCGCACAGGCCCCCAGTCCAAGGGAGAGCTCGGCGCCCCCTGCTGGCGGCCCTGAGCAAAACTGGAGAAGCGAAATGCAGCTAGATAAGGCCACCCTTGGAATACCTGCGTGCAGGTCTGGTCACCGCGGTTTTCTCTAGAAAGAGAAAAGCAACAAAAATGATTAGAGGGCTGGAGGCTGAAACAGCTTCCAGCCCTCTCTGCCTATCCTGCCCTCTGTGGACGCCCGGCTTCCCAGCTCTCTCTCCCGCCGCCCCTCCATCCCCAAGCGCTCGTCCTCAGACCGAGGGGTGGGAAGTGGGACGGGGAGGCCTGACCTGGGCCTGGGGCGCAAAGAGTCAGAGCGGCTTGTACTACTGCCCCCCCCAGAGCAACCAGTGGACCTGCCCTCCCCCCCCCCGCCCGCAGCACCCTTCAGCGAGAGCTGCTTGCACAGGAGACAACTGTTCCACGAGTCAAAAGTCCACCCGTGGCCCCTGCCAGGAAGTGAGGGCTTGGGTCCCCCCTATCCCTGTGCAACTGCAGGGGCCTCGCGAGGAAGCAGCGAACTCCCTGGCGAGTCTGGGAGGCCGTTTTCCGACTAGCCCCTTTTGTTCAACGGCAATCACGGCTCCCCACTCGGGCAACACGCAAAAGCAAAAGGAGAAACCGGGCTTAGGAAGGGGCGAGCTTGGTGAGGACATCTCCCCCCCCCCCCAAGAATTAACCCAGCCCTTCAAGGCGCCCTGTCTGCATCCCTGCAACCCCCCCCCCCGCAACCGGGCACTGAAGAGAGGCCGGGTTGGTGGAAAAGCCGGAGTGGATGCGACGGAATGAGCCCACGCGGAGAGGCTGCGAGTGTTTCCAGAGTGGCTTGTCTTTTCCTATGGCCCCAAGGCCCCCCCCCCATCCTCAACGCAAGCAGACTCCCCCAGGCGTTCCAGGGCTCCAGCCCTGGGCTCCCTCGCAGCAGACCCTCCTCCGGACGAGCTCCGGAGCAGCGGAGAAGGAAACGCCGCAGCCCCCAAGTCGCTTGACCTGGCGCGGCTGTCAGCAAAGGCCGCGTTGAGGCAAGAGGGCTGCAAGGGAAGCTGGCGCCTGGGTGGGCCGGGCAAGACTCTGGGCCCCTGAGGGGGTCATAATGGAGAATCGTGACTCCCCTCCGGCCTTTGGGTCTGTTCCCTTCCAGTGTTTGCGCGCGCCTTAGAGCCCTCGGGGCAGCTTCTTTTGGTTTCGTTTCTGCTTCCGCCCTTACAAAGTACTTGGTGGCGATAGTGGCCTCTTCCCCCCCCCCCCCGGTTGCCCCGCAAGGCGAGGAGAGGAGGAGCCCTCCAGCCCTGAGGGCCCCGCCCGAGGCTCCCAGCGGAGAAGCCTCCTCCTGCGCTGCCAGCGCCCTGGGGACTCTCCTAGGGTCTCCTGCTTGAGCAGGGCGCCGGGCCAGAAGACCCCCAAGGTCTGTGATTCTGTAGGGTCTGCGGGGGGCGGGCGGGGGGAAGCAGGTGCTACAGCCATGCTGGGACTTCCTGAAGGGGAAGGGGCCTCCCTGAGCCAGCCAGAAGGGCTTGCAAGAAGGGCTGGCTCCCAGGGACAGCGAGGGCCGCTAGCTTTCCTTGACTGAGACTGGCGGCCACTGGTCCTCACCTTCGGCTCCCTCTGCCTGGGCTGAAACCAGGTTGGGTCCCAGAGCCCCTCTGCTTCATGGCCACCGCTTGAGCAGGCCGGGATGGGGATGTGTGGGGGTTTGCTTGGACGTGGTTCCACCCTCCCTTCTTTGTCGTCCTCTTCCAGGCACAGGCCGGGGTGGGCTTCCTCTTCATCCCCTGCTTCTCTGGACGGAAGGTGGCCAGATGGCTGCCAGAGCATCCTCCCTCTGGGAGACCCTCTCCAGCAGCTTCTTGACTTGCACCATTTGCTTGCAGCACTATTGCCAGCCCAAAATCCTACCCTGCCTCCACAGCTACTGCCAGGACTGTCTGAAGAAGCTGCTGGGTGGGTCAAAGCAGGAGCTGCGGTGCCCTGAATGCCGCGAGGTGGTGCCTCTCCCAGCCGGCGTTGAAGGTTTGAAGACCAACTTCTTCATCAACGGCCTCCTGGACTTGGTGCCTCCGGTCGAGGAGGCCAAGGCCACCTGCAGCCTGTGCCCGCTCATTGGCCAAGATGCCAGCTCTGTCGCTGTGTCTCACTGCATCGATTGTGCCGACCACCTGTGTCAGGCCTGTGCCCGCGGGCACCGTTGCTCCCGGCTTACCCACGACCACCTCCTGGTAGACATGGAGGCTTACTGCTCTGGGAAGTACAACGAGGAGATCCGGAAGCGTCAGGCCTCACGCTGCAAAGAGCACAAGGATGAAGACCTGCAGTATTTCTGCGTCACCTGTGCTGCTGCCCTCTGCCGGGAGTGCCGTCTGGGCCCTCACCTGGAGCACCCGTGCCTGCCCCTGTCGGAGGCCGCCAAAGCCCGCCGCCCCATCCTCACAGGCCTCTTGGATGGGGTGGAGGAGAAGATGCACCTCCTCGCCAAGGCAAAGGTCAACCTAGAGAAGGAGAGGCAGGAGATGGAGACGTGGAACGTGAACATCCGCATCGTGGTAGAGCAGACATGTGCCAAGGCCGTGGAACAGTTGCTCAGCCACAAGGAAAAGGTCCTGGGCCAACTCTCTGGCTACCTGGAGGAGCGGAAGGAGGCCTCTCAGCTGCTGCTTTCTGAGCTGGGCTTCCAGGAGCAGGTGGCCTCCACCACGGTGGCCTTCGCCCGGAAGGTGCTGAATCTGGGCCAAGCGGTGGAGATCGTGTCCTTGGAGCAGATGATCTCCGAGAGGCTGAGGCAGTTGCAGAGCTTCTCCTGGGAGCCCCTCACCTTGCAGGTCCCCAAGCTCCACATCCAGCCAGACCTCCTCTATGGCTGCAACCTTTTCCTTCTGGAGTTTCACGAGAAGGCCGCGACAACCACCCCTGAGTGCAGCATGGGGGATTCCACCCAACGGGCTCAGAAGGAAAAAAAGCAGAAGCAACAGCAGCGGCCTCAGGGAGCAGAAGGGGGGGACGCCTCCAGAGAGGAAAAGGCCCCAAGTGGGGAAAGCCTTGGGCTGATCCCAAAACCCGTCTTCTTCTGCAGCTTCTGGGTGAAAGTCCCAACGGACAAAAAGCGGCCACAGATCACGGGCTTGTTCCCGTTCGGCTCCAACGAAATCCTCGTGGCTGATGAGGAGAACAAGAAGTTGAAGCGCTTCTCTCTGCAGGGCGAGTTCAAGGGCACGATCCCGGTGCCGAGCAACGTGGCCCCATTCAGCGTGGCTGCTGTGGGCAACAAGGCGGTCTTCACCGCCGGATCCCAGCTCTACGTCTTAAATGAAACGGGGGGGATTATGTGGCAAAAGGCACTCAAGGGGGGCCAGGCCAGCCACGCAGTGACCACCTGTGACGGGAACTGCGTGGTCGTGTCTGTGGCGGGACATCTGGAGGTGTTCAACTTGAAAGGAGAACTCTTGGAGAAGATTGTGCCGGAGGCCTCCCACGAAAGGTGCCTGGTATTCCTGGGCAGATGGAAAAAGGGATTTGTGGCATCTGACTGGTACCGACATAGCGTGGTGCTGCTCGACAGGAATGGGGATCTGGTGACCGAATACCAGGAGGAGCAGCTGAGTGGGTCTCAACCAGGCAGCGTCTGTGCTGATGCCCCCGGGATCGTCTACGTGGTGCTTCGGGAGCTGAACAAGATTGTGGCCTTTTCAGAGGCCGGGGAAGAGCTGGGATCATTTCTCACAACAGAGAATAGCATCTTCAAGCCACGAGTGGTCACTATTGCCGGGGACGGACATTTTGTGGTAGCCCTCACCAACGGCACCATCCATGTCTTTAAGATCAAGTACCAGGGCAAGTAAACGGGGAGCAGGCCCCGGGGAAGGCACGTCTGCAGGGTTCCAGATGGGAGCAGACGTCCTTTGGCGGTAGATTGGCTCCGAGATGGGGGGGGGAGAGTGTTCAGGCCCCCCTTCAACCCTTCATTGTGTGAAGGGCTGTGTCTCCAGAAGGCTGGGCCTCTTCTAGCACCCCAGTCCAGCCTTCTGGAGACACGGCCCTTCACACAATGCTGAGGGTGGACAGAAATGGGTGCCACAAAGTCTGCTCTCGGAGAGGCCACCAGACTGGCTGGAGGGAGAGAGGGAGGCACATCTTCTGTGGACGCTGACATCACAGGGAAGAAGTGGGGGTGGGGTGGGGGGTCAAAGGGCATCCCAGTGAGCCAATAAGGGTTTTACTTCTGAACGTCCCTTGGGAGACCAGCCATGCTCGCCTTCTCATTTGTTTGAAGGATGCAATAATCCTTAATGTGTGATCATATAAATTAGTTTAAATAAACAAACAAAAATCCTTCCTTCCTTCCTTCACTCACTCATTCCTTCATTTGTTCATTTTTTTTAAAAAAGCATTGCTATGCCAGAAGAAATTATCTGCATAGACGTTGTTTGGGCTGTTTCATTTATTCATTAATGCGCTGAATTACCTGCCGCTCCTGGTCAGGTGTGGCTGAGAAGGTGGCTGGCCTGGAACCCTCTGTTGCTGCTGCTAAGAGACAGCAAACACAAACAGCCCATCCTGGAACAGCAGCTATGACTAAGTCCTCCTTGCCCAGCCTCTTCCTGACTTTTTCCACCCTCTGGGACATTCCCCCAAGGGCTCTGGGGGAGGCCGGGACCCACCGCAGGCTCTGCCTCCTCACCCACCCTAGCTAGAGCGTCGGGAAGAGGGTCTTGTGCGTGGGGGGGAAGGGGCCGAAACGCCCAAGCAACAAAGCGGAGGGGGCAGGCCCGGCCCTGAGCCAAACGGGGGAATCGGCTGGGGCAGCTCAAGCAGGCTAGCGAGATTCTGCTACTGCCACAAAGTCCTTTCAGGGTTCCTGGGGAGCAGATTTCCGGCTCCCGTCTGCCTTGTGGGGCTGCCAGGTGGATTTCATTTGGAGCAGGTCCTGAGCTCTTCCACGAAGGGCTTGCCCTGCACCCAGGAAACCCTGCCACCCAAACTAGGGGGGTGGGGTCAGCACAGGCAGAGTGGCCCAGGAGGACAGAGAAATTTCCAAGGGAGGGAAATTGCCAGAGTGCTCAAAGGAGGGGAGGGAATGGGAGGGAGACAAAGAAGAAACCACCATCCAAGGGATTCCTCCCCCCTTCCCTCCCCATCAATGGCCCAAAGGCTGCAGCAACAGCAGCTGCCCTGCTGGCTTAGACACTGGTTTGGTGTCTCTAGCCTTCTAACCCAGGGACCTTCTCCCCACATGCCGGGCTCTTGCTCCCCGTCCGTTCCCTCCCCTTTACGCAGAGGACCAGCTGGGCCTTCTTGCTGTCCAGGGAACTCCAGCCTGGAAGGGGCTGCCCCGGCAGGGAAGGATCCGCTTCCCCCCCCCCCCAAACTTTCTCTGAAGTGCTAAGCTGGCTTTGGAAATGAAGTTCCTCCTTTGGAGGCTTTTAATCAGCAAAATCCCCCGAAACCAAAGCAGGAACCACCCTGCTTTGTGTGACACACAATGGAGTGCGCACATGAAGCCAACCGCAAGTTGCCCAACCAGTTGCATAATCCTGAATTCCGGCGTGCTGTTGCAGCCGGGTGGCCAGCAGCCCAGCCTCCTGAGGAGCCAACGGGGGGGGGGCGACTGGGGTCCCTTCTGCCCACTGCAGGAAGTGCCGGTTCTATGGACCTCCGGGCCCAGCACCCTCCGACTGGCCCTAAGGGGGAAAGGCAAACAGCCGCTCGTTTCTCAGACCCCGAACTGCACACGGGCTCGGGGGCATGTGTGGACTGGAGCAGGCAGGAGCCACAAGCCTGCTGCGTGGAAGGCAGAGGCCACGAGCTGCCTGAGGCCCCCCTCCCCTCGGTGGGCCCCTGGTGGTCCAGAGGGTCTCCCCCCTCCTCCCCCTCCGTGGGCCTCCTGAAAACAGGCCTCTCTTCCTGTTTGGCCCGTGTCCGAAGGGGAGGTAGAGTTGGAGGTATCGGAGGGTTTTATGAATGCACTTGGGGGCTCCCAAAGGTGCTTTTCCAGGAGGCAACTGGACTTTCTTGTTTTTCTTTGAAGACATTTCACTTCTCCTCTAGGAAGCTTCCTCAGCTCTGACTGGATGGTGGGGAACGGAAGGATTCCATCCAGTCAGAGCTGAAGAAGCTCCTTGGAGGAGAAGCGAAACGTCTTCGAAGAAAAAAAGACAGCCCAGCTGCCTCCTGGAAAGCACCTTTGGGACAACCGGGACCTGGAGGACGGAGAACCCCCACGGGCACTTGGGGGCTGTCTTGTACCCCACCCAGAATCAGTTCAGATTGGACTTTGTACAATAAGCCAACTCTGCCAAATGCCCACCTCCTGCCAGGTTGGATCCAGGCCCTGCTCCATTTTTGCCCGGGAAATGGGTAGCCCAGAAGGGTGGGAGATGTTCACGCTTCATGGGGAGGCAGGCTGAGGGGGTCACCCTGTGCCAATCCAGCCAGCCTCCAGTCTGCAGCGGGGGGGGGGGGGGCATGAACGAGGCAGGGACGATCCCGGACAGGAGTTCTACCTTCGACCTCAGGGCTCCACAAGCCCCCCCCCACTGCACTCTGGTGGAGTCTCCGAAGCTGGGGCTCTCCCCACAGCAGGGCCTTCTGATGGGCACAGAGTGGCGACTGGACTGTGCCGGGACTCAGTGCTGCTTCTGTGTTGCCTTTCTGGGCAGCAGCCTCTCCTGCTGCAGGCATGACTCAGTTGTCCCCCTCCCCCGCCTCCCCCACCCCCTTTGGGGCCAGTCACGCTGAACTCCTGGTGTTAGAAGGAGCCCTGCGGGCCCGTCTGGCTCTGTTGGGAGGGAGGGGCTGTCTGACTCCATGGCTGCTGCTTTGGGGATGCTGGGGGGGGGCACCTGTCTGGGCCCAGCCCTACAGTTGCAAATGGAGTGGGGGACTCTGTCTCTAGGTAGGAAGCCTTCCTACTGCGATGGCTGGGCCAAGGAAGGGGGTGAGAGGTCAGGTGGGTGGGTGGAAGCAAAGCAGGGGGGCTGTGAATGACAGAGCGCCCCTCTAGGGACAGATGGAGGAGGAGACAGGGTGATACAGGCTGTGTCTGCTGGCCCCTACCTCTGCCCTGGGCCGCTCTCTGCTGGCTGGGGTACCCTGGCACACGTCTGCAGCGTGCAATGCCAGGGCGCCCAGAAGGTGGGTTGAGGGTTCCCCCTCTGGCCCCCTTTCCTCTCAAAAGGTCCACAGAGACAGCAAGTGCGGGGCAGCCGCAGAGCATTCAGGAGTGACCCCCCCACTCTCCTCCCCTGGAGCCCTCCGGGGCCAACCCCTTTGGCCCAGGCCAAGAGCCGCAGGAAGGGCTGGCGGGAGAGGAAGCACCTGGGACCCAGGGCCTCAGCAGGGGAAGGGGGCAAACAGGAAGACGGCAGAGGTCTTGGGCAGAAGATAAAGCCGGGCAGGGGGCACCTGGAGGCCACAGGGAATTCCGAGACGGCCCGAGTGAGTCATGGTGCTCCCCCCCACAGGATTGACTGGGAGAGGCTGGTGGAAACATAGTTCAAGTCCAGTCACAACAACCTTTTCCTAGATTGGCTCAGCCCACACAGAGCTCTTTTATGTTATTTATTAGACAAATTTATACACACAGTGATCCTGGGAGCGTGCAACATTAAAAATCCAGTTAAAAATCCGCAATTTAACTCTCACCCCACCCCACGGCAGAATCCACAGAATCAAACACTTGATCAGCTCTGAATGGGGTCCCCAGGCCCACCGACACCCCCACACTGTTATCGCCTTGCTGAAAAGCCACACGGGGGGGCAATCTTATCTCGGGGGGGATGGGGCTCCAAAGGAGGGGGCTGGTGCAGAGAAGGCCCTTTTCCTGGGTCCCACCAGATTCCCCTCCCCCCACCTGGCAACATGCCCTGCCTTCCTGCCCTGGTGAGAGGGTAGATGTTTGGGGAGGGGCGGTCCGTCAGACGGCCTGGCCCCCAGCCATCTGGCGCTTTCTAGCAGCACTGGGATGCAGGCAGGAACCCAGGGCGGCTCCTTCAAGGGAGGAGACACACATTCAAGTCTGGATCTGCACAAAACCATGTTAAAGCCCGCCTTCCCCAACATGGTGCTCCCGATCTCCCAATACGCTTGCCACTAGACGGGGGGGGGGGAGGAAGGCTATGGGCAGCTCCTCTGCGGGCTGACCGACATTTCCCGCTGGAGGCTGGGCTGGGGTGCTCCTTCTTGGTTGACAGCAGCCCCAGAGCCCATGCAGGGGGGCAGCCCAGGAAGAGAACAGTGGTGGGGAGACCATGCTTGACACTACGGGGGGGGGGAACTGCCCAGTCTCACCCCCTCTTCAACATGTCTGACGTGGCTCAGCCCAAGGCCTCTTTTCTGCTCCTGCTGGGGTGTCTCTGGGAACAGGGCGGCTGAGTCTGTTTGCCTGAGTGAGTTTGAGCTGAGCTTGCTGGGAAGGGACGGGCACATGCCGTGCAGCAACCGAGCCAAGGCCTGGCCGGGCAAGGCGCTCCACCTGCTGTTGTGGCCTGCCAGGCGCCCCTTACAGCTGGAGGGACTCTTTGACAGCTCATTCCCATGGTTGGGTGGGCGTGGGGGTGCAGGGGACGAGGGGCTCAAAGGCCGAATTATACAAGTGGAGCCAGCGGCAGCCGTGACCTCCCCCCTGCCAGCCCTGAGGGGCAGCTGCTGACCCTGTCCTCCTGGGAGGGCCCAGCAAGGAAGGACCTTCTCGGAGGTCATCCCTGTGGCGAAGAAGGGGCCAAGTGCCAAAGGCAGCGGCCACAATGGGAAGACCCGGCTGCTTCTCCCAGAGAAAGCTTCCGCAACTGGAGGTCTTCGTCCCAGTGAGGTCTCCGCCTCAGCCGGGCAGCTGCACAGATGGGGCTTGCTGGCTTTCAAGTGGAGGTGGCCCCTTTGTCTCACAGACAGCCCCCCCCCCGTCGCCAGAGGGCAGCTAGCCTTCGGTCTGTTTAGCCTGGCCTCCTGTGGGGTGGGGGGGGGCAGGTAAGAGGCCTCCTTTTGGTTGGGCACATTGAATCTCAAAAGGGCTCAAAGTTTGGAGTGAAAACGTAGAGTTGGTGGTCAGCAGAAATGGAGCAGGGGGGGTACCTCAGTCTTCATGGGGTGTTGGGGGTCATAAAGCTAAGAGGAGGGGAGCTCAGAAGGCCAAGCCAAGATCAGAGCAAGGGGGCTCCCGGTGCTGGTGCCCCAAGCTTCAACTTTCCTCCCATCCCAGGAGGGGGAGGAGGAGGAGGAGGAGGAGGAGGAGCAGGACCCTGCTCTGCTTGGATGGCGCCCCCCCCACTCTCCCCCCTCCCCCCGCTCTCCACTCCTCTCGCCTCCTGCTGCAGATGGGCCGCCTGGGAACCTGGCAGAGTCAGTCCCTGGATGGCTCACTGTCAGTTGGGACTGATGACCACTTAGCCTGGAATGTCCTTTTGCTGGCCACACTCCCCCGCACTCAGAGCAGCGTGCTGACCAGCAGGGGCCCTTGGTGGAAACGGTGCCTCCAGGCTGCCCTTCCCCTCCCGCCCACCAACACTGGGCCCAGCATGGCCCCAGGGCGCCCCGATACCCGGCCTCCTCTCCAGATGCTGCTTCATGAGGGACAGATGTGTTGGGGAACAGCCAGGGTGCCAGCTGCGCAGAAGGCACATGGAGTGCTCGCTGCCTGGTTCCTGACCCTTCCCTGCCTGGGGCCAGCCAGGGCTTCCCGGCCACAAACGGAACTCCTCTCCCACCCCCATGTTTGGACTGTTCCGTCTGACCAAAGAGCCTTGGCTGACGGCCGGACGGGGCAGAGAGAGATTCCAAGCGTTCAGGAACGATGACGCTGTGGCCAAAAGGAGACTGGGTTCATCCTGGCCCAGCAGGGGGAAATCCACCCCCGCAGCAGCAGCCACTTCAGGCTGCATCATCCCGAGAAGCTGATTAGCAGCAGGAGCTGAAAATGCTGAGCGGAGATTGCAAAACGTGCTGGGTGGGGGTGGGGAGAGCCGCAGTCCTTCCCTGAACCCTTGTGCCCCGAGTCCAGGGCCCAGGAGGGAACCCTGGGGCCCGGGGGCCTCCCTGCTCCTGGCAGTGCAGGGAAATGGGACCAGAAGAAGCCTCAGAGCAGATCCCGTGACACCCAGCGGGACAAGAGTCAACTTCAGACCATGCTCCAGGAAAGGCTCTCTTCAGAGACTCACCTGGTTGGAAGGGACCTTGGAGGTCACCTAGTCCAGCCTTTCCCAAAGCAGGAATTCCCAGACTATCCCAGGCAAAGAGCTGCCCAGCCGCTTGCAATAGAGGCCCACAACTGCAGGAGGCTCCTGTGGCCAGGAAGTTCTCCTCATTTCGGGTCTGGGCCTTCTCTATGCTGCTTCCCTCTGTGGGTGGCTGCCTTGCCCGCTGACACTATAGACAAGCCAGGTTTTCCCCTCCGAGAGAGCCAGGCCGCCCATCCCTACTTCTTGTCTTCCTAGATTTCGTTCTCTGCCCTCCTTGCAGCTCCTCACGGCCTTCTCGCAGGTGGACCCTCCGAGGACAGACCGGCTGCAATCTGGTCAGTGCCGCCCGGAGAGGACCGGCGCAGCTTCAGCGCCGGTGCGGAGGCAGCTCAGGATTGCCTCGGCCATCCCGTCGGCCGCGGCCCCCTGCCGGCTCAGGCCGGACGCCCGGATCCCTCCCGGGCCGTCCCTGCCTCTCTGGAGAGGGCTCCGCGGGCAAGCCCGCTTTCCGGATGCGAGCGCTCTCTCCCGCGCCGGCTCCCGGGGCTTCCGTCCACGATTGGGAGGACGCCGAACCGCGCTGCCGCCCCACGGAACGCCCCCCTTCCGCCGAAGAGGCACCTGAGGGGGCGGAGGCCGGGCTGCTCGGGCTGGGGGGCGGGCTCTCCCTCCGGGCGCGTGCCGGGCCGAGCGTCGGTCTCGCGGAGGGGGCGGCTGCTCGCCCGGCGCTTAGCCCGGCGGGGGCGGGGGGAGGGGCGGCGCCCGCCGCTGACTTCCTCCCGGCTTCCTGGCAGGCGGGCGCAGCGCATAAAAAGCCAAGCGGGAGCGCACCGGCACCGAGCCCAGACACGGCCGTCCCGAGAGCCGAGTAAGCAACGGGGACGCGCCGAGGGCGGAGGGGCTCCCGCCTTGCCAGCCCCGGGGACGGCCGTTTCTCCTGATCGGCCTGGCGGAGGAGGTCCCCCCATCCTCCTCCTCTGAGGACGGAACCGGGGTGGCTTCGGCGGGCCTGCTCCGGCCCGGGATAAGAGGCAGGCGGCAGCCGGCAGCCCCCCCCCCGGGGCCCGCTGTGGGTCGCCGGAGCCGCGTCGGCCAGGATGGCGCCGGTTGACCTTCTTCCTCTCTCGGCAGGATGGAGCTGTGGTCCCTCCTGTCCTTGGCCTGCCTGGCCCTTTCGCGTGCCGCGCCCGCCCCTTCTGGCCACCAGGTGGCCCGGATGGCCCAGCTCTCCGCGGACTTCGGCCTCCGGGTGTTTCGGGAAGCGTCCAAGGCCTCCAAAGACCAGAACCTGGCTTTCTCCCCCCACGGCGTGGCTTCCGTGGTGGCCATGCTCCAGGTGGCCTCGGAGGGAAACACCCGGCGCCAGATCAAGGATGCCATGAGGTTCAGCCTGAAAGGTGAGCGACTGCAGGGGGGAGGGAGGGGCGTGGGTGCCCTGCTTGGTGGGGGCACCACTTCACTTTGTTGGTTTGCTCTTTGGGAAAAAGGAGATGGGGGGGCAGCCTAGTAGGGCGTCTGACCTCCCAACCTGCGCAGCCTGGAAGCATGAACAGGTGGGCTAGCAGAGGTCCTGTGGCTGACCCCAACTGCCTGCAGATCCTGCCTGAAGGGCCGAGCATCTGAGGAGGAAGGCCCCACCTCACCCTCTGGCAGGCCAACTCTGCTCGCTCCAGAGCAGCTGACCGTCCCTGCTGGCGTTCATTGGGAGAGGTCAGTAGAGGGCCTGGCTCCAGCGGAGCTGAGGATATGCTCTCCCCCACAGAATGGGGCATCCCACGAGCCCTACGACTGCTGCAGAAGACCCTGAGCGACCCCCGGAGCAAAGACATGGTGGAGATGGCAGACGCCCTTTTTGTGCAGCGCGATCTGCCACTGGTGCCCACCTTCATGCTGCGCTTCCAACGTATTTTTCACCAGATGGTCAAGCAGGTGGACTTCTCAGAGACTGCCCGCGCGCGTGACATTGTCAATGCCTGGGTAAAGCAGCACACCAATGGTGAGCAGCAGCAGGGAGAGCTCCTAGGACAAGCCTGGGGAGGCCCTGGGAGCTGCAGGAAGGACCCTTGGGGAACCGGGCAGACTTTGCCCTGGGTCCCCAGGCTAGAAAAGCCGGGTGGGGTGCTTGATTTGGGCCCGGACTCACGCCTAAGGACCTCTGAGCCTGGAAGCAGAGGTTGCCCTGCCCACCCATCACCCGTCTCTGCTTTCTCAGGGATGATCCAGGGTTTCCTGCAGGAGGGCGCCCTGGGTGCCATGACACGCCTGGTGCTGGTGAACGCCATCCACTTCAAAGGCCTCTGGCGACTTCCCTTCCCGGAGGCCGCCACTCGCCAGCGCATCTTCCACAAGCTGGACGGTAGCACCGTTGCGGTCCCCATGATGGAGCAAACGGCCGAATTCCACTATGGTGAGGAGGCCTCTCCTTTCAGAGATGGGGCTGGAACAATTTTGGGCCTGAGTCAGCCCGAGGGAGCTTCTCTGAACATGTGCAGGGTACTGGGGTCAGGATGTGCAGGGCCCCCAATCTGGTGCTCACCCTCCCGTCTCTTCCAGGCGAGTTCTCCCTCCCGGAGCAGGGGAGCTATGATGTCATCGAACTGCCCTACCAGGGGGAGACGCTGAGCCTGCTCATCGCCACCCCTTTCCAGCTGAACGCCCCCCTCTCGGCCCTGGCGGCTGCCATCGACACCCGGCTCATTGCGGAGTGGAAGGGCAACATGTCCGCCGTGACACGGCTCCTCGTCTTACCCAAGTAGGGGTCACTCGGGACTGGCTCAAGCCACCAACCCCGCAGAGGCCCTCCTGCCCCTCGCTGACCCTTCCTTCTTTGCAGGTTCTCTCTGGAGAGCGAAGTTGACCTCCGCGGGCCGCTGGAAGCCCTGGGCATGACGGACATGTTTGACTGCCAGAAGGCCAACTTCAGCCGCCTCTCAGGTTGGGGTCTCCCCCCCCCATGTCCCCTTGGCTCGTCACCCTCCAGGTGGGGCACTTGCTGCCCACTGGCTGCAGGGAGCCTGGCAGAGCTAAGGCCCAAGGCCAGGAGGGGGGAAGGAGATCCCAGGGAGTGTGCAGAGTGCTTTCCCTGGAGCCCATCAGCTCTGGAGCGAGAGAGCCCAGACCCCCCCCCCCGGCCAAAGTAGGCCGGAAGTTTGGAGTATCCTGCTGTGGCTTTGGCTGGCACCCCCCGGGCACTGGACCAGCCCAAGAGAGAGGTGCTGCCCGTGCAGAGGACATGGGGGTCGGGGCCACGCTCACGGGTCCTGTTCTCTCTTTGCAGTGCGGGATGCCCTCTTTGTGTCTCAGGCGCTTCAGAAAGTGAAGATGGACGTGAATGAGAGTGGTACCAAGGCTGCTTCTGCCACAGGTGGGTATCCTGGACCACTGCAGGCGCTGTTCTCTGCCCAGTTCTGTGGGCAGAGCAGAACCCACTTCTTGGCAGCAAACAACCCCCCCTCTCGCTTTGAGGCTCCCTGATATGCCCGGGGTTGGTTTTGCTCCAAAGTGGGTCGCTCCATGACTCCTCCCATGAGCCTCAGGAGGGGGTGGGCGGAGGGTGGCACTGGTGCCCACTGACCATTAAGCTCTCCTCCCTCCCTTCCAGCTGCCGTCGTCTATGCCCGGATGGCGCCCTTGGAGATCGTGCTGGACCGGCCTTTCCTCTTTGTTGTGCGGCACAACCCAACCGGTAAGGCCCACCGAGGACCCTTTCCTCCCCCCAAAGACTGCAGGGGCCTCTCTCCCGGGGGTTGCAGGAGCCCAGGGAAAAATAAAGGAGGGCTTCACCTGAACCAGGATTGCACCCAGCGCCAGGCTTGGCTTGGCTGCCTGTGTCCCCACCCCCCCACCCCAGGAAGAGGGCGGAGGCGGCTCCGCTTGCCCCACCCGCCACTGGCCCCCGTAGCACCTCTCTTCCTCCTTGCAGGCAGCGTCCTCTTCACAGGGCAGGTGATGGAGCCCTGAGCGCCCCTGCCCTGCTGGCGCCCGACATCCCTTTGAAGCGAAGGAGGGCCTTTCTTTGCCTGCCCAGGGAGGCTCCACGCCAGCAGGATGATTCCCCCACCACCCTCTTCGTGGAAGCCGCTTCTGCTGGGCCGTCTCCCTCACCTGCCCCGCCGCTCTTGGCATCCAGGGCACCAGCGCGAGAACCGGGCACCCAGCGAGTCGCCACGGGCAGACGAAGGTCCAGGCAGGAGGAGGCCCCGAGGCGCAGGGGAGCTCTGCCAGCCGCTGTCCTGGGGAGAGGAGGATGCCAGCCTCGCCCGGGCACGGCCGTTCACGGTCCCTCCTCCTCCTCCTCTTCCGGAACAAGAGCCGTCTGGACTGCAGCACTTTGGGACTAAAAAGAAAGACTTAATATATGCAGATATTTTGTTTTATTTTTGCACATAAAAATACACCGCGATGGGCAACCGACCGACTCGCCTGCTTTGCTTTCCAGCCACGGGGCGGGGCGGGGGGCGGGAAGCGGGCGGGGCGAAGCCGGGCGGCCTCCCGTTGACGTCACGGTAGGGCGTCTCCCGCGTCTCCAGGCAACCGCCCGGGCCCGGAAGTGCGCGCCACGAGCATGCGCGGGCGGAGGCACCTGGGCAGGTTAGGGCGGAGAGGAAGCGGCTGCCGGGCCCGCCAGGGACGCCCCGCCGCCGCCATGGTGAGGCCGGGGAGGGCTCGGGCGCCGCCCGACGAGCAGGAGCGGCCCGCCAGGCGAGCGCGGCTCTCCGGGACCTTCGGGGAGGCGGGCGGCCCAGAGCAAGGCCGAAGCAGCGGGGCCTCTGGCGGGCGTGATCCCCGGGCCGCCCCCGCCCCGAGAGCCGCACCTGGGCTGGGGGGGAGCGAGGGACGGCCGAGCCCCCCAGGTGGCTTTTGGAGGCGGCGGCGTTTGCACTTCCCCCCATTTTCCCCGCGGCCGTGAGGCCCCCCTCCCCCCGCCACCTCGTCCGCGCCTGGGCTGGGGGGGAGGAGAGGCTGCCCCCCCCGCACGTCCGCTCCGAGGCCGCCTTGTGCTCCCCCGCCCACCCGGGGTTCTAGGCACGGACCTCCCGGTGGCCGCACGCGGTTCTTCCCCCCCCCCGCTCGCCCCCGCGGTCGGGGGGCCGCCTGGGAGCCGCTGCCCAGCGCCTGCCGCTGGCCGAGAGGGGCCTCCGCGGGGCGGAAGGAAGGCTGGGGGGGGGGCGCTGACCCCTCCCCCTCCCCCTCTGTGCCCTGCAGATGCGCTTCATGCTGCTCTTCAGCCGGCAGGGGAAGCTGCGCCTCCAGAAGTGGTACCTGGCCACCTCGGACAAGGACAAGAAGAAGACGGTCCGGGAGCTGATGCAGGTGGTGCTGGCGCGCAAGCCCAAGATGTGCAGCTTCCTGGAATGGCGGGACCTGAAGGTGGTCTACAAAAGGTGACTCCTTCCCAGGAGGAGGAGCCGGCCTGCAAAGCCTTCTGCTGCTCCTCCTCCTCCTCCTCCTCGCTTTGAGCCAGAAGCAGCCTGGTTATTTGGGGAACTGGGGGGGGGTGTCCTCCGGGAAGGCCTTGCTTCCCCCCCCCCCAGACGAGAAGAGGGTCCAGCCTTGTTCATCAGGCCTCCTTGCCAGGTGGAACCGAGGGCCGCTCGGACATCCAGCACAGCCAGCCGTATTCTGTGCTTTCTTATCCTTCCCTTCCTGTGCATGCTGGGGGACAGCAGAGGGCCGAGCCCTGCCCACTCCCCTCCCTTTTGGGAGGGGGTCCCAGGGCAGCAAGAGCTCTGTTACGCTCAGTTGCCTTGTGCCTCCCATGTCCTCTCAAAGACCGCTGGGCTGCATGTGTCAGACGGCTCCTTTCCCCAGCCAGGTCTCTTTCTGGTCTTTAAGTGCTGCTCTGGACAGAGAGCGCAGCTTCTCTGCTGAGGAGGGGGTGGTGCTCCGCCCGTTGGGGTGGGCTACCTCCCAAAGACGGTAAGGGCTCCCCGGGGGAGAGGGCCATTGGCGTGTCTGAGCGGCTCTGGCTAATAAGAAGGCAGGGCAATGGTGGGGGTCCTCCATCCGCCTCCTCCCCAAATGTTGTTTGATATTTCAGGAGGAGGAGGATGCTGTGGGGCAAGGGAGAGACTCACGGCCCCTCCTTCCTGTCCTCTGGCCCAGGTATGCCAGCTTGTACTTCTGCTGTGCCATCGAGGGGCAGGACAACGAGCTGATCACTCTGGAACTCATCCATCGATACGTGGAGCTACTAGACAAATACTTCGGCAGTGTGAGTCAGAGGGAGTTGTGGCTTTCCTTCCTTGTGCTGATGTGCCCCACACAACAGGACTGCTCCAGGCCAGCTCTTGGCAGCCCCCCTGTCCCTGCCCCACACCTTCATGACCTCTGGAACCGTGGCCGTTGCTGGGCCTGCTAACGACCAGCTGTGTGTCCTCCAAGCCAGAAATTGGGCTGGCAGCCCGGGGAGGGGAGGGGGGCACTTCTGTTTCCCCAAGAATGGTTAGCAAAGCCCTCCCTGCCTGTGCTCCTCCCCCCAGGTGTGTGAACTCGACATCATTTTCAACTTCGAAAAAGCCTACTTCATCCTGGACGAGTTCCTGATGGGGGGGGAGGTGCAGGACACTTCCAAGAAAAGCGTCTTGAAGGCCATTGAACAGGCAGACCTCCTGCAGGAGGTAGGGGCTGAGGGGGGAGGGGGGAGGCAGGCTGCTCTGCTGCACCCACTGCCAGTGACGGGGGGGAGGAGCACTCTCCCCCACTCCTTCCCCAAGGTGCTTGGCTGCTGCATGCCATGAGTCACTCTCTCTCCCACGCAGTCGGTGGGGGCTGCTGCAGAGCCGTAGTGCGAACAGTGGGGGGGGAGAGCAGCCAGGACCAACAGGCTCCTCTGAGACCATGGGGCGCCAGGCTCCTCCAGGCACCTGGAACGGCTGAGCATGTGCAGAGTGCCTTCTCAGAGCTGTCTCTGGGAGGGGGCTTGCTGGTGGCGTGCCGAGTTCTCCGCCTTGATCTCCCCTTCCCTTTCCATCCTGCAGGAGGACGAGTCTCCCCGGAGTGTGTTGGAGGAGATGGGGCTGGCGTAGTGGGGCTCCCTTCAGAACCTCAGGCCGTCTTCCCTCGCCACCCTGCCCCTCCCCTTCCTCCACTGCCCCTCAAGCTCTGCAAATGCCGACTTATGAGGCTCCGGCAGGTGGGCAGCCGAACTCTGCAGCCCCCCGACTCGGGGACGGGATCCAGGGCAATTTGCATCATGGTCCCGGATGGCGGTAGTGAAAGGACCTTCTTGCGACTGCCTTCATCGGCCAGTTGTCGGTTCCTGCCCCCTTTCGCACCTGCAGCGTTGCCTTCCGACAGAGCCCGCGGCGCCCGCCTTCTCTCCCACCCCTGGGGAGGGGCGCATCGGGAGGCTCCGAGGTCGCCATAGACCGGCAGCTTCCTTGCCCCCGAAGGCGGCCCTCCGGGTGCTGGAGGTGTGTGTGTGTTTCTCTGCACTCCGCCCCTGCCAGCGCTTCTCTCTGACCCAAGGAACGGGGGCAGGGAAGCTCTTCCTGGGGTTTCTGGAATAAAATGTGTCTGGAATAGTCTGCCTGATGGTCTTTTTATGCCTAGCAGGATCCCAGCAGTGGCAGCCAGCCTCAAAGCTGCCGGCGCTCAATTCTTGCCAGGGTGGGGCCCTCCTGGGCCAGGGGTCCCAGCCGCGGCTTTGCCAGTGGGGGTACGAGGATCGGCTAGGGTGCACCTGCTGCTGGCCCTGGAGACCTTCTACGCGGGGCGGGGAGGGCCGGGCCAAGTAAGCCTTGGGGGGCAGCACCCCTTGATTCCTCCTGCCACACAGCATCTTGCCTGGCCTGGGGGCACTTGGGGTGCTGGAGGACTGGTGCGGGCAAGGGGGTGACAGAGCGGAAGGCCGGAGGTGCAGGGAGAGCGGCGTGGCTTTGGGTTGAATGCCGGGGCTGCTCAGTGACGCCAGCCGGGAGAAGCTGCCCTGACAGTGGGAGCCCCCTCCTCAGTGCCCAGGTGGCCCAGGGCACTTCTCCTTCCTCTCAGCCAGCCCAGAGGCAGACGGAGAATGGGGGGCAGCTCTGCAGGTCCCTCCCTGGGGGGCTCCCGCTTCCAGCCGCCGGGGGGGGAGGGCTCAGGGGGCTGGGTTGGCCTGAGGAGAGGACTCTAATAATAATAATAGTAAAGTTGGAAGGGACCTTGGAGGTCATCTAGTCCAACCCCCTGCTCCGGCAGGAAACCCTACACCATTTCGGACAAATGGCTGTCCAGTCTCTTCTTAAAAACTTCCAGTGTTGGAGCATTTACTGCTTCTGGAGGCAAGCTGTTCCACTGATTAATTGTTCTCACTGTCAGGAAGTTTCTCCTTAGTTCTAGGTTGCTTCTCTCCTTGATTAGTTTCCACCCGTTGCTTCTTGTCCTGCCTTCAGGTGCTTTGGAAAATAGCTTAATTCCCTCTTCTTTATGGCAGCCCCTGAGATATTGGAATACTGTTATCATGTCCCCCCTTGTCCTTCTCTTCGTTAAACTAGACATACCCAATTCTCGCAACCGTTCCTTATATGTTTTAGCCTCCAGTCCCCTAATCATCTTTGTTGCTCTTCTCTGTACTCTTTCTAGAGTCTCAACATCTTTTTTACATCGTGGTGACCAAAACTGGATGCAGTATTCCAAGTGTGGCCTTACCAAGGCATTGAAGAGTGGTATTAATACTTCACGTGATCTTGATTCTATCCCTCTGTTAATGCAGCCTAGCACTGTGTTGGCCTTTTTGGCAGCTGCAGCACACTGCTGGCTCATATTTAAGTGATTGTCTACTAGGACTCCGAGGTCCCTCTCACAGTTACTACTATTGAGCATGGTGCCACCTATGCTGTACTTGTGCATTTGGTTTTTCTTGCCTAAATGTAGAACCTTGCTTTTTTCACCATTGAATTTCATTTTGTTAGTTAGTGCCCAGTGTTCAAGTCTGTCCAGATCCTTCTGTATCTGAAGCCTGTCTTCTGGAGTGTTGGCTATTCCTGCCAGCTTGGTGTCGTCTGCAAATTTGATGAGTTCCCCATCTATCCCTTCATCCAAATCGTTGATGAAGATGTTGAAGAGTACTGGGCCCAGAACAGAGCCCTGGGGCACCCCACTACACACTTCCCTCCATATAGATGCAGTTCCATTGAGGACCACTCGCTGAGTACGGCCGGTCAGCCAGCTACGGATCCATCTGGTGGTGGTTCTGTCTACCCCACATTTTTCTATCTTGTCAAGTAGTAGGTTGTGATCTACTTTATCAAATGCCTTACTGAAGTCCAAGTAAATTATGTCCACAGCATTCCTCTGATCCACTAATTTTGTCACTTGGTCAAAGAATGCAATAAGATTTGTCTGGCATGATCTATTTTTGACAAACCCATGTTGGCTTTTAGTAATGACTTTGTTTGCCTCTAGGTGTTCGTTGATTCGTTGTTTGATTATCTTTTCCAGGATCTTCCCAGGTATTGAGGTCAGGCTGATAGGTCTGTAATTTCCTGGATCCATTTTTTTTCCTTTTTTGAGGATGGGAACTACATCAGCTCTTTTCCAGTCCTCTGGTAGTTCCCCTGTGTTCCAGGATCTTTGAAAAATATAGTTCAGTGGCTCCGATATCACATCTGCCAGTTCCTTGAGAACTCTGGGGTGTAATCCATCTGGTCCTGGCGATTTGAACTCATCTAGGCTGGACAGGTGCTCCTAACCATTTTCTTGCCTATCTTAACTTGTGTTTCTGTTTTGTTTTTTATGGCACTATTTTTGATAGGTTGGTCTGTTTTTTCCCTTTGTGTAAAGACAGATGCAAAAAATGAGTTAAATAGTTCTGCTTTCTCCCTGTTGCTTGTCACCTTCTTGCCACTTCCACCCACTAATGGACCAATCATTTCCTTCACTTTTTTCTTGTTTTTTACATGTTGAAAGAAGCTTTTTTTGTTATTTTTGACTTTGGTCGCAAGCCTTAGTTCATTTTGAGCCTTGGCTTTCTTCACTTCATCTTTGCAGGCTCGGGCTATTTGCTGATATTCTGACTTAGTTATGTTCCCCTCTTTCCACTTTCTGTACTTGTCCTTTTTATCTTTCAATTTGTCAGAGAGTTCTTTATGCAGCCATGCTGGTTTCTTTTGAGAGCTGTTATTTTTCCTCTTTGTTGGTATTGTGCTAGACTGTGCTTTTATTATCTCATTTTTCAAAATTTCCCAAGCTTCTTGAGTTGTTTTCCCCTTGAGGATTCTCATCCATGGAATCCTTCCCAAGCCCTCTCTAAGTTTATTGAAATTAGCTCTCTTGAAGTCCAAGACTCTAGTTTGACTGTGTTCTATTGGTTGTGCTTCTATAATGTTGAATTCTAATATTGCATGATCACTTCCTCCCAGGGTTCCTATGGCTTCAACACCGTCTATCATTTCATCTCTGTTAGTGAGAATTAGATCCAAAATGGCTAATCCCCTAGTTCCCTTCTCTACTTTTTGGGAGACAAAGGTCCCCTTGACCTCCCTCACCTTGATGGGCGCCGTGTAGTGCTGAAAGCCAACATCTTGGGGCTTAATGTGACAGTTACTTCCCAGCTGAGAAACAGGCAGGAAAACGGACAAGGCAGTTTCAGGGTTCCTTGATGGAATGTCCTCTCTCTCCAACTTGCATGGTGCCCATCTCACAGCTGACTTGGCAGGATATGAAGATTAAACCCCACAGTTTTGTTTTTTTTTTTAAAAGCAACTTGTGTATATCTCCACCTCTGTCTCCATCCTGATCACAAAAACGCACGTCTGCAGTCAGGCTAGCCTAACCTTAAGGACGGCGGAAGGGCCAGAGCCGGCCAGACCTCCAGGAATGCTGCTCTGTCAGGCAGGCGATGCCCACGGCTCCATGGCTTCAGCAACTTGTTTTACATGGGGGGGGGGCAGAACGTTATACCAGGCCTGGGGGGGCACCTAGAAGCCTGTGCAAGAGCCATCCAGCGGTCCAAAAGCCGGCCTGGAAGGCGTCCCTGCTGAGAGGGCCGGGGGCAGCTGAACCGGCCTCATGGCTGCCAACCTTCCTCCGGCCATTTGGAGGGGGGCTGTTGGCAGCTGCTGAGGTGGAGCCCACGAGCGGTCACTCGGCCACCTCTGCCCATCCCTTTTTTGTGGGCCTCCCAGCAGGGTCCCTCTTGAGGCTTCCTTTCCCCCAGCACCCGTCCCTATGCTGGGGTCTCTCCGCTCCCTGCTGTGCCCATCACCAAGGTGGGTGGGGTGCTTCCTTCCTGGCTTCCGGCTCTTCCTAGCAGAGCTGTCTCCTTTCTCAAGTGAGATCCTGGGCAGCAGGGCAAACTGGAAGCCCCCCCCCTGCTCCAGGTCAGCTGCTGGCCTCTCTCGCCTTCCGATGTGGCAAGCAAGGCTTCACAGTTGGTGCTGGTTCCAGGAACCGCCTGGAGAGCAAGGGGGGCTTTCTCTGGAAGGTCTCCGGGGGCCCCTGAGTGCCCGAGGCCGGTTTCTCTGCCCTGCTTGGATTTGAAGGGCCGTCGGCCAGGTGAGAGTGGCTGGCACTTGTCACTCTGCAGACACTCGGCAGCTACTTGGGGAAAGTACCGTGTCGCGGCCCTTCCCTGGGCCAGTTGTAGTGAGGATTTTAAGTTTCTCAGATCCTGTATTGGGGGGCAGAGGCCCATCCGGCCTGTAGCCCACCAATTTGCAAATAATGAGAGTAACTCATAATAAAATAGTTGCTTTTATTTCTTAGCAAAACTAGTAATTCGACATGCTATTTACAACAGGGCAAATGTGTTTTATTTCAAGTACAACAAAATGGACCAGACATCAAAGCAACTTCTGCTTGTTTGTACAGGACTGGACACCACAAATTGAAGAAACTTGCACACTCTAGGATTGATGTCAGTGGAAAATTCTTACACACGTGCAAACTGCCACCTTCGCCACAACCTCGTCAGCCTTCTAGTGCTCACCCAGGTAGATCCCTCTGGCAGGCAGCTTTGGATGGTCATGAATGTTCACAAGCGGGTCTACTGAAGCATGCTCAAGCCCAACCTCCCCACCCCCTGGAGGGTCCCTTGGCTCTGGGTGCAGAATACCAGCGTGATGCTCACGTGACTCCTTGCTGTCCATCACCCGCCTAGGAGCCGAGGACGAGGGCCCGGCTGCCCCAGATTGCCAGAGGGCGCCTCTTGGAGCAATGGGGTCAGGTGGCAGCCAGGAGGAGGAAGACTCCTCTGGAGAGCGGAATGAGGCTACAGGAGCCTCTGCCCTCCAGAGGAGACCAGGTCTGCCCTCCTCTCCCTTCACCCTGCTCTGCGCCCTCCCCGTGCTGCCGTCCCAGTTATGAGATACAGACTTTTTTCCATAACGGAGGCAGCCTGACTCAAGGGCAGAATTGGAGGCCCAATCTCCGTTCTGTGAGGAAGCCTCTCTTGGATCTGTAATCCACAGAATGTAAGAACACACCGGCCAAATCAGCAGATGCCATTGGAGCCATCTTTGCCCAGCCTTATTTCCTGCCCTTTGACCACTTTGGAAAAGATTGGTTTGCATCTCTTGAGATCCCTTTCTCTGCTAGCTGGAAAAAAGCCAATGTATGGTAGGGGGGAAAGTATAAACAGACACCAAGGACTTGGGCTAGCAGGTTCAGGCTGTGCTCCTAAGGCACTCTCTTGTTACCTGGGAATACTCGAGGGAGAAGGCCTCAAGAAGCTGCTCCTGAAGCTCTTTCTAGTTTTTGGGTTGGTTTGAAATGTCCCTGTAGCCAATCAGGAGGGTCTGCAGTATGAGACTGGCGGGAATTCACTTCTGCTCACTGATTAGACTGTGACAAAAAGCAGATGAAAGAAACCAATTTAGTGTGTGCATCAGGTATCAGGCTAGAAACCAGGAGAGAGTGCGTTCTAGTCCTGCCAGGCACAAAGCCACCTAGGCAACTTTCTTGCAGCCCTAGGAAATGGCAATCCACTTCTAAAAGATTTTGCCAAGAAAACCACAGTGATTTGTCCAGGCAGATTCTGAGAATTGGACATTGGGACTCTGAATGGGAGGAGGAGGAGGAGGAGGAGGAGGAGGAGGAGAACAGATGGTGAGTTCTTCAGTAACAAGTTGTTCCATTACAACCCCCTGCCCCAAGTCCAATAATTATATTTTGGGGAAGCCAAAAATTTGACCTCACTGGCTGCTGTCTCTCCTTGTCTCTTGAAGACAGAAGCCCCATCCCTCAAAGTCGCTGTCTAGAGCTAGCTGGAATTGACCACTGCTGCAACCCATACTTCAGGATCAGCCCCAACCCACCCTGGGCTGCCTGGTGGTCTAGACTGGCTTGTCTGCCTTGCCAGGCTTCATGGGGGTGGGAGAGGCCAAGGGGTCTGATCTGAGACATGGGAGGGCGGGTGAAGAGGGAGCATTTAAGAGGTGGGCCTTTGTCACCACACCCGACTTCCTGTCTCTCTCCTGATTCCTTTCTGCAAATTCTTTCTGCGAGTGCCATGGAACGTGGCTTTCTCCAGAGTTCTGCCAGACAGGGTGGGAGGGGTAACCAGGAGCTTCAGAGGAGTCATGATGCAACCGGCATTTTCACCTGACCCTGCCCTGGGAAGAGAGGGCCTATGATTTGTCCTGCTCTTGCGAAGGCCTCTGGCTGCACTGCCTTGGGGGGGGAGGCTTAAAGAGTCTGTGGGAAGGGCTGCTCAGAGAGGCTCCTTTAGGTTTGAGGATGGAGAAAGGGAAGTTCCCCTTTCCCCCCGGGGGGCAGCTATTCTGAAGTCGGATGAAAAGGGAGGGTGGCTGGCTTCCCCCAGGCACCGGATCCTGGGACCTTCCACCAGGTGGGGAGACTTGGTTCTCCTGAATCATGCAAGAACCCAGATTTATGTCAGAAACACTGTGAGTGGCCAAGTTTCTTTGAGGGGGTGGGCGTGGGGGTGGGGGGAGAAGCAGCTGCTGCCACCTTCACTAGAAAACTTTGGGGTGCTTCATCAGCAGGTTCTCCAGGTAGTTCTCCAGGTCCTCGTCGTGGGCTTGGATGTCATAGTAGCCGTCCCGTGGCACCGAGGGGCCCGGCAGGTGGCGGTAGTGGTGGCGGGCTGGAGTTTGGAAAGTCCGGGGGCTGATGTGGTTGGAGACGTGGTTGGTGCCTCCGTCCTTGGCCTGGTACCGCTTGGGCACAGGGAACTCGTTCCCCTTCAGGACTTCGTTCCAGGCGGCCTCCTCCTGCTTGGGGAGGTGGCGGTACGTCTGGAAGGCCGTGGGGCGGAAGGCTTTGGGGACAGGGCGGGCCTCTTGGCGAACACTGGGGTGGGAAGGGGCCTTCCTGGGCTTGCTGCGGGAGGGAGCCCCCAACGGCTTGCCCTTGCTGCGGGGCTCGGGCCCCTCCCCCTCCTCCTTCTTCTTTTTCTCCACATCGTTGATTATATCAATGACGTCATCGGCAGGCAAGTGCAGCTTGCTGGACAGCTCAATCAAACGGTCAATGGTGTTCGGATCTATGTCCTCCTCCTCCTCCTCCTCCTCCCCCACCTCCGGGGTCTCGTTGGATCGCTTGTCTTCCGCCACATTGTCCTCCCCGTCTCCAAAGAGGAGGGAGGCCACCTTGCTTCCGCCTCCTCCTTCTGACTCCTCCTGAGCATTGGCCCCTCGCTGCCCCTCCTCCTCCTCCTCCTCTTCACCATCCTTCAGCAAGTACTGGAGGAGCAGGTCGGAGGCCACGTCTGCCAGGCGCTCCTCCTCGGCTGCAGCCCGGCGGGCCTCCTCCGCCTGCTTCCGGCTCTCGGCCAGCTCCTCATAGCGGCGCTGCAGGAGCTGGTGCTCCAGATGCTGCTGCTGCCTCAGCTTCCGGGCTCCGGCCCAGGGCTCCTGAGGGGGTGCCCTGCGCTTGGTGTGGGGCTTGAGTTGCTGGTACTCTTCTAGTTCCTTGAGCACGTCGTCAGGGCGGGGCCCTTGGGGAGACTCGGAGGGGGCCGCCAGATGGCGGTAGGAAGGCTCCCCTCGCTGGTCGGTGGGGCTGAAGTGCTGCAGCTCCTTCAACATGGACTTCAGGTTCTCTAGCTCCTGCTGGTCAGAGGCCCTTTTCTCAGCCTCCTGGGCCTTCCCCTCTTGTGGCTGATCTCTGTCCTTGTTGGATGGCCAGCCCTGCAGGCTCTCTGGCCGCACATCAGAGCTCCTGGTCTGGCCCCGGATGCGTTCTTCATCGGCCCTGGACTGGGGGCTGAGGGGCGACTCCCTGGAGCCCTGGGGTGCAGTCTGAAGGGCTTGCAGGAGGACAGCGGCGAGGGCCTTGGGATCCAAGTCTTGGAAGAGCTCCTCTCTGCTGCCCTTCTGCTGCCCGTCATCCGGGCCCACCTCTGTCCACTCTTTCTTGGCCGCCTCTGGAGCTTCGCCCAACTGGCCTTCCAACCCCTCAGGGAGGAGGGCAGCCAGATGGAGACGGGACTGCACCAAAAGGCAGAGAAAAAGGACCCGTGTCCCTCTGCGGAGAGATTGGGGCCACACCATCATGATGCACAACTGGATGACCTGTGGAGGGGGGGAGACAGACAAGGGGCAAGGTCAGGGCTTGAGTGTCCCAGGAGCAATAAAAACAGTGTGGCCCCCAGAACCATTGACAAAAGGAGCTGGCTGGGCCTTCTGTCAGAGGTGAGGTGACACCTCCCCCCCCCCCCCGTTAGATGGCCACCTATTCTCTCATTAACAACGCCCCTCCCCCAGTTAGCTGCTTTTGGGCCAGCTGCACAGTTAACGGAGGGTTCCCTGTGCAGGGCACACGGATTGCAGGTGGGCCTGCTAACAAGCACTCTTCCCGGGCCCCTTGTGTCGGAAGTCCTCCTGGTGGGCACACTCACTCGCAAGGGCTGGCCGTGGTATGGCTGGGGCAGGAGATCTCCGAGGAGACCTCAACAGCGATCTCAGAAGGGCTGCAGCTGGGGAGAGCCACAGTCTTCGCCTTCCCTGCCCCACGGAGGGGCATTGCTCCACGGAAGATGGTACTCCTCCTCCCCCCCCCGCCCAGGTCTGCACTCACACCTCCTGCCTTATCCACAGTGTGTGTTGGCAAGGGGGAGGGGGGAAGGAGGGGGGCTCCTCCTTTGAAAGGAATTTCTGTTCTTGTTGCTTCTTGCCAACCCATCCGGGTCACTCATTCGTTCAGCCCAATCCTCTGGGAGTGGACGCCTCCCCCCAGAACGAAATCCTCTTTTCATAGAATGGGCTTCTCCTGTGTCTCACCTAGTTCTTGGGGGGGGGGGAGGAGATGGACCCGACATGTGATGCTTTGGTCTCTGCCCCTTTTCGTGATTTTGGAAGGAGCAGCTCATGCTTCCCTTGGCCCAATTATCACCCCCCCAGCCAGCCCCCCCAGCCAGCTACTGGTGCGGATGGTCCTCTGGAAGGGGGAAGGAGCAGCTTCCCCTTCCTCCCCCCCCCCCCAGCAGAGGAGCACCAGACCGCTCTGCAGTTCCCACACCCACCGCCCTTGCTGGCGGGGAGTGCTGGGGAAGCGCAGCCTCGACCCCCTCCCCTTCAGATCCCCTGCTGAGATCCTGCGCCCTTTCGCCCCTCCTCCTCTAGGATCGACTTCGGCCTGCCGACCTCTCGGCCGCGCCCCAGAGCCTCTCATGCCCCCCGGATTCAGCCTCGGCGATTTCCGCAGTGTTTACCCCGAGCGACGCCTCCCCATTCTCCTCGGAGACCCTCGGGGAGGCTTCCCCTTCGCCTCGCCACTCCTCCTTCCTGCTTTTCAGAAAACAACAACGCGAGGCAGATCTTCCGGGGGGCCCGCCCTCCCCCTTCTCCTTTGCGCCCGAGTTAGCCGGGTTCATACATTGGGGTCCCTCCCGCCTGAATTCCGGAGTGACGCAAGTTTTTCCCTTGCCCTGGCCGCGTCCCCCTCCCGAAGGCTCGGCGATCTGGCTTCATCGCCCGCAGTCCGGGCTCACCCACCCAAGTGTCCCCTGCGACGGGGAGCCCCCGCCGACCGGCTTTTTCCTGACGCCAGATCTCTTGGCTCCCTCGCCTCCCCTTCCCAGCAATCCCCCCCCCCGGTGGATGGGCGAGGCCGGGGGGGGCGGTTGTCGTCCCCCCCTCTTCTTGGGAGAGGGCACTCCCGCCCACCCACCAGCGCTCACCCACGTTTCTCTGTGGTCCGGGAGGGAGGAGCGCGTTATCGGCTCGGGTGTAGCTGCGCCGCCGGGGACTCCACCCTTTCGCCGGTCCGCCCGTTCTCCGCCGCCGCCGCCGCCGCCGCCTGCCTGCCTTTCCCGGGCGTCGCTCTCTGCCGGATAGCCTTTCAGCACCTTGAACAGCGGCAGGGCTGGGCTGCTGCTTTTGTACTTCCAGCCCGACCCACGTGGGGGGCTCTATTGACGTCAATGTTCATTCATAAAATTCGAGCAGGATTGGAGGGGAGTTCCGCGCTTGCGCGAAACGGAAATAAGCCCGTCGAGTGAGCGAGTGAATGGCTGCCTGTGGCTGAATGAATGAGAGCGGAATGGATGAATGGAGAACGAGAAGGAGAAAGGCGCAGGAGAGGCGAGGCGTGGATCTGGTGAATGAATGAGACTTTCGGAGGGAAGGGTGGGAGGGGCACAGACCTGGGGAGCCCCGAGGAATCTCTTGCCAGATCTTCACAGAGGCTTCCCCGTTGCCCGGGCCAAGAAAGGGAGCCGTGGTTTCTTTCCGAATCGCGCCGGCGGTGCGAAGACCCTCAGAGAGCTGGCGGCGGCCCGGGGGCAAATCATCGGCGGCCATGCGCGGGCGGGGCGGAACTGAGGGCACGCGCGCTGAGACACCTCTGCGTGCACTCCGTGTTCCGCGTGCCAAGCGCGGTATCGGGAGGCGCGCAGGAGATAGTATGGGGACCCCAGGTCGGCGCGTTGGGTCTTTTATCTCGGCGCCGCATTCCTGGGTGCGCCTTTTGCCAGCGCCCCGAGCAGAGCCTGCTGCCTTGCCGCGCCGTGCCCACCTGCCGCCGCAGAACCCTCCGGCCCGCCCGTGCTTACCTTCAGCTCCGCGTCTCGCTTCGTTTCTTCTCCCTGCCCGTTCTCTCCGCCCTGCCCTCTCAGGCGTGACTCCCTTTGGATGCGTGCAGAGAGGCTTTTGCGAGGTTTCAGGAGAGGGTGAGTCACCTCCCCTCCTCCTGCAGTCCTGGCGGCTCTCCCCTCCCATTCCCCCTCCTGTGTCCTTGGGGGTGAGGGAAGCTGTGCCGCCTTCTGCGTTTGCCCCTCACCTCTGAACTGCGATGGAGGGGATAGCCAACCCCACAGGATGTATGCTGGAGTCTACTGTGCTCAGACCAAACCACCCAGGCTCCCTCCTCCTTCCCTCTTCCCCCCCTTGGTCACCAGTATAGGGGGTGCTTGAGGGAGGGAGTGGGGAAGCCATGATGGGAAGCCGTGACCCTTCCTTATGGATCTGGCTTGTTCCACTTGGAGCAATGTCAACCCCTGCAAGCTCTCTGCTTACATGCCAGGAACACGAAAGGCTCATTGGATGCTCCTTTTGAGGAAGGCGATTGGGAGCGAGGCTTCCTCTGCAGCGCTGGAGATGAAAGCATCCTCCAAAGAGCCCTTTTGTTCTTCTGTGGTCTAAACGGGAACCACCACACGGCCAGCTGGAGTCAGAAAACCGGTGCCTCCAAACACTGGCAGATACTACACTGACTCCCTTCCACGGTAAAAGTTCCAAGCCCGTCTAGCCCACCCTTCCCAGCTGGGTGCCCTGCAGCCAGAGGACAAGCAGCTGAAGGCTGCGAGGACTGAAGTCCTATCCGGCTGCAGAAAGGCTTTGAACCCCCTGCCTTTTAGGAAGCCCAGGAGAGAAACTCAGTCATGACCCTCCCTCTTCCTTTGGCCACAGAGCACTGCATACTCCCAGCCAACAAGTCCAGGCACCGAGGAGACCCCAACATTGGACAGGAATTCTGACCAACAGCTTCACCGAGGAGGAGGGGGAGGGGGAGGGGGAGAAGGATAGGGCTTAGGGGACTAGAAACAAGGTCTTAGGAAGAAAGATGGAAGAAATGGAAAAGTTTTAGCCTTGAGGGAAAATGGCTAAGAGGAGATGCCATAGCAGTCTTCAAGCACTAAAAGATTGTCAGGTAGAGAAAAAAGACAAGGCCAATTCTGGTAACTCCAGAATGCAGAACAGAGTCGTGATCTAAGCGACAGGAAGGTGGATCCACTGAGCCAATCATAGAGGAAGCTCCCCAGCAGAAAGAGCAAGTTCATAACAGTCCCAAAGAAAGAGAGGGGCCAACCTGCCGCACGTTCCTCTCTCCCTGTGGAAGAGAGGGGTCTCTGGAGCGTCAGCAGAAAACCCCTCAGGATTCTGCTGCAGGAACTTCTGAACGGCTTCTGCTGGGGGGGGGGCTGAACGTGCATGCACTGCAGGGCCCACCAGAGGACTCTTCTCTGCCTCAGCTCTGCCACTCTTGTAGGAGTAACATCTGGATGTCAAAAGACAGCAGCAAGAAAAAGTTGCTGGCCAAGAAGGAACATCTACAGGAAGGCCAGGTTGTTTGGTTGGCTGGAGCTGTGGGAGGCCAAGGAAGCAGGCCTGGTGGGGGAGGCAAAACCTTCAGGCCACCAAAGGCGTCCTGAGATCTGAGGCAAGCGCGGCTCCTCCTCCCTCAAGACAGCTCCTTTGGCCAGCCCGGCCACACCCTTGATGGCAGCCAAGTCCTCCCCCTCCTCCCCCTCCCCCCCCCGGCTCTTGCCAGCAGTCAGCATGTTCGGGAGACGCAGACTAAAAAGATGGGGACCTGCTCTAACTCCGTGCCTCAGTGCCCTGCAAGGGCCACGCAGGGGAAAAATTCCTCCTGGTGTCCGTTTCCCGTCCCTCCCCGAGTGAATGAGCCGCTCCCTCCCAGGGCTGATGCCGGATTTCCGGGCTGTCAGAGTTTAGATTGATGCCTGGAGAGTGAGTCACTCCTGCAGCAGAAGGGACTGATTGTGTGAATGAATCAAGAGGGCTGGACCCCTCCTGCCTGGCATAAACCAGGTCTGCAACCAGGAGCTTTTCTGCTGCGCTCGAGAAACCCACCAAGCCCAACGGAGTGGAGTGAGACCCCAGCCCTGACTAAGAAAGGAGCGGGGGGGGGGATACTTGGTGGGCAGACGGAGGGGGATGGACATGATTGGCAGTGATTGATGACTTTTGGCTTTCTGCTCACTGTATTGCCCAATCGCCACCAGGGATATGGGGAGGCGATCAGGAAGGCCAAGGAGCTGCTGCCCACAGTGGACCTGCAGCTTCAAACAGACTATCTTCCCAGGTGTGGAACAAGAGTTCAGATTCTAGAATGGCCTTTGCCCCCCCCCCCAGAGCCTTAAGCGGAGTGGGGTGGGATTGTGCAGCAGTGTGAGCAACTGCGTGAAGCAGTATGCAATTCCCCCCCCCACCCACTCCTCCCTTGCTCTTTTAAAATAGGAGGGCCAAGAAAGAGACTGGGCAGCAGGACAGTGCTGGGGAGATGCAGGCACAGACTCATCCCTGTCAGAGATGGGGCTTCCCCAGGGTTGATGGGCCTTCTCCAGCCCCCAGAGCTTGCCACTTCCGTTAGACGTGGGCCCCGTTCCCCCTGCTGCTGAGGCCAGAACTGCCTCCCGTCCCTTGGCACCACTCCTGCTTCCAGAGCCAGCCAGCCTGCCAGCCTGGAGGACTCCTTTCCCTGCTGTGCCAAAGGCTCCCTGCTTCCACCTGCCCTCCCCGCCTGCCCTGCCTCCATGCCCCTCTGACTTTGGGGCTGGGCACACTCCATCTACTGGGCTTGGCTGGGGTTGGTCCACAAGGCCAGCTGAGAAGGGCTCCAGCCTCATTCCCAACCACGAACTCTCCGTATCTGGGGCTGGGGAGGATTTGTGGGGAGCTTCGTTCAAGCATCTCCGTGGGCCAAATGGGGCTGCCTGAGGGGGGTGCTTGCCTTGAGAGTGCCTGAAGGGAGACAGGAGCCTGGGACTGGGAACCAAGACAGGGGCCGTCGTCAGCATCCATTGGACCCTGCAGAGAGCAGGGCTTGACCTGTGGGGCTTTCTGGGCCCTTCTGAAGTTATCTTCTGGCGAGACCTGCATCCACGGCAGTTTTTGGGGCCCAAAGCCTGGACCTGCTGGGAGCTGACAAGGAAGGTCCATAGTTACTTGGACCCTCCAGATCCCTGGCCCATCTCCCCATCTCTGGCCAAGGGAAGTAATCTAAAGTCCCCGCAGGACAGGTGGAGGCTTGTGACTAGTCACACCCTTGATAGGAACATTCCTAATGGCTGTAGGCAGAAACTGGTGCTGATCACCCCCTGCCCTTCAGCAGCTGGAGCCTTATTGGGCTCGCCTGTTTCAAGAAGGGTGATGGTTCCCCCACCCCCGCCCCCTTCCAGCCTGGGCACTAGATGACTGTTGCTGCTGGTGGGCCTGAGCAGTGCTACTGTACGGGGGTGGTGTGACTCACAAGTAGGCTGTGGAGGAGCCAAGTAACTGGGGAGATGACAAACTAGCAATCAGTCTTTCTCCCTAGGAGTGGCTGTTAAGCATGGGGGGAGGGAAGGTAGTGGGGGGGCAGGGAGGCCAGGGCAGATGTCCAGGCTCAGGCTGTCTGCAACAATGAGTGTTCTTGCTGGGGGAAAGCAGGCCGAGAGCCGGTGCCCTGGTCTTCAGAGGCTGCCTTTCCAGCACACCTTGGGGCTTGCCTCTGTGGCGGTGTCAGGCAAGAAGGGGACCGGGCCCTTCTCCCAGGCTTAGCAGGTCACCAGGCAGCCCTTTGGGGTTGGTGAGAGCTGCCACTAAAATCAGGAGACGGGCAAGGGAAGGCCCCGTAATAAAACAAAAGGAATTGAGGAAATAAAGAAGGGAGGTGCCGGTTGATCCTGAGGTCACCCTGTTAGCTGTAGGCTGGCTCTTCTGTAAGGCTTTTTCTACCCTCTGGAACTTCCCTTGGAGATTAGAAATGGAAGAGGGTTTCCTGCTTGAGTGGATGGGGGGGTGGACTAGAAGACCTCCAAGGCCCCTCCAACTCTGTTATTCTCTTATTCTGCCCCAACCCCCTTAGCCTTTCATAAGGCCCTAAAGACCCGGCTATGTTCCCGAGCCTGCCCTGCTGGGTGGGCCAAGGGTCCTGTTTCCTGGCTTTATTGCTAACTGGCCAAGCACATTGGCTGCTATGCATATTTGGGGGGGGGTGTTTCCATTATTTTAAAATGTTTTATTGTTTCAATTGTTATATATTTCTTGAATTGTCAGCTGCCCAGAGTCACTGATAGGGATGGGTGGCTTTAGAAATGGAATAAATAAACAAAGACCCTTGGTATGGCTTACTGCCAGCTGGGCCTCCAGGACTCATCAGGCCACTGGGCGCCTTCAGCTTATTCTGCCAGTCGGTTTCTGCCCTGCTTTAAACCACCAGCCCAAATGCGGAAGAAGCGGGAGGGGCAGTGGAGGAGAGCCCTTGCCCACCATCCACCACCCCCCCCTGCAAAAGCCTCCTCACACTGTTTGTGCCTGTGTGCTGCTTTCTGGGCTGACAGGGTGGGGAGGGGGGATGTGTGACCACAGGTGTCCTGGGGAGTTTGGCAGCTGTGGGCAGGGTGCCTCATCAGGGCTCTATCTCACGCACAGCTCACAGCCAGGCAACCTGCTAACCCTCTGACACCCCTTCACCCGGGAATCTGATGTGGCCAGCAGCGCTCTCCCTGCCAAGCTCCGGGTCTCACAACGGGGCCCACGGGGCTAATTTGCGTGTCAGAGGAAGAAGTAGTGCATGTTCAGAGTGGGGTCCTTTACAACAGTGCTGGTCAGAGAGAATAACATTGTGGGTGAGGTGCTAGATCTCATCAAGAGCCTGCTAGCCCTAAGGTGTCTCTTGTGTCTCCGGGCAAAGCCCCCTGGGCGCCCCTGGGCGTTTTAATGCCATCCTGGCTCTACTGCTTTCTGCACAAAAAGGGCGCTCGGCGACTTTACTCCTCTGATTCGGATCCAGCGCCCAGCTGACAGGAAACCTGCCCCCCCCTTTTGCGGTGAGGAGCTGCAGGCAGTCTCTGGCTGGCTGTTTGCACTCTCTGCACTCTCGGGGCAAGCCTCGGCCTGGGTCGCTCCCATGGTTCGGGGGCTGCGCCTTTCCGGAAACCTGCGCCCCGAGCCCGCAGGAGGGCGCCTGGCTCGACGGCTGGGAAACGCAGCCCCTCCTTTCAGCACCTCGGAGAGCTCCCTTCCCGCGGGCCCAGGAAGGCCCGGCTTTGCTCTGGCCCGGCGGGCAGAGGCCTGGAGAGCGTTTTCCCCCGCCCTGGCCTTTCCTTAGGGAGACCCCCGCCCGCCTCCCTTAGTTCCAGCCCAGCGGTTTCGCCCTTTGCTCAGGGCTCCGATCTCCTGAGGAGCCCCCACCGCCAACCTCGGGAAACGGCGCTCCCCAAAGAGACCCGTGGGGAGCTCCTCTAGACGAGGGGGGCCCTGGTGTCCATCGCCTTCGTGGAAATAGCCGCGCATTTTCTCTGCACCGCCCGGAAGCCGTGCCCTGCCCTTCCCCGGGCTCTTCGCTGCCCTCCCCTTTCACGCCAACGAAGGCGATCCTGTGCAGCTTCCCAGGATCGGCTAAGAGCGGCCAAGTAGTAGCGGTCTATAAGGGTGAAATTTAGACCGGATGAAGTGAGGGGGAAAAGTTGGCTCAGATTCCCCTCCCCCCTCATTGCACCAGGCAGCTCTTGTTTTCCTCCTCTAGGAAGCGGTGAATCATAAGCCGCCGGCCCCCCCCCCCGTGCGCCTCAGCTGTTATCAGCCGCCCGAGTGGCGGGAGGGGGAAACAAATCCCACTGCAAGGGGGGCGAGCGGCTCCAATCCCAAAAGCAGGTACGGGGCGCCCTCCCCCCGCAACGCCTTTCCAGCTCGCTGCAGGTCCTGGGTGGGGGCGGCGGCTGGAAGAGAAAACGGGATGAGTCACGGATAATGAAGGTTCACAAAGGAGGAGATGTTTTTCCGGCAGCCTTGGGCGCCCTGGGCCCCCTTGGAGAGCCGCGTCGGGAGGGGAGTCGTCTCTGAGAAGCGGGCAGAGGACCCCAAGTTTCGAACAGAGCTCAAACGGCATCAGAAGCAGGTGCCAAAGTGACGTCTTCGCCTCTCCCCCCCCCCGGCCCTCTTCCGCTGCCTTGGAAGCTCACGCCCCCCCCTCTCCCCCGGGCGCCCAGCCCCTCCGGCCCGCCTGTCCCGAGCCCAGAAATAGGGAACTCTCGCCTCCTCTAGAGAGGACCCGCTAGGGAAGGGTGGGGGGCAGTGAAGGAGGGGCGCCTCTCTGCTTTTTGCCCTGGAGGCCACAGGGCGGGCCGGGCCCTCTTCCGCCCCACCCTTCTCGGTGTGTGGCTGCGATGTAGCTGGTGGCCGCCCCCTCTCCGCCGCCGGTTGTCACATGCGTGGTCGCCGCCCCCTCCCCCCTCCCGGATCCGCTGACGCAGTAAACGGCTGCAGAGAATGAGTCACGGAGCTCGCAGAGCGCGGCGAAGACCCGCCGTGCTAAATTTAGTGCAACGGGCAGGGGGAGAGGGACTTTAAAAGGGCGTCCAGCATAGAGATACAGCCTAGCAATTGCGGGGCGGTGGGCGGAGGGACAGATCAGCAACACTTCTTTTCCTTCAAGAAGGATCACTGAGCGGGTGGATCCGAAAGATTCTGCCAGGGCTTCTATGGATCGTCAGATAAGGGGGTCGCTATGGGGGGGGGGGGAAACGTCCATTCCTCTCCCGTCTGATCCTTTGGGGTTCCCAAGACACGCGCCGCCAGATCTGTTCAACGATCTCTTGTGCACTGGTTAAATTGGGTCAGTTTCCCTCCCAGCTCTTGGCCCGTTGCCTGGCTAGGCGGTGGGAATCCAGTTTTCTCTTCTCCGTCTTTTAAGGGGTTAGGCATATGGGCTTATTCTGCCTCACCCCTCGCCCCTCCCTCTCCCCAATTCCCCAACATCTTCAGCCATGTCAGGAAAAGTAAGCCACCGTTGCTACACGAAAGTAGCGGCCTGTTTTACAACCGTTATTAGCATTGAGAGCACGTCGGGAAATCAGGCTCCGGTTCTTAACACAATTTCCCAGCTCGGGAAACAAGGGGAGGGAGAGAAACGGGGGGGAGGGGGGGGAGCGCGCGAGAGAGCGGCTGTCGTTCTGTTGTCTTAAAGGCCACCCAGGCTGGGAGCCACCAGACAGCCAGTTCCATGGTTACCGGTGGTGCAGGGTAAAGAAGAGCTTCTCTTCATTTGCCTTGAATCCCCCCTCATGGAAACTGCTGTATGCCTATCCCCTCCTCTTGGTAAGTAAGCCCTCCCACCCTGACTGGGCAGAAGCCCCTCCCAATTGCAATCCCCCACCATTCCTTCAAGGGGAGGAATGGCTTCAAGGAGTCTCTCTCCCTCCCACTCCCCCACCCTGGATTGATAACCCTTATGGAGTTCCAGGAGGCTTTAATCAGGGGAGGGAGGGGCCTGGGGGCAGCGGGGGACCTCTTCCTCCTCCTCCTCCTCCTCCTCCAAGGCTGAGCACTAAGGAGGAAGGTTGGCACTCCCCAATTGCAGGCCTTGCACTCTCCACAGGCTGGAGGGAACTTTCTAATGGGGGAGCCAATGCAAGGGGAGGCCCAAGAACCAATGGCTGAGCCCCCCTCCCCCAGCTTCCTCTCCTGCTGCCCTTGGGTGAGAGTCTCTGTCCAGCTACTCCAAAGGGCCTCCTGGAAGGTTCTGGAGCACAGGAGCTAGACTGCTTCTGAGGAGGGGGCCACGAGAGGGAGGTGGATGGGTGGATGCTCTTAGAGTTTTTACTCAGAGGTGTGGAGTGACTGAGCTGAGCCCCTCCCACAGCCTCAAACAGGCCCAGCACCAGGGAGCAGTGAGGCCAGGTCTGGCAGCTAGTCAAAGGGCCGGTCCCGATTCTGCCAGGGCAGGCCTGGCCTTGTGGCCACACCCTGCCTCCCCACATCCTCAGCTGCCGCCTTGCAGCATTTGGTGTCCTCTGTGCCTTCTTCCCAAAGAGAGGCCAGGACAGAGGGCTGCGCTGCCAGCAAGAATTCTGGGAACAGCAGGGGAGACCCCGCTTTGAGCAAAGGAGGTGACCCCCCAGGTCTGGCTCCTTTTCCCCTTGGCTTGCCTAGAAGCACAATGGGGTGGGAGATCCCGGCCTTGCTCCCTTGGCCTGCAACAGGGCCTTATTTGCTGAACACCCCCCCCCCAGCGAAGGCATCTTGAACTTTGGGGTCACGTTGCTTTGGGGTTTATTTGGGGAGAGACCAACCAGTACGTTCCATGCTAGCTTCCCTGTTCCCCTTTCGGAAACTGCCCTGGGTGCAAAATGCAGGGGGACAACTTGCTTAGAGGGGAGCACTTTGGGGCACCAGAGCATGGCCTCCAATTTTTCTGCTGACGTTCCTGGTGAAGGGAGTTGCTTGGCCCATGCTTGGAGGAAGCCCCGCTGGGAAACTCTCCCTCAGTTGGGTTTCGTCTTGGCAGGCTAAATTCCTCAATTCAGGATGAGGCCCTCTTGGTCATGGAATGGTTTGTATTGCCACATGTCACCCTTGGTTTACTATAGGGACATTGTTGTTGTTGTGAGTTGCGAAGTCGTGTCCGACCCATCGCGACCCCATGGACAGCGTTCCTCCAGGCCTTCCTGTCCTCCACCATCTTCTGGAGAAGCTCACGCCTCCTGCTTCAGGGAGTCCATCCAGCCCCCTCCTTCTCTGTCGTCCCCTCCTTCTCTTGCCCTCCATCTTTCCCAGCATCAGGCTCTTCTCCAGTGAGTCCTTCCTTCTCATTAGATGTCCAAAGTATTTGAGTTTCAACTTCAGGATCGGGCCTTCTAGAGAGCAGTCGGGGTTGATCTCCTCTAGGACCGACCGGTTGGATCGCCTTGCAGTCCAGGGGACTCGCAGGAGTCTTCTCCAGCACCAGAGTTCAAAGGCCTCCATTCTTTGGTGCTCCGCCTTTCTTATGGTTCAACTTTCACAGCCACACTGGGGAAACCATGGCCTTGACTATACGCACTTTTGTTGGCAGGGTATCTCTGTTTTTTAGTACGCTGTCTAGATTTGCCATAGCTTTCCTCCCTAGGAGCAAGCATCTTTTAATTTCTTGGCTGCAGTCTCCATCTGAGGTGATCTTGGAGCCCAGGAAGATAAAATCTGTCACTACCTCCATTTCTTCCCCATCTATTTGCCAGGAATTGAGAGCGCCAGAAGCCATGATCTTGGTTTTCTTAATGTTGAGTTTCAAGCCAACTTTTGCACTCTCCTTCCTCATCCGCATCAACGATGGAAGAGGATTGAAACGGAAAAGAATTAAAGTGCCCAGAAGAATGTGGAGTTGGATGCCAACGGGGACTGCGAGGAGGAGGCTGGGGACAAGCAAAAATTCCCCTCCAAAAAGGGCTGCTACAGAAGGCGAGGATGAGAAAAGGGCCACCTCCCATGCAGAGGGAGCAGAGGAGGCCGCCAGAAACAGCAAGGGACCCGTGAGGCAGAAGAAACTGAGGTGGACAGAAATAAAAGTTGCTCCCATTTGGAAGAGCGCAAGGGACTGGATAAGGAAAACGGTGAATAAAAATCAAAGTCATGAAATTTGGAATAAAACCAAAGTAAGGGAATGCTGAAGGGGTATTTCAGAGGCTAGCAACGGAAAGAGTGGACTTGGATTGATGTTACTCAACAAACAAACAGACCATCAAACAGCTGGCATTCAGTATGTTTAATATTATTGTTAGCTTCCAGAAAATGAATAATGAAAATGAAAACCTAAATACTGTGAAAATATTGAGAATGGTTAAGCCTGCAGTATAACTGGAGAATTGTTAAAAGTGGGAAGTGGGTTGCTTATGGCTGTGTGACTTTTTCAACATATCTGCAAAGGCTGCAACTGTACAGGACGTTTCTTTTTCTTTTACTGGAAGCAAAAGGTGACAACAGTGAACACAGACAAAACTGCATTTCTGGAACTGATGGAGCATGTCTGAGAATAAACAGTTCACTAGGCAAATGTTTTGAGAATGGACAGACAATAAAAGCCAAGGAGAGATGATGTCTCTTCTTAACATTACATTTGTGATCTCTGTAGATTAGAAGGAACTGCTGTGGGAAGGTTTGGGGTGCACTGATTGGGGATGCAGGTGTGCCGGGAGCTTTGGACGTGGGTCACAGAGTCACAGAAGGGCAGATTGGAACCAGTGGGATGGGGGTCACCCAGCCCAGCTCCTTGCCAGGTGGGAGCAGAGGCCACCCCAGCCTCTCTTGAAACTTCCCCAGAAAGGATATCCATTGATTCTGAGACAGATGTTCTGCTCCAGATGTGAATGGTCTGCCATTCTGGTTACATTGGAAAATGCGAGGAGGATGTTAGTCTATCAAAGATCAGGGGTTATATTCAAGCTGAACAAATAATTGTGAATCCTACATAAATGAAAAACCAGCACGAAGTGATGTACCAGTTGACTTTGCCAGAATGCTCCCTAAAGATATCAAGTGGGAAAAACTTAAGGGCAGCAAGTGCCGATAGCAAGGGAGATGGTGGCAGGTTGCAAGGAACAAATATTGATTGAAGAAGGTGTAGAAGTTCAGGTGCTGGTCTAGAAACCGGGAGGCGGCGAGTTCTAGACCTGAAATGAAACACGAAAGTCGGCCAGTCCCTTTCTTTCAGTCCAATCCACCTCACAGGGTTGTTGTTGCTGGGGGGAGGAAGGAGGAGGAAGGAGTGCTATGTGTGTTCTCTGCTCTGAGGTATTTATGAAAATAATAAAGGCAGGATACAAACAAGTCAAGTCCCGCTCTATAAAGGTTCGCTGCTTCTGCCTGCTGTTGTGGCGGTGCGGCAGGAGAAGCGCGGCGGGGGGGGGGAGGTCCCTGCTGGGGGCGGCAGTGACGCGAGACGGAGTCTCTCTGGCCCTTCAGGGAAAAGGAAGCCGAGGAGGCCCCAAGGCCGCCGGCCGGAGAAGGAGAGGGGAGGGGAGCCCGGAGCAGCTGAGCTCCTCAAAAGGGCGTTTCAAGGGCAGGGGAGAAGCGGCAGAGGCCAGGAGGGTCCCGGAGGAAAGAACGGCGTCAACTAGACTGAGCTCGATTTCCCTTTTTTTCTTACGCCTTTAATTCGTTCAGGTGTTTCTCGTGCCTTTTTTGCACCATCCCTCAAAAGTCATTGGCTGCTTATCAAAAGGCCCTGATGAGGGAGGCATTTGGGGGCGGAGCAGGCCGTTGGGTCTGCCAATCTGGCTGACAGGCGCTGCGAGTCTGCTTGCTTTTCGTCCCCAGCCGAACGAGCCCCTTCCAGCTCTGCCGCACCTGGCTGCCCCACCCCACCTTCGGAGGAAAACTGGCCCTGTGGGGCAGGCCCTAAATAAGCCGCCCGGGAGAATTAGGCAGAGAGGCTGCAGCTGCGCTCGAAGGAAAGCGAATCCGGAGGCAGCCCCCCCCCTCTAAATGGCCTCCGGAGAGCTCTCAGAGTGAACGAGGGACTCCGCACTTATGAGGGAGGGGCACGCCCTTCCCCCCCCCAGGAGGACTGAGTTGCAAGGGCGGCTGACAATGCCCGGTGCCAACGCTCCTTCTGCCTCCCCAGGGAGCAAAACCAGGGGCGAGGAAAGGCTGTTGGGGGCAGGCAGAGCCCAGGTGGGAGGGAAAGGATTTGCCTCTAGAGGCTTCTTCTAATACTGCACAAGGCTCACTTTGAACGTGACACTTGGGGAAACTGGGCAGGGGGGCCCAGCAATAGGACGTGGCGACCCGGTGCCACCCTCCCCCCTGCCTCACGTGGCCACATTGACTATTGCCAGGAGCACCACCTACGTCGGCCCCGTTGCCAGGCTCCCTCACCGTAATCACGTGGCTGTTGCCAGGGCGGTGGGGGGCAGCAGAAGCAGCTGGGCCCCTTGGGATTGCGCCCCCAACCTGGATGTAGCCTTGGCCCTAGACCTGCAAAGCTGCCCCGCTGCCTGCTGTGGTAGACAAACAGCCAGCCTTGGGGCGTGTTCCGAAGGTGGCTGTGTGGTCCTTTCAGAGTTGGAGGTAGAGATAGGGTTGATGTATACGGACTTTGTATGTAGCCCAGAGCAAAGGGAGGGGGTGTGTGAGTGCGTGTCTTTGTGTTAGATCAGACCACCTGGATCCCCTCCTACTCCCCTATGCCTAGGGAGGCAGCTGGCAGTTGAGGCCCCCAACTTTGGTTCTGGGGACTCCAAGCCCTCTGCAGGTTGGTCTGGATCTCCTAGAGCCCAGGGGTTCATGGCTTCCCTCAAGCAGCCTCAGCCCTGATGCCCCCTGCCTTCTTTCATGGCAGAGCGATTGTGATCTGGACAAGGAGGGTGTCCCCCCCCTTCCTCCTGGTCAGAGTGTCCCTAAGGCCATCCGCCTCTGCAAGGGTTCAACATTTTGACAGTGAGCCCCAGATGCCCAGGGGTCTGGCTGGCTTTGAGGGGCGCCAGGGACCTTCTCGACCACCTGACTGGGAAGACCGCTGGCCACAAGCAGTGCCTCGGGCCCATGGCACAACTGATCCCAAATGGCCTCTCTCCACTGGCCAGCCCCGGGCACCTCCTTGGTCTCTGCAGGACCCCGGGAAAGAAGGCCCAGAGTCAGCTCCCGGAACCTGCGCGGACGGGCAAGAGAGGGACCGACTGAGCTGGGTACCCGTTTCACCCCTTCTGGGTGGCGGTAAGAGAGGCCAAGCCCTTTCCCTCCTTCCTGGGCTCTGGGCTGCTGTCCAGCGGCCTTTCTTAGAGTGGCTGATCCTGTCGCAAGGGCCTCTTGCTGGCATTGTGACCAGCTGGCCCAATGCTGGGCCAGCAACGCCACTCACTTTCACTCCGTGCTTTGGCTCCACTTGACCTGCCAGTAAGCTTGGCCGGTTCCCCCGGGGGAAGGGGGCAGGGCGCTCTCTCAGATGCCCTCTCTGCCTGCAGCTTGGGCCCTTGTGGCTTCGTTCTGCTGCCAAGGGAGGCTGTTCCCTCCGTCCAGGAGACGGCCAGCGTCTCCAGGCAGAAGGGCCGTTCCTGGTGGCCTGGAAGGGAGCTGGGGCGTGCCTCCCCTGCCTCCCTGCCTCCGGAGGGGCTGCATAGCTGTTGCCCTTCTTTCTTAGTAGGCTGTCGAGCTTGAGATAAAGCAGAGGGCCTGGAACCTGGTCAGGGACGGAAGCAGCTTTGATTGCACTACTGGATAAGATCCCTTCTTGGGATCTGGATGGGAAGAGCACCCCGGTCCAGCTCCTTTCGGGCCCCTCAGCAGCTTTCGGCGCCATCCACCCGGCATCCTTAGGGACTTTGGTCCGGATTGGGGGCTCCTCACAAAGGCTGCTCCAGTCAGGGTGAAAGAAAGGGAGGGAGGGAAGGTGCAACTTAAACCCAGTTTTACCACTGCGTGAAGCCGCTGGCTGAGATATAGGTTAGTTTGGGGTTCAACACCGTCAGTGTGCTGAGGGTATCCGCAGCTCTGGAGCAAGGAGGAGCTACGGCTTGTCCATCGGGGTGCCTGGTTGGCCCCAGGAGCAGCTCTTGGCAGAGAACCCACGGCCGAGAGGGCCTCCTACTTTGGACAATAGGCAAAAAGCTTGACCACTGCCCAGCTGTGGGCCTCCTTGGGGCAAGAGGATTGACCACAGGGCCTCTTGGCACGCGGTTCAAGGCTCTGCCTCTAAGAGTAGGGCAGGAGCCTCAGTTGCCCCCACATGCAAAGGGCTGCCAATTATCCAGCGCTCACCGATGGGGCCACCTTACACCCACCAGGGCCTTGGCCCCCAGGGACAGCTCCAGGGGCTCAGAGACACTCCCTTTTGTGGCTTGACTTCCAGATGCTTCTGGAATGCCTTCACCCCCCCCCCCCCGAATCAGCCCCTGCGCTCAATCTCGCTGGAAGGGCAGCTGGGGGTCTTCCGCACTTGGGAGGACCAGGGCAGTGGGGGGGAGGGGAGGAGGTGCACAGAGGCCCTCCGCAATGGCCTCCCACTGGACAGGGAGCTCCGGCTTCAGCGCCTCCTGGAGTGTGGAGGACAGAAATACAGGCAGAGGCCTTTGGGACTGGACATGGGCTTCCCTTTCGGGTTTTCTGATTTGAGCATCTCAGGTGTTGGATGGTTTTAAATGGAGGTTAACCACTGACATTTTCACCATGTTTGAACTCCTGTCAATATGACAAGAGCCCTGTGGGGCTGCGGTGGGGTATAAATGTAATAAATATGACTAACTAGATATGGCCAACAGCTGGGGGGTGGGGGGAGGGCAGGCGAGACACCTCTCAACAGGACTGAGGAGAAAGAAAGAGAGAGAAAGAGAGAGAGAGAGAGAGAGAGAGAGAGAGGGAGAGAGAGAGAGAGACCAGGACACAATTTGGGGCCCAGCCCTCTGGAGAAGCCACCCGTCCTCCCCTTCCCCCGGGCTGTTTCCTAGGGAAGGGCTGTGGCTGCAGGCCTTGGCGGCAGAGCCAACGGGGGGGGGGGATCCTGGGCCTGCGTCTTCTCTGCCGGGATGGCCTGTGCGGCCCACCTGAGAGGACAGATCCGGCCTGTCGGAAAGGCAGGGGAGACCCATGGTGGACAAAGCGGGCTCGGGAAGGGCGGGGGCCTCTGCCCTTCAGATGTCGGCCTCCAGCAGGTACTGCTCAGTGTAGTCCTTCGCCAGCTCCAGGCCCAGGGCCTCCTGGCAGAAGGCCGCCATCTCCAGCCACAGCTGGGGCTCCAGGAACAGCTGGCACATGACGCTTCCCTGCAGGGCGGGCAGCTGGAGGCGCAGGTGGTGGACCAGCTGACTCTTGAGGTGGGCCAGGCTGCGGCCAAAGGCGTCGATGTTCAGGTAGTGCCAGTCTTTGCCCAGCGGGATGGGGAAGGGCTGGGTGCTCAGGGTGGCCACGGTCGGGCGGGCCTTCTGATCTACCACCCAGCAGAGGCTCTTCTTCTGCAGGAGGCTGAGGTTGCTCCGGGTGGCCTGGAAGGGCTGCCAGTCCTGGATGATGGTCTGGTTGGGCAGGACCTCCCTCCGGAAGGCCTCCCTCAGGACGACCTCCGGCACCTCCTTCTCCAGGAGCAGCTCCGAAGGCTCCGGGCTGAAGCCGCCCTCCGCCAGCACCGCAGCGTCCAAACGGGACAGCACCTCCTGGGCCTGGAAGCGCACCAGAAGGATCCCCTGGAAGGGAAGGAGGGCTTTTCAAGGGGGCGGGAAGAGCCTGGCGGGGCAACAACCAAGCCATTGCCTGCTGGGGGGCCACTCTGGCAGGTGGCCGCCCTCTGCCTGCTGGCATCCTGCCCGAGGAGACCACCCCCAGGGCTGGCCCTGCTTCCTTTGGCCACAGGAGGGGGCCTTGAGTGGCTCCCGCCCAGTACAGACTCGGGGAGGGGGCTCTTTCTCCAGGGCCTTCTGGTTTGGCTGGATCCCCATTTGCTTCTGTCCCTCCAGGCAGCTTAGAAATGGGGGGGGGGAGTTCCTGGAAGCCAGGTCTGCGGGGAAGGCAACCAGATGGGGAGGGCTTCCTAGGCAGCCAGCAGATTGGCCCCTGAGTGGATCTCAGGGGCCTTTTCCAAGAGGAATGGAAAGGGGGCAAAGAGAAATGGGCCCAGCCACAGGGAAGGAGCTGCTGAGGGCTGGCTGAGAAGCTGGGCAGCCATGGGGGTGCGCTTGGCCAGCAGGGATCTCTCCTCGCCTGGGGCCCAACAGAGACCCCAGTCTCTTCCCCAAAGAACTGAGGGGGCTGTAGCATCAGGTGGCAGGCTTGGCCTGGGGAGGGTGCCTGCTGGCCGTGCCCCTGGTCTGGGCTGAAGGACTGGGTGCTCAGTCTTAGCTTGCCAGGCTGCCCAAGGCCTTGAGCCCTGGGTTCAGGCCCCTGCTCTCAACCTCTCCCAAGGGTCCTGCATCCACCTGTCCTAGGCCCAGCTGGTCCAGGAACAGAGCCCCAGTGCTTTGGTATACTTGGTCCTGCCCCCCTCCTCAGCCTCCCCCCCCCCCAGGGCCAGGTCGTTCCAGAGCAAGGATCCTTCACCTGTTTTGCAATGATGCGATATTTCCTCAAGTCCTTGGGGCCCAGCTTGTCATCCCGGGTCAGGCGTAACACTTTGACTTCCGGATGCTTCTCCTTCACCATGGCAGAGCAGAATCGCTGCAAGACGCCAGCCACGCCTTTGCCACGCTCCCAGGGTGCCACACGCAGTCCCTCCACCAGGGCGGTCTCGCCCGCGTCAATGATGTAGACTGACTGGAGCCCTATCTGGGGGCAGATTGCGGGGTGGGGGGAGGAGCAGAGGGTTAACTTCCAAGAGGTCCGATGGGTGGAGCAAGCACTGGAGGGGCCCTGACCTCACATGAAACATGGCCACTCGGGATCCAAACTCCATCAGCCCCACTGCACTCATCCAAGGAAGCCTCCCAGGTTCCTTGATGGGGGGAGGACCAGAGCCCCGCCTGGCACCTACGTGAACAATCCGGTGAACTGGAAAGCACAGCTTGCTTTGAAGGAGAGGGGAAGGGGTTTCTCTTGAGGGTCCTTCTTCTCCAGCTTCTGAAGTGGGGGGAGCATCCGAGCAGTGCTCGGTAGTCCCTGCCTTGGCCTGAGTATTCCTTCCCAAAGGTTTCGGGGTGGGGGGGCATCCCAAATGTGGCATATTCACCAAAGATAGTGAAAGAGCCTCATTACAGCTGTGGAAACATTCTGAATTTCTGCTTCAGAAGCGTCTCTTCTTCCATTTTGAAGAACACAAAAGGGACCGCAGGGCTAACCCAGTCTGGCCTCCAGCCAAATGCTTTTGGGCAAACTATTTGTCAAATTCAGGTTGTTCCTTCCACAACCTGACGAAAGTAATTGGGACCATTACTGGACACAATATATGCGCATAAGGAAGGGCAAGGTCACGCCTCCCCCTTTGGCTTAGGGGCTGCTTCCCATCCATCGCCTGCCATTGTAGGGCCAGGCCGTTGGTCTGGACTGTAAGCTCGGCTGGGCTCTCCACTGCAGGGAGGCGCACCAAGAATTCATAAGGGACAAACCCCCAACCCCACTATAATGCTGCCCCACTTGGAAACAGGAAGATGTGGCAGAGCACTTGAACACTTGGAGGCCAGGGGTCCCGGGGCCATCCCCTCAGAGAGGCAGCCAAGGGCCACGTGCCCTTTTCTCTGGGGAAGGATCCGGGTCCCTTTGTTCCAGTGACTGATGCTGCTCCCCACCAGCCCCACCCTGCTGCCCGGCTTCAGTCCCACTGAAGGGTTGGGGGAAGAGAGGCAGCGAGCCAGCTTCGCACGGGCCCTTACCACCACGCCATTCTTCTTGGCCAGCACCACGGTGCGGTTTGGCTCATGGACCCAAGCATGGTAGCGGCTCGGGAGATAGTCGAGGCCCCCGTAGATCCCCTTGGAAATGGCCAGGATCTCCTCAAAATCCCTTTCCGTGGCAATGGCGAACTCCAGCTGCGAGTCAGCGGCACTTTCCAGTTTCATGGCTTGCAGAGGCAACGGCGGCTGCAGGGACACAGAGTCCATGAGCACCCCAGGCAGGGCCATGGAGGGGAATCCCACTACAGGCCTCTGCAGGCAGCCAGGATGGCCTCCCGTAGGGCGCAGGCTTGTGACGGGTTCTCTTGGGCGGGATGGAGAAGGAGGGTGGACAGGGAGGAGAGGAACTTGGGGTGGACATAAGCCCAGCAAGAGAAGGTGGTTCCATGATCCCGTGAGTCATCTGGTCATCTCTGTATAGCCGGTCCTTCCTGCTTCCCGTAGATTTCCGCAGAAGCCCCACTTGGCGCCCTACAACCAAGTGGGGAGGGAGACACGTTGTCACAGTACAGGCTGTGCCTTGGGGAAAACGCAGCCTCGGGATCTGGATGAAGGAAGCATATTCATCCTTACATCCGGTCAGATCCAGGGAATTTGGGACAGTCACAGCTTCAGCAAAAATGACTTTTTGTTAACCATGCGGCCACCATCTCCAAGGGAGAGCGAGACCCAGGGGCAGGTGGGCCTCTGGCTTTCAGAGAGAGGCACACAGAAGGAAGCCACTGCCTGGAGAGGATGGCCGAGCCAAATGCCCCGCGTGGGCCGGAAGGGGCTGCCTGACCAAAGATGGACACAACCAAAGTCCTCTCTTCTGACCCCAGAGCTGGGCAGAGGCCCTCAGCTCAATGCCCTTGGGGTGACCTCTGTCCTATTTCCCCACCATTTTCTCCTGGCGGCCGGAGCCCCTCAGCCACAGCCCTCTTAAGACTGGAATGGAGCTTCAGCCTCACCTGCCTCAGTACAGCTTAGGTTCCCTGGCAGGTGAACTGGCCCACAAAGCCCGCCTGGCAAAATCGGGGTGAGTAGCGGGATGCATTGCTCTTCCCTCTGCCTTTTCCTTGCATTCTCTCTCTCTCTCCCTCCCTCTCTCTCTCTCTCTTTCTTGCGCGCGCCTGCGCGCGCGCGCACACACACACACACACACACACGGGGGGGGGGAGGAGGGAGCCGGGGCTCCAACGGCCTCGTTGCCGTTGCTCAGGTGATGAGCCCTGGAAACAAAAAAGGCACGGAGGGGGAGCGCAGCTGTCATCCTTCCTTGGGAAACCCTGCAGGGCGGGGCTCGGAGAGCCAAGGAGACCCCCGGACCAAACGCCGCTCCGGCCAGCCATCCTCCCCTGGCCAAGAATCCTGCTCGGCCCTTTGCAGGGGAGAGAGCTCCGGGAGGCTGAGGCCGGAGGGAGACCTTCCCTCCCGGGGAGTGAACGGGAGGCGAGGAGAAAGCCGGCTCGCCCCCCCAACCCCCCCCCCGTCGTTTGTCTCCGCCGCCGCCGAGGCCTTTCTCGGTTGTCAAAGCTGCCGGCCGCAACCAACTTCCACCGCGGCTTCGGCGGCAGAAAGGAGGGAGCGGGGGGGGGGAGCCAGCGTCTCACCTCCCCAAGCAGCCCCCAGCCGTCTCCCCCAACGCCCGCGGAGGCCGACGGGCCGATGCAGGGAGGGGTCGCCGATATACCTGCTGAAGAAGCGCAGAGGAGCAGAGCAGAGCGAGCCGCGAGCCGATGGCGCACCTGCTAGGAACCTCCCGCGCCGGTCCCTTTGCGCCGAAAAGCTTCTCGCCTCCCAGGAAGAATGGAGATAAGCTCACCCCCCACATCCCTCCGCCCCGCCCACGGACGGCTTGGACGGGGCGCCTACTCCCCCCGCTCGTGCGCGCTTCTACGTCAGCGCTGGGGGGGGGAGAGGGCGCGAGGGGAGAGCGTGGGAGGCCGGACGAGTTAGAGACTCCCCTCCCCACCGGCAGATGCCGGGCACCGGCTCCGTGCAAGGCCGCAGAGCGGCGCGGGACCCCGCGACAGGGCTAGGGCGCCCGCTGCAGGCAGCGGCTCCTACTCTGGCAGAGCTGATGGACCCGGGCTCTAGTGAGGAGCCCAGCTGGGGTGGGAGGCCCGCGTCCTCCCTCCGCCCGGCCGGAAGGCATCCTAACTGGTGACCGGGAGCCGGCGCTGGGGACAAGGACGCGGGAAGCGGGGAGACGTTGCTTTCTCCAAGCCCTGGAGGAGGAGCGGGGGACCCTGAGTTGAGCGCCTCAGCCCAGCTAAATAAAATAAGGTGCATCTGCAAAGAGCACCCGAAGGCGGCTTGGCTGGGCCGGCGGGTCAGAGTCGCATTCCAGGCGTTTCATTGTTTTATTTTATTTTTATTATTATATTTATGGGCAGAAGCAAGGTGGGGATTTGGGACTCTGGTCTGGCAGAAGACCCCTGAGAAGACCGGAGAGCCAAGAAAGCCACCGATGGCTGACCAAAGGAATGAACCCGGAGTTCTCACCGGAGGCACCAACGGCCCCACTCCGGGCCCAGAAGGCGAAGGCCCAGCCCGACCTCTGGAAGGGCTCGGGTGCTGGGAAAGGAGGGAGAAGGCGAGGGGAGGAAGAGGAGCACCGCTTACTGTGGCCACAGGAGGGACATAAATTGAAAGGGCTGAAAAATCAGGTTAGGGACGGAGCGTCGTGGAGAAAATTTGTCCACGTGCTACCCAAGAGTCGATAATGAGTTCATCAATAACCAAATAACCAGGCCGCGCATCCAAACGGGGGAGCCGCACGACAGCCCGTCACAGCGGTCCAGCCGCCGTGACCGAGGGAGGCGTGGGGGCGGCTGGGCGGGGAGCTGCGCCACCAACCTGCAGGAGAGGCGCACTTGGGGACGGCGTGGCCCGCCCCTCTTTCAAGGGCCCACAGTGGCCTCGGCCTCGTATTTGGGGGGGGGGCTGCCTGATTCTGACAGCAGAGCTGTTTTTAAACTCCTGGGTGAGCCGTTCTCCAGGGCATTAACGAGTAAGTTAAAAGCCATTCCACGGACTATTAACTCGCACGGAGACCCCGGGTGGGACGGAATCGACCGGACTCTTCGGGGGTTGAACCTGGCTGGCTTCCTTGCATCGGGGAACCCTCCCCTCCCCCATCCAGTCCCAAATCACGGCTCTGCCCCGTAGGTCCAAAGCCCCCCTGGAGACCCCTAGGCGAAGCCGAACGGACGGAGGCGCCGGGCTCCCGAAGCTTACTCCGGGAGCGCCCGCTCCCGTGTAGACGGGGGTGGGGGATAGGCTGGCAGCTCCGCTTCGTGAACCGAGGCAGCCAAACGACCCCGGAGCATCTCCGCATGGTCTGCCGCGGCCCACCGGAGATGCTCCGGTGGGCTGCAGGGTCTGCCGCGCCAAGGATGCCCCTGTGTCTCGCCGCTTTCTCCGTCCCGCCGAGCGCGCCTACGGGCAGCCCCCCCCCCGATTCCCGCTCCAGCCGCTGGGACGCCGCGGGGGCTGGTTGGCGGGGCGGGGGGGGCGTTGGGGGGGGTGCAGGGTAGCCCGGCTGCCTCCGCTCAAGGCCCGGGCGAGACTCCTTGCCTGCTGCCCGAGCGGGAGGTGCCAGGCCCACAGGGGAGGCTGCCGGACGGGGCCCACCGCCGACCTCGTGGCGCAACGGTAGCGCGTCTGACTCCAGATCAGAAGGTTGCGTGTTCGAATCACGTCGGGGTCAATATCGTCCTTTTACTCCGAGCTGCGCCGACACCGCGCGGGGGGGCGAGCGTTCCCTCTTCGGCCCTTCGGGGGAACGACGGAGCCGCAGAGTATCGCTGCGGGGATGGGAAGCCGGCTCCGCTTGACCAAGGAGCAGCAGCAGCAGCAGCCCTGATCCCCGAGCGTCCCACAGGGGAGCTGCGAGGGGCTGAAGTTCAGTTCCATCTGGGGATCCCCCGAACAGTCGGACCTCCCCGCGGCGCCCCCTCCCCAGCTCTTGAAGGGGCCTCCGCCTCCTCCTGTCCCTCTCCCGTTTCCTGCTCGGCCGGTCCGCTTCTTGGTTTTGAAACTCCGCTCCGGGATTGGTCCGTCTCCATCCCGTCCAACCACAAAACTCCTGGCCAGGTTTTGCGACATACTTATGCCAGCTTACACTGAACAGCCAGGCCCGCGCAGATGCAAGCCGGCGGGTGGCGCCGTGGCTTAGTTGGTTAAAGCGCCTGTCTAGTAAACAGGAGATCCTGGGTTCGAATCCCAGCGGTGCCTTCGTTGACGATCTGCTCCCTTTTGCGAGCCGCCGCCTCATTTTGCGGATAGAGGCCGGTGGCGCCGCTGGCTGCAAAGCGACGGGCAGCGCTCGGTGAATAGAGGCGCGCCAGATGTTTCCCGGCCGGCCCCAAGCGCTGCGGAAGAAGAAGAAGGCCCTTCCCCTCGCAGGGCACCTCTTCCGCGTTGGCCCAGATTCAAGCCCTACAGAGACACCGCGGGACCGGGCAGCGCCAGCCGATGAACCTTACGGTAGCGCGGCCGAAGGGTTAGAGGTTAGCGGGTCAAAGGGAAGACTCTCCCCCCAAGATGCCCCCCCGCTGCCCTCTAGGGGTCAACGAGACTGGAGCGCGTGGCAGGCGGGGGAGGTCTGCTGATCCCTGCCCGTCCGCTGCGCCTCCCTCCTGGGTCCCCCGAAATGGGGAGGCAGCACTCAGAACAAAGAACATGCAATCCCGGGGCTGGAAGGGACCTTGGAGGTCTTCTAGTCCAACCCCCTGCTCAAGGGAGGGTGTCTATCATCCTGCTCAAATGGTTTGCCCGGTCTATTTCTGAAAACGTCCAGCGATGGAGCAGCCACCATTTCGGGAAGCAAGCTATTCCACGGATCGTTCCCTCAGAATTTTTTTCCTTCCTTCTAGGCTGGGTGTCTCTTTAATGACCTTCCACCCATCAGCTCCTTTCCTGCTGTCTGGTAGGTGGAGCGCAAGTCAACCCCTCCTTTTGGGTGATAGCCCTTCAACTACTGGAAAGCAGTTATCATGTCCCCCCCCCCACCCCCAAATGTTTTCTTTGATTGGCTAGAGCCTTACCTCATTCCCTCCACCTTCATCCTGCGCTTCGGCCCCCAGACTCTCCTTGATGGTTCTTTTCTGCACTTTTTCTAGAGTCTCAGCATCTTTTTTATATTGTGGTGATCAGATCTGTATGCAGTTTTCCAGTGGCTCCTATTTGTTTGTTCACTAGGACTCCTGGATCTCTCTCAGAGTTTCTGCTGTTGAGCCAGGCGCTACCTATCTTATATCTGTGCATTTGGTTTTTCTGGCCCAAGTGTAAAACCTCACACTTTTGATGGGGCCGTGTTCACCCTTCTCATGGCTGAACTGCATTTTGATGGTGTGTTTATGTTTGTTGAGATCCTTCTCAAACTTGAATCTATGTTTCAAAGAGTTAGTGATCCCCCCCCCAGCTTGCTGTGGTCTGCCAATTTGAGGAGTTCCCCTTCTATCCCCTCATCTAAATCATTGATGAAGATGTTGACGAGAACTGGGCCCAAGAGGGAAACTTGGGGCTCCCCACTGCACGCTTCCTTCCATGTAGATGTAGTTCCATTGAGGATTACATGGATACATCAGCCAGCTACGAATGCATCTGATGATGATCCTCCCTACCCCACATTGTTCTTTCTTACCAAGAAGCTATGATCTACTTTGCCAAATGCCTTGCTGAAGTCCACTTGGGTGAGGCCCGGCTAACATGCAGCTTGCCCTCCTCCCCATCCAGCAAAGTCTCCAGCCAAGAGGAGGGGCAGCGGGCCTCCTGCGTTCTTCTTCCGTTCTTCTTCCGTAGCCTCCTTTGGCCTAAGCTCCCCGTATCCACTTCAGACAACCGGCGCAGCTGCTGGGCTCCAGAGCAGCCCCACACCCACTGGAGGCAGAAACCAGACGTCGGTGCCACAAAATGTATCACTCTTTATTAGGACCGGGGAGCAAAAGAGGGGACCCCGCCTGAGCCTGCAGCAGAGACGGGCGCCTGGCTCCCTGGCCGGGGAGGGCTCCCTAGGTGATGAAGAGCTGCTGTGAGGGGGGGAGGCCACCGTTGCCCTTGTGCTCCTCAAAGAGTTGCTGCAGTGCCTGGACGTAGAGGGCGTGGTAGCGGTCCACCTCCTCTGGGTTGGGCTGTGGGCGCAAAGGGACAGGGATTGGCTTCCCCACTGCAAGTGAGAGAGAAAATGTGTGCGTTTGTGTGTCTGTGTGAGAGAGGAAGTGCAGCCGAAGGCTGGCCCTGCCGGGCCAGTGCAGGCCATCTTCCCACAGCCCAGAGATGGGGAGAAGATCCCAGGCTCACCCACAACCGTGATGGGGGATGGTTGGGGCAGGAGCCCCCAGCAGTGGCTGGAGAAGAGGCTGCGCCCCACGAAAAGGCAGGGAGCGAAGCCAGACAGCTGCTTGAAGCGAAGCTGGAGACGCCGGAGGAGGCTGCCCTCGGGGAACCGCACCTGCCGGAAAATGTCGTTCTCCCCAAAGGAGAAAACGGGGACGAGGTCTGCCCTGGAAACAGAAAGTGGGGAGATTCGGCACAGCCCCTCCCGTGCACCCTGAGCGGGGTCCTGCGCTTGGGGCTCTCTCAGCCTGGAGAGAGAGGTGAAGAACTTGGGGATCCCCCAAAATGTGCCCCCAGTCCGCCCCTTCCAGGACCCCATCCCTTACTCCTGCCCAGGCTGCAAGGAGACCCTCACCCGTGCTGCAGCGCCAGCCGCACGAAGCCTCGCCTGCCTGAAAGACGCAGCCGCTGCTCGCCTGGGTTGCAGTCCAGGGACTCTGAGGCCCCGCCCACCACAATGACCACCGCATGTCCAGGCCCCGTTCGGAGCAGGAAGTCCAGGGACTTCTTGCTGACTGGCACCATCCCTGGAATGGGACAAGGAAGGTGGGAGGGCAGATCCCTGAGTTGGGGGGGGGGGAAAGGACCCACTTCATTGCATTAGTGCGCCTTCCCATGGTGGCTGCATTCCCCACCCTGGGCCGACCAAGGCCTCTGAAGGACAAATGGGGCACCTGGAGCCGTCTTTGACCTCTGCCTCCCACCTCTGGGGGCTCCTGACCTCCCCCCTCCCACCAAAGAGATTCCCTTAGTCGGCCTTCCCAAGGACACCCTGGTCAAAAGCAGAAAGGCGGGGGATGGGTCCTCTCTTAGCTCGGGTTTGGGTTGCAAATAAGCCAAAGAGAGGATCACTGTAGCAGCCCCCCCCCCCAAGAAAAATCTCCCAAATCACAAAATGCCAGAACGGATGGCCCCTGGCCTTGGAGATTTAAAGGACGTGGTCCTCAACTGTTGGCCCAGAAACCGGACCGGGGGGGGTCGGGCTGGGGCGAGAAAGTTTTCCCACCTGAGCTCATCATGTACTCGCGGTACACGGGCAGGTAGAAGAGGCCAGCCAGGAGGGCCAGGCTGGAGGTCAGGCCGGGAAAGACCCTGGAGAAGCCACAGGCCTCTGTGCTGAAGGCAGAAAAGGCTCCCGCACAGATGATGCCGTGGGGGTGGGAGCCCAGGACATAATTCCTGGTGGGCGGCAGTTCAGCAGTCTTCACCAGCTGGGGAGAAGAGAGCAGGGGGAGAAGAGGACCGCTGTGGGGCTGCCTTCTCTTTCTCGCACTGGTGGCCAGCCACCTGTGGGCAGAGCCGCCCTCAATGCAAGTGGCAACAGGTTCCACAGGCTAACTGTCCCACCCAAACTGTCCCTATTTTCCAAGACATTGAGAAGCTGGTCTTGTGGCCCTTTCTCCACCCGCACCTGTGCTGCTGGCTGGGGCACGTTTTTAGCTGGGGCCTTTCCTGGTGCTCTCCTGCCCCGCCAGAGTAACCCTGCTTGGCTTTTTGGACATTGGCCAAAGGCACGCCAGCCCCTTAAACTGGGTCCAGCGGAAAGCAGCTCTTTTGGGGGGCTGCCCCTCCAAAGTAGACCAGCCGCTGCACCCCCAGCTTGGCCTCCTCCTACCTTGATGGGGAAATAGTCCCTGTGCAACTCCCAGACCTTCCAGCGCCTCATCCACTCACTACGACGGCCTCCTGCCGGGACAAGCACAGCGGCCAAGAATGGGTGGGTGGTCCTGCAAGGGGAACAGTGGGGCCTGGCTTCCCACAAGTCCCGTCTCTCCATGTTGGCCTTCTGATGGAGGGAGGAGGCGGGAGTTTGCTGGATGGGGGGGGGTCTCATGGCTGACTTTTGTCCAGATCCAGCTTCCCCCGGGCGAACCTGCGTGGCTAAAAGTCCTCGCAGACCAGGCAGCGATTTTAGAAGGCATGGCAGTTCTTGTCTTCCCCTGCCCCCTCCCCCCATCCCATCCCCTGCCCAACTCCACAACGGCATCCCATAGGAAAGGGGATCTGGGCTCCCAGCTCAAATGCTGCCCCACTGGGGAGACACAGCAAAGGCCCCCGCTTTGCTGCAGGAGAATCAGGAAGATGCCCGGCAACTTGAAGGCCAGGTGGACAGCCCTGGGCTGGGGACGAGAGGGGGGTCTCCGGGGGGAGGGGGGAGTTCAGCACCTTGCATGGGGGTGTCCAAATCCACAATCCACCAGATGAAGTAGAGCACACTCAGGGACCAGAAGGAGGTGAAGAGCAGGTAGATAAGAAGCAGGGTGAAGAAGGCGCCTGGGGGGGGGGGAAGGGCAGGCTTCATGTGGGCCCCCTGCCCGCCCACCTGCCTCCCTCCTAGAGGCAAGACTGAGCAAGTAGGAGAGGGCCCCTGAGCTCAGAAAGTCCTTGGGCCGACCCCTGGGAAGCATGAGACCCCAGGCCCCTTTGCTCTGGGGGGCCACCTCCCCCCCAAAAGGAAGGAAGGAAGGTAGCCTGTGCCCACAGGCTCCCCCCACCCGCTCCTACCGAAGAAGAGGAAAGTCAGCACCCACTGGAAGACGCTGAGGGCCTCCAGCTGCCTGCGCAGGGTCATCTTCTCCAGCTGACCTGTGGGGGGGGGGATACAAAAGGATCACCAGTCCAGGAGCAGCCACGATGCCCCCCTTGATCTGAGCAGTGGAACATGGAAGCGGCCATGTGGGGGGGGGCAGTCCCCAAGCCAGGGTCTGGGTCGATCCCCCGGCTGTGCAGGGCCTGCCTGCTCCTTCCGCCTAGCTGCAGGGGAAGGACCTACCCCTGGGGTGGAGAGAGGCGCCCGCCCGCCCGTCCATCGTGGCTCCACGTCCTCCAGACAAGTGCAGCTGAACTTTGGCCTCAGGGCAGGCAGGCAGGCAACCTGGGAGAGCAGGTGCCGCCAGCGGATAAGGAGGGAGGCCGGGTCAGGCCACCGCACAAGGCCCGCCTCCCCTGCTGCCCGGGCCCCCACCACTCACCCCCCCTTTAGCTCTGCTTGGTTCTGCTGTTCAAGGAACCGGGGCTCTTCCATGCAGCCCTGGGCTCAGAAGGGGGGGTCAAAGGTCAGCCGCCAGCAAGGCTCAGGGCTGGGCAGAGACAGCTTCATGCCCAGGTTCTCCCCCCCCCCCCGCCCAAAGTCCAGGATGGAGATGAGACTCCTCACTTCTCCAATGTGGTCTGAGATAAAGATTGCCCCCTTCCCGTTCCCATAGTCCTCCCCCCATTTAATTTTTAGCACCTGAGACGGCCAAGGGCTTTATGGAGTCCAAGGTGGGGGCGCATGCCGCACGTGCTCAAAGGTTCCCTCGCCTTCCTTTGCACCCAAGCCGGCCTGGGTTTTCGGGGGGGGGGAATCCTGCAGGAGCGGAGGCAGCAGCCCCGGCCTTGAGGCAGGGACGGCGGCCAGATCCCAAGGCCTCCTTCGGCTAGGCCCCTCCGCTCTCCCTGCCCTGGGAAAACAGGGCCAGCCCGCACAAGGGAGACTGCGCCCCCTCCTGGCCAAACCCGGTTGCTCTCTTTGTCTAATCCCATCAGACCCCAACTGATCCCCCCCCCCCCGCAGTCCCCTCTCAACCCAGGGCAGCCCCACAAATGCGACCCAGAGAAAGCCCATCACTGGGGGACCTCCACACCCCACCCTCCCCCCCTGCTCCCTCTTGAAAGGCCCCACAACATAACTCACCCCAGACACATGGACTCACCCGGCTTCCCCAGACTGCCAGCCAATCAGATCCCTAGGATTCCGGATTCCAAGGAAATCCATCAGATGTGCCCCTAGCGCAGGGGTCGGCAACCTCTGCTCTTTTATGACTCATGGACTTCAACTCTGGCTCAGGAATTCTGGGAGTTGAAGTCCACGAGTCATAAAAAAGCCGAGGTTGCCTACCCTTACCCTAGGGAGTAGCCGGGAGTTAAAACAAAAAATTGGATGGCCATAATCGGAATCGCCACAGCCAGCCCGGGGCTGCTGCTGCTGTCCTGCTCTCCAGGGACACGTGGGGCTCCGTTTGGCACCAGTGCCCCAAAGAGCACCGTGAGCCGCTCTTCCGCCACAGAGGCTGTGCTGCACCCGGGATGAGGCACCATAATGCTCTGCCCCGGGACGTCTGGCTGGGGGAGAACAGACTTCCTCCAGGGCGAACGTAATTGCGAAATCTGGCCAGAGGGGGGAGCAGCAGCAGGCGCCGAGCGGCCCCCTCCCCGCCCTCTACTCAGCCTGCTTGTGGAGATGGCTCCGGGCAGCCGGACGCAGAGCTGGGAGCCCCGTGAATGCGGTAGCCAAAGGTGCCTCAAGATGCCTCTTCTGGACACCCATCCCTGGCTGCTGCCGGACGGTGCAGGTCAGGACACCAGCAGCACCTCGCAAGTCAGTTGCAGCTGTCCGGGGGCGGGGGGGGGGGAGGCAGAGGTTGCCACTTTGGATCAAGGCCTTCTTTCTCCCCCGCTCTGCTGCACCCCTCCAAGAGTGTGGCGGCCCCCCACCCCACATTTGCCACCTTTCCGAGCATGTTGGCCTACAGTTCTGCCCACCCAGCCCAGTAGCTTCCTCCGTGGCTGCCAAGGCATTCCCGGGTGGGCCTCGACAGAGCACCTGGGGAGCCCCAGCCCCAAGGCCAAGCAGAACCAGGGCTCCAAGCCCCATCCACCCCCCCATAGGGGGTGGTGCTCCACATTCCCCCCCCCCGCCCCATTTAGTCTCTGGCACCCCAAGCGAGCTCCATGCTGGCGCAGGGACTAACCCAACCCCCCCCCCTCTCCCAGCAGCATAGCTCAGGCACTCACTTGAAGCTCCACAAGGCCAAACTCCTGGGCTCTGGGACAACTGGGCTGCCCCTTAAGGGCCTGCTGGCACCCCAACAAGCCCCTCCCTTCCTTGCTGGCCAAGCAGACACTCCCCCCCCCCCCCGCTCTGTCCTTGCCTCCCAGAACACTCAGGGTCCTTCCTCCGCCCGAGGGTGGGGAGCAGAGGATGTCTGTGTGTAGCTGCCAAGCCTGTCATCACCACCCCTCCCTGGGCTCCCACTGCAGATTCTGCCTTCACCCCAAGTTTTCGACTTCACAGGTGCTTCCCTGCCCCCATACCTGCCATGGCCCTCAAATGCCCCTTGCAACTCTACGTTGCCCCCCCTTCCAGTTATTCCCCGCAGTTCTTTGCAGGCTAAGAGTCTCTGTGCCCCCCCCCCTGCAGCAAGTCCTCCCACACAGGTCACCCAACCTGTGACCCCTTTGGACAAGAAAGGGAACCAAGCTCTTTCCTGTGCTTGCTCTGAGGAAGGGGCTTTGAGGCTGGTCTCCTCCTATGTCAGGGGACTCTGGAAACAACGGGGGGGGGGAGGTACAGCGGTGTGAGGGGGCCTTGGTGCAGATGCTTTTCTGTGTCTGGGCTGCTGCCACCAAGCCAGGATTGCAGGACATGGCATTCCTCACGAAGGCATGGAGACTGCCTGCGAGATGGCAAGCCCCCCTTCTGCTCCCCCAAGATCACTGACCTGCTGAAGATGGAGAGCATGGCTAATTCTGGAAGCTGGTCTGGGGCCGGCTCTGCCTGCTGGAGCCCCTTTTACAGGCCCTGGCTGCTCCCCTTTCCATAGCCCCCTCCCCATTTTTCATGGTCTTTTTTGGGAAACCGAGGTGCGCAGTTCACAAGAGGCAGCCTGGCTGGAAAAGGTAAGCAGGAGAGCTCTGGGACTCATTTGCCAGGGTCCAGGCCACACCCGCTGGCTGCCTCTTGGGTGCTGCCCCACCCGGTGGGCTCTTCTCCTCCTCCTGCCAGATGCCAAGACTGCCAGCAGCCCAGCAAGTTCTCCTGCACCGGCTGATGTGGCAGCTCCGGAGCAGCCGATCCCAAACAGGCCCGTAGGAGCCCCCCTCTTTTCTCTCCCCTCTGAGGGGTTTCAGCAGGACAGCCTCTTCCTACCAGGATGGCTACAAGCACCAGGGCTAGGTCAAAAACCAGCCCTGGCCTCTCCCGTCACCTGCAGGCCTGCATCCCTGCCCTTCAACGCCCGCTAGGTCAGGTCCGGCTCAGATGCCCTCATCTGTCCCAGCCACCCCGTGCTGGGCAGACCTGTCCTCTTCCCTCTGGCTCCCCACACGGCCCTGGCTCCCCACTGTGGCTCCTGCCCCCCACCCCAGGCTTCCTCTACTCTTCACAGCATTGAGTGCTCCACTTTATTTCTTCCAAAAGAAGTGCCATCGTCGAGTAGATGGCACACAGGACCGTTTGTGCAGCAGCAGCCCAGGAGTTTACCCTCCTCCCACAGTAGTCCTGAGAACAAAGCTGGTTTTAAGGCGGGCCTTGTGCCTGCCATCTGTGCTTTGGCATCAGCGCCCTTCGATGCCAATTCTGTAGGGTTAAGAGCTCCGCTCCCAGCCGTCCTCGGGCACCACCCTGATGCTGCCTGGCAACGAGGGAAGCTTTAACCCAACACCTCCAGAGCATCTTTGGTGAAAGCCAGCTCCTCCTGCAGCCACGCAGTCCTTTTGCCCACGTGTTGGCCCTCCGTGTCCCAGGCCGGCCCTGTGTGGCCGGCTAGGTGATCGTCAGGTGCTTGTCTTGGGGCAGCCCGTACTTGGCCTTGTGCTCCTCAAAGAGCTGAGTCAGCTTCTCCAGGTACGTCTCGTGCAGCTCATCAATGGCTTCTCCGGACGGGTGGGGCGTCTTGGGCACCATAATCGGAGCTCTGACTGAAGGGGGGGGGGGCAGGCAAGACATGAGAAATTGAATAAATAAAATAAACCAACAGCTCCCTTTGAGGTGCCAGGGAGAACCTCCACCCCCACCTTAACAAGAAATGAGGCTGAGGGGCGGCAGAGACCCAGCAGTGCCAGTTCTTGCAGCCTAGGGGCTCAGCAGCCCCAGTGCTCCCTCCCCCTCCCTCTGAAGGCTTGGGCCGCAGGAGCACCAGCCCCCCATGCACAGGCAAGACCTACTGAGCAGGGCTCCCCCTCCCATCACCGCTAAGAGCTTCAGCCCAGTGGGGCAAGACCAGGGTTTAGTCTTGAGGGACCCAGGATGGGCCTTACACCCCACAGAACTAGCATGAGGGCACGGAGCAGAGCGTCTGCGGGAAACAGCCAGCCGCATCAGCACTGCCCCTTCATGTGGTCAAGCGCCTGAGCTGCCTTGTCCCACAGCATTGCAACAGGGAGAGAGAGCCAATCTCCAGCCCTCCCCCCCAACCAAAGTCCAAGGCTGCTGCCCCACTGAGGGGCTGGCTCAGAGGGAGTTGCAACACAGTCCAGCAGCTGGCCCTTGCATCACCCAAGGGAGGTCAGTTTGGCTGGCCTCCAACTGGGAGAAGTGCTGGCCTGTCTGGGGCAAAGTGCTAGGGGACAGACGGTCACCCAAGGCGGGGGCAAACCCGCCCCAGAGGGGCTCCTTTCTGCCATGGGCAGCCACGATTGACGGGATCCAAACGGTTCCCTGGCAGCTGACCAGCCCAGCACCTTCTGGGAGCCAAGAGCTGCAACAGACACTCTCACCGATTGTGTAGATGGGTCTCCGGAAGGGCAGCAGGCCAAAGCTGTATTGGAAAACGCCCCGAGCGTGGAAGAGGGGCAGGGCCAGCCCCATGGCCTTCTGCAGCCCTTCCTGCAGCCTGCGGATGACGGAGCCTCGCGGGTTGGACACTTGATTGAAGAGCTCGTTCTCCCCGAAGGAGAAGACTGGCACCAACGCTGCTCTGCAAGGAGGAGGGCCGAGCCTTGGTCAGAGGGAGGTCTCCCTCCCCCCCCACCTTGCAGTGTTCCCAGAGGCCCCCCGCCCCTCACCCGTGTCGTAGGGCCATCTTGATGAAGCCTTTGCGGCTGCGTAGCTGAAGGGTCAGAGCCCCCGGGCGAGCGTCCAGCGACTCAGGTGGGCCCCCCACGGCGATGACAGCCACCTGCCCGCCCCCTTCATGACCAAGGAGGTAGGAAACGCTGGCCTTTTCTGAAGAGACCAGTCCTGGAACAAAAAGAGCAGAGGGGCTCAGAGCGAATGGCCCCGGCCATCCTCGCTGCCTCGCAGTCCCTTTGTGCCCAGGTGCCCCCTAAAGAGCTCACCCCCGCTCATGATGTAGTCACGGAAGAAGGGGACCTTGAACCAGAAGGGCAGCATCAAGAGGTGGGGGGTGAGCCCCGGGAAGAGTTGGGAGAACCCCGTGGCTTCAGTGCAGAAGTTCCCAAAGGCGCCGGCCACCCGGATCCCGTGGGGGTGGAAGCCGAAGAGATAATTGTGGGAGGGGTCCAGCTTTGCCGTCTTCACCAGCTGCCAGTGGAGAAAAAAAGCAGAGCAGAAAAAGTCAGTCCAAGATGAGTGCTGAGGTATTACTAGATCAGGAATTGAGGTAGTGGCCCCACAGGTGACTGACCCTGCATCTCTCCACCCCAGGGTGACTCTTCCCCCCCCCCCCCGGTGGAGTTGCAGAGGCTGCTTGCATTTTTCCAAGCCAAAAAGGTGGAAAGGAAAGAGATTCCCCCTAGCAGGGAGGCTGCTTTGGCCGGGCCCAACACCCAGGGCTGCTTCTCCGCTCTGCCCAGCTTCCCCTTCAAAGGAGGTCCTGCAGCAGCCGCCATTCAGCCTGGCAAGGGGGCAGAGGTGGGTGACTGGGGAGCATAGCCGACTGATGAAGCCTAAACCAAGCTCTGGTTTTAAGGGTGCAGAAAATAAAAGATCCAGAAGCACAACTTTAAGCTCAATAGGCCTCAAAGAGATGAGGGGTGGACCCCAAATACTTTTGGGGAGCCCAGCTTCAGCCAAAAGTTATTTTCAAGACTCTGTCTTGGGGTTCCCTCTGTTGGAGCGCTTGGAAGGCAACTGAAGTTCACAAAAGCTTTAGCGGGGTCCACTTAGACACCACCACCAACAAAATGTTCAGAATATAGCTTGCAGTTAAAGAAACACATCCTGATCTGCCCAAACAAACAGGAGGAAATTTCATGCCAATAAAACATTTGGAGCTGGCACATTCGGGATGGGGTTACAGACAGGATGGTCTAGATCTGCGAGAACTGATGCAGAAGCAGAGGATCAAGGAAATTAGTAAATAAGTTGATTTATCAATCCAGCAGCACAGCTGCCTGAATTCTCACTGGCTGTTAGTTACATCTTAAGGTTACCAATTAAAAAAATTGCATTATTTATTTTAGAATATTTATAAGCAAAACAATATTTACTACATCATTTACAAAACAAATTATCAAGTTTAACTGGAGACACAAGTGAAAGCTAACAGCCCCAGAAAATGCAAAAGGTCAGAGAAGTATGGCTTTCAAGGGTGACCCGATTATTTAAGCTGCAATCCAAACTGCTTCATGGGATTTGGTGTTTTATTCTACTGCAAATGATTCCCAAATTATAAAATTAGTGGATCATTTCATATCAGATTTCCATGGTCCCAATTTGCCTATTAAGCCAAGACGTTTTAAACGCCCTTCCCGGCTCGGCTCCCTCATTGGAGGCTTCTCATCCGCTCTCAGGCAGCTACCTGGCAAGAGGTGGAGGGGGGGTGATACATCCTCCCCTCCAGGGACCCCATCTGGGCCAACCCGGCTCCCTTTCTGCCTCACCCCTCCCTCTCCAGGCCCAGCTAAGCTGTCCAGGGACGGAAGTCTAGCCCCTCCCGCCCGCAAATTGCCTTTCAATATAAGGTTTATGCTTTTTAGTATAAGCTTAGTCTAAAAAGGACCGACGCTTTCTGGCCGAGGGGGCGCGGAAAGGATGGCATTTGCGGAAGGGGGGCTACGGACCAACATCGGCTTGACAGTGGGGGAGGAGCCGAGGTTTAGGTCGTGCGCTTAAAGGAGGGCGACCCCCACCGCATTTGGGTGATTCTCCCCAAGAAGTGCCAGCACCGCTTCGAGCCCCGCGTTCTCACTCCCCGCAGCGGTTTGTTGCCAAGGCCGTGTTGGTGGAGCCGGCGTCCCCCGAAGGGAGAAAGTGGGTGTCCCGCCAGGCCCGACCGCCCCCCCTTGCTAGCACCAGGAGCCTCCCGGTTCCTCTGCTCACCGTGATGGGGAAATAGTCCCGGAAGTATCGCCAGACGGCCCAGCCGCGGACCCAGGCGGAGCGGCGCCCCCCGCGAGACGGCGTCTCCCAGTCCAGGTAGAGCCAGGCCGCGTAGCCGAGCGCCAGCAGCCAGCCGTCCCCGAGCAGCAGCACTAGGTAAAGCCCCAGGCAGCACTGGGCTACGAGAGAGGCAGCGGGTGACCCTCTCCTCCGCCTCGCCAGCCCCCGAGCAGCTGCAGCTGCGGCACTCCGAACGTGCTCAGGAGCCCGCCGCTCCTGCTGCTCCCGCCCGCGGACAGCCCCAGCTGAGAAGAAGTGGCGGCGCCCTGCGGGGCTGGAGCAGCCGGGGTTCGGGAAGGCAGCCCCGCGCGAAGCAAGGCGAGCCGCCGCCCGCAAGAGCCGAGCCGGGTGCTGCAACTGCCCGCCCGCCCCCGCCTCGGGCTCCCTTCGCGGTCGTCGGCCCGCCGTCACGCACTGGCCACGACCGCCGGCCAGCGCTGCCTCTCCTGCGACCTCCCCCGCGGCCGGGACACGGGCAAGTTTGCCGCCGCCGGCACCGTCCCGTCCTCACCCAGCGCCAGGAAGGAGAAGACCCACTGGAGGACGGCGGCCGTTTGGAGGCGCCGCCGGAGCGGCAGGCGCAGCGGGGCGAACCGCAGCCACATGGCCAGCGCGACGGGGTCGGGGCTCCTACAGGTTGGCCGCCGAGCGCAGCTGCAGCTTATCACGGAGGGACGAGCTCCACCTCCTCCTCCTAAGCGAGGCCCCGCCCCGGCCGCCCGTAAGCGAGGCGCGGCAGCGCTGCTGGTGGGGAGGGGGCGCTTCCCCGACGGCCGCCCCGGACTGGCTGGTCTAAGCGAATCGGAGCCGGTCAAAGGAGTCGGCGCAGGGAGGGGGAGTGGCCTGGACTGGCCCCAAACCCACCGGGAAGGGCTCCAAGCGAGCCGCCGGCCTTCGCCCAGCCCCTCCCCTCGCCCGCATGGAGGAGAGAGGGGTCTGAGGGCGGTCGCTGCTATTTCTGCCTTCTCCCGCCCCAGGCCTGGCGGGCGGTGGCGTCTTCCTTCCACGCCTCCGGTTTTGGGGTCTTGGCCGGCAGCCTGGAGGTTTCCTGCTGGGCCTTCTCCGACTCTCTTTGCCAGGGAGGCCTGGATCTCACTGCTCTACCTTACGGGAGGGTCCCCCAGGACGGCACAGGTGGGTGGTGGCCCTCTTCAAAGACACAAGCCGAGCTTCAGCCCCCCCCCCACCACCACAAGGGAAGCAGATATAGTCCCCAGTCCATGAACCCCCATCTCGAACGTGTGCCTCTCACCCCTTTCCTTGCAGCACTCCAGAGGGGATCGCAATCATGCCGAGGGCTGGCCAGGCTTGGCTTGGCCACCAGCAGATTTGATCCACGGGGCTTCCAAGGAAGTCTTCCCCCAGCCCAGCCCCGGCTTGGTTCTGGAGGCAACAGCAGAGAAAACCAGGGGTTCCCCTGCAGAGGCTTGTGGCCCTGTCCAAGGCCCGTCAGCTCCAGAGCGAGGCCAGGGTCCTTCTTGGCTTGCAGCCAGGAATCGGCTCTCTCTCCTCTCTCTGTACTAAATGCCTGCAGAAGGCCTGCTTCCCTGACCTCCCTGGATCTCTCTGCTGACCTTTGAGAGAATTTGCTTGTGGGGAGTGGAAGGGAGACCCTCTTAGAAGCCCCCACCCGCACATAGGGAGCAGCTCCAAAGACTGAGAAGTGGGAATTAATTTGGACCAGAAGCTGCAGCTCCTCCAGTGAACGGGATGGACTTGGAGTGGCACTCCCTTGCAGGAACTGGAGCAGCCCATGCGTGCCGCACTGGGCGACACTGCCTGCTGCCCTGCCCAGGGGCAGCTGCTCTGGCCTGGAGATTTTGCCAGGGGAGGAAGGGGCTGGATGCTGCCCCCCCTTGCAGCAGCTGATAGTCTGTGGGAAGCAGGCCAGCTGGGCCAAGGGACAACCGTGTGCCTCTTGGAGCCTGAAGCTGAGCACATCCAGAGGGGGAACTGCACAAGAGGAAGTGACAGCCGGGCAGGCCCCACACTTGGCAGAGGGACGGAAGTGCCTTCGCTCTTTCTAAGCTGCTCCCCGTCGCTCGGGGAGAACACCCCTCCTCTGCCGCCTCCCATCGTGACAGCTGCTCCTGGCTGGGGAGGATCTGCCCCTTGTCAGGGGGATCCCCTGTCCGTGGCCCCCTCTTTGAGAAAGGGTGGAAATCATGGGCAGAATGTTCTCTCCAGGATCAAAGGCCTTGGGAGTAGCTGCTGTGGAGCATGAGCCTTGGGGTAGGAAGAGGGGGCCCGACAGGCACTTCAGGCAACCTCTGCATTCAGGGCAACGGCGGGCTCTTTCTGTATGGTCACCAGGATGGTCTCGAAGGCCAGCAAGATGGCCTTGACTCTCTCCTGCCAGAGTGCTGTGAGAGACGGCATGAAGATGGCCTCTGCTGTGCCAGCAAGGGTTAACGGGCACTCCTGGAACCCTCTCCCCAAGGGATCCCACAGCACTTTCCCCAGCCAGGGAGTGGGACCCGTGAGGGTGGCCGAAAGAGGCCACAGATGCCGGAGGGAGGGGCCTCCCTGGCGGCTGCCTCTTCCCTGCTGCTGCTGCTCCCCGGAGCTTCTCCTTTGCTCCTTCCTGAGCAGACTTGAAGCAGCTGCAGCAGCACCAGCACCAGGGCGGGAGGCAGAAGGAGACGTCTTTCAGCGAAATCAGCAGAAATTGCTTGCAAAAATGTGGGATTAGCTTTATTAAGAACGAACGGAATCTATCTATCTTACCTATCTATTGCACTTTCTATATCTATAGTAGTAGAATACTGCAGAATAGTACAAAATACAATTGTACAAGGCTGCATTTTAGAAAAATTATAAAGTGAAATCTAATTTTAAACTAGGACAGCTTTTAAGATCATACTCTGAAAGCTTCGTTTTCAAGTTTCAAAAATATTTTTTTTTAAAATACTAAATATTTGCATTCTTTTTTGTGGCATGTGTGTGTGAGACCAGAGGACAATTATTTGGTGGCTGCCATGTGTCCTTCTGAATGTGCTTCCTCAGAGCAGACCCCCCCCCTGGGCTTTCTCTTCTGCCCAACATTCTGCAAATAGCCTGAACCATCCATCAGGGGAGGCACCTCTGGAAAAGAGGGGCAGGGCACCCCAACCTCACCTTCTAGTCTGCATCGCCTGCCTGCTTACTGTGGGGGGGGGGAGAATGCATTTTTTGGCAGAACGGGAGTCACGCGTGGACTGTGCTGTCTTCAGGGACATCCTTGCCTGTTCCCACACTCACAGGGCCAAGTGGACAGAGCTGGTGCGAAAGAGTGGAAGCCAAAGAGTAGGACCAGGGGTCTCTGGCCAGCACCAACACCTGTGCACCGTGTTATTAAAATGCAGATGGCTCAGCAGTATCAGAAAATGGCCCTGAAGCCAGGGTGCAGGTCCTGGGAAAACAAGAACACAACTTCTGCTTCTTTGCAGGTAGATGCCTGGGGCTGGAGGAAGCGGGGTGGGGGTGGGGAAGAGAAGGGCAGAGTGCCAGGAGGGGGCCTCTGCTTTTTGTGGTGCCATCTTGGCACTGGCTCCTGTCAAGGCAGAGGCATCTTTTGTTAAATCTCGGTGCTCATCCAACCCAGATCATCTGGTGGCAACAGAGGATGCAGGACCTCAACAGAAGGTGAAAGAGGGTGGAGATGAGCTCCCCCCAGCTGGGTCCCAGGGAGCCCCAACCCCTATTAACCCCCAGTAGTTTTTCTTTCCTGGCCAGACGTTTTTGTCTCCCGTCCCGTTCCCACCGAGGTTACGCCTGTTTGCTCCCCTTCCCCGGGGGTCCTGGACTGATGCACCCGGAGTGATTCTCCGATGGCTACGCCGCCAACCGCTCTGTCCAATGCTACGAAGCGCGGGGCGGGAGCGCGCAGCCGGTAGGGCAGTGATGGCGAACCTTTTAGAGACCCAAGTGTCCAAACTGCAACCCAAATGTATCATCGGGTGCCGGGTGGCTGTGGCCCATTGGGTGGGCGTGGCTGCAATGGTAACGGCTGACTGGGTGGGACTAAAAAGTTCAATCAATGAATTCCAACTTTGCGAGATCTTTTTTTTTCCCAGCGAGAAGTTGAAATTGACTGATTGAACCTCTTTTTTTTTTGCACATGGTGGTGGGGCCTAAAGCGAAAGGTTTTATAAAACCCAGCTGAAGGCCTAGGACTGGGGCGATGGCGTGTGTGCCAACAGAGAGGGCTCTGAGTGCCACCTGTGGCAGTAGGGCCTTTCTGGAATGGAGGGGGACGTCTGGGGTATTGATTTCAAGAGGCTCCGTCTGCAGGCTCGCCAAACCCAGGAGGAATCGGGAAAGCGGGGAGGGCTGGGAGCGGTGACTTTGAGCCCGCCAAGGGTTCCAAGTGGGTCTCCCTTCCTCGTCTGGGATTCACCCTGGGAATCTTCTGGGGGTCCCCTTCCTGGGGCCCTAGGCGGTAAACGAGGGAGGCACTGCTGTCCGGGAATCCGGGGTCCCCGGACAGGGTCCCTGTCCAAAGGCAGCCTCATTTCAGGGCTGATACCGCTGACCTGGAAGGCGTGACCCGAGGGGGGTGGGGGTGTGAGTGTGGCACGAAGAAAGTGGCCCCGGCTGGGGTCTTAAACCAATGATTTGAATCTTCATTTGATTCAGTGATTCGATCAATGATCAGCCCGGATCCCTTGTGCCCGGGAGGTGCGGCAGCTCCTTCCGTTGCAGCGGGGCGAGGCGGGCCGGCCGGCTTTCTCGCCTCCCCTCGCCCTGTGAGCTCACGCGGCCTCACAATGCCTCCCCGTCCCCCGTGGCGCTCCAGCCCGCCAGAGAGCGGGCACCGGCAGCCATGTCCTGGCAGCAAAGCCTCTGCCGAGAGGTCGGCGACGTGGTGGCTCGGCTCTTGGGCGGCGCGGTCCTGCTCTGCGTGGTCAGCAACGCTGTCTTTCTGGTGAGGAGGGGGCGCGGGCGGGCAGTGAGGGACCCCTCCCGCTCGCCTTGGCCTGCCGGAGAGAGGCGCCCCCTTCGAACGGGGAGGGCCTCTCCGCCTGAGCGGAAAGAAGCGGGGAGCGCGCGTGCTGCCGGGCCCCGACGCGCCGCTCGTTCTCTCCCCAGTTCTACCTGCCCTCCAGGCGCAGTCGGGGCTCGGACGGCCGGAGCCAGGCGCGAAGGAGCGAGAGTCGTCAGCCCGCAAGCAGCCGAGGTTCGGGAGCCGGGCCTTTGTAAGGGGGTAGCCGTGCGGCTCGACGGACGGCGGGGCGAAAAGCGGGAGGCGGGAGCCTTGCCGGCGGAGAGAAAAACGCCGACCGGCAGGAGTGGCGGATTGACGGCGCTTCCCGGCCCCTCTCCCTCCCCAGAAGGCGGTCCGGCCGCCCAGCGCGCTTCACCCGCGGAGCAGCGGAGCGAGCCCCCCCCGACGGACCGCAGGCGACCGATGGCGGGGCAGAGGAGCCGCAGCGGCCCCAGCGGGTGGTTAGGCACCGCGGACGCCCGGGCGGAGCAGAGGCGGCCGCTGGTTTTCTTCGTCCCCGAACAGCTTCCCAGTCGCGCTTCCCAGGCAGCGGGCGGCCTCTGTAAGGGGCCTCCCGCCCCCGACAAACCGGCCCAAGCAGTCGCTGACGGCCGCCGGTGGCACGAGGCGGGACTTCGGGAGAGCGGGTCGCTTCCAAGGCAGAGGGCGCTTATCGCCGGGCCCCCCGGCGGCCAGTAAAGGCGCTACCGGCAAAGGCCAGGCAGGCCGCGTGTCTTTCTGTGGGCCGCCACGGGGGGGGGGGAGGGGAACAGCGACGAGGACCCGTGGTTGGACTTCCCGTCTGCTCACCCAGCGCGGTTTGCACCACGCCCCTTTCCAGGGCTTGCCTTCCTCCAGAGCCAGGGCGGATGGGTGGGGAGTTTGGGCTCCTAGGCCCCCAGGCAAGGGCTCTGCCTGCCCAACTGAAAAGATTGGATGGGGGGGAGACAGCCCCCCCCAAGCAAGCCTGAAGCTCCCCACACTCTTCCAGTTGGCCCCCTGCTGAAACTTGCATTGACCTCCTGGATCCCACACCAGTGCAAAGGCCTTAAGCAGCACATCGGACTTCAGGGCTGGGCATCTGGGACCCCCTCCCACCACTCAGGCTATGCCACCTGCTAGTCCCTGAACGAGACCCCACCCCCACACTGTTGAACAGGCATGTTTATTAGGTACTGGACAGTATTTACAGCAGACATATTTTGTCAAAGGCAGCAGAAGGAGCAGTGGGGAAGCCCCATCACCCCCCTTCTCTCCATAGGTGGGCAGGACGAAGGGTCAGTCCTGGGTGCAGGGCAAGCTTGGCCCGTAGTGGTGCTCTCTCCTAGCACCGAAAGCTGAGGCGTGGGATTGTAGCCCCAGACTCTCTCCAGCCCACCCACAGATGGCAGGTTGTGAATTCTAGAGGGAGGGCTGTGGGGACTCGGGCACCAAGCCCTGCCCCCCATTGGTGGCTTTGGTGAGGAAGGCGGTGGCACCGGTAGTGGTGCTGGCACCGCCTGGCAACTGGGGGCTGTTGCTGCGTTCCTGCTTGAGGGTTCCACTGGCCAGTCCCAGGCTGGGCGGAGCAGAGGACGAGGGGGAGAGCTGGGAGACCCCCCCTTTGCCGTCTGTGGCAGGTGGTAGAGAAACCACAATGTACTTCTGGACGCTGCCTGAGATGGGGGGGCTGGGGGCTGCCTGCCCAGCAGAAACCAACTTCACAAGGGGTTGCGTGCTGGCCACTGTGCTGGTGACAGGCGAAGTGGAGGTGCTGGCTTGGCCACCGCTGAGTGTGATCACCTGTGAGAGCAAGAGGAGGTCAGAAAAGAGCCTGCCTGCCTGCCTGCCCACCCCCCACCCCCACCCTCCGACGTACCTGCTGGGAAGTGGAGGTGCCAGAGGCAGAAGACATGACAATGAATTTGGTGGGCGGAGGCGAGGGCTGCGTTGGGGTGGCTGGCCGGGTTGAGACAAGGGTCTGCACGGGGAGGGTGATAGAGCCGGGCATCTTGATGATGCTGGGTGCCCGTGTGGCGCTGCTGCCTCCCTGGGCCGCCTGGGAGAGGGTCAGTGTCGGGCGGGGCTGTGCAGGAGAGGAGAGGAGCAGACGGTTAGCCCCGCCTCCTGCCACATTTGGGAAAGCCACGGGAGAGGAGTGCCGGTTGATCTACCTGGGTGATGGTCAGCGTGGTGCGATTCACCTGCTGAGCCTGCACGGCCGCCTGGGCCCGGGCCTTCACCACGTTGGTGCAGAGGAGGGGCCCCAAGGCGCCATACTCGCCTCGATAGGCCTCCTGGTTGTCTGGGGGGGGACGCAGCTTGGCCAGAACGGGAGCACAGTGCTTCTGTGGGGTGAGGGTGAGAAGGGAAAAGATAGGTAGCAAAACTCCCCAGGGAAAGATCCCCCCCAGCACACACGGGTGGACCCTTTTCTGCCGAGGGCAAGCAGGCCCCCTGCGGATGAGGCAATTCAGCCTCTTCGTATGGACTGCTCGGGGGAGGGGTCCCTTACCAGCAGGAGACTCTGCACGTGGTCGGCCCCGATCTTGTCAATATTGCTGACCACAGGACCCTCCAGGATGCTGCGGACACGCTCCCCCTCCACCTGTAGCCGTGGCAGGATGAGCGTCTTGATCACCTGGAGAAAAGACCGGAAGCCGTCTGAGCCCCTGGCCAAGCTGGGCCAAGCGGGCCCCTCCTGGCTCCACCCAGGCATCCACTCACGTCAGGCCCCAGCTCCGCCAGGCCAGCGATGGATCCATACCGCGTAGTCCAGGGTGTCTTTTCGTCCACCCAGGTCTGGTGAGCGAAGGGAGGGAAAGAGGCGTGAGGAGCAGCAGGAGAAGGCGGGGCTGCAAGATGCCCCAGACCCTCCCCGGGCCCTGACCTTGGTGAAGGTTTTGGTGATGCGCGACTGGATGTTGTTAGTGGTGGTGCTGAAATTCTTGCAGATTTGGGCAATGAGGCGAGCGGCAAAGTCCCTCAGGGCCCAGTGGTTGTCCACATCTGGCCTGAGGCAGAGCTGGCGGCTGACGATGCAGGTCATGACTGCCGGGATGATCTCGTGCAGCTGCAGCAACGGATAGGACCGCAGAGGCCCCTCAGCGCCAGTCCCCTCCCTCCCTCCCCCCCCCCTGCCCTTGTGCCAGGGAGGCCTCTGCTGCTCACGTATTTCTCCAAATACAGGGTTGGGTTGTCCATCAGGGCCTTGACCATCCGCATGAGGTAGATCAGAAGAGCCAGGTTGTTCTGCACCACGTTGACCCGCACCTGGAGGGGCAGGAAGGCGACCATGAGATCTGTCTCCCGGGAGATGCTGCTCCGTGTCCTCTTTCCCCTAGCGAAGGCCCTTCATCCGCTGGAGCAGAGGAGAATCTGGCCAGGCTCCTTCCAGGGCAGTTCCAAGCTGCCATACTGCTTCTTACGTGGTCTAAGCTGCCTGGATGCCTAGTGCTGGATCGGACAGAAGGTTGTGAGGAATTCTGAATAGGGTCAGGCCCGAGTATGAATATAAATTGACCCATATTTGCTGTGGGGGCTTCCCAACTAGGAGGCTTCCCACCCCTGAGCCGAGCACTTTATAACCAAGCTATATCTCGGAGCCAGAACGCTGGCCCATCGGGTGCACAGGGTGTCCCAGGCTGCCCCCTCCCCAACTGCAGAGGCCCCTCGCTCTCCAGGGCTTGGGGCGACACTGTGGAGGAGGAGGAGGAGAGCTTTTTCTGCCTTTGTCGAGAGCCTGCAAGGAGGTCGGGGACTTTGCTCCAGGGCTGGCTTCCGGGTGTCTTCAAGCAGGCACGCGGCCACCTTGGGATCATTTATTTATTTACTTATGAGACTTATATACCGCTTTAAGTGCAAGCACTCTCTAAGCGGTGTACACCAGTAAGCAATGTATATATATATTTACATTGCCCCCAACAATCTGGGTCATCCCCAGGTATTCAGGATCCACCCAAGAATCCGAAGGGGTGACTTATTCCCAAGAGCTTAACAGCAGGCAGAACTATTTCCTCCTCCCAAGTCACTCATAAGTATGCTGGCTCAGTGCAACTCTTCCAGCCTCCGAACCATTGGAACATCCCCCCCTCCCTCAAAGAGCTGAGGACACGGAAGGCCGCGGAGGATGGATGGCAGGCTGCCTCATCCTTCAACCACCCCTCCTGGTTTGGAGCGAGAGCCAGGATCTGGCGAAGGGACCGGGAGCCCGCCCCTTTCCCCTTACCCCTTCGGAAATGAATGTGCTGAATCGGGGCAACATCTGGTACAGGCCGGGGTCTGTGGCAATGCTTTGAAGGGCTTCCTGGGGAGACAAAAGTTGGGGGGAAGAGCCAAATTGGGGTACTATGCAGACTATCAGACAGAAAAGGGCGGTTTTGGGCTCTTCCTCCCCCCCCCCAAAGACCTTTGGCAAAAAGCCTGGCCAGTTCCAGGGGAGACGTTCAAACACCACTTTTCAGGCAGGCGAGGGAGGTTCCGCCCATTCTTGGCAAAGGCCAAGGGACAGGAACCTGGACTTGGCCGAGGCGCTGTCCGAGCCTGGCCTGGAGACGCCCCCCAGGCCACCTCGCCCTTCTCTCCAGCGTGTGGCTAGCCAGGGGGAGGGGAGGGAGAGAGCGTTGTCTTTAGATGGAGTGCTCCTGCATGCTCACCGCACGCTTTGCTTCACAAGATCCCACACAGGCTTCGGTGATCTCCTTGTAGTACAGCTGTTGCTCCACAGAGAGCTCGTGGATGCTCCGTGGCTTCAACTTCAGGGGGGCTCCTTCCAGAAGGGGCCCCTTCTTCTCTTTGCCTGTGCAAATGAAGAGAAGGTAAAGGCAAAGATGGGCCCTGGGGGTGCATTATCTTTGCCCCCCTCCTTCCTATTCGGAGGGAACTTCCAGGGACCACTGAGAGGACGCACAGCCTTAGCCCACAAGGGGAAGCCATGGGAAGCAAATGGCGCACAGCTCGGAGTCCAAGACTGAAAGGTGCAACTTGATGCCCAATGCCACTGTGATAGTCGGAGGTTTCTCCAGGGAGGGCAGAGGGGGTAGAGGGCTGCTGCTGACCTGTGGGTGATGCCTGCCTGCTCCCATCGGTATGAAACGCTTCCTGATCAGCAGCTGCCCGCCACTCCTCCATGGAGCATCCCCAGCATAAAGGCGTGGGTTCCTGGCAAAGCCACATTCTTTGCCAATAATTTGCAAGCCCTGGCTGGAATGGTCAAGGGTGACCACTGGTACTTTCCTGAAGACCCAGGGAGAAAGAGAGTGCCTCACTCTGGGATGGCCAATCTCCTCCAAGGGCGCCAAGCAAGGGGGCTTAACCTTTGCCCCTGACTCCCCATCCCGCCCCAGCTGGGCTCAGACGGACCTTTGCTATCAGCTGGGCTGGCGCTGTGTCCTTTGCCCTTGAGAGCACCTTCCTCCTCCTGGCCCGGCTTGGCTCCCTTCAAAGGCTCGGTGGCCTCGGCTTTCTGCTGCTCTTTGGGGGCTGCAAAGGGAAGAGATGGACTGGGGTCAAGGCTAAGCAGCAACGGCTTCCAAACCAGTTCTCTTGCTTGAGGCAGGAAGCTGCCTGCCCTGCTTGGCCTTTCCACCCAGGGTTGGTCACTCACCCGGAGGTGGATTTTCTGGGATTGCCGGTTGAACTCCCTCAATGCTCAGCCAGTGTGCTATTAGAAAAAGGGGAGAAGCTTCAAAGAGAGGGAGATAACTGGAATGCAAAACCCTGGCTTGGTCTCTTCTTGGCAATGTTACAGAGTCAAATTGGAAGAGAGGAAGGACAAAAATTAACACTTAAAAACATAAAGCAGCACAAACTCCAGGAAATTTCAATGCCTTCCGGTTTGCCTGCTTCTGCATTGGCAGCTGCTCTGCTCAATGGCATAATACACCTGGATGCCGTATGTGCCACCTGCCCTCTTGCTGGGGCCAAAAGAGGGGGGGGAGGAACCTCCAAGATGGCGGAGGGTAGGAAGATGCAAGAGAAGCCCTGCTGCCCTGCATGCTCCGACTACGCCCATTGGGGCACCCTCCCCCAAATACTTCCACATAGGCGCAAGAGATGGCACAGACCGTGTGGGTGTGCCTGCCAGGGCATTTCCTCAAACAGGGATCTTTCCAAACCGGGGTAGCCCATGGGCTTGATGGCTGTGGCCCTTTTCCAGCTGCTTCCTTCCAAAGCCACTATGGAACACCCCCCCCCCAGGGGAAAGGAAATACGCAGCATACGAGCAGCTTCGCTCCTGAGGAGGAACGGGGTGCTCCATCCCCTGGCATGAGGTCACCCGTCCTGAGAGTCAAGCCTCTGTATGCCCATGGGTGAGTTTCAGGGGGAGGCGAGAAGCAAAGGAAACGGTCTAATCAGGACCAGAAATCAGGGGACTTTCAGATCTGGGGGGGGGGGGAGAAACCTCTGCGGCAACCAGCTGCCTTTGTCGCATCCGGTGCTGCCCCAATTTGCACGTGCCCCCCCCCAAAGGCCTTTGGCGGCTGGAGTGGGGGTTGGGGTCATGCCCCAAGGAGAGCCCCCCCCAAAGGCCTTTGGCGGCTGGAGTGGGGGTTGGGGTCATGCCCCAAGCGCCCCCTCACCTTTGAGGCAAACGTCCAGCGGGACGCGGGGCAGGGGCGTGTTGATGATGTCGCTCAGGTCCATCTCCTTCTCCTCGTAGAAGTAGAGCTCGCGGCCTCCCCCGCTGGCGTAGCGGAAGGGGATGAACTCCTGCGTGTGGAACCCGTAGAGCGGCTGGAGGAGGAGGAGAGCCCGGTGGGTGAGGGAAGGGAGAGGGGGGGGAGGCAGGGCCCAGCACACACACCCCCCGCCCAAGCACCTCCACGTTCTTCAGCTTCAGGGCCAGGTCGACGTCGCCCATGGTCAGCAGTTGCCGCTTGCCCAGCCGCATGAACTTCAGCGCGTCCTGCGGAGAGGGAGAGGGAGAGCGCCGCGGGGGGAGGAGGAGGAAGGGGGGCGCGGGGAGGTGAATTCCCCCGCTTTCTGCTCCCCTCCTCCCTCCCTCCCCCTGCCTTCTCCCCCCCTCCCGCCTACCTGCGCGATCTCCTTGATGCGGTAGCTGACCTCGTCCGCCAGCAGCTGGCACGTCTCCTCTGGCACCTGCCCGATGCCCACCGACTCGGCCATCACCTTCATGGACTCGGTGGGCAGCTGCGCGCTGCCCACCTTCGGCTTCTTCTCCTCCGCCATCGGGCCCAGGCCGGGCAATGGCCAACCGAGCGCGGCGCCCGAGTGACGTCGTCAGCCGCCGCCGGGCTCGGGCGGGGCATGCGCAGTCCGGCGGCGGCGGGTTCCGCTTCGCGTGTGCCCGCCAGGTGGTCCGGCGGAGGCGGCGACCGCGCCCCCCCCATGGCCCGGCGGAGGGCGGCCCCGCTGTCCCTGCCCGGCTGCCCGTACTCGGTGTCGGTGGTGCAGGAGGGCTACTGCCGGGCGCAGGCGGACGGCTCCACCCTGGCGGACGGGACGGTGTCGCTGGTGCTGGGCCCGCGCCTGACGCTGGTGGACACGGGCGGGCCCTGGGCCCGGGAGCGGCTGCTGGCGGGCCTGGCGGAGCGGGGGGTGTCCCCGGGCGATGTCCGCCACGTGGTGTGCACCCACGGCCACTCGGACCACGCCGGCAACCTCAACTTGTTCCCGCGGGCCGAGCTGATCGTGGGCACGGACGTCTGCCAGCCGGGGGGCCGCTACCTGCCCACGGGGCTGCGTCGGGGAGCTCCCTACCCGATCCACGCGGGACACCTGGAGGTGCTGCCCACTCCCGGCCACACGGGGAGCGACGTCAGCCTGTTGGTGCGGGGCACTTCCCTGGGCAGCGTGGTGGTGGCCGGAGACCTTTTCGAGCACCAGGACGACGAGGAGGAATGGGCGGCCCTGAGCGAAGACCCCGCCCGGCAGGCCGAGAGCCGAGCCCGCGTCCTGGCCATCGCCGACGTCGTTGTGCCGGGCCACGGGGCTCCGTTCCAGGTGTTGAGGGAGGGTGCGAGCTGATGGCAGCGTTCAATAAAGGGTTGAATCAGGGTGAGTGGTGGATCGTTCCTGGCTAAGAGGCTGCATTCCCCCCCCCCGGAGACCCCTGCTGCCCGAGGGGCGGGCGGGAGCGTTTATTGATCCCAAAAGCAGAGGGGTTGGGGGCAGCTGGGCCTGGAGACTTCTATCAGGACAGCCCCTCCCTTAGTTGCTGAGTGAAGGACACAGTACCTTTTCTGGGGCTTTTTCAGGCTCAGGCTGCCTAGTAGGGACCAGCGACCAATAAGGCTCAGTGGAGGGGAAATAAAAATCTCTTGTGAGTCAGAACAGCTTCCTTGAAATGAAAGTCCAGTCCAAAATGACCAGCTGAGAAGAGTTGCAGCTTTTGGCCAGACTCTGGGTTGGAGGTTTGCCTCCAGGAAAGTCTGGCATCCCTTTGCAGACAGTTGCATCCAGGTTAGCTAAGAGCGCAAAAGGATTTAAGGATAGGAGTGGCATGAAGGGAACGACCAGGAGAAAAGGTTTAACCGCCTTGGCTCATCCATGAAGACCCTCTTCTGCCCTTGAGGACAGTGGCCTACCTGGTGGTCTGGGTGGGTCAGACCATCCTCCCACTAGTGCAGTGCCCAAACTGCAACCCAAAACCCACATTTATTGCTGGGTGCCAGGTGGGTGTGGTCCACTGGATGGGTGGGGGTTGCGGTTGTCATGACAGATTGGGTGGGTGTGGCCAAGGTAGGCGTGGTCACCTCAATGTTGCTCATGAGGAGGGACCCCTGTGGGTGTGGGCAGGGTTGGGGGAGATCCAGAGGATCTCTGGCAGGTGGAGCGGTAGGCAGGAGGCTCATCCTGCAGGGTGAGGTGAGGCAGGATGGGGCTGCCATTGCCATGGGGCAAGGCAGGGACTGGGGCAGCTGCTGCCTGACACCATCGGCCCCCACACACAGAGGCCAGTGAGCGCATGGGGACCAACGGTGTCGGTTAGCAGCCATAGCCTGCCGGTCCCTTGACCAGTGCACTCTGGGGCTCCGCAGCCTGCCGCCAGCAGTTCAAAGAAGCCACCTCTGAGCTGGATGGCTGGCTGATAGCTGAGGCGGTGATGCAATGGGTCATGCCCGGGAAAAAGCATGCGAGGCCAGGAGGGATGGGATGGGACGGGGGAGGGAAACCAGCCGTGCCAGGACGCATCCAGCCATGTGGGACCGTGGCGAGTTAGCAGGCAGTTGGTTGAAGAGGGACGGTTGCCATCACACGTGCCATAGGTTTGCTACCATTGCACTAGTGTATAAAAGGAGAGCAAACCCCACTCCCTACTAGCGCTGATGATGTTACCTCCTTTGGTAATGAAACAACCGCAAGAAAATAGCCAAGCTCAGAGTGCCCTAAGGAACCCACAGTGCTGCTTTGTGCCAGCCTCCAGTATCTGCTTCGTCCCCACGCTCACTGGGTTCTTCTGCTCTGGCAGAGGCAGTGAACGAACACACACACACACGTCCCCCAAGTGATCTTGCCAGGGCAGCTGTGTTTCTCAGGGAGGCCTGCCTAGAGGGGGAAGAAGAAAGGACTGGAGGATGGGCTACTGAGCTCCATCCGGACCCCTTTGCCTAGTGGGCTTGTCTACAATGGAAGGAAGGTATCTGGACAACAGAACAGATGTTGCACCTGCCTCAATTTCGGCTTCTAAGTAAAAATGATCCTTGAATCCATTTGCTGAGAAAGGTACAGTTCATCAGAAGTCAAATGAGTTGCAGTGGTGTAAAGCCAGAACTAAGAGTTCACACCAGGTTTTTGCCAGTTAACTTCCCTCCCTTGGTCCTAATCTCTCATTGTCCAATCACATTTAAACAAGATGTTTCTACATGTGGGCCTCCCCCCCCCCAAACCATCTTGAAGCCTCTGGAGAAACCTCCTCACAGTTCAGTTACACTTTCCCCCAGGCCCTCCCCCCTCCCATCCAGCTCCCCCCCCCCATGGTTCATAGCAGGCTGGCAGGGAGGTGGCAGTTCTGACAACAGAGCTTAGGGCTCCCCTGGGTTTCACGGTAGCTGAATCTGTTGACAGTACTTTTGAGCATGTCCAGAAGGCCGTGGCAGGAAGGATGGGCACAGAGCCAAAATGAAACCCCACCAGGCCGTGGAGGACAGCGCCGGACAGAAGGTGCAAGTGAACCCCTGGTGTTATGGCACACTTCACAGAAAGCAATTGTCCTGCAGTTGCTGGGGCCAAATGAGTGGCTGGCTCACCGTGCTGTGCAACCAGCAGAAAACCGTAACCCTGTTTTCCATCAAGTGCCCATTAAATCTCCCTGGATTGCAGCGCCTGAAAAGGAGGGGCTGTTGGGTGGGGGAGGGGTGACTAATCGTTCCTGCCGTTTCACGGTATTCTGCCCACCTGATCTTCCGGGCACCCCCTTCCTCCCCTCCCAGGAACCAGAAGCATGCAGAAAAGCTGCCTTGCACTCGGCTGGCAAATGTTTGGTCTATTGCTAAACTGAGTTTGAGTTTTAAGTGTAGTCCACTAGCTGGGTGACTTGTGTTGTGTGTCTCACATAACCTCAGCTTGAGTTATGTGCCACAAAGCCGTCTGTCTTTCTGGGACCTCGTGAAGGGTCCTGGCTGGGGAAAGATCCGGCAAGTGAGGGGGGGGTCGTCTCCTCAGCAACTCCGGCCTTGGTACAGCCAAGCAGGGTGGGGCTGGAGGGGCAGCCGCTGCAGGAAGTGAGGAGTCAGCTGCTCCTTGCGGGCTGGAAAGGAAGAGTGAGGTGGCGTCAGAACAGCTGCCTGTCCATTTCTGTCCTCTCCCGGCTGAGTGAGCCTGCTCCACTTCAGGTAAACAACGCAAGGCACCCTGTGTCCCCAGGCTCCCATTTGGGCTGTGCTCTGCGCCCTGCACTGAGGTTTGTGTTGGCTTGGGAAAAGGGGAGGGGCAGGGAGAGCCTCAGGTCCAGCACACCCACCCCCTAATCTCCCTTACCCCTTTGCCTCTTTTACCGACAATGGCTGAGCAACAGAGGGGACGTCCCTGCCTTGAGCAGATAGGCACCTGGCCTGCCTCTCCTGCCTCTGGGATTGGCCAGGCACATTGCTCAGCTGGGGCAGCCAAAGCCTCATCAAGTGCACCCACCTGCAAGATAGAGTTGGGAAGGGCAGGAAGAAAGCCGATGCCTCTGGGATGGAGAGGGGGCTGAAGGCATCCCTGTGCAGAGGACTCTCCTGGCCCCACTGTTAACCCAACGTTTTTTGCTCTGGGAGGGGGCTTCAAGTCAGATCAGCTTGGGCCAATCGCGGTGGGAGGCCTGGCTCTGGTAACAAAAGAACCCAAACAGTGGGAAAAGTTAACTGTAAAGTTTATGAGATAAAACATCAACGGGATAATTAAATGCCTGGGAAAGGAAGTACATCTATAAATACTCTAATTCCTAATAGCAGAGGGGGGGGGCAAAATAACCCTTCCCACCCAGAGGACACATTTTATGGCCTGGCAGGGGTGCTGCAAATGCCCCCCCCCCCCCGCCTCCAGCAACTCCCGAGGGCTGTGCAGGCTGGAGATGGGTCAGGCCAGAGCCAGCAGGTGGGGTTCTCAGATGACCTGGTCCTGATCTTGAGGACCAAGCAGTGTGGGGGTCTGCTGCCACTGGCAGACCACCCGCATTTCGTGATGCTCGCCCATCCCACTCCTGCTTGGCACTGGGGCAAGCTCAACCCAGACCCTCAGGCTGAGCCCAGTCAGCAACTGAGCAAGTTGCCCAGGGCGGGTCCAGTGGGAGGCTTACCCCAACCCATAGCTGGCTTCTGTGCCCTTTTCATTTGATGGAAGTGCCCTGTGAGCCTTAGGAGGGTGAAGGACAATCTGATTAATTTCCTGCCGGTCCCCTGAGAGCTATAGATCCAAAGCAGGTCCCCGGCTCAGTTTCCTACTTTCCAAGCATTATTCCGTTCTGCCTTAGCTGTTTCATCCTGGTTGGTTGTTTGGGAACCTGGCCTGTAGCCCTCCCATCAGCTGAGAGGCAAGTGAGGGAAGAGAGGGCCCGGGCCCTCCCACCCAAGCAATTCATTGCTTCACAAACACAGAGAAAGAGAGAGCGCAAGCTTAAAGGAGGGAGGAGCCCAACTTTGCATACCCTCCCCCCTCCATTGTAATTGCCGAGGGTGGGCCACACCTGGGTCAGGAGGCCAGAGACAGGGGCTACTTAAGAAGATGTGGGGCGGGTGTGGAAGGGCAGTCGTCGCCTTCAGTTCTCCCCTTGGCTTCACCAGCAGCTGCCATGGCTGAGGAATCCCAGCCCGAGAGGCCTCTCCTGAGGGCCACCGAAGAGCCTTCCTCCTCCGTCCACTCCCTCCTGATGGGTAGGCTGCTCTTCCTCCCCCCACCTTGGTTTTGCTGGTACTCCCCCATCTCTAGCGTGGCCTAACCTCTCCCTCTTCCTCCAGTCCTAGGGAAAGTCCTCTTTGCTGCGCTGCCTCTGGCAGGAGTCGCCATCGGTGAGTGGACTCCTCACCCCATCCCTGCCTCCCCACAGCCCCTTCGGCTCATCTGCTGCCCCTCCTGCAGGGGCTTCTTGGAAGAGCAGAGCTCCCCAAGGTGGCTGGATAGCCTGCTGTGTGCAGCCTGAGAAGCTATCAGTCCTAGTTTGCTGAGGAAACCATAACAGCCCAAGCCCTGCCAGCATTGGGCCTGGATGCACTCGGTGAACCAGGCCTGCAAGGTGTGATGCTCAAAAGGGCCAGCGGGGCTGCCCTTCCCAAGACACCAGTGCCAGGCATGGCCCTGAGGAGCCCGCTTGGCCACTCAGGCATCTGCCTCGGCTGTAGGCCCCTTTGTTCCCCCCTCCCCCCTCCCTCCCAGGCCCGTTGCTCCTGGCTGGGAGTTCAGGCACCAAGGCAGCTTTGCAGGCCATCCTTGCTGTTGGGGCAATGGAGACTGGGCTGGGCTTTTTCTCCCGAGCCCTCCTACCACCTATACCTGCAGTTTACACATCTCCCTGGGTTGGGGTGCAGATACCGATTAGAGCCATGGCCAGTTTGAGAGTCTCTATTTGGGCTGCCAAGCTGTCTCCCAAATTTCAGGAAAGGGTCTTCATCTTAACCCACATGGACTCCTCTTGACACAGGGATGTACTGAGGGCTGGGGCCAGTGGGAGGGATCCGCATTCTGGGCACGTCATGCTGAAAGAAGGTCCAAGAATCTAAGATGCTAATCTTTGCTCCTCCATCCCCAGGAGCAGTCTATCTCGGCCAGTGTCCCCGGCAGCCTCTCCTTCCCATTTACTTGATCGTCCTGAGTGCCGTCACACTCGTGCTCCTGTTCCTCAGCTGTATTCCCTGTGGGGACGGCACCAACCGACCAAGCACGCTACTCAACTGTTTGCAGGGAGCAGGCTTCCTCTTCCTCTGTGCCTGGTTCATCGCAGGTGGGGGGGGGCTCCTGATGGGAAGGGGCCAGCTGGGAGTTCTTGCCCTTCCAGGGTGGAGCACAGAATTGCATGGCCTCTGCAGCCTTTAACCAGCTGAGCCCCCTGGCTGTGATGGCCATCATGGTGGTTTGCTGGGCTGAAGGCTCTTAACTGAGCTTTAATGTGGCTTCTGGGGCTCCCCTGCCCACGGCAACAGCCCCTTAGGAACAGCCGTTTCTGAGCCCAGACTAAGCAGCGGCCAGACTTTCGAGGGGCTGGACGTGGTGCATCAGGGTAGGATCCCGTAGCCCTTCCTGGCCACTTTCCTCACTTTCCCCCCAACAGGCAATGTGTGGGTCTATTCCATCTACCCCCCAGACTACGAGAACGTTGGTCAGCCTGGCTTCTGCCAGCAGACTCTCTTCCTCTTCGCCTTCGGGGTCACCACCGCCATCCACGCGGCCTTGGCCGTGGCCCTGCTGCTGGCTCTGGGCATCCTCGTCAGCATCCTCGTCTTGAACACCGTGATCTCCAGCCGCAGGCGGGGCTGCAGCGGGGGTCTCTAGCAGCCGTGGGGCGCCCGTTTTCTTAGCGGAGCTTTTTGTTAATAAACCTGGTTGTTGCTAAGCCGTCTCGTTTCTCTCGCCCGCATCTGGGCTGAAGGGTTCTCGGGGGCGGCCGGGGGGGGGGCTTCGGGAGAGGCCGAACTCCTCCGGGTTGCCGGAAGCCCAGGGCGGCGGGGCCCAACGGCTCTCTGGCCAACGGAACTCTTCGATCCGGTCTCGCCCAAACCCCGACCGGTGTTGCAAGATGGGGGGGCTCCTTCCCCCTGGATATTTGCACCTCCCCCCCCGCCCTTCTCTAACGGAGAAGGCTCCACCGAGTCGCCGCTCAGGCCCGGAAGGAACCAGCCTCAGTTGGACATTAATGGCCTCTGCAGACTGAACGACCAGGCGGCGGCAGCAGAGCGGCCTCCCCGGGAACGCGCGAAAGCCGAAGGCAGCCCAGCCGAGGCGGCTCGAGCCCCGGGGGCCGCAGCGCCTGCGGGAGGGGAGGGGAGGGGAAGGGCGGGGCCGCTCCGCTCCCGCCGCGTCTTGCGTGGGCGTCACCCGCAGAGGCGGGGCTATCCGTGGCCCGACAGATCTCGCGCGAATCCCGGGCTGAGGCCTCTTCCGCCCAGACCTCCCACGTCGGAAGGAAGCGCCTGTGCGGACTCTCCAGAAGTCGACTTCTTCCGTTTCCGCAGAGCTCAGCGGGCCTGGCTCGGTTCCCGCCCGCGTCTGTTCGCGGCTCCGGCCGGGCATGGTGAGCGCCTCGGCGGGGGGGGGGAGGCGGAGGGGGAGGCCCCGCTGACCGAGCGCTGCTTCTTTCCCGACAGGCGGTGGCGGCGGCGGCGGCCCTCACGCAAGGCCTGGAGCGCATCCCGGACCAGACCGGCTACCTAGTCATCAGCGACGGCGCCGTCCTGGCGGTGAGGAACCTCCGGACGGCGGAGGGGCGGAGGGGGCGGCGGAGGGGCGGCGGGGGCGGCGGCCGCTGACCTCCCTCTCCCCGCAGTCGGCCGGCGACCTGGAGAACGACGAGCGCACGGCGGGCGCGATGGCGGAGCTGGTGAGCACGGCCTGCGCCTTCCGGCTGCCGCGGGGCCCGGAGCTGCCCTTCCGCCGCGTCTCCGGTGAGTGAGGGGGGGAGGAAGGGGGCGATGGGGGGAAGGGGCGCTGCTGGGGGGAGGGGCTCCGCTGACCGGCGCCGCCGCCTCCTCCTCCCTCCCGCAGTGGTCTTCGGGGAACACTCCCTGCTGGCGACCGTCTCCGGCCAGAAGCTCTTCGTGGTGAAGCGGCTCAACAGCGTCCCGGAGCCCGTGGTCGTCTGAGCAGGCCGAGGGTGGAGGGGCCCGATCCCCCCTCCCTCCGAAGCTCCCCCTCCCCGAGTCACGTGGAGGCAGGCTGGGCTCACCGGTCCCCTCCCCCTGCTTCCTCCCGACCCCCCAACAACAGCAGCAGCAGGAAGGAGAGGGAGGCAAACGCTCCCCCCCCCCAGTGGGTCTTCCCACCACCTGCCTTTCCTCCGTTTCATCGTTCCCGCAGCCGCACTTCCTAACCCGGGCCACCCCTTCCCTCTTCCTGGTCCCTATTGGGGCTGTGGCTCCAATCCGGCACAGATGCCTGGCGTGTTGTTGAAAGATGCCAAAGTATTTCGCTGTCTGATCATCCCAGCAAAGTGCTGCTTTGGCAGGAGTCAGCCTGTGGAAAAGCATGTGCCAGGCATTTGCTGTTCCAAAGAGGAGCAAAGCAAACCAGTTTACACAAAGTATGCTTGCTGTCTGCTTTGGACTGCCTGGAACTGGATCCAGCGGTGACTGTTAAATCTGACCATGCTTCGAGATCAGATGAATTCATTAGAAGTGGAAGAAGAAAGAAAGACCGTGCCAGATGACACCAAAGAGATCCACAAAGCATGTTATTTGCCGGCCAGCCAGTGCAGTTTATTTGTAAGCACATAGATACATACAGACCTGGAGTTGCTTCTGAGCAAATAAAAAATATAAATAACAAAAATTAAATAAAGTGCAATGGAAAGTGGCTTGGACCTGGGATGATGAGGTAGGGGGAGGCTAGAGCTCCCCCATCTAGGAATACAGCATACTGGGAAGCTTCCAGGTCATATCCCGTGGCCTAATCCAGGGCGAAAATGAAGAATCCATTTGGAAATGTCCCGCAGTTAAAAGTATCCTTCTACCAGCTGGGGCTGGAGTCACTTTGCCTTTTAATGGTGGGGTGGGTGTGGTGAAGCTGCTCCTTCCTCTAGGCTTTCAGACAGTTTCTCCCTCCCCCAGAGTGAAAATCTCCTTGCTGCTCAGCTGAAGGAAATGGAGAAGGGTGGGTGGGTGAGAGGGGCCTGGGTCCCTGGAAGGGTGAACTGGGGCACAGCCAGGAAAGGCTCTCAGCAAGGGCGCAGCTGAGTCCGGTCTGAGCAGACGGGGCTGGTTGGGCGAGGAGGGGGTTATCCTGTAAAGTTCAGGTGTCTGGAGCAGATCTTGTTCTGAGACTGGATGGCACATGCTGTGGGTTGGTTCCAAGGACAGGCTGAATGCAGCCAGCACTGCCCTTTCTGGGGAGGGGGTAGGACCCCTCTGTCATGTGATGGGCGCTAGCACCAGCACCTTGCACTCTCGTTTGGCAATTTTGTCAAGGGAAAGAGCAGCCTTGTCCGGGGGCAAGTAAAGAGGGCGGCCCACTGGGGAGCCTACAGGGGGAGTTATGGCCCGCCGCTCCATGACGCTTCCTGACCTGTTGGGAGGGGAGGAGAGATTGGCAGGGAGAAGCAAGAGACCATCCCTTTTCCTGCCAACTGATGTCTCCAGCCACCCCCTCCCCATCCCCCCCCAGCTTCCTCTGCAGCACCCACCTCAGAAGGTGTCCCCGTGCCGGCTGCTGGTGCGAGAAGCTCTGGGAGCGCCCGAGACTGGCCTGATGACGCCCCACGAGCTCCCGCACTGCTGGGCTCCCAGGGCTGCTTTTGCGGGAGACCGGCCGGGCCTCCGGAGGGGGGTTGGACACACTGGCTGTGAACTGGAGTTTCAGCTTCATGTGCTGGGACAGCTGCGGGGCAGGGGGAGGGGGAGAAGAGAGGACAGTCATCTTGGTTAGTGTGAGTGTCTGTGTGTATTCTGCTATGCAGTGCTGAAACTAGATGAAATCAAGTTAAATCATCCACAGTTGGCAGGAGGATCCTGCTTGTTGCCAACTAATCCATGCTTGTCTTTGTGCAGCATGTGCGGACACTTACCTCAAACAAGCCAGCACGCAGGGCCTGGAAGGTGACACAGAAGGTGCGGGCGCTGCCCTTGCGGGAGAATCCCAGGTTGTTGAGGGGGGTCTGGCACACAATGGAGTCTTGAGGGTCTGGTGTGGCACGGCATTCATCGCAGACATTTGGCTTCTTCCCTAGGGGGCCGGGAGGGGGGGAGAGCAAGGGTGGTTAAGAGAGGCCCAAAGACCTAGCGTGCTCCCAGACCCAACCAATGCTGGGGGAGGGGGGAAGAGGTCTATGCAGCTCCCAACCCCCCCCCACCACCACCAGGAGCTGCAAATCAGCCACACATGGAAGAAGAGCTGCTGCTCATCCCGTCTGCCTGGAGCAGAGCTGGCCATCCTACTGTCACAGTGGTCATCCTGCTCCCTCCGCCCCACCCCCCACTCACCTGCAGCAGCACTTTCTGGCGTCCAGACCAGGCGTACTGCCAGGAAGTCCTGCAAGTTATTGATGAGTGTGTACGTAACTACAAAGCGCCGGTGCAAGATAACTGGCGACTCACATTCTGCAGTCATCACAAACCTGGGACGAGCAAGGCGGATGCTGGGCAACCTAGGAGGAGAAGTGAGGGAGCAACGTGTGGCACGTTGACTGAGTTCTTATGTTCTTCAATGCGTGCACTTATTCTTCTGTCGGTTTGTCCGATGTATGTGGTGGGACAAGCGGTGCATGGGATTTCGTATACTCCTTGATTTTCTAACTCTGTTGGTAATTTACGACGGAAGCTCGGTATTTATTAAATTTTTTCTAGTATTGAATTTTTCCTGGTGCATATATATATATATGTATGTATGTATATAAACTCAGATATGATACAGATCTCTTCCCTCTACACATGGATGTACAGTATATATACGCTCTTGAGAGGTTGATATCTGCCAGCCTTTACATTATGCTTATGCTGACAGCTACACGATACGGTTCCATATAATGAACTCCTAAATAGGTTGTGCAGGTGAGGGCTTAACCACTGGGTGGGTTCAGCGGATGGGAAGCCGGCTCGGGTAAACCCCAGTGCGCGATGGTTAATGGGCTGCTGCCTGAACAGAGACCAGTCACAAGCAGCCTATCGTGAGCCCCCCCCCCCCACCTCTTCTCTCCCAGGTGTTTGCAAGGGGTGTAAGAGAAAGACTGCTGGGTGAGATTTGTCTTTTTGCTGATGACATAAAGGTGTGTAGTAGGGTTGATGTTCCTTGGGTATTCGTAACATGGAAAACAATTTGGCCCTGCTGGATAATTGATCAAAAATGTGGAGATGGCAGTTCGGTGTTTCTGAATGTAAGCTCATCCACTTGGGGAAAAAGAATCCTCTGGCAGTATTGGGGGTACAGTGTTGGACAGAACCACAGAAGGAAAGAATTTAGGGGTGCTTATAGCAAATGGCTGCAAAATGAGTAAACTGTGTGAAGGCAAACAAAATTCTGGGCTGCCCTAATCCCACCATGTAGGACTTTGGGGCTGTCTTGTCCTCCCGTGCCAGACAGGCCACGGGGCCCTCCTCCCCCCCTCCTGGGCAGTCTGGGGCTAGCTGCGTGTCCTGCCCGGCCTGAAAGAGGGGTCGCTCACCTGTAGTGCGTGTAGATGCTGCTTGTGAAGGGCAGCTTGAGGGTCGACCACTGCACCACCGCAATAAGAGGAACCTCCAGGCCCTGCAAGTGCCAGGGCAGAATGAGCAGCTGCCCCCTGCCTCCCGCTCTGCGCTGCAGGGGCCCAGGCAAGGAGGGAGTCCCAGAGCCCGGGGGGGGGAGGCGGAATCTCACCTCTTTGGTGCTGTCAGGGGGCTGCTCTGGCGCCTGCAGCTGGAAAAGGAAGTTCTGTTCCTCCAGCGCCCGGAGGGAGCAGGGCCAAGCGGAAGTGGCCGAGGGCACCTGGCAAAAGGAGGCCATGGAGACTTCGCCGGATTGGTGGCTGTGGGGAGGGAGAACAGAAGCAGCATAAGAAAAACCGGCCACCCAGCCCCCTCCTCACACACGTGCGCGCACACACGCTTTCCTGGCACACACCAATTGTATAGGCATCGGGAGGGGGGGAGTGGAGCACTGCCTCTGCCCACAGCCCACTGGGAGAAAAGAAGGATTCCATGCCAGGCTCTGCCATGCAAGAAGCCCCCTTCCGAGCTGCTGGGCATGCAGGTGGCACCCCTTGGGGTCGCCTTGGTGCCTGGCATCAGCCTTCCTTGAGGCAGCTTCTCCCTGTGCCCCTCTGGGGCAGCCCAAGGAGACCTCTGAAGGGCTCCAGCAACTTTCCGCCTCCCCCCCCCTCCCCACGGAGCAAGATCACCCGAGGTGCAAGGTGAGGGAGAAGTATATCTGTTTATTCCACCTTTATTGTTTTTAAAAACAAGGTGGCAAACATATCCAACCTACCTTCCTCCTCCTCCTCTTTTCCCCACAACAAAGCAAGCACCCTGTCCGCTGAGGGAGGGGGAGGGGCCCAAATTCTCCCAGCTGCTTTTCAGGCTCCAGAACTGCCCGCCTCCTCCTGGCTTCTCACCTGGTGCTTTAACCACTAGACAAACTGGCTGTGGCTCAGGCCCTGCTGTGGTTCATCCAAATGCCAGCCCTGGAACTGGCATTCAGGGAAGTTCAGTTCAGCCGTGGGGGGATTTGGGCTGTTCAAAAGCAAACAGCTCCGAGCATGTTTTGAGGAGCAGGGAATGTCGGTTAAAGGCTTCCCGTCCCCCCTCAGCCACCCCCTCCCCCCGGCCCCCTTACCAGATATCATCAACTAGCAAGACGGAGCCGTCTGGCATCATGGGAAGGTAGCTGGCATTGAAGTTGGGCAGGATCCGCACATCCCACACTGAGAGCTCATCCTGGGAGGCAGCGTTCAGAACTGGGAAGGGAGCCGAGGCAAAGCAGGGGAGGGGAGCGCATGAGGGAGGGCAGGCCTTCCGGACACCTGCAGAGGGACCCTCCCCTCCCTGCCAAGCAACACACCTTTGAGCACCGTCAAGTGCTTCCCGGACACGTTCAGCTGCTGGCACTTCAGCTCCGGCGGGGGCAGCACCGTCAGCATGGTGCTCACTGTGAACCAGAAGCAGAGACGGAGGCATCAGCTCCGCACTGCCGCGGCGGGAGCAAGCGCAGAAGGCGGACGGCGGGTCAGGCTCACCTTGCGCCTTGAAGGCGCCCTGCTCTTCGCGGAAGATCTGGGAAGGGGCCCGATCCTGCAAGATGCTGAGGTAGCCGCGCTCCCGGACCTCGCCTCTCTCTTGGTCGCGTCTCCAGACGGTCGCCACGATCTGCGGAAGAACAGGCATCATCCCTGGACAACCCGGCCTGGAGGACTCGGGTCGGGTCGGGGAGGGGAGGGCGGGGCCTTACTTTGGCTTTGACGGTGCTGGGGGGCAGCCTGTCCAGAGAAATGGTCAGCGGAAAGATGACTTCGTCGGTGGACACGATGGGCTCCTCGGGGGGGACCTGCACGAGGGAGCCGAGGGTCAGAACGCTGCTCGGGGCGCAGCGAGCCCCGCCGCCGCTCGGGTCCCGGACTTACGGCCACTGCAGTCGTTCCCGGGGTGCCATGGCCGTGGGTCAGGAGCGCCCGGCACTCCCGGAAGACGCTTCCGTTGGCGGCCGCCTCTCCGGCTGCAGCCGCGCCCTCCTCCGCTGCTTCACCAAGGAGGGCCTCGTCTCCAACGCCGCCGCCGCCGCCGGCCGGGCTGACGCTGGCCAGGGCCGAGAGCGAGCCTGCCACTTCCCCCCAGGGCGGCCGCGGAGCGCCGCCGGCTCCCGAGCGGCACCGCAGGACCAGCAGGAAGCGGACCGTCTCGCCCAGATAGAGATGGTTCCTCCGGGGCAAGGCCCGGTACCGGCCTGGCTCCCCCAGGAGCACCTCGCGGGCCGGGAAGGGCACAGCCGGGAAATACATGAAGTAGTCGCACTGGGACTCCATGCCGCCGGGCGGCGGGCGAGCTCCCAGCCGGGCCGCGAGAGGCGGCTGCTGCTCCTGCTCCTGCTGCTGCTGGCGGGGCGCGCGGCGGCGGGGCCGGGGCGGCACGGCATGGGCGGCTGGGGTCCCCCTGGTCGGGCTCCGGGCGGGCGGGTGCGGAAGGAGAGGCGCGCGAGGCGAGGCGAGGCGCGCGGGAGGCGGATCCGGGCCGGGGTCTCCGGGAGAGCAAGGCGGCGAGGGAGGCGGGAGGCGGGAGCAGCGCGGCGGGCGGGAGGGGCGATGAAGCCGTGGGCGTCTCCCTGCTGACTGCCCGCCCCTTCCTCGACGGCTGCGCGGTGCGGAGAGGCTGCGCGGCGGGAGCCTTCGGGGCGTTTCGCTGCTCCCCGCAGCCTCCGCAGCCGGGCCTCTTCCAGCGCGGAGCTGTCCCGAAAACGTCCTTTGCCCCGGAGCCCCTTTGGCTTGGGCGACGGACGGCTGGGAGGGAAGAGCGGAGGTGCCGGAGGCCCGAGGCTGACTTGCCGTGCCTCCCTTCCTGGGCCGAGGATTCGGGTACGGTAGTTGTGCTGTTATTAGTTTTTGCGTTAATAAATGTAGTTTTGCACATGTATTTTGCATTGTCTGTTAATGTGATTAAATAATCGTCCAAAATTTAATATGGCGGCCCTTAAAGGATTGTGAACCCGTTTGAATTTTCAGTATGGCCCAGCACAGCTCCCTAGCAGTTCCTCCTACGGTCTAGCAGTAAGTTCGGAATTAGAATAGAATAGAGCTGGAAGGGACCTTGGAGGTCTTCTAGTCCAGCCCCCTGCTCAAGCAGGAGAACCTATGCCATCTCAGACAAATTACAGTGCTGGTCATTAAGCATTTCATCACATGATCGTGCCCAGTTTTACAAACTTCTTTAAGCACTGTGGTCGTTAAGCAAAATCTATTACACCCAAAGAACGTTTTTTTGCCAGAAGTTGAAAGTAAACACTGAAAAAGAGCAAAATTTGCCAAAAATCGCAAATTATGGGACTGCGGGATGCTGCAAACGGTGGTAAATGTGGAGTTGGTTACCAAGCGCCCAGACTGCCGTCATGCGGCTGCGGGGCCAGGTGACCATCGGAACTCCAGAACCAACATGCAGGTACCTCTTTGCAGGTCTGTCGGAACACTAAGGGAGGGCAACTTGCAACAGTTGTTGATTTTGAGCTTTTTACTTTCTCAATGTCTCTAGATAGATTCTGTAGTCCTCTGGATGGGGCAAGGAAGGCTGTTTCCTATTCTCATAACAACCTTTCAGATACATTTAAACCATGTTGTGCCATCTTCCCCCCTCCCAGTCCCTTCCTCATCTTTGCAGCTCTCCAGCTGCTCCGTGGCCGGGAGGGCTTTGGAAGTTAACCATCTCAGGAGACAGGCCTGTGGCTCTCACCTCACCTCACACCACACCACACCCCTGGGGCCAGGAGTTGCTACGTGAGAGTTGAATTTTTCTTCTTCGCCATTATCACCCTGGCCAGATTCATAGTAAATTGTTCAAGTTGTGAGAGAACACCCCGCCATCCTGTGTGCAAGTAAGAGGAGGACCTGGCCCGTGCATTTCCTTCCTCAGGAAGAAGGGGTGTGGGGGGGGGTGGCATTGAGGAAGCACCATCCAGCCCTGACCTGAAGTAGTGCCACGCAGCTGGACAAGAGGGAGGCCAGGCTGAAGGTGACCAGTCCTGCCACCAATGGGTCGCTTCTCTGGCCATTGGCATTTCTCAAAAGCAGAAATGTCCCTCTCTGGAGAGCAGAAACTTGACTTCTAAGGATAAAAGGTGCATTAAGAACACAAAACAAGTAAGGCTCAGACTACCCCAATCAATGTGTTTTTTTACACTGATATTCTCCTTTTTGAAAATGAACACAGTAATTGTATAATGGGAAGAAAATCTAAATAGTGTCACTGCCGAAAATGCTGGAAAGAGCTATGGTAATTTGAGAGCTCCACAATGCGAATGCTGATTGAACCAGAGGGGGCAAGGCCGGCCTGGCTTTTGGCCTGACCTGGCTATTGGGGCCCATAAAGAACAAAGGTGCAGATCTGAACTATTGTAGCTACAGAGGCGGTGAGCCTGAGGTTCTCGATCTCTCTGGGTGGCCTGAAGACGGTCCAAGTTCCAGCCCCAGGCCTGCCTCCCTCTCCAGCACGAAGACCAGGATAGCACTGTGCTTCTGCGGGTGTCTCCAGCTGGGGAGTTGGGCGCACTCTTCTCCGCGAGGGTCAGGCAGGCCCAGCTCATCAGTGCTCAGACTTACTTTGCGTGCCGTGGCCGGGTAGTCCTGAGGCTGCTGTGGGTGGTGGGTGAGGGCGAGAGTCGGCCCTGGCACCTAGGAAGAGTCCGGAGGTGGGAGCTTCTGAGGCGTCACACAGCCACCACTCTGCCAAGGATTACTGGGAACACCCATGGCTTGCTTCCCAGGGTGTGTGGGATGACATCTGTTTCTCCACCCAGCCCTTTTGCATAGTTCAGCCCCGCTCTTAAGGGGCTTTTCTTTTCACTGAGTGGCAGCCAGAGGAGCAGCAGCGGAGGAGGAGGAGGAGGAGGAGGAGGAGGAGGAGGAGCAGCGTATGCAAGAGACAGCTGGGCTATGGGCCTCCTGGGAGGGGGAGGGGCAGGGAAGGCCCTGGGCTTTTCCTTGAGGCTCTTTTGCGCAGGCTAGAAAGAGAAACAGCCCTGCGGTAGATAGAACAAAGCCTGTCTAATCCCCGCACCCTGGACTAGCCCCGATGCCCCAGCAGGATTAAGCCCATCAGCAGCTCATCCCACTCGCTGGTTTCTGGCCCTGGCTTCTCTCCTTCGGGCTGTCCAGGCTGAGGGCAGAGCTGGGCTAAAGCTAAAGAAGCCAGTTGGAAAGTCTCTTCTCAGGACCCCTTTTATTCGTTGTAATTTATTATTCCTTACGTAAACTCCCTGTAAATTAAACCCTTCCGATTGGGTCATATAACTCTGAATGATTAATTATTGAAACAATTATTGTTTCCTCATCTTCCTTCCCATCCTGGGTTGGTTGTGCATCTTGCTGGCTTCCTCATCCGCTTCAGGGCAGCTTCATTCTCTCCCGGCGTTTGCCAGCAACGTCTCCACAGATCCTCGGGTTTGGGGCCCAGCTCCAACCCTTGGCACAGGGTCCCCAAATGCGAGCCGTCCGCATGGCCCCGGAGCCTCTCTGCCTGGGAAGTCTCTAGTGCAGCCTCCTTCCCCCATGCAGAGAAAGACGTGGGGAGAAGAGCCAGGAAGCCCCACGGCGGCTCCAGCTTCCCTGGTACAAGCCCCGCTGCATCTGGGGCGAGACAGTGGCAGGAGAGGGAGGCACTCCGTGGCCAGACAGCAGGAGCACTTTGGTGAGACAGCCCAGGGGTTGTTTGCACCCCAGCCCCTCCCACCCACCCCCCAAGAATGCTGGTCCTCCAGGCTTTGGAGGATGCCTTGTTAGGGTGGGAGGGGGGGAAACACTGAGCTGAGGGGGGAGGGGGCGTGTTCACGCTCTCCCTGGCCCAGTTATGGGAAATCCAATCATGGAAGCTCCTCTCCTGTCAATCAGCGGGTGTGCCCGGAGTCAGAGAGGGCACGTTGCTCTGTTGGTTTCCCCAAGTCTTAAGCAACCCCAAGGCATTTAAAGAACCGACAGCCTTTTGCCTCTCTAAACACGGGAGTCTCTTCGTTCCGCCGGCGTTGCACATCCCTGCAGCTCTCCTGGGGCCCCTCTGCCCGTGGCATCCTGCGTGGACGGGGGTGTCCGGCAGAGCACGGGGGCCGTTTCAGTTGGATGGCTGCTGCCAAGAGCCGTTGTGAGCTGCTTCCCCCCATCCCTGTCTGAGATCGCCCCCCTTGTAGGGGTGGGGAAACTGCTTGGCATCCAGGAGGTCCTTGTACTGCAGCTCAGGAGTGACCAGCTGCTGACACACGGTCTGCAGGCCGGATGCCAAGCTGGGTTGTAGGGCATAGCCCAAGATTGGCACCTGCCCAAACTGGAAGGGGCGGATGCGCTCATCGGCAATGTGGCCTGGCTCCAGTGGCCCCCCTCCTTGTAAACAACGCCGCATAAGCTCTGCCCGCTGCTTTCGGAGAATGACCACTTCCCCAGCCATGCGGGCGGTGCCAAAGTGTTTCACACGTGCCCAGAAAGTGCGATTGAAATGAGTGTAGAGATGCCAGTCCAGGTGGTTCCAAGCGCGGAGCCGAGCTACGTCAGCGGCCCCTAGCTGGTGAACAGCCTCTGGGTTGCGCAGGTTGTGCTGGAAAGCCACCACGTCCTTAAAGCTCCAGCAGAGGGCGTCGCGCAGCAGGACCAGCGACTCATCCATGTATTCCGTCAGCAGCACAAGGTGGAAAATGCGATCCAGTCCCAGCAGGGCAGCGTGGATTGGGGCTAAGCCGGGGCTTGTTGGCGGATCAAGGCCAAAGTCAAACCAAAGCAGGTTGCGGGCATAGTGGCTGCCACGCTCACCAGGCCGGTAGAAGTTCTGTGGAGAAGCCAGGAACTCTGGCAGTGAGCGAGCCCGGCGGAAGGCAGGAACCACACCCCGGTAATAGGAGAAAGCTGATTCAGCCAAGGAAGCCGGATCCCGCACTATGGAGAAATAGAAACTGTCTGTGGGCATCACCTTCTGGACCTGGAGGGGAACAGGGGGAAGTTAGTGCTAATGCCCACCACAGCTGGTGCCCACGGAAAAGATGGCCTGTCTCCTTGGTGGAAGTTGGAGCCCAGGCCATCAGCTAAGGAAGAAGCGTCCCTTCCTAGGCAGCCCTTTCCGCCTGCTCCACCCCTTCCCGTGCCAATTCCCACTCTGGAGGAGCCACAGCTAGCAGCATCTTGGGAGATGTGATGCCTCATGACCCCAGCCAGAAGTGGGGCTCGCTCCCGGCTGCTTGCAGCAGGTCACAAAAGCCCCCTAGAGGCAGAGCCTTAAGCACTCTCTGCCTGTGCCCCCCTCCCCTCCTTCCCACATCCCTCCTCCTGAATCCAGCCTGGCTCTTTCTGACTCCTCCCACCCACCTCAGGCAAGTTGAAGCGCATGTGGTGGCAAAGGATGTCGAATGGGGCCCCTGAGGGGCGCCACCCTTTCACGTGCCGCGCCTGGAAAAGCCTGGGATAGCTGAACTGGTAGCCGGCCGGCAGGGCAAAACGCAGCGATCTGGTGTCCCCAAAGCGGTGCAGGATGTTGATGAGGGTACTGCTGGCGGTCTTGTGGGTCTTCAGGAAGACCAGGTGTTGCCGTGGCTGGCAGGAGAGGAGGTGGCTGACGGGCTCTTCCTCCCGCACCCCCAGAGGTTCTGCTGAGGAGACTGGAGTGCGTGTGGGGGAGAGCAGCGGAGGTGAGGACACCCTGCTGGGAGAGTTTGGAAAAGGATGAAGCAGCTGAGCAGTCTCGGCCAGAGGGTGAAAGGGGATTCCCCTCTGGGGGTCTCCCACCCAACTAGGCCTGATCCTGCAGGGGCAGAATATGATCCTGGGTTGACCCCCTTCCTGAGGTCTCCCAGCTCACCTTCTGCCCTGTCACCTCCCGCCCACTCAACCTAGCAAGCTCTGTGCACCCAGCCCCCCCTCCGCTGCCTGGCCCAGTTGGGCCTCCGGCCATGGCTGAACTGGAGGGAGGGGGGGAGGCGTTATTACCTCTTCGGAAGGGAGATGCCCAGGAGCTGAACAGTGAAGCCAATGGTGGTGCAGACGGCCAGCGCGACCCAAAGCAAAGGCAGCCGATAGCAGCAGCAATAACGCTGCCACCTGGAAAGGCTCCCCATCCTTCACCTTGAGGGGCGGGAGGCAGAGAGACAGCAGTGGTGGAAGACCCTCTGTGCTTGGCAGACCCCGTCCCTGGGCCCTCAGTGAGAGCCCTACCAAGGCTTTGCACATGCCCTCCTCCTCCTTCACCCCCAGGTGCCTGCACACGGAGCCTCGCCTGCAGGGGAGGAAGTTCCATGGCTGCCTTTTGGACCTGTCCCCATCTTGCAGGGGTCACCTGGGCTGAGGCCAGGTGCTGGGAGAAAGCACCCAACCAGTTCAGATCCTCCTGGCCTGGCCTGGCCTTCTGATCCCCTGCCTGGAACTCCCCACCCCCACTGCCCGAGCACAGCCCAAGGCCTGATTCTCCAGGTGACCTGACCAGAGAAAAGACAGAGGGGCACTCCCAGATTTTGGGGGGAGGAGGAAGCAGTGGGGAATGCCTGCCTCACCAGGGGCAAGTGGCATGATCCCTAAGGGGTACTTGGAGGAGTATTTCGCCCCCCCCCCCGCAGCAAAGCCAAACTGCTGAATGGATGGGAGGTGTCTCCAAGCCCTCTGTGTCCATCCCCCCCCCTCCATTATTCATCCCCAAAACAACAGCAGGGGGAACAGAGGGCTGAGACTCACGGCCCTTGGGCGAGGGCAACGTGGCGCTCTGCCTAGGTCCTGGCGAGCTGCATTCCTGGCCTTCTTTTCCAAGGGGCAGGATGGGACACGGGGCAGAAGTGGACAGGTGGCAGTACCTTCCCGCAACTGGAACAAAGCAGAACTCCGACTGCTCTGCCCCCGTCACTGGGCAGCGACATTTTCAGGCAAGAGCAAGAGAGCGGAAAGCAGCCAAGCCTGGAATTTGTCGGAATGTAGCCCCCAGGTTTTTAATTGGTGGGGTATAGGTGAGGGCGGGGAAGGCTTACAGTTGTGCAGACTTCTCAGCCGCCTACAGCTTGCCCAAGCAACAGGGGTCCCCGCTTGGCAACCCCACCGCACCAGGGGCCCCTCTCCGAACGCGAGACCGACTTGCCTCCCGGCGGAGCTCACCCCCCCCCCGCACCTAAAGAGCCTCCTGCTGCGCGATTAACCCCGGAGCAGGGGCAGGCTCTATTCTCCATAGGTCCGTTCCGGGGCCCCGCCCGCCCCCTCCCCCGCATCCGTCGGACTACTGCCTGCCTGCCTGCCGGCCGTACGCTACCGGACTCCAGCAGGGATGAGGCCGACTTGGCACCCAGGCTGGGCGTCTGCACCCACCAGCCGCCAAACTCAGCCCCGCTCTGGACCCAGCGCCTCCAGAGAACGTGCAGAGCGCCTCTCTGGAGCAGCCTCAGCCAGCCCATCTCCGCACACCTTGTGGAAGGTCTTCGCGGCAGGCTGTCCCACCGACTCGGAAGGTCCCCAGCGCGCGCCCGACCACAAGCCGCTCCGAATTGGGGGGAGGGGTGTCTCCGCCTCGGCCCCTCCGCCCGCAGATCCTTCGGCGTCTCCAAACTTTTCCGCGTCTGCCTTACCGAGAAAGAGTCGGAGATCTAAGCCCGATCCCTGCCCTCCCCACGGCTGCCCAGTTCGCTCACTCGGGGAAGGGCGAGGGAACGGGTGCGATCAGCGCCACGGCGCCGACAACGAGAGTAATCCAGAGCGGGGGGGGGGCGCTTCCGCCGCCGGCTCTCCTCGACCCCCTCCTCCCCTCCCCCCTCCTGGCGTTCTCCCTCCGCCCCTTTTCTGTCTCAAACTTTTTTGGTCACTCGCGCTTTCTGCCCGCCCCCGCGGCTGTCCGTGGGCCTCCCGCTCCCCAATCACATTTGCCCCGCCCAGCGTGCTTTCTCTTTGTCCCCCGCTCCGTAACACGCCCCCCCCCGGCCTAAAGTACAGGCGGCAGGACGGGCGAAGCATCCATCCATCCGTCTGTCCGTCCGTCCGTCCGGCTCGGCCCTTGGACTCGGAACGTGCGCCAGTCGCTTCAGGCGCGTCCGTAATTCCCTTCTTCCCAGAAGCAGGGCCCTGCTCACTCTCCTTCCCTGATCCGCTGCCCCCTCCCATGAGCCTCCTGTGAGCCCTCCGTGGGGTGGAATAAAGCCGGCATTTTGCTCCGCGCAAGGAGCCGGTTCTATGCCTCGCCTGTTTCAAGAGCGACAGTGGCCTCTGGAAACGGCCGCTGTGGGTCTAGAGCGTGTCTGGAAGGCTGAACTCACGTTCTGCCGGCCCCACTGATTTTTTTTCCTCCGAAAAATTGTCTCATCTCCTTTTCTGCTCCCATCAAGCAGCAGAGATTTGTAGGCACTCCCTGCTTACGCCTTTTCTGGATCTTCACAATCCTTAAGGAGATAAATAAGTACACCCTGTGCGTCTACCTCCCTTGGGGATAATTGACCTGGGGCATGGTTCAGGGGAGCCACCTTAGAGTGGCAGTGGAAGGATCTGGAGTGGGTGATGTTGCCTATTTGGTACCCCAAAACCACCATCCCAGCAGCGACAGCCATGCCCCCGCAGCTGGTCAGGGTGAGTGACAGGATGGGGGTCTTCCTCTGCGGCTTACATTTGTCTTCTGAGAGCCCTTTTGTCTGAATGCAACCAGCAAGCAGCAGGCGATGAGAGGAGGGCTCCAGGATCCCTGGAGGGGCTGGGGTAGGGAGGGGGTTGGGCTCGGCCTCCCACTATTAGTACTCACCTGACCAGCTTCTCTGCTCAAAGCTGGAAAACCCTCAAGAGCCGTTGCACACCAGGGCCAAGCAGAGACAATGGGGAAGTAGCTCGGCCCTATGCCACCTAGGGCTTTATGATCACCACAGGGCTTCGTAGGGGAGAACCCACACTTTGTACTGGTAGCCAGTGCCACTTCCAGGGCAGTAGTGGGCATAATGGGTGAAATGAAAAACGCTGCCCCTGCAGCTGCGTTCTGACTAGGCCTCGAGGCATCCCCTGTGGAGCACAGGACAGCAATCCCAACGGGAGGTGAGCAGGTCAGTGGGAGCCAGGCTTCCTGCTGCTGGGATAAGCAGAACTGGTGCACAAAGCCCCCACCCCACCCCTTCACAGCTCTTCAAGCAGGCGCTAGGAATGCATACCGTCCCTGACTGGAGAAGTGCCACACCAGGCAAACTTAAATATGGAGAATGTAAAGAAATGGGGAGGGGGGGAAGTATTTTCAGGGCTGAACTGAAGCTTGTTGTACAAGCACTGGAAAAGGATCTTGCTGGCATTTGTTGGTTGCCCAGGTGGAGCTGTACAACCAGGCAGGCATATGGAGGGTACCTCCCCTGCCCACAGAGGACCTAGCCAAGCAGCTTCATGTAGCTGTTGAGTAGGAGTGGAAAGAAAGTCGAGCCCTGAGGCAAAGCGGGGGGGGGGGGCTCTGATCAAGCTCTTCTCCCCCACCAGTGCTGATGGGAGAGAAGAACTCTAATGGAGCTCCTCCCATCCCCAGGTGGTCCAGAGGGATATCACAGTTGATGGGGTTGAAGGCCACTGAGAAACCGGAGTGTCAGGATGGATGAAGCCCCCCCATACACACACACACTCCCAAGTCTGCCAGAAGGTCATCCACAAGAGAGATCAAAGCCATCTTGGCATGTTATCCCAGCCTAAAACCCAGAACAGAACCAGAAAATCCACTTCTTCCAGAGTCTTCTGGAGCTGTAGGTGAACTATTTTGTCAACAGATTTCCCTAAAAAAGAGAGGTGGGAGATTGGAAGAAAATTGTCCAGATCTATTGTGTCTTCCTCTGTGGAAATGAGGTTCTTTAGCACCTACATGGCTACTTTGACATCTTCACTTGTAAAAATCTGAAAGTTATTGCTCATTTCTGCATTGTTCTTCAACACCTGGAGGACTTTGCATTGTGTTCCTCTAAGAAACGGAGCAGAATGTTGAATTAAAGAAATTGGGAGACATTCACTGGGTATATCACACTGCCTTAGTTCACTTGTTGAACTAACACTTTCAGCATTTTTATTGCTTCTGAATATAGTCAGCAATGGATTAAATTCTGCAGTAAGTGTGGATTTTAAGCCAAATAATATACGTTTGGCATTTTGTTTGAATCTTTCCTAAAGAAAGGTTTTTTAAAGTGATATCAGACTAATTGCAGAATAGGGAGTTGGGTGAGGCTCCTGCCTGTTTCATTATTATGGCGTCAGAAAGATTCATTTTGGAGAACCTAGGTTTAGGATGAAAGCAGTAATCACGGCCCCTCTGTTTCTCCCCCCCCCCATGCTGAACCGCAGAGCAGCTGACCCCTGCCAGCCCTAGCCCCCTTTGGGCTGCGGGGGGCAGGTCAGGGCCTGTGGGAGCTGCAGACTCCTGAGCTAGCATTTTAACTCACTCTGCTGAGGGAGGGGAACATGTCTTCTGCTGCTCCAGGAAGGGCAGACTCCTTTGCTTGGATTCAGGCAGAGCCGCCTATTCTCTGGGCTGACCCAGACTCTGCAAGAGCTGAGGAACTTCCCCCCAGCAGGTGAGGCTTCCGCACTGCAGTCTGTCTGGATCCTTCCTGTGCCAGCGGAACAGCTGTCCAGTGCTTTGCCCCTCTCTGGCCGCATCCCTGGCGTGGAGACCTGTGCTCTGTATGTGCCAGGAAGTGGCATCCTGATGGCACAGAGCTCCTTCAGTGGATTTGGAGGGTGGGGGGAGGAGGATGCAGAAGTGCCAGGGCTCAGGGGCAACCTGAGGATAGTGCCAGCGTGGCGCTCCAAGGAGCAGACTGTGTTTGCTCAACTTGCCACACAGGCGTGCGATTGCCGATGTCCACGGGCAGAGAGGGAAACCAGGGCTAGCCTTAGCTGCCAAGGCTTTGGCAAGATCCTTTTTTCCAAGGGGAAATTGAGGCAGCTGGCCCTCTCAGTGTCTGGCAAGTTCAATCTCCTTTGCCAGGGGTAACTGGGGGAGAGGAATTTTGCAAGACCAGCCAACAAGAGTATAGTGGCCTTCAGGGCTCTGTGGTGGGAAAGGAAAACGGGAAGGGAAATGTGAGGATCCAGACGGTTGGTCATACGGATGGCCTGGTCAACCTCCTCTGCTGCTGCAGGTGGGTGGGGGGTTGCCGTGAATGTGCCTCAATCCCAGCCAAGTTTTGAGGTTTGGGATCTCCCCTTCTGCCAGTGGCCTGTCAGCTTTGCAGCCTCTGCCCTTTGGGACAGCTGGAGAAGGGAAGGCTCCAGAGCCGCTACCCTGCGTTGGTCTCCCCTAAAGAGATCCAGGAGACCCCTGGGCCCGGAATGGCACCCCTTCACTCTGCTGATTTTCTGGGCAAATGTTAAAATTATGCTCCGATGTAGCCTCCCTAACGTATATGCAACCTATAGAATGAACCCATGAAGAGGGCACCCGGTCTTGTCTCACCCCTCTGGTGATCTGTTTTGTTTTTTTCCACTTCTGTTATGGCTTATCTAGCCATTGGATGAGGCCAATGAGATGTTCTGGGATTCCCATTTTTCCAAGTATATTCCACAGCTTGATATGGTTTACAGAATGAAAGACCTTCCTTTAATCAATACCTATTGATTAATTTTTAGTAGTCTTTGATTCTCCCAATTATCCAGTGTGCATCAGCAACAATTTCTTTTGTTTCGTGACCTTTTCTAAAATCAGCTTGAACAACGAGGATTTATTTCTCTTTCCAAACAGGGCTTTAATCTGCAGTGGATGATTTTAAACATTGTTTTTCTAGCCTGGGAAATTAAGGCTATTGTATAATGATTTGCTAAGTCTCCTTTCTGATATGTAGACTGACTTCTTCCAATCTGATGGCCTCTGTGGTCGTTCTCTTTTCCTGATCCTCTTTCTCTTGCTTGCTATATTTCTGTAGATACGCCATCGATTCCCTTAGCCTTCTCAGCTGATCATGAGCCTGGAAGGCTCGTTTCACGTCACCTTCTGGTATTAGAGGTTCTTGGAAATAGGAAATATATTTTAAAGTACCTCAGGATTACCTCAGAATTCCAGCACACCCCTTCCATCTTTGTTTGATCTTCTTTCTTTGGATCAGTCCTCATCTGTCCCCTGAGGCCTTTAGCGTACCAGATTCAAGCCTTCTTTTTTTTTTACTTGTTTTTCCATATCTGTTTACATCTTTGCTATCTTTATGTTGTTGTTGTTGTTGTTGTTATACTGTTTTGCAATTCTTCTAACAGCTTCAGAAATTCTTTAAGCTCCTTCCTGAAGTTTTTTTGTTTGTCTGTTCTGATCGTGGCAATTTCTGCTTTTTGTTCAGAGGTCTAGTCTGTTTTCTTCTGTTTCTTAGTCTTCGGCAGCCTCTTCGCAAGTGTCCTGAACAATAGGGTCCCATTCCAGGGCTCCTCTGGTGGCCTGTCAGGGATAACACGGATATAAAAGGAGAAAAAGAATGACATGGCCACAGGTGTGCCCTACAGACCACCCAAACAAACAAAGGAAATAGTTGAGCATTTTGCTAACCGGTTAACTAAGGTATGTAGGAAGTACACCACATTAGCTATGGGGGGGGGGATTTTAATTACCCTGACAACAACTGGGAGACAAACTCTGCACCTAGTGGGTGATCAAACAGGGACCCGATGAACTTCTCTCCCAAAGGTAGAGAAGGGAGCTGGGGGGCCAGTTCCTCTGGACTTAATTCTCACTAACAGCGGAAGGCATTGAAGTTACAGGAACCTTGGGGGTGGCAAGAATATCAATGTATAGTCCAATTCTGCAAAGATGAAGTCAGGAAAGCTAAGGATCAGAATGAGCTATGGCTTGCAACAAATGTCAAAAATAACAAAAAAAAAAGGCTTCTTTCAACATATAAAAAACAAGAAAAAAATCAAGGAAACAACTGGTCCACCTATCACAAAGGATGGCAAAGAGGCAGCAAGGAGACAGCGGAACCGTCTCTAATCCATTCTTTGCCCCCGTCTTTACACACTGCAGTGACGTCCGTCTTTGCTTGGCTGGGCTGGGGTGGCCGGGGTGAGCCAGGGCCGTGGTGGCGGGGGTTGGCCACTCGCAGTCTCCGGGGCAGCCCCGTGGGCTTGAACTGGGCCCATCGCATGCCACATCCGGTCCTTGGGCCTTGTGTTCGACACGTCTGCTTTAGAAGATAGGCTCCAGATCCAGAAGGATCCTGACAGACTTGATCACTGGGTCCTACCCAACAAAACACAATTCAGTGGTGAGAAAAGTGAGGTTTTACTTTTTACATAGGGTAGAAAAACCAGTGGATGAAACAGATTATGAAATGGATTATCTACCTTGCTGTGTGCTTGAAAATGTGTGCTCTGTTTGGCTTGCTTTTTGTACACTCAGCACACTTTAAATTATAGTCTCCTTAGCAATGGTTTTGTGCTAAACAGAGAATTTGCTCAGTCAGGCGCACTAACCAGTCTGTCTCCATGGTTTTCTGGTGGCTTCTACAGAACTTGGTATTTCAGTAGCTGTTAATGTCATTACAAGAGTACGGAATTCTGTGGGACAAAGAGCAATATTAAAAATATGTGAGAGCCAGAATCTGAGAACAAAACATTAAATTTAACACACCACATTTCTTGAAGACATAGCATCTACCTGGAGACACACAGACACCCCGCCCCCGAGCTGCCAGCAGGCATCTCCCAGGCTACCTGGGATGCCTCAAGCCCTGAAACGGTCTTCCATGGTCTGCAACCCGATGGGCCAGGTTCCACCTTCACCTTATGGTCTGGGGTGGGCAGGAAGCCAGAGGGCTTAAAGGAGGGTCCCTTCCCCTCTGTCTCTGTACAGGCCCCTGAGCAAGTATCCAGCTATCCCCCTCACCCCCCAACCCCCACCCCTGTTAGGAGATAAGGTGGGGGCATCCTGTGTCAAAGAGCCCGTAGGAAAAACGTTGAAGCTACAATGGACAGAGTGTAGTTGAAACCAAGAATTTGTGCCACATAGAGATTTGTTTACTTCTTCTTTAATTGCAGTATTAATTACGGCAAGGCCTTAGGATCTAGTTTCCAAGGCCGGGCCTTTTTCCAGGGAAGACAGCAGGGCCTCTCCTTCCAGCCTGTCCAGAAAACCCACGGGATCCAGCCTAGAGGTGCTGCCCCCTACTGCCTGGAGAGGGTTGGTGCTGCCAGCGCTGTCCCAGGGCTTTCCTTTGGATGCAGAACAGTCACAGGTCTGCTAGGACCAACCCGGTTGTCCACCCTAAGCCCCCCCCCCCACTACTCCCTGGCTGACATTGAGGATCCTAATCCTGGCCAGAGCTACCCGTGGCCTTGCCCTGGCTTCTTTAGCCAGGAAGCCTTGATGTCTTTCTAACCATGGAAGAGGGAAGAGAGAAAGTTTCCTCAGCAGCCAGACAAGACCCATCCAATCACTATGTGGCTGCTGAGAAAAAAGTGACAGCCATATCCTTCCCTGCACCTCTTTGCCCCTCGTGAGTATTCCTTCCACCAGCCACTCAGCCACTCACCGTCCATCCATTGCGTCTGCAATTTGATCTCCCCTCCTCCCCTCCATCTGGGCCAGGGGTCTTCAAACTCGGCCCTTTTATGATTCATCAACTTCAACTCCCAGAATTCCTCAGCCCGGCAGAGGAGCAGAGGACGCTGGGCCGCTCCCCATTCCGCTCCCATTGTCTGATGCCCGGCCAGGAGAGCAGACGGGCGGCACTAGGGCCCGGCGGGCCTCACCGCGGATTGGCTCCTATTGTCTCGCACAGCCGCTCCGCTCAGCGTGGGGAAACTCGCCCGTTTCTCGCGGCGCCCGGTCCTTCTCAGGGACCGGCCGTGGCAGAGCGGTGCGCGCCCTGATTCGCGCCAAGGGCCTCCTCTTCCCTCGGCCTTTGCGCCTCTCACCTCGCGGGATGGGGACGCCGCTGCTCCTCTCGGCTCTGGGCGCGCTTCTTTGTTCCGCCGCTGCTGGAGAAGCTCGCGGAGCGCGGAGCTGAGCGGAGACCCGGCAGGCGCTGGCGAGCCGCGGCTTCTCACTCGCTTCGGTCCCGCCCACCCTCATCTCGGGTAAGGGCGCTCGGCCGGAAAACCTCTCGGAAGGCGGCGCGATCAAAGTTTCCTGGGCGTCCCTGACCGATATCCCGGGGTGTGTGTGGGGGGGGGGGGCGAGCAGCGGCGATATGAGCTCCGGGAGACTCAGCCCGTCCGGCTCCCGGAACGGCAGGTGCGCCTTGCGAGTCTTTGGCGAAGGGAAATCCTGTCTAACCGCGTCGCGGCTATTGCTCGGCTCGGACGGACTCTGGCCTGGGGCGTGAAGAAACTCCTGGGAGGGACGTCTCTGTCCTCTCTTGGGCCGGTTGCCTTCCCTCGACCGTCCGCCCTCCCCCCCCCCAACTGAAGGGTCCCGGGAAGAGGAAGCGAATGCGATCGCGCGCCCGGCTGGTGGGGGAAGAGGGGAAAGTTGTTGCCCAGTGTCGAGACGGAGGGAGGGCAAGGCGCTTCCATTGCGCCCACCCTGGTTTGCTTCACCCAGAGGCTAATCCACCTCCGAGGGGTGACAGATCGGCGTGGCCCTTCCCCTTTCATTCCTGCAGGAGAGCACCTTCGCATCTGCCCCCAGGACTACACCTGCTGCGCCAGCGAGACGGAGGAGCGGCTCAGCGAGCAAGGGCAGGCAGATCTCCGGGCGCCGTTGGGGGAGCCGGGCGCCTTCCTGATCCACACCCTGAGCTCTCGCCAGCGCCGCTTTCAGGGTGAGCGAGGGGAAGGACCCCCCCACTGGCCCCTCTCTCTGCTTCTGTCTCTCACTTGCTCACCTCCCCGCCAATAGAGCGTGGACTAATTGGGTTGGGCGGGACCCTGAACCCCCTGCTCAAGCAGGAGACCCTGTTCCATTCCGGACAAATGGCTGTCCAGCCTCTCTCCCTGAAAACCTCCAGTGATGGAGCACCCAGTTTCCTGAGATAAGCCTTTCCATGGATTGTTCCCACTGTCAGGAAATTTCTCCTTACTTCTAGGTTAGATCTCTCTTTAATCTCTCTTTTACTTCTTGACCTGCCTTCAGGTGCTTTGGAAACTAAGGCAGCCCATCGCTCCCTTCTCCTCACATGCAAGCCATGAGGCCACCTGGGGCCGCTTCCCCACCTGACCCCACCCCAGAATTCCCCACCGCTTGCTTGCCAGCCCCTGCCGCGAGTGTGGGGAAGGAGGAGGCAGCCGCCCGGCCCTCTCTTTTTATCGACTTTCGAGTTTTCTAGGGCTCTGCTTAATCTTGCTCTCCTCGGTGTTTGTTCTCCCGCTTCCAGACTTTTTCCAGGAGTTTCTTGCTGGAGCTGAGCGGTCCCTCCAGGCCATGCTTGCCCGTTCCTATGGGCGCCTTTATATGCAGCATGCCCGCCTCTTCCAGGGATTATTTGTGGAGTTGCACGTCACCTTAAGGGGTCTCGGCCCGGCCTAGATGAGGCCCTGAGCGATTTCTGGTCTCAGCTCTTGGAGCGAATGCTGCCTCTGCTTAACCCCCAGAAGGGTATCTGGAGTGTGTGGGGCACCAGGTGGAAAGCCTCCATGCCTTTGGAGACAGCCCCCACCAGCTCGGGTGCAGGTGAGCCCTGCTCCCACCAGAACAGCCCTTCAGGCCGCAGAGGCTCCCTATCTGCTTTGGCTTGAAGCAGACCCGTTGGCAGCAGGGTGGGAAGGGGGAGCAGGCACTGTCCCACTCACAGCGGCCTGGCAAGGAGGGCCTTGGCCAGAGAGAGCCAAAAGGGGAAGGAGTTGGTGTGCCCCTTTCCCTCTTTGCCCTAGTGCACAGTCAGCCCCACATTCTGCCTCACCACGCGATGTCCCGGTCCATACGTTAAGCTCTGTGAAGCATTCCTTCAGGCGCTAAAGTGCCCGGCACCGGAAATTACCATAGGAGTCGTGAGCAGCCTCCTGCTCTCTGAGCTAGCCGGCCTCTGCCACATCCATGCCTTCCCCAGAGTTGACCCTCTCGCCCCACCAGGTATCCCTAGATCCTTTCAAAACAATCCCTTGCCAACGAAACAGAGGGGCATGTCTTCGTAGGGATCTCTAGGACCGCTTGATTCTATCACTCCTCCCAACAACTTTCCTTTTGGGTCCCTGGTTGGTCTTCTAATCATGCGCTGGTCCAGCTCAAAGCTTTGTTGTGGCAATTATCCACTATCGCTATTGCTATACCCCTAATGCCAAAAGAGACAAAAAGCAAATGTACCCCCCATCCCCCCCAAACCTGAAGTGTTTCCCCTGCCCACCCTGGGGCACACGTGTGCAACGAAGTATTGACTTTATGATATATTCAAGTTAGAGTGCAGCTGCAGTGGTGGCCAAAAGTGTGTGCACCTTTTTAAAATGTCAATATTTCTGCATAAACATGACCTAAAATGTCATCGGTTTTCCACAGGTCCTAAAACTAGATAAAAAGAACCCATTTGTTTGATGGGCACTCTTTATTTCATTTTAGGACCTGTGTGTAAAACTGATCCTTTTTTAGATCATATTTCTAAGGAAAGGTTGGCAGTTCAAAAGGGTGCACAAAACTTGCAGAAGGCACCTCCGTCAGAAGCCTAACCTCGCTAGACCCAGCCCCCTCGGCTCGCACCGTGTGGGCGGGCACGGCTCCTCTGACGCTGGGTGCCGGTTCCTGTTCCTCCCCAGGGGTCTCGGGCTTTCCTCGCTGCTCGGGTCTTTGTTCAGGGCCTGGCCACTGGGCGGGACATCGTTGCCCAGGCAGTTAAGGTGAGTGCTTGTGCAGGTATGAACCTCCCTTTAGGTGGGGCCAATGCTGGAGAGCCTCAGGAGAGAAGGAAGACTGGCAGCTTCTCCAAATCTTCTTCTCTGGGGCTGCCTTCTTTGCAAAGAAGACAGCCCCAGAGCTGTCCTTGCAGCTGGGGTGTCCAAGACCTTCCTGTCTTATTTCTCACCTTCCTGGTTGCCCGCAATGAGGTTCCCTTGTGGCCCTGTTACCTGCAGTCCCATCTAGGAGCCATCCAGTCCCTAAATCCTCTGACTCATCTCATCTCCCTCCCCCTTCAAGCAAACCCAGATGTTTTTATTCAAGTATAGTTTTGTTTGTCCTGTCCTGCTATTTCTTTAAGGAGATCGTACATATGTAGGTTTGTATTTAGGTTTGATGTTTCTAAACTATATTTCTTAGAGATTACCCTGTTCTTCCAGGGTCCCGTCACACAGTCCGGTTAGCTGTGCAGACAAGGCCCTTTCCTACGGGCCTAATGCTTTCCTTTCTGGCCGGGGTGGGGCTGGGGCTGGGGAGGGTGTTAGTCAGAAAGGAGTTCCAGGGCCATCTTAGCAGCAGAATCCAAAACGGAAAGGAGGGTATGAGACAGGTCAGCGGGTAGCATTGCAGCAAGCGGGAGGCAGATGAAGCCCAGGGTGGTTCCGATATCATTTTCGGTCCTATCGAGTCGGCACTGTTTTTCCAAGCAGAGGGCCAACTTCGGTAGCTCTGTTGCATTTGTCTTTATCCCTCTTTTGGGGAAACAAGGGCAAAGGCCGAGGGGTCAGATCAAAGGCTAAGGGGTCGAGTCAAAAGGTCAAGGGGTCAGGTCAAAAGGTCAAGAGGTCGGGTCAAAAGGTCAGGGGCCAGGGCCAAAGGTCAAAGGCTGGGGTCACCGGTCAGGTCAAAGGCCAAGGGGTCAGGTCAAAGGCCAAGGGGTCAGGTGAAGGAGTCAGGTCAAAGGGTTAGGGTTAGGGTTAGGTCAGGGGTAGGCAACCTTGGCTCTTTGATGACTGGTGGACTTCAACTCCCAGAATTCCTGAGCCAGCCCTGCTAAGGGGATGGAAAACTGGTCAAATCAGATACTGCAGCCACAAAAATAAATAAACCTCTTTAATGGCGTTTTAAGATGATTATTCTTGATTATTAAAATCTTATTAATAGGGCCTTAACTCCGACCGGGCCCGACAGGAGGGCAGTGTTTCCCATCCCATAGCATTAACATGGAGGCTGTCATAGGCCTTTTGCCCAGGATCGGGACACCGAGAAGCTAAGCCCCAAAGCGCAGAGGGTCAGCCAAAGGATCGCCGCTCTATGCTTCTGCGAAAGGAACGGGCCGCTTCCCTCGGCCTTCTGCGCATGTCCGCCGGCTGGTTCTTTACGAGTACTCTCTCAGAGGCCCTCTCTGCACGGCGGACTTCCTGTCCGTCGGTGTTGGCTGTCCCCCAGGTCCTGCGGTAAAAGGACCGTTCCATCATAGCCGACTTCCTGTCTGCTCAAGTTTGCCGTCCTCCATTGTCTTTGAAATGCAACGTTCTCAACATGGCCGGTTTCCGGTCTGTCCTTCTTAATCATCCTTCACCCACAGGTTGAGAACCACTGATTTAAAGGATGGATAAAAGGGATGAGACGTGAGAAGTTGCAACTAATGGAATTTATTAATGGGGCAAGAAGGCCAAAGGCCGAGGGGTCAGGTCAAAGGCCGAGGGGTCAGGTCAAAGTTCGGGGGGTCAGGTCAAAGGTGAAGCAGCAGGGCCAAAGTTCAAGGGCCGGGGTCACTGGGTCAGGTCAAAGGATCAGGTCAAAAGGCCACTGGGGTCAGGTCAAAAGGTCACAAGGGTCAGGTCAAAGATCAAGGGGTCAGGTCAAAAGGTCAAGGGCCGGGGTCACTGGGTCGGGTCAAAGGCCAAGGGGTCAGGTCAAAGGGTTAGGGTTAGGTCAGGGGTAGGCAACCTTGGCTCTTTGATGACTGGTGGACTTCAACTCCCAGAATTCCTGAGCCAGCCCTGCTAAAGGACGGAAAACTGGTCAAATCAGATACTGCAGCCACAAAAATAAATAAACCTCTTTAATGGCGTTTTAAGATCATTATTCATGATTATTAAAATCTTATTAATAGGGCCTTCAGTCGGTTTAAGATTGGACCCAGGATTTTTTCTGCGCCCGTGTCGCACCGACCGGACCCGCTGTCGCCACGTTAATATTAATAATAAGGCGTTAAGAATAAAAATAGAGAAGAATAAGCTTCAAATGCTATTTAAAAGTATTTATTTCTTTGGGTGGCAGCAATACCGGTTTTCGACCACAGGAGGGCAGTGCTTCCTGTCCCATAGCATTAACATGGAGGCCGCCGTAGGCCTTTTGGCCAGTATCGGGACACCGAGAAGCTAAGCCCCAAAGCGCAGAGCGTCAGCCAAAGGGTCGGCACTCTATGCTCCTCCGAAAGGGACGGGCCGCTTCCCTCGGCCTTCTGCGTATGTTCGCCGGTTGGTTCTTGACGAGTAATCTCCGAGAGGGCCTCTCTGAAAGGCGGGCTTCCTGTCCATCGGTATCAGCCGTCCCCCAGGTGCTGCGGTAAAAGGACCTTTCCATCATGGCCGACTTCCGTTCCTCTTTAAACTTTCCCCCTACTTCCTTTCAGGGAGACCTTATCAGCATGGCCGACTTCCTGTCCTTTCAAATTTGCCGTCCTCCATGGTCTTTAAAAAGCGACCTTCCCATCATGGCTACCTTTCGGTCCGTTTTTCTTAGTCATCCTCCAACATCCTTTTTCAGCGAAATTCTGCGCAGGTCCGATCAACGAGTTAGGCCGTAGATTTCAAACTTCATTCAAAAGGCTTATTACACTCGGCGGGCGCAATTCCCTCTTTGACGATAGGATGGTATTTTTTCGACTATTAGCATTAGAATCGAGGCGATGGTAGGTCTTTTTGGCGGCTGGAACGCCGCTCTCGGTAAGGGACAGAAAACAGTGCCCTCCCGTGGTCCAAGTCGAGTATTGCAGGCACCCAAAGTAATAAACCTTTTAAAGGGGGTTTGAAAAGTATAAATTTTTTCGTGGACAAGATGAAGAAAGGAGGGGTTTCCGATGGTGTGGAAAACATGGCCGCGTCGTGGATAAAGCAGGAACCGTGGACGCGAAGAGAATACAGCACAGAAGGCGTCCAGATTTGCATCAAAACCGAGTGACAAAACGGCGTAGAGGGTAAGGTATTTGTCTAGCATGTCGGGAGTAGGGATTCGAATCTTTGGAATTTTTTGTTTTGGTTTGTTTGAAAATTGGAAATTGAGATATAGACCTAGGAATAGCATTTAAACTAGAGGGGATGCTGTGGTGTAGTGGTTAAGACAACTGTTTAAAATACAGGACTGCCTGGTTTGAATCCCTTTAAGTATTTGTTTTCCTTGTTGGGAAATTGGAAAATAAGATATATACCTAGGAACAGTACAGAAAACTAGGAAGACCACGAGGTGTAGAGGTTAAGATAACTGCCTAACATGCAGGAGTCATAGTTTCGAATCTCTGAAACTTACTATTTATTTTCCTTCTAGGGAAATTGGAAAATGAGATATATAGGAAGGAATAGGTTATAAAACTGGGGGGACCCCGGTGAGACCCTGTGGTGTAGAGGTCAAGAGAGGTGCCTAACATGCAGAGGTCACAGGTTCGAATCCTGGGGGATTTAGGGGTTTTGTGGTTAGGGGCTGAGGGGGTTTTGTGGTTAAGGATATGAGGGTTAAGGGATTAGGGGTGAGGGTTGGGTTAGGGTTTAGGTTTAAGGGTTGGGTTTGGGGTTAGGGTTAGGGTTTATTTATTTATTTATTTATTTATTTCTAAAATTTATATGCCGCCCAATCCCGAGGGACTCAGGGTGGCATACAAAATTAAAACAATAAATATAACAATAAAACAGTAAAATAAGTACATTCATACAGCATGTCCAATCGTATCCCAGCCCCCCCGGGGACATCAGCCCCAGGCCTGCCGGAACAGGAGAGTTTTAATGGCTTTCTTAAAGGCCGGCAAGGTGGGAGTAATTCGAATCTCGGGGGGAAGTTGATTCCACCAGGTCGGAGCCACCACAGAAAAGGCCCTTCCCCGAGGGCCCGCCAGCTGACATTGTCTGGCCGACGGGACCTGAAGGAGGCCCAATCTGTGGGACCTCACCGGTCTCTGGGAACTGTGCGGCAGTATGCGGTCCTGTAAGTAACCTGGTCCTATGCCATGAAGGGCTTTAAAGGTGATAACCAACACCTTGAATTGTGTCCGGAGACCCACAGGAAGCCAGTGCAGCTCGCGGAGGATAGGTGACACGTGGGTGTACCTTGGCACACACACAATTGCTCTCGCGGCTGCATTCTGAACCAACTGCAGCCTCCGAACGCTCTTCGAGGGTAGCCCCATGTAGAGCGCATTACAGTAATCCAGTCTTGAGGTGACAAGGGCATGAGTGACCGTGAGTAAAGCCTCCCGGTCCAAATAAGGCCGCAACTGGTGCACCAGGCGAACCTGGGCAAAGGTCCCCCTGGCCACAGCCGATAGATGTTCCAAATTTAGCTGTGAGTCCAGGAGGACACCCAAGTTGCGTGCCTGCACTGAGGGGGGTAAATTTACCCCCCCCCCAGGACTAATGATGGACCATCAGGTTGACCCTTGGGAGGCAAAACCCAGAGCCACTCGGTCTTGTCAGGGTTGAGTCTAAGCCTGTTCACCCCCATCCAGACCCTCACATCTTCCAGGCACCAGCACATCACGTCGACTGCTTCACTGAAAGGACACGGGGTGGAGATATACAATTGGGCATCATCCGCATACTGATGATACCTCACCCCGTGTTGCAGAATGATCTCACCCAGCGGTTTCATGTAGATGTTAAAAAGAAGGGGGGACAGGACTGAACCCTGAGGCACCCCATGATTGAGGCGCCTAGGGGTCGATCTCTGTCCGCCTGCCAACACCGACTGCGACCTGTCAGAGAGGTAGGAGGAGAATCACCGCAATACGATGCCGCCCACCCCCACCGAGACGACGCAGAAGGATACCATGGTCGATGGTATCGAAAGCCGCTGAGAGGTCAAGAAGCACCAAGATAGAGGAATGACCCCTATCCCGGGCTCGCCAGAGGTCATCGGTCAGTGCGACCAAAGCAGTCTCAGTGCTGTAGCCGGGCCTGAAACCAGATTGAAAAGGGTCCAGATAATTGGTTTCATCCAAGGATCGCAAGAGTTGGGACGCCACCACCTTCTCTACAACCTTCCCCACAAAGGGGAGGTTGGAGACAGGATGAAAGTTCTTCAAAACAGCTGGGTCCAGGGAAGGCTTCTTGAGGAGGGGCCTCACCACCGCTTCCTTCAAAGATTGCGGGAAAGACCCCTCCATTAAGGAGGCGTTGATTATCGCCTGGAGCCAGCCTCGTGTCACCTCCCTACTGGCAGAAACCAGCCAGGAGGGGCACGGGTCCAATAAGCAGGTGGCGGCATTCATTGCCCTCACGGCCTTGTCC